AGCTTACAAGTGCGAGTCTCACTAGAATCCCGTATCTAAATCCTCGTGGTAACAATGGTAGGACTATCCACAGATGCGACAGTTCCACTAGACTTAACAAAAGGTTCTACGTGCGTATGAAGAAAAATGTAGGTATGAAAAAAACTATAGTAACGTTGAGCAGGCAGGGTCTTGGGCCAGCACTCAAAGTTGTAGCGAGACGCCTAATGTCGTCAACACCTCCGTATACTGGAGGCTGCAGTGTAAGGCAGGGCCTGGTATAGGACTACTAACTACTAAAGGCTATTCGTGAAAAGCTCAAGCGAGCAAAAGGATGGGTTTCAGAAAATGATTGCGGTTGTTTAGACCGGGCAATGGAAAACGTGTGATGATGATGAGAGATGTGCGAGCGGTGTGCAAAGAGTCGGAGTCTCCTATAGTTCAAACCTAATGTCACAACCCAATAACGAATTAACGCTGGGCAGAGACTAGGACTCAAACGAAGGTTATCGGACGAGAGGAACGATGAGCAAGTACGTCTTGGATTGCTACAGTTGTAGATACAAGAGGTTTGAACTAAGGAACTATCGACCAAGACATGCTACCTATATACAACTATTGAGACGGAGATTGAAACTGAGTTATAACTACTAGCCAATCATAAAAAGAGAAAGGGAATCGTACCATAGAACATCGTAGAATATTAAAGAAGCATCACGTGACCATATCTTATCTTATCTAATCTATTCACAATCAAAGAACTCGTCTTCTTCATCAGTTACATCGAAGACACGTGTCGTGGGCGCTAAAGGTATTTCGGGAATGATAGACGCTTTTAGGGTAGGGTTAGGGTTTGACTTAGGCGCTGTGTATTGACGCTTAGGAAGATTCAGGAAAGAATAATGGTTTGTTAAAGGTACTCGTGACAGGCAGGCGATTCTTGCAAATACGGCGCCAGTATGACTGCATGTTTGCGCAGATATAATGTGAAGGCTTCACTTGACCATCTCCCAATGGACTTGACCACATCAAATGGTATTCCGTGGAGCAAATATTCTAGCGCCCCTCCTATGCGCAAACCGTGCCCTTTGAAGTTCCCCATTCCAATCTTTTTCAATATGCCGCTGATTCTTTTCCAGAATTCGGTGCGCATCAGTGGTCTGAATCCTTTGACGTGTTTCCATGCGAATAGATGTCCGTCCATTGGTGGATCATTGATTGCAAAGTGATGTAGGAGAGCCGCTTTGGGGTCTGTCAAATCGTTTTGCTGTGCCCAGTGTACTGACTCTCCTGCTGCGGCCGCTTTGGTGCATGGTAAGAAGATCTTGGTTATGCGAAATTGATTACGATCTTCAATGTCAAACTCTACGTTTGAGCGTTTGACGTGCTTTCTAGGATCAAATGCCGATATGGATTTGACCGTGATTTTGCCTAATCGACATAGTGCGTAGAATGCGCTTGTCAGACATGCGTATACTGCAGCATCACGCGATGCTGTTAAGTCCAAGTGCAAACAAATTTCGAGGATTAATTTGATGGAAAACGGTGCTTGTTTTTCACGCTTGGATGTGGAAGGAGTGAGTTCTGCGGCTCCGTCTAACGCTGCTTTTAACTGATCTTGCTGTATATTCCATGGTTGACCATGGAGCGTGTGCCAAGCTTTGATCGCGTATATGTAGTTTCCTAGCGTTCTTCCAGAGTATGATCCTGCGCAACTCGCCACGAAGTTTAGAAGTGTCTTCGTGTCTATGGGACAACACTGATCTTCTGGGACATTCCTCTCATCGCAAAACACGTGGAATACCAACAGTCCTGCCCCGTAACATTCTCTTGTTCCAACCGCCCATGATAAGCTCATCACTGTCAATACTCTCTCCAGATCCTCCTCGGTTATGGCTAAACGTTTCCCGTCCGGTCCTGCAGCTACTCTGGATGTGAATGGAAACCAGAGCTTAAGCCGGTCCCGTGCCAAACAATGAGGGCGCAGCTGCGAGGGTATTGGTACTAAACCTGTTTTGTACGGTTGCGGTCTGACGATTTGTTCTTCAGGCAGTGCGGCTTTGAAACAGGACTCATTCCTCGCCCTGCTGCTGCTCTTGGCGGATGAAGAAATGGGAATCTGTGCTGTATCGGATCTCTTCACTGTCGCTTGTGCCGGAATCGATGCTAACAGGTCTATCATTGGCGTCATTAAGACTTCCTTCTGTATCACGGTTGAACACTTCGTTGTAACTGGTGTTCGTGTCAGAGAGGAAGGGTCTAAGTGCTTCTGGGATGGGGAGAACGGGGAGAAGAAGTTTGGTGCTGCTATAGATCCCTCTGGATGGTCCATCTGCTGGGTTCTGTTCGCTTGCGACGTACGCTGGATGGAATGAGTAAGCCGATCCGGAATCGTGGATAAGGTTGAAGATTTGTCGAAAGACGGTGTTAACCGCTGTATTCCAACTACGTCCGTTCTTCCATCCCTCGATAACTCCTTGGTTGTCCCCAAATACTCTGAAGTGCCTTTCCTTTCTTCCCATTGCGATAATGTACTGAGTAAGGAATTCAAACCCCATCGCTTCGGCCCAACCGATGTCCTTTTGTCCTTTGAGTGTCTGCCATCCTTCACGCAAACGCCATGCTCGCCATCTGTCTCCAATGACGATAGCAATTCCAAAGCTCGTGCTGGCATCTGAATATGCGGCTGGATTGAATAATGTAAGTGGTTTGGGAATGACACGACCGACAAATGGATTCTGTAGCAGCGTTTTCCACCAGTTGAGATCACCCTCAAGGCTCTTAACTGGTCTCCATGGGAGAAACAGTTTACCCATCGCGAGGTGCAGCATCGCCTCCAGCGACGTAAGATATGCGCGTCCCTTGGGAACGATGAGCATAGTATGTAAGAGCTTACCATACAGTTGCTGCACGTCGAGGAGAGTGTGCGTGCTCCGTTGCGACCATTGCTCAATTGCTGTGAGATACTTTTGTTTCTTTTCTTCTGCCAAATATACTCTGTCTTGTGCCAGATCCCAAATGATCCCGATGTAGGGATTCGAGTAAGCAAAAGGTTTGTCTTTGAGAAATTCCCATGGAATGCCAATATCGTCTGAGACTTGGTTGATGTCTGATAGGTTGCACAAGAATTGAACATCTTCTGCCGATCTAACTGACGCCCCTGACAAGTCTGCAATAGGGAATCGACAATCCTCGTCGAATTCCTCCAGGGTTCCGTCTTCGAATATGTGTCCCCCAAACCAAATCCTTCCTCCATCCTGATGCTGTCCTCTCTCTGTAATGTCTCTATGCCATTGCTCTCTCCTTTCGTTATATGCTGCAATATGTTCTTTAAGGATGCGAATAAAAACATGATCGTCGACCCATCTCGACGCTGGCCCGATCCCCTTCGAGCGAAATATGTCAAGACAAGCGTCTGCCAGGTTACCATAGGCTCCGGCTGATGGTCGCAGGCCGAAGCACATGCACGTGTCGATGCAGAAATGTTCTTCCAAGATTCGCACGACGGCTCCTGGCCATTGTGAATGGTGAATTGGAATCGTGCGATAGGCTTCGGAGACGTCCCTGATGGCGATCTGAGATCCTGGTGGAAGCCGGCTGATTGTGAGCGCGAGCACATGAAAGGTGCCCCAAGTACTAGGAAAATCATCTGGATTAATGTACGAGTTGATTGATGCATTAGGAAATTTAGAAGAAGTAGAGTGTGGAAATGAATAATTCTGTATGACATGATACTGTCCAGGACGTCCCGGTTTGGGTATAATGGAGACGACTGAAAAGGTCCGATGAGATTCTGGACTTCATCAGCTTTGAGCGGACCAATATATCTTCCCTTCTTAAGTTCCATTTGAATAATAGACTGAAACTCTCGCTCATATGTACCAATGGATTCTTTGTTCGGCAGCATTTGTGTGACTTTAATATTAGGGATGTTAAGAATGAAACCATTGCGAAGGCTGTTAGGAATGTGCGCATATCTGTCAAGCAGACCTGCTTTGACGAGATTGCGTTCCAACCTGTCCGGATTGTATGGTGTGACTGCCTTACGCTTTCTGAGCTCGAGGACAAGCCTGAGCTCCATGGGACGCGCTGCCGCACCCTGAACAAAAATGCCTTTGGTCGTGGGTGGTGTCCGAACAGCCTTTGACTCTTTGCCAGTCGCTGCAGACTGGTCTCCCGTGTCGCATGGTGAGTACTTTGCCGATTCGTGCGCAGAGAGTATTGTACGATTTGTCCCAGAGTTTGGACACCTTGCACTCGATAATCCTGTGCAGGTTTCGTCCAAGACAAATGGCACAGGCGGATAGAACACCTCCGCCTGTGCCTGGACAAAAATCCTGCCTAGGTCTTTTGGCTCTGTTGCCGTACTCAGGTGAAGCTGCACGCTTATGCGACCTCTCTCAAGTCTCTGTGCCTGGATGCAGACGTAACCCATTGTTCTGACTGAGCGCATGTTCGGTGCATTATATTGTGCAGCGTAGGCATCGCATAGCATGTAGCGTGAGATGCGTGATGCGAGGCATGTGTGAGGCATGTGGCATGTGGCATGTGGCATGAAGCAATACGACAGCGTGACAATTGCATGTTGTATTGTATGAATTTTTAAGTGCGTGACAAAAGAAACAATGCGATAAAGATGAACATAGAATCATAATAGAATATAATTATAAACTGACCTTATAATCGCGCGCGTTGTCTCTCTTGAGCCGTTCTTCCCAGTATACTTTCTCCCTCGTGTCTGCCAGTACTTTTCATTAACCGTCGAAATGTTATATGGTCCTGTCGAGGATTTCGCTGCTACGTGCCAGCGTCTGCGTTGCTCGGCCTGATAGACCAAAAGAGTCTTTTGTGCTATTGGATCTCGCAAAGAACGATACTTGTGCACTTGTATGTTCCTCCAGAACAGTGCCATCATTCTGATTCGATCTTCCGGCCAGTTCGCTTCTTCCAAGGCAACTAGAAAGTGAGGACATGCCTGACAAAATTCCTCGTACGGTAAGTTCTCGTCATTGATAACTGACTTAGCAGTTACGCGCTGATGCCGAAGAGATCCAGGCTGTAGATCCGTCCGCCAAGGTTGATAGAACCATGGCGTCATCATCTATAGTCTTCTTGATTGATGCCTCAGTCTAGCCCATCATTTGTGAAATACCACATTTCGACGTATTCACCTTTGTCTAGTTTACAAAGAACATATGAGCAAGGTGTGACAGACGGTTCGTCTGGAATGCCCAGTGTCCAGGATTGGAATATACTTATGTTTATTCTTCTTCCTTTCCTCCTTGCGTGCGGCATCTTCTTCGTCGATGCGTTCTTGTTTGACTCGTTCCTGTTCATCTTCTTGTATCCTTTGTGCATGCTCCCGCTGCTCTCTGTCCTCAGCTAACTGCTGCTGCCACAAGACCTTGTCTGTCTCGTTGTTAGCTTGCCATATGTTCCTGAGTAATTGAATTGCTTGTTCTTCATCGACATTCTCATTAATGAGTTGTGCTCTCGTGTTCGCAAAGTTAATTGACGCATAGTCCTGGACAGATATTGAAATTTGGATCATTTCGAATTCTTGGCATAATTATTCGAAATTGTCTGACTGTTCTTTTTTGCGAATGAAACGAGAGCGTTATCAAGCAGTGGAGGTGTTGTGAGTACTAGGTAGAAGTACGAAACAAGAAGTGTGAGAAAAACTCGAGAGGCTGTGTCGCCACATAGACCTCATTCTACACACGTTCTCGAATCTCGATCTTGCAGTAGAATACAACATATCTACATATTATAAGGACAGAGTGGTTTGCAATATGGTGTCGATGCCATGTGCGAGCTCCACTTTTGCCTGATTTGTATCCCAGTAATCATCATACACAATCACATTGTTCATTGAGCCCCATTGGACTACACCTGCTTAGTCCATTGTTCGAATGTTCATCCACTCATCAAGGATCGTCGATCAATTGTTCTTTCCACCCCTTTCTTGCTCCATGATTATCTCGCCATGTTAATGCATCCTAATACCCCTCCCCATCGCCTCGATCTCAAGGTAAACACCATATGTGCCATGCAGCGGAATTTGTCTGTAGAAAAAGGGTTAGTATGGAATGTGCATGTGCACATCACTGCACTGCACAGATGTTTCATCGAAGTCCAAACTCCTGCAACAGGCGAAATTCACTGTCTTCCACAGGATAACTCTTGCTTTCAATCCACCACAGGTCAAATTGGACTGTCAACCGCAGACAGTTTCCACTGCGGGCCGCATACACGACGACATTCAATGGGTCACAGGGCCTAACACTGCAATGGGCAGTGCTTGACCTTCAAATAGATGTTTTTGCACATGGGCAACTATACACTGCGATATCGAGAGTACACAATCGTCATGATATCAGAATGTTGTGGTCTGCGTCCAATGAGGAAAAAGAGACCGCGAACATTGCTTACAATTGTTTCTTGCTATAACAAATCAACCTCGCCCGTCTGCAGGCGAGCAGACTGCTTGTATATATATCTACATATTATAAGGACAGAGCTATTAGTATATTGTAAAACCAAAACTAAAAATACAATAACTTCAAGTGCCGAAAAAGGATGCTGTAGCTTCAGCCTTCGAGTCGATCGTCTGAATCACAACAAAAATCTGAACATATATTTGAACTTTGAAGCTAATGGCCCCACAGAAAGACAGTACATGTTTTACTTGGTGCTTGATCAAACACTAAAACAAAATTAGATCTGTTGTAGCTTTGATTGTGCGCAAAAGATACAAGAGCGGGAGAGAGAATTTCAGTGCCACCATGCATCAATGAGGAGGGAGGCAGATCGAAAGGAGAAAGAGCAGGAGAGGGAAGAGTGCAGATGCACATCGAGGAGGAGGAAAGAAGAACAAAAGATGAAGGAGCAGGAGAGGAAAGAGTGCCAATGCGCAGCAAGGAGGAGGGAAGCGGATCGAGCTGATGGGCCATCGAGCTCGAAGTCAAAATGGAAGCCAAAGTGGAGGTGTTGGATCTCAAGGATCTGGGGTCACGAGGTGTGGGAGGAGGCAAAATAGCGTTGAGTGATATAACCGGCTTCCGTTCAGGTGAAGTTGTTACAAGAACATCTAGATGCATGGGCCCCTACCATTTTTCTCCTTATCCTCCTCGTCTCCGCCCTTGCATCACACCCTTACCCCGACCTTGCTCTTGTTATCCTCATTATCCTCGCATTCCCTTTCGCTCTCTACCTGTCACTCCAGCAGAGCCAGTACATTTGGCTGGACCCTTTCTCTGATGAAGCATACCCATGCTCTGTTCAATCCGTTGACTGATCCTGCAGACAGTCCCTTCACCCTTACCGTCCAGACAGTAACCTATGACATGATGCACGCCACATCCTCTTTGCCCTGTTTCCTTCCTTGATCTATGACTTGGTGCGCAGTTGCACATTGTACTTATATTTAGCTCCTGCAGTTGCATGATCGTGCCTCTGCTTGTTTCACTTCCTGTTTCTGTTCTTTGACTCACTTCCTATCTGCACGTTCTGGTTTACCTATGACTCACCTTGAACGTGCCTTCCTTTTCTGGTATTACCCTTTGACCAATTCCCTTTCCGGTAGTACGAGTTATCACCCACTAATACACTTCCTCTCCTCTATATAAACTTGCTACCATGTACTTAGTTCCTTAACTTGAATCTACTTGGTTCTTGACCTCCTACTCCTAACAAGAGTGATTCTTTCAGCCTAGTCAGCTGTCTATATTCTACTTTCTTATCTGCTCATCACGGATAAGTCTTTAGTCTCGATCTTTACTCATCGACTTCGTCATTGAGCAGAGCCCCTGTTATTAGTCAGGACTTCTGTCCTTCTATTAACTGCAGATCTTATGATTAACCTTCGGATGTCGTAAGCCTTGGCAGATATGCTTATCGTTGAGCCCCGCTTGACATAAGCTACCCGATTTGGACATAGGTGTTAAACCTTACTTGCCGAAGCTTCACCAAGTAAGACCCCTAACCTTGGGCTAGCCCAAGGATGTCCTCGGCCGTTGACAACAGATACTATCCAAGTCGTAACAGAAGTAGTAAGTATGTATCCTGTAAGAGTAGATAAGAATGTTACTTCGAAAATTTCAGTCCAATTTGTCTTGAGGGTAGCACTATAATTCAATCTTAAGCAGAAAATGAAAAAAAAAAAACACTTGGTCGAAGTACATACCTGATGTTTTGTGATTGTGCAGACTGGGGATGGAAGTGATTGTAAGCAGAAAATGAAATAAAAAAACACTCGCTCGAAGTACATACCTGATAGTTCGTGATTGTGTAGACCGGGATGGGAACGATCATACACAGAAAATGAAAAAAAAAACACTCACTCAAAATACATACCTGATGGTTTGTGATCATGTGGACTGGGATGGGAGCGATCGTATGCAGAAAACGAAAAAAAAACACTCGCTCAAAGTACATACCCGACATTTTATGACCATGTGGAATGGCCAAGATATCTAAGAGCGAACTTGTTGGTGCCATACACAGCGATGTCTGAGTAGATATTGGTGAGATATGAATGGCCATGTGGGTAGACGAAGGCTGAGTGATTGAGAAAGCCTGCTATGTGTTCGAGCTCTCGCTTCGGCACTTGTGAGTCTAGAAATAGAGTGAGAAAATGAGATAGATGAGCAATGTATTTGAGGCACTTACACTCAAGGAGGGCTACTGTTTTGTGGGGGAGATCCCAGTCAAAACCGATGTATGCACCAGTATCTTTGAAGGGTTGTCCCTTGTCTGTGATAGGCAGACTCGATGGAACATTGACTTTGCTGGCATCTCTGCACATTTGCAGAGAGATATTGTTAGCGTGACGATATAAATTCTCTGCCACCATTTGGTCATAAGTCCTGAGGATTAGGAAACCTGGAGAGAAAGGAATCAACAATTAAAATCAATATAATGACAAATATAGCGTAAGTGAAAACTAGGTAGTGGTACATGATGTGATGGTGGTGAGATTGCAAAGGAGGTAGGAAAAATGTCAGTGATAGAGAGTAGGAACATCAGGAATATCGTCACATTCATCTGCTGCCATGGCTTTGAGAAGAGCATCATGCTCGGAATCATGACTGCTGCTGGTACTTCTAGCAGATGATAAAGATGTGTGCTGGTGCGAGTCATCTGACTCCAGCATGCACTGTATTTGAGTATAATACTCCATTTCCCACTCTGATGCTGACCATCCTTTTGTAAAGTTGAGTCATTCTTTCTTCAGCAAAAATTTGAGCATCTGGAGGATCTCTACCATAGCAGGGCTGAGGTGATTATGCTTTTTGGTACATGTCTCGCTGCTTGATGAAAAAATGCGTTCACAGGGAACAGCGGATGCCTGGATCGGAAGATAATCCATTGCAAGGTTGTAGATGGTCGGAAAGAGGGTTTTTGAGCTCTGGTTGAGATGTGATCAATAATGAATGTCAGTGACTGACTCAACAAAAAAACGCACATTCCAAAATGTGAGTGGGTCAGTTCCTTGAGGGCTGACATGGGATGTACTATATGCATTAAATTCCTTGTCGACTATTTGAACACTGAGATGGTGACACGGCAGCAAGTCAATGTCAGGTATACCATAAATTTGTGCACCTAAGGTTGCAGTGCGTGGTCGATGAGCAGGCAATTCTACTGCTGGATGTTGAATAGAGCTTTCTCTCTTCTCTCGCAGCTGTAGAACACGTTAGGTTAAATATGCACTGTTCGAGTCAAGGTAGACATACCTGTCGCTTGATAGAGTCCCTGGCAGTACAAGCATGTTCTTCGCCCCAGTGACCATCAATCCATTATAAATGCAAGCTAGGGTCAACAACTATACAAAAAGATCATGAGAGATGAAATTGTATCAAAACCGAACTCACACATCGCAATGGAATATGCATTCGTCTGACTCATCTTGTGACCATACTTCTCCACCCAGGCTAGGCCTATATTAATCATGGGCGCACAGTGTGTGGCGGTCCTGGCCACCTGTTCCCACCGCTCCATCAGACGTTCTAAGGCAGAGACTGCACCACTCAACATAGGTGTACTTTCACCAGACATTGATTGTTGGCAAGCATGGGGTGCCTGATGTAGATTAAAACACATCATGGGCTTGAGCGATATCAACACTGAGTCACTGACCTCTAAAATCACTTCAAGGTCTTGCAAGACCATCCACTCCATTGGACTCAACCCATGTTCAGATAAGCTAGTTTGAGTCGCAAGGTAGCAATCAATAGCCTGGGGCACTGTAAGTTTGCAATGAATGTTATGTGAGACAAAGTCTTACCAGGCGAAGCGTTTGGAGATGATTGAGCATAACATACGTTGAATCCCATCGAGTAGGCTCATCACATAGAAGCTCGAGGACTGGAAGTTTTCCTCCTGGAAATAAATTCCCCTGGTTGCCAATTGAGATATTATTCCAGAAGGCTTCACATCGCTGGCCCGATGCGCAGATCACATGCACAAGATTCTTACCCTGCTTGACAGGTTTGAGTTTCAGAGCTTTCAAATACCCCTCCTTTTTGATGGTGGTACCACAAGCTAGCCACTCAGTAGGCACTGTTGCAAGATCCATGGAATGGTAAGAAGCGATGACGTACTGAATGCATATGTTGATTATATGTGGGAAACACGGGATTTTGCAATCAATGGGATCAAACTCGATGCCACGTGCTGACAGGAGACGAGAAAGCTTGACCATGGCAGTCTGGTTATTTGATGCATTATCTAAAGTAAAATGACTGATCTAGACTAAGTCAGAATATGTTACATGGTGGGTCAATCACTAACCTTGTCTGTCACTTCCGCACGATCCAGGAGTCCTAATATGACTACAGTGAGCAACACCCCATCATGAGAACCAGGAACATGGCTAAAAGCTAGAAGGCCAGCCTTGAGAATGAGCTTTGATCCATGTTGGGCAATCCAATGAGCCATCAATGCAATGAATGGACGTCGGTTCTCATCTGACCAGAGGTCAGAAGTAAATGATATCTTTCCTTCTGCTTTCTAGAAGAACATAAGATAACTTGCAAGATCAAACAGTCATACACTTATGGCCAGATCTTGCTTTAAAACATCGAAATATTGATATCACATTTCGACTATTAACTCACGTAGCTTCGTCCAATGAGGGATGTCGCACTCCCATAGATCTTTCCACAGAAGTAGAAGTAAGCGAGGGAACTCAGGGCATTCTATTACATTCATCACCTAAAGACAATCAATAACTGTCATATAGAGTAAATAAGTACTGACCTGGTCATCGACCACAATGAATTTGACAAGTTGCCTATGCATCTCCTCAATGGTATAATCTGGTATCTCATCTGCAAGTGCCGACACCCCTGTCCTGGGTTGCAAACCAAGATGCTTACCACCGGGGGGGGAACCAAATGACTCAAGAAGCTTATCTGGGTTCTGGTCAAGCTCTTGACCTATCTGTGCGAGAGTCCAGCCTATATCAAGAAGATCTCGAACTTCTTTTGCCCCAACTTTTAGATTGTGTCGCTCAAGTGCAGTTATATAAACACGCAAGTGAATTTTGAGCAGATGACCGTGAAGAGTGCCCATGGTAGTCAACGAGCTGTATTCAGCAATATCATGTGATGAATCTTCTTTCTGTATGTCCCTGGCAAACATGAGAAAGAGAAAAATAAAAAGACCCAAAGATAATACTTACACACAGGGTGCACATATGCGCTGCCCTGACATTGTGTCTTTGGTAAAAAAAATGGTGCACCTCCGATCCTAGCTGTTTTGTTTGACGTCCCATGGCTAACAGATTGGATCAGGTCGAATCAGCACCTGTCTATGTTTGAAGTGGGTTGGGAACTGTGCGGACTGCTTCTACTGGGGTGAGTAGGTCGCCATCCTCTTCTTCATTGACATCGTCAACAATGTCAAGGTTAATGAATTCGCCATCGTCCACCGTGCGGCTTGGACCAGTCCTGCAAGCTGTACTGCCTCAAAGCCTTGTGGTGGGCCTTTGAGTTCTGCAAGGATTCTGGAGAGTTGCAGTCACTGCAACATGGGGAGCTGTAGTGAGGGTGGATGCAGCGGAGGGAGCTGCAGCGACAGGGGATAAAGTCTGGGGTGTGTTTATGGGGGGAACTACAGCAGCAGGGGATGAAGTCTGCGGGGTGTTTATGGGGGGATCTACAGCAGCAGGGGATGAAGTCTGGAATGTGTTGAGAGCACATCGGCGAGGTGGCATGGTTGGGAATGTTGGGGACCCAGTGAGCAAATTACTGTTCTATATAAATTGGTATTCTATAAGTTCCAGAAAATGCAGCAGCGCAGTACTGACTCACCTGATGGTAAAGGCTGAAGAATAGTGCTGCCTACATGTAATTGTGTCGCTTGTGTCTCGACAATTCAAGGGTGTGTTGACTGCTGTAGATTAGCAAAGTAAGATGTAGCTAGAGCCTCAAGGCTCATGGGGTCCTGGGCATCAAACAACCCCAAAATGTTGCCCAACATGCAGTGCGCCAGTGTGCTGGATATGTGCCTGGAAAGTTATTCTAAAAGAATGAATTAGCTGCAAGGAGTTTTTGAAACGAGAGTCGGAAGGACCATACCTGTAGATACATCATTCAAGAAATAGAAAATGGATGTTTCTAATCTTCGAGCCTCATGCAATCATGACTCAATGAGTCATGCACACCTTCTGACTGTGCCGGTGTAATGATGGTTGTGGCGCTGGGCTTGGAACCAGCTATTTTGATACTGATGTCAAACAGTATTTGTCCGATGCACTTCCGATAGTCTGATCCCAACCCGACGCACTTTCTGACAGTCCGACGCATGTCCAATCCCGACCCGACATTCCCACGCATCGGACCAGTCCTCCCTATGTCCTGTCCAGTAGCATCTATCCCCACTAGGTGCGCATTTACTCCTTTTGACTTGCTAAGCATTGTATACAGCGTTATTACATGTTTTCTCATGGTCCGCAGTACCACATGTCCTATTACATAGGATTTTGGACCCGAAATATCGTTACTACTCTCGCCTATAGCAGTCCGAATTTCTACATAGTCACTATTTAATATCTAGTACTTCCTACCTATTGCATTACTTACTTTTCCCTGCTCAGTAGTAGGATGGAAGTCATTGGATATTAGTAGTACTTCATTGTATTGCAAAATATCTATCTGCTCTTTTCCTCTGAAACATTCCGACACATCTGACACTCACTTGACCGACAATCTGTCATACTTCCGACACATTCCTTCACCGTCCAACGCATTTCCCGATAGTCCGACGCCCGACCCGACTCCGATATTTTTGGACCCGACAGTTTCCCTTCGGACAAGTAGTTCTTAGCTTCGGATTATCTTCCTATTATCGATAACTAACTATTTAAACTAATACCAAACAGCTACCCCTATAGGATCGAATGCACTTGCTCTGCAAGTATAGCAGACTAGGTCGTGCTAAGATCTACCTAAATATTTGTTGTCTAGGTAGTATGATTTCTGCTGAGCCCAGCAGGAATCAGCTTTCCTACACCACGTTATTGTTACAACTTGGATGGTATCTGTTGGCGATGGCTCAAACAGAGCTGTGTCGTCAATGGTCTGTGGATGTCCTTGGGCTAGCCCAAGGTTAGGGGTCGTACTTGGTGTGTCTTCGGCAAGTACGATTTAACGCCTATGTCCAATCGGGTAGCTTATGTCACGCAGGTGCGAGACGATAAGCTATATCGGCCTAGGCTTACGACACCCGAAGGTTAATCGTAAGGATCGTCCATTAATTAGAAGGACAGAAGTCCGACTAGTTAACAGGGGGCTTTGCTCGTCGACGAGTTCGATGAGTAAAGGTCGAGACTATAGGCTTATCCGCGAAGAGCAGATAAGAAGATAGAATATAGACTGCTGGCGAGGCAGAGGATCACTCTGGTGAGAGTAGGAGGTCAAGAACCAAGTAGATTCAAGTTAGGGAATATAGGTACATGGTAGCGAGTTTATATAGAGGACAGGAGACGTATTAGTGGATGATAACTCGTACTACCTGGAGAGGCAATTGGTAAAGGGTGAGACCATAACAGGAAGGCACGTTCGGTCTAGGTAAAACGTGCTAGATAAGAAGGTGAGTCAAAGATCGGACTAAGAAGTGAAACGCACAGGGGCACGATCGTGCAGCTGCGGATCTAAGTATAAGTCGCATGTGCGACTGCGCACCGAGTCAGAGATCAAGAAAGGAAACAGGGCAAAGGGGATGCGTCGTGCATCATATCATAGGTTACCGTCCAGACGGTAAGGGCAAGGGGACTGTCCGCAGGATCAGTCAGGTGGTGAAACGGAGCACGGGTATGCTTCGTCAGCGAAAGGATCCGGCCAAATGTACTGGCTTTGCTGAAGCGACAGGTAGAGGGCGAAAGGGAATGCGAGGATGACGAGGATGACAAGGGTGAGGTCGGGGTAAGGGTATGATGTGAGGGCTGATACGAGGAGGATTAGGAGAAAAATGGTAGGGGCCCAAGCGTCTAGATGTTCTTGTAACAGTTATTACATGTCCGCAGCACCTCATGTCTTATTACATAGGACATTGGACCCGAAATATATTGCTACTATCTTCACTTGTAGTATTCTGAATTTCTATATACTTACTTAAATACTCTGTAGTGACCCGTAGCAATCATCATCCAGTAGTTAGGAGCCATTTCCCGACTCTGCGGATCACCCAGAATATTCTCATAGTTCTTAGTTGCATTGCGAAATATTACCGTTCATTCACCGTCATACTCTGTCACTTGTTATAAAGTTTTCGACCTATTATCGTGAAGTCCAAAAGTCCAAAATCTCAGACATCGCACTTTGGCTTCGGACATTGGATAAGTATCTTCGGACATCATCGGATTACCTTCGGACATTGTTTCACACCATCGGACATTCTGTTCTTTGCATTACTGACACATTTTTACTACTAATACCAATTAGCAATCCCTTTAGGATTGAATGCACTTGCTCTGCAAGTATAACAGCATAGGTCATGCTAAGATCTACCTAAACATTGTTGACTAGGTAGTACAATTTCTGCTGAGCCCAGCAGAGATTTACTCTTTACACCGGTGTACTTGCCGAAGGTCCTCCCAGTGAAGAAGCATGCGTTCATGCACAAACACATCGTGACACAATTGCACAACAAATGTGGGTAGATTACAACATAGAAAGAGAGCACAGAGGGTTGCCAATCATTGAAGATGTTTTTTCGTAGTCTAGTACTGGTATGTTCAAGTTACTCAATTTTTGTTCTTGTACTGGCGTGCGCAGTCTGCTGAACACAAATACATTGACACATTTAAAAGCGACATCGTGCAAAATTTCATGTTACTGACTAATTGAAGTACTTTGACAAAAACAACCTGCAGAGCTCATCCTTCTTGATGGAAAGGTAAGTGTCAGCTATCGCAACATCAGCTTGAATGTGCATCATAACCGCTACCATCTGCACATCAGTCAAACCCTCCTCCTGCTGCACACATACAAACACCCTTTGTTTGCATACCGGGATAGGTTCTATGGAGTGTGCATGCATATGCACCATGCATTCATGCATAACACTTGTTGCATTGTCAAAGGACATCTTGAAACCATGAATTTCATCACTCATGTGGTCAAAGGCATCTGAGATGCCACAGCACTGAATTTCACTGATTTTGAAGTTGAAGTACTGGTGACAGCCGTCTTGGTGGAGTTAGGAGGGCAGCCTATGACCTGCAAGTCATCATCATTGACTACAGCCCTGCGTTTGCCCAGTGTCTTCAATAAACTCGGTGTGGAGTATGTGTTACAAGAACATCTAGACGCTTGGGCCCCTACCATTTTTCTCCTAATACTCCTCGTATCAGCCCTCGCGTCATACCCTTACCCCGACCTTACCCTTGTCATCCTTGTCATCCTCGCATTCCCTTTCGCCCTCTACCTGTCGCTTCAGCAAAGCCAGTACATCTGGCCGGACCCTTTCACTGACGAAGCATACCCATGCTCCGTTTCACCACCTGACTGATCCTGTGGACAGTTCCCCTTGCCCTTACCGTCTGGACGGTAACCTATGATACGATGCACGACGCATCCCCTTTGCCCTATTTTCCTTTCTTGATCTCTGACTCGGTGCGCAGTCGCACATGCGACTTATACTTAGATCCGCAGCTGCACGATCGTGCCCTTGCATGTTTCACGTCTTATTTCAATCTTTGACTCACTTTCTTATCTAGCACGTTCTACCTCGACCGAACGTGCCTTCCCGTTATAGTTATACCCTTTACCGATTGCCTCTCCCGGTAGTACGAGTTATCACCCACTAATACGTCTCCTGTCCTCTATATAAACTCGCTACCATGTACTATATTCCCTAACTTGAATCTACTTGGTTCTTGACCTCCTACTCTCACCAGAGTGATCCTTCTGCCTCGCCAGCAGTCTATATTCTATCTTCTTATCTGCTCTTCGCGGATAAGCCTATAGTCTCGACCTTTGCTCATCGACTTCATCGACGAGCAGAGCCCCTGTTAACTAGTCGGACTTCTGTCCTTCTAATTAACGACGATCCTTACGATTAACCTTCGGGTGTCGTAAGCCTAGGCCGATATAGCTTATCGTCTCGCACCCGCGTGACATAAGCTACCCGATTTGGACATAGGCGTTAAATCGTACTTGCCGAAGACACGCCAAGTACGACCCCTAACCTTGGGCTAGCCCAAGGACGTCCACAGACCGTTGACGACACAAGCTCTGTTTGAGCGTCGCCAACAGATACCATCCAAGTCATAACAGTATGTGGAGGCAGTGGAAGCCTCTGGAACTTGGTTGTTTCCGGTAAATAACATCAGTTGGTCCGAAGGAATGAATCTGATTGGAAGGGGTGGTTCATCTGGCACTGGTGGGACATGAGGGTTGGGATGCTCAATAGTGTCAAGCATATTCTCCAATTCCTGACAGGCTCCAAGTCAGTTCAAGCATGAAGGTCACAAGAACCGGCACTCACAAAGTTTGATGCAACAGTAGTACCAGTCATGGTGGTACTGCAGCTGCAGTCTTTGGTTGGTGCTGTGGGCCAAGCAGTAGCATGGTGAGCAATATCCCCCCTTCCCTTTGATGGTAAAAGTTCCTTCAATGTATCATAGTGCAGCCAACCCTTATTCTTGAATTGCTTTGCTTGAGGCATACTCTAGACTCAGATGCATCTGTGATGTTGGCCTCAAGCTCTGCACTGAACTCCAAGCCAGAATAGTCAGCCAATCTATCAACAATGTTGAAGGTTGAACAGATCTGAAGGGTCATCAGTAAGTACATGATCATCAGACATAACCATAACTGAACTTACTCAAGACCATTTGGACTGGCATGCATCAGAAGACTTTAGGGGGCCTTGTGCAGTCATTGTGGCAGCAACAGCAGCCCAAAATGTCTTGTCAAAATTGAGTCCTTCTCCACCCTTGGCACGGTGCATGGCGATGTACTGAATCAGCCATGATTCATCGTCTAAGGTCCAGACACATTGTTCTTTGATATCAGGCATGCTTTCCTGATCCTTCTTGCCACATTTTTTGTAGCAGAAAGGTATGTTGTGGGGGCAGGAAGAACGAGTCCTTTGACTGACTGGCATGATGGGATATCAATAAAGTCTGTCACATCAGTCACACTGATTCAGGATATTCAGGATGATTATCAAGCAAATTCCATCTTTGAAATTTCAGCGAAATTTCACTGTCCGAACAGACTCTAAGTTAGTAATTAAGGATTAGGGAATGTCGAGGTTTAGGAGTGTTTTCGGCACTGCGCGCCGTTAGGCTTAGTTCGAAGTCCGCTAGTGGCTGACCTTTGTTTACAAATGTTATCTTCCAGCCGCTCCTGAGAGTGTGAGGGGAATAAGGTTGTGCTGGGTTTGAAGTCGTCATGTGATTTCGGATAGCGCCGCAGCCCTACAGTGTACGAAGCACTAGGATACCATCTCCGTAGGGACCTCTATAGTACAAATTTCGATGTCCAATGAAAATTCTGTAAGGAAACAAGCAAAAATAAGCAATTTTTCGAAATTTCCCATTGTTTCAAATTTTCCCGTTGGAAAAAAAATTACCCCATGCTCCCTAGACCCTGTTCATCTCCCCTGGACCATTCATATGCCTCCTGTGGCAAAGAAAGCTGCTCGAGCAAAGAAGCAATGAGATTGTCGCTGATGGCAAATTCTCAACCGCGAAAACACTGGTTCCACAATGTCTTGACATGTGCGATGTTTTGATCATTCACCGTTTTTTCCGCAAAGCTTGGCATTATATGGATGCTTACTGGTATGTTTACTGTCGAGTAATCGTGCAACGCTGAAGTTTGAACAGTAAAGGACTCGACACACAACAAGCAGCCTTCGCGGTTAAGAAGTACTGCTCCCACCGTCGTGTTGGGTTTGCGACAGATATTTTGACCACGCTGGATGCTCAAATTGCGAGCAGATGGCTTCTGTAGATCATCTGATTCATACTTACTATCGTATACCTGCTCAGTTACCCAGAAATACCATTTCTTGCAACATGTTTCAAATTTCGTTGGAAAATTTTTCAACACCTTGATTTTCAAAATTCTAATGAGATAGCCTTAATCTACAAGTAAAAAGATTGCATTTGTGCTACTCTACGGTACAAAGCGGTCAAATCTCGAGGACTAGATACATTTTCAAGTTCGGGCCAATCCGAGAGGCTGGAAAAGTGCTTCGTACACTGTAGTAATTCGCCCTCACACTCGAAGCAGTGGCTGGGAAGGAGCCTGGTACTACAGTCAGTTCTGTGCCTTCAACGACATGTTGTCCAACAGTGCAAGTCGCAATCACATGCGACTTCTTACAAAATTGTGGAATGCACTGCTCTTTAGCCTTCTCGTGTCGGCCGCTTTAAGCTTAGTTCATCTTGCCATCAAACTGCTGTACAGATCTAATATTGCTATATGAAAGTCCCGATATTTGGCAAGCTGCTTATCATGATATCCAGTTAAGTCATCGGCGCTGCACAGGATGGATGCCACGTGCATGCTGTGTTTCCCTCCTTTATAATCCTTCAAAACTTTGCAGGTACAGCAGTATTTCATGACCAGTGTTCGTTTGAATACATCCCTCAGTCATCATTTTCATAATGGCTCATCGTCGATGTGTTTCTTCAACCTCATCAGAATTAGACTTGTCTTCATCATCGTCGCTTAGAACTTCCCCAACTCCTCCATTAGAGATATCCAGTTCGAGTACCGAGCCCTTGAAAGGGATAAAACCTAAGCGCAAGTCGTCGGGCAGCGATGATGACAAGAGTTCAAAAGGTCTACGATCGTAAGTCGCTGCATTGTATACCACATGTATAGACTTAATTTCGCATTTTCAGGCAAAAAGAAGATAAGTTAGTATATCAAGCACTGTTCATCTAAACGCCTGACAATGTGCTTATTATTTAGTGAGGAGCCGAACGATCCAGACCACACCCAGGACCTGGCAGAGATGCACCTCAGTGAAGTGCAACCAATCATCACTGGTGTGCGATCTCCGTCTCTGCTCAGCTCGTATTGATCATTTCCCTCAAGCCATTCGCGTGACTGATCTCGCTCTTGGCCTCCGACGGATCCCCGCTGGCTTCCACGCAGTGATCAGGGCCGATGACGTTGAATATGAGACAAGCAATATATCTGTAAACGTAGACCAGCCTGTCGTAGAATGGCACGAGCGCATTGCTCTGTAAGTCATCTTCAACCCGTCTCAGGCTCCTCTGCAGGTATTGAGAAAGACTCTAGGCCGCGCGAGCCATGTTTCAAAGTTCGGATCAGCGTGTATGCCTCATTCGAATTGGGTCCCATGCTCTGTCATGGTGAACTCCTCCGCACGTTCGAGATCTCGGTTGGAGAATTAATGGATCGCAGCGAAAAATCACATCGTCAGTACCGTCAATTGCACATGATGCCCGAGAGATGCTAACGAGCATCACAGCCATAATATTTCAGCCAAAGCAGCAAGAAGTCGTATCCGCTTGTACTTCACTTTTCTTGACAGTGGAGCAGCAACTTCCTGATCAACACGACGCCGCAATTCTTTGCCCCCTTACTACTGTGAGCGATCAATGCAGTCTGGCATTCTCATTCTGAAAGCCGTGACGTGCAGCCTACATCCCGCAATATAGATGCATTAGCGCTGAGGACGGATGCCGGTCATCGTCTTCTCGCACGATACCGTAGAGCCCAGAACAGCAGGGATCTCGAGCAATCCATAAACCACTTCGAACACGCCTCAGATATCTGCCCCGTGGACCATCCCTGCCGCCCTGCAGCGCTGTTCAATCTCGCCAGCGCAAAGCTTGTGAGTTGCCAAGCTGAGGGAAGATACCTCGACCTCGACGTCCCTGTCTCCCTGTTCGAAGGCGCCCTCGAATTGCGTCCCACCGGTCATCCGGACAGAACGGTCATGCAGCTGCATCTTGCGGTTGCTCTGCTCTCGCGCTTCGCGAAACGGGGATTTCAAACGGATGCTGATGCAGCCAAAGAGTTACTGAGCGAAGTCGTCAATGTCTGCCACGCCAACACCCACATTCACAGAGCGGCTGCGATTGCAATGGAAACATGCGCTCTACATTCTGCGAGAAGCATTAATGCAAATGATGTCAGGCAGGAGTGGCACGCCCCATCCATGCTTCCGTTATCGCCGAATCAACTTTCCAATCAAGCACAGCGGTGTTTGGAGAGAGATGACCCTAGTGCCTTAGATGAAGTGATATCCCTTCATAATGATGCACTAGGATACTACAACACCGGGCATGCTTGCCGAGTGCAATTGCTAAGCAATCTAGCTCTAATGCTACAGACTCGCTTCGAGCATCGAGGCAATGACACAGACTTGGATCAAGCTATCGTACTTCAAATGGAATCGCTGGCTTTGTGCCCAGTCGGTCACACAGATCGGTCTGCGTCATTAAACAACCTCGCGACTCAACTCTCCACCCGCTTTGACCACCGAGGCAACAGCGAAGACTTGGATGAGGCTATCGCACTTTACAGGGAAGCGCTGGCTTTGCGCCCGGTCGGTCACACAGATCGGTCCATGTCATTAAACAACCTCGCTGTTCATCTCTCCTCCCGCTTTCGTCACCGAGGCAACGGCGAAGATTTGGATCAGGCTATCGCACTGAGCAGGGAAGCCCTGGTTTTGTGCCCGGTCGGTCACAAAGATCGGTCTGTGCCATTAAACAACCTCGCGAATCGACTCTCCTCCCGCTTTTACCACCGAGGCAACGGCGAAGACTTGGATCAGGCAATCGCACTGAACAGGGAAGCCCTGGCTTTGTGCCCGGTCGGTCACACAGATCGGTCCATGTCATTAAACAACCTCACTCTTCAACTCTCTTCCCGCTTTCACCACCGAGGCAAAGGCGAAGACTTGGATCAGGCAATCGCACTGAGCAGGGAAGCCCTGGCTTTGCTCCCGGTCGGTCACACAGATCGGTTCATGACATTAAACAATCTCGCGAATCGACTCTCCTCCCGCTTTGACCACCGAGGCAACGGCAAAGACTTGGATCAGGCGATTGCACTTCAGACGGAATCGCTGTCTTTGCTCCCGGTCGGTCACACATATCGGTCTGTGTCATTAAACAACCTCGCGAATCAACTCTCCTCCCGCTTTGACCACCGAGGCAACGGCGAAGACTTGGATCAGGCTATCGCACTTTACAGGGAAGCGCTGGCTTTGTGCCCGGTCGGTCACACAGATCGGTCCTTGTCATTAAACAACCTCGCTCTTCAACTCTCCTACCGCTTTCACCGCCGAGGCAACGGCGAAGACTTGGATCAGGCAATCGCACTGAACAGGGAAGCCCTGGCTTTGCGCCCGGTCGGTCACACAGATCGGTCTGTGTCATTAACCAACCTCGCGAATCGACTCTTCTCCCGCTTTGATCACCGAGCCAACAGCGAAGACTTGGATGAAGCTATCGCACTTCAGAGGGAGGCGTTGGCTTTGCGCCCGGTCGGTCACACAGATCGGTCCATGTCATTAAACAACCTCGCGAATCTACTCCCCTCCCGCTTTGACCTCCGACACGACAGAAAAGACCTAGACGAGTCACGAGAGAACCTACTCTGTGCATTGACGTTGTTGACGCAGCATGATCCTCGTCGATCGATGGTCCATGCATCTATAGCTAATGTCTATCTATCATTTCATCGTTCAGAGCTTGACGGCACCGGCGCTGGCTCAAATACAGATAGTCTGAATGCTGCCATGCATCATTTTAAGGCAGCAACAAATATTGTCCCTGCAAGCTTGCTCTCCCGGCTGCGGGCAAGTCTAAGTTGGGTGCGCCATGCTCGTCAACATTCACATGGTATTCAACTAGAGGCTTACATGACTTCTATGCAACTTCTGGATGCTTACATGTCTGTGACGGCTTCCATATCATCTCGCCATAATGCCATGAAGGGATTCCCAAGTACACTCGCCGTGGATGCTGCATCGTGCGCTCTTCGTAGTGGCGACGTGGGTCGCGCTGTTGAGTTGTTGGAGCAAGGCAGGACCATCATCTGGACCCAGATGACTCGACTCCGCACGCCTCTTGACGGGCTCCAGACTCGCGGCGATCATGCAGCGACCTTGATGAAGACATTCACAGACCTCAGCTCCCTCCTTGATAAACCTCATCCAAGCCATCTAGAAGGGACCCCAAGAGTCAATGTGGAAGCAGAGGCCACCCGCTACAGACGTATAGTGGAGGACTGGAATGGAACTGTGGAAGAGATCAGGAAGATCGAGGGCTTCTCTCGCTTCCTGCTTCCCCCTTTGTTCTCCGATCTTCAAGATGCAGCTCGTGATGGGCCCATCATCATGCTCATCGCAAGCGAATCGTCTTGCGATGCCATTATCATCCCGCACAAGCAACCTCCCACCAGCATTCAACTCCCTACCGATATTCAGCAACTCGCCAAATTGCTGCTCACATTCCGAGTTGCAATTGACAAAGAGACTGGGCACCAACGAGCGCTGATGGAAGCTTTGAACGACTTGTGGAACAATGTTGTCGGCCCAGTGGTCGAGAAATTGGGCAAATTAGTACGACTAGGTTCCCGAATATGGTGGTGCCCGACATTCCTCTTCAATTTCTTGCCGTTGCATGCTGCTCGCGAGTACAGAACTGGGGGAATGTCTCTTTCGCAGCTGTATATCTCTTCATACACCCCATCTCTCACCGCGCTGATCAAGGCTCGCGCAAGTCGTGACAGACCCACGTCGGTGCCATTCGTCGCCATTGGTCAGAATCGCCCAGCCGGCGTCTCTTTCACTTTGGATGCTGTGGAGCCTGAGTTGGAATTGGTGCGGAAACTTTTGCCTCCTCCCCCAACTGTCTCCTTCTCCAAGATAACCAGCGTTGATGCCACAAAATCGAGAGCACTGTGCGCATTGCGCGAACACACTTGGTTCCATCTCGCATGTCATGGAACGCAGAGATTTGACGAACCCTTCCAGTCGGCCTTTCTTATGCGCGACCAGCCTCTTTCGCTCCTTGATATTGTGCAAATGGATCTGTCTCAGCATAATTTTGCCTTTCTTTCTGCCTGTGAAACCGCCGTCGGCGACTTCAGTACGCCCGACGAAGTGATACACCTAGCGGCTGGCCTGCAATTTGCTGGGGTTAGGAGTGTCGTCGGGACGTTGTGGAAAGTCAACGATGATACTGTGCAGCGCTTAGTCAAGGCATTCTACGAAAAGTTTTGCGAGGGTGGCCCAATGAATCCCAGACGAGCTGCCCGAGCGCTGCACCGAGCGGTCCAGTCGTTGGCTAGCGACGTAGACATACCCTTGGCCCAGCGCATAGTGTTCGTGCATATTGGCATATGATCAATTTCGTGCGTCCTCCCACCTTGTTGATTAAAGCATTCTTGAGACAATCTGACGACTTCGCATCTAGTCATGGCCATGCGCAACCTATTGCCAAGGACTTCGATATTCCGTACTTTGAGACTGTATACCTACGCGATATGTACACCCAATTTTGACTTGAATCTCATTTCGTAATTTGTTGCTTCGGAGCCGGGGGTGATCGCTTCTAAGGTGCAAATCCTGATGGTTTGTGCGAAGCTGCACAACACTGATCTTGCGTAACACTTCATGTGGCAAGACGCACTTTGCGATGAACATGATAATCAAGTGTCTGAATTGCCTGAGGGCGTTGAATGCATTCCCACTCATCATGCAACAGCACAATCCAGTGCTTATGAAGAGCTTCACACTGGCAGGATACGGACACCAAATGAAGACAAGTACTCGTTCGTTATGTTTTCGGAATTGATACTAAAAGTGTTGAAGCTCGCGAGAGAGTCGACACTTGCGTTCATGACCTGATTTTGAAAACCTCCATTGATTTCTGACACAGATTCCTGAACTGCCGTTCAGTACGAGCAAAGAAAGCTTTTATGCAATGGCTGTAGATACCGTCAATCCTGTAGCAAAGATCATCTCTATACCATCTCGATCCCACAATACCACATTACAGGCTACTCGCTGCTTCAGGGAAATTTGTTCTAATCGCGCTCCCGTTTAGACAGCTCGAAAAGGGTCGTTAAAATGCTTTCCATGTGCTTGCGTATACCGTCATGGAAACTCTGATTAGTGATGAGTTGTTCCACGTTGCCGATGACAGACGCTGCCTGTTGCACGAGACCGAAATCGACATACCTGGAGAGTAATCATATGAGCGACGAGTGGTCAAAGGGACGTTACTCACATGTCGTCATAATAGCTGTGGGGTCGGTATTAAGCCTAGCTCATTGACAATCGCCACCTTCACTCACGTTGCAGCGTTTACTTTTACTTGGTTCTTTTTCAGGGCCTCTTTGTCGTACAACATCGGCCAATCTTCATCATAAGCCAACAGTTCAGCCGCGCCTCGCAGGGGACGTAGATGATGATAGTCCTCGAACATGTCGGGGAATATCTGTCGATGCATGGATCCAATCTCAGCATCTGAATAAAGCTTGAATGACCATGGACGTACCATCTCCCCCGTGAAGTAAATGGGGACGTCATCGGACATGAGCCTCACTTTTTCCCACACAAACCTGTCGTTCTTCTGGATGACGCGCTGTGCAGACCAGCCTGCCCTCCGCCTAATACAGAGACGATCGGTTGATAATGCCTCGCGAATGGTGGGAACTCACCCTTGGCAGTAGATAGGCTCGTGAAGCACTGCGTAAATCGGGTTGGTGTCAAAGCTCTGTGTTTTCTGTATACTGTCGATAAGCCCATATGAGAGCTTCCCAAACGTGTCCAAGTCTGTGATCGCTCGGAACACGAGCTCTGCACTTATGAATGAGCCCTCGTTGGCGAAGTGGAAGCAAAATTACATACGATGAACCCGATCGATGCCACCTGAGCATATAATATGAGAAGCCATACTTTCGCAGTAAATCGAAACCTACCATGCGATCCAAACTGCAGGCCGAGTTGTAGCCACCGCGAGACCGTCAGATTCCCGCCGTTCGGAATGACTACGTTGTTGCCCTCTAGGAAACCTAAGATCCGACGGACCTGTAGTAGATCAACAACTTGGTGGAGGTAGACTTGTCTGAAATTCGAACATTTCGAACATCTTGAGGATACTTCGCATAGTAAACCCTGTTTCGTTCTTCCACCTTCACTGAACAAACTGTCAGTTAAAAAGAGGGTAAATGGTTAGGCGCTTACCAACGAGGGCCTCGTAAACTGGGTCGGGAGAGTCGACCATGGGTGGGATGCCACCAGCGATGAAGACCTCCTTTAGGCCATCGCTGTGAAATGAAAGGTAGGTTGCGGCACAGAAGCCTCCGAAACTTTGTCCGAGTATTGTCCATTTACGTGCTTCAGGATCTTTCTTGCCATCGAGGAGAAAGTGTCGAATGGTCTCACAGTCTCTGACTATCTTTCACGTGAACACCAGCGATCCTTAGCGTTACGGGGAAATGCCCACCAATATTATCTGCACGGAAGTGTTTGAGATACTTGGCAATGGCCTCGTCGTCCATCTGTTTCGTCTGGAAGATGTCTGCCGTTATTGGCGTGCTCAGGCCAGTCCCACGAGGATCAAGCCAAAGGGTCTGCGATCGTCAAATGGCAAACCTGGATGAGCGAGGGCTGATGACATTGCTTGCCTGGTACTTTTTCTTGTGAAGCTTGCTCATAGTAGATCGTTAAGTCTTGCAAACCCTCTCGTGAATGAGGACAGAACGACGATACCGCATTCCCCAAGTCTACGCTGAAAGATAGATCGACACCGAATCCTGGACCACCTACACAACGCAGAAGTCGACTATGATCGCAACCGTTTCGAGTCATAACGAATTACCTTGCAGATACAAGACTGGTGTTTGCGAGTGATCAATATGCACTCGATCCTTGTAATCGGGAATGACATACGATAAGGCAAATCCGACTCTGCAGCGTCTATGCCAGATCCTTTGGCTTCATCCAAAGGAATAAGATTGCGTAAAAATATTCGTATGTGCGGACCATCTGGTTCGGCGTAATCCACGGGCACAGAAAAAGAATCTATCGATAACCTTGATCGAGCCTGAAATTCAATGCATAAGCCCGTCTACTTCAGAATCTGAATATGGTTCCACTGACCTTTGAGTATGTACGGTTCCAGCTGTGTGACTTGTAAGTTCATATTGCCGGGTCTTTGAGTGGAGGTCAAGAGACTGAACTAGAGACAACGCCACCAATGCAATTGACCATTGTTGCCTATGTCTGATTGACAATGATAAGGTCACGTTTCATTAATTTCATTGTCCTGCTTAGACTCATAAGTTCCAAACCTTTCAACCGAGCTTCAGACCGATTTTCAAAGCCCTCGAGTTGTAGTGGAGGAAGCCGGATTTGGTAGGCTTGATAATAGCAAAACTGTTGGAAACAGCCCCGTGATGAACGTTTGAACATCGAGGCAGCGGAGCAATGATCCCCAGGCCGATCACGCGCACGAACCGCCGGCAATGGCCTGAAATGTATCACGTCTATTTTCTCAGGGTTAAACTGCTGGTGGAACCATCGTGACTCTCAGTGTCATCCTCGGACCGCAGAAACCTCTTTCATATGTATCGATGCCACTGGATGGTATTTGTTAACAGGGTTCAACTACCACGTACCACCAACAACAAGGTAAGCCATCCAGAATACTTGTCACTTGATGACAAACTTGGACGTTGACATCGGATAGCAATTGATATAGGTCAGACATTGCAGGTGTGGTCGACACCATATGTTCTTCATTGAAAGTTTGAGGAATCTGGAGCTTGACTTATCAATGGGAAGAATGGGCGGGAAGAACGTACCGTCATTCCCGGGGCCCGGACATATCACCATGCGACTAAAAGTACCTTCTCTCATGCTTGACCCCTCTTAAGATAAACGTCAACGTCCACTGGCGTTATCATCCACCAACGAAACCCACCCACCATCACTTGGAAGCCACAAACCACATAAATCCATGTCCTCACTCAAAGTAACTGAAGGCGAAGCCAATTTCAACGTTCCTGGTGCAGGCAAGCCTTGCAAAACTTGGTACAAAGTGTACGGTGCTCTCCCTCATCCACGCAATCCGCCTCTTGTAGTACTTCACGGCGGTCCCGGTTCGACCCATGAATACCTCGACATTCTCTCCGAGCTCACGCGTCTCTTCGACGTACCTGTCATACTTTATGATCAACTCGGCAATGGACGCTCCACGCATCTTCCAGAGAAGAATGGAGACGTAGACTTCTGGACTGTGCAGCTCTTCGTCGACGAGCTACACAACCTCCTTAACCATTTAAACATCCATGACAACTATAACGTACTGGGGCAGAGCTGGGGAGGGATGCTGGCATCAGAGTTTGCAACGCGCCAACCAAAAGGCCTCGGGAAACTGGTGATTGCTGATTCGCCAGCGAGTATGGCGCTGTGGGTTAAGGCTGCAAATGAATTGAGGAAGGGGTTGCCGCAGGAAGTACAGGATGCGTTGAATAAGCACGAGGCGGCGGATACGACAACAGATCCAGAGTATATTGCCGCAACGAACGAATTTTACAAGCGGCATTTGTGTAGGCTTGACCCGATGCCCCAGTCCTTGGTGGACGGACTGGCATGGATGGAAAAGGATTCAACTGTGTACTCCACCATGTAGGTGTTTCGTCCATCTGTGTCAAGCATCTTCAACCTTCGGAAAACAGGAATGGGCCGAATGAATTTTACATCACGGGCTCTCTAAAGACATGGAACGTGATTGATCGGCTGCACAATATTCAGGCGACGACATTGCTCATCAACGGAAGGTACGATGAAGCGCAGGACATGGTGGTGGAGCCCTTCTTTCAGCATATCCCCAAGGTACGATGGGTACAATTTGCGGACTCGGCACATGTCCCGCAGCTGGAAGAGACGGAAAGGTTTATGGAAGTGGTGTGGGCCTTCTTGCGTGGTTGAAGCGAATGGAAGTAGAGAAGCAGCGTAAAAGAAATGGTGATGTGGAGCAAAGTGTATGATACAAGTCGATCATGAGTGCAAGGTATAATATCCATGGATTGAAATTGCAAAGCCTCCGAATTGAAAATCGATCGCAACGGTCCAGCTTTTGATATGCTTGAGCACTCACTTCGTTAATCTCCCGTCACATCGAGGATTCTGATATTGGAAGTACCTTGACTTGATTGCGACACTCGTTGCAAAGACATGTACAGTCCTGTGCCTTCAAGTTCTCGCGCGACAGATTGTCCAACAGTACAGGTCGCAATCACATGCGAATTCGTGGAATGCACTGCTCTTCAGCCTCGCCGTTTTAGGCCTAGTTCATCGTGCCCTCAGACTGCTCGTTTCTAGAACCACTGGCGGCCGAATAGTACATTCTTCTATCACCGTTTGCGACTATATCGCAAGCAACCTACTAGCATTCAATGAACTTATCAGAATCTAGTGCAGACACTTGAAGGTTCATCTACCCACCTCCAACATCCCTGGACCTTCGTACTAATGCGGCCGCCCAGGATGCAGATCATCATCATAATCCTTTGCGACCGTGCCACTTCCGCTCCCAGCACAGGATCAGGAAGTATGGCAAAGACAAGACATCTTCTTTTGTTTGATTGAATCCTTATCGGCCTCTCACCTTTCATTGCCATGGTTGGGAGTGGGTTCTTTGTCCCATATCTCAAAACCCTTGGGCTTTCTGTTTTAGGGGGCTTCTATCTCGGTGAGTTGCTGTTCGTCTCGCGTGGGGCTTTTTGCAATTGCATCCAGCTATGCTCCGGGATGCGTATGATAGACTACTGTTTTTTCTTGTTCGACTCAGATCCGGGTATGCTCCTGTACAAATCTGACGACATTAACATCATTACTGAGGTTATGGAAGGCCCAATATTTGGCAAGCAACTTGTATCCCATTAACTCATCGGCGCTGCACAGGATGGATGCCACGTGCATGCTGTGTTCCCCTCCTTTATAATCCTTCAAAACTTTGCAGGTACAGCAGTATTTCATGACCAGTGTTCGTTTGAATACATCCCTCAGTCATCATTTTCATAATGGCTCATCGTCGATGTGTCTCTTCAACCTCATCAGAATTAGACTTGTCTTCATCATCGTCGCTTAGAACTTCCCCAACTCCTCCATTAGAGATATCCTGTTCGAGTACCGAGCCCTTGAAAGGGATAAAACGTAAGCGTAAGTTGTCAGGCAGCGATGATGACAAGAGTTCAAAACGTCTACGATCGTAAGTCGCTGCGTTGTATACCACATGTATAGACTTATTTTCGCATTTTCAGGCAAAAAGAAGATAAGTAAGTATATCAAGCAATTGTTCATCTAAATGCATGACAATGTGCTTATTATCTAGTGAGGAGCCGAACGACCCAGACCACACCCAGGACCTGGCAGAGACGCACCTCAGTGGAGTGCAACCAATCATCACTGGTATGCAATATCCATCTCCGCTCAGCTCGTATTGATCATTTCCCTCAAGCCATTCGCGCGACTGATCTCGCTCTTGGCCTCCGACGGATCCCCGCTGGCTTCCATGCAGTGATCAAGGCCGACGACCTTGAATACCAGACAAGCAATATATCTGTAAACGTAGACCAGGCTGTCGTCGAATGGCACGAGCGCATTCCTCTGTACGTCATCTTCAACCCGTCTGCTCTGCAGGTATTGAGAAAGACTCTAGGCCGCGCGAGCCATGTTCCAAAGTCCGGGTCAGCCTGTATGCCTCATTCGAATTGGGTCCCATGCTCTGTCACGGAGAACTCCTCCGCACGTTCGAGATCTCGGTCGGAGAATTAATGGATCGCAGCGAAAAATTGCATCGTCAGTACCGTCAATTGCACATGATGCCCGAGAGATGCTAACGAGCTATCACAGCCATAATATTTCAGCCAAAGCAGCAAGAAGTCGTATCCGCTTGTACTTCACTTTTCTTGACAGTGGAGCAGCAACTTTCTGATCAAAACGACGCCGCAGTTCTTTGCCCCCCTACTACTGTGAGCGATCAATGCAGTCTGGCATTCTGATACTGAAAGCCGTAACTTGTAGCCTGCATCCCGCGATTTAGATGCATTAGCGCTGAGGACGGATGCCGGACATCGTCTTCTCGCACAATACCGTAGAGCCCAGGATAGCAGGGATCTCGAGCAATCCATAAACCACTTCGAACACGCCTCAGATATCTGCCCCGTGGACCATCCCTGCCGCCCTGCAGCGCTGTTCAATCTCGCCAGCGCAAAGCTTGTGAGTTGCCAAGCTGAGGGAAGATACCTCGACCTCGACGTCCCTGTCTCCCTGTTCGAAGGCGCCCTCGAATTGCGTCCCACCGGTCATCCTGACCGAACGGTCACGCAGCTGCATCTTGCGGTCGCTCTGCTCTCGCGCTTCGCGAAACGGGGATTTCAAACGGACGCTGATGCAGCCAAAGAGTTCCTGGGCGAAGTGGTCAATGTCTGCCACGCCAACAGCCACATTCACAGAGCGGCTGCGATTGCGATGGAAACATGCGCTCTACATTCTGCTAGAGGCATTAATGCAAATGATGTTGGGCAGGAACGGCCCGCCCCATCCAGGCTTCCGTTATCGCCGAATCAACTTTTTGATCAAGCACGGCGGTGTCTGGAGAGAGATGAACCTAGTGCCTTAGATGAAGTAATATCCCTTCATTATGATGCACTGGGATACTACAACGCCGGGCATGTTTGCCGAGGGCAATTGTTAGGCAATCTAGCTGTAATGCTGCAGACTCGCTTCGAGCGTCGAGGCAACGACAAAGACTTAGATCAAGGTATCGCACTTCAGACGGAGATGCTGGCTTTGTGCCCGGTCGGTCACACAGATCGGTCTGCGTCATTAAACAACCTCGCGAATAAACTCTCTTCCCGCTTTCACCACCGAGGCAACGACGAAGACTTGGATCAGGCTATTGCACTGAACAGGGAAGCCCTGGCTTTGCGCCCGGTCGGTCACACAGATCGGTCCATGTCATTAAGCAACCTCGCTCTTCAACTCTCCTCCCGCTTCCACCACCGAGGCAACGGCGAAGACTTGGATGAGGCTATCGCACTGAACAGGGAAGCCCTGGCTTTGCGCCCGGTCGGTCACACAGATCGGTCTGCGTCATTAAACAACCTCGCGAATCGACTCTCCTCCCGCTTTCACCACCGAGGCAACGGCGAAGACTTGGATCAGGCTATCGCACTTCACAGGGAAGCCCTGGCTTTGTGCCCGGTCGGTCACACACGGTCCAAGTCATTAAACAACCTCGCGAATCAACTCTCCTCCCGCTTTGACACCGAGCAACGGCGAAGACTTGGATCAGGCTATCGCACTGAACAGGGAAGCCCTGGCTTTGTGCCCGGTCGGTCACACAGATCGGTCGCATCATTAACACCTCGCGAGTCTACTCTCCTCCCGCTTTGACCACCGAGGCAACGGCGAAGACTTGGATCAGGCAATCGCACTAACAGGGAGCCCTGGCTTTGCTCCCAGTCGGTCACGCAGATCGGTCCATTTCATTAAACAACCTCGCTCTTCAACTCTCCTCCCGTTTTGACCACCGAGGCAACGGCGAAGACTTGGATCAGGCTATCGCACTGAATAGGGAAGCCCTGGCTTTGCGCCCGGTCGGTCACGCAGATCGGTCCATGTCATTAAACAACCTCGCGACTCGGCTCTCCTACCGCTTTGACCACCGAGGCAACGGCGAAGACTTGGATCAGGCAATCGCATTTCAGAGGCAAGCCCTGGCTTTGTGCCCGGTCGGTCACACAGATCGGTCTGCGTCATTAAACAACCTCGCGAATCTACTCTCCTCCCGCTTTGACCACCGAGGCAACGACGAAGACTTGGATCAGGCAATCGCACTAAACAGGGAAGCCCTGGCTTTGCTCCCGGTCGGTCACGCAGATCGGTCCAAGTCATTAAGCAACCTCGCGAATCGACTCTCCTCCCGCTTTGATCACCGAGCCAACGGCGAAGACTTGGATGAGGCTATCGCACTGAACAGGGAAGCCCTGGCTTTGCGCCCGGTCGGTCACACAGATCGGTCTGCGTCATTAAACAACCTCGCGAATCTACTCTCCTCCCGCTTCCACCACCGAGGCAACGGCGAAGACTTGGATCAGGCTATCGCACTTCACAGGGAAGCCCTGGCTTTGTGCCCGGTCGGTCACACACACCGGTCCAAGTCATTAAACAACCTCGCGAATCAACTCTCTTACCGCTTTGATCACCGAGCCAACGGCGAAGACTTGGATCAAGCTATCGCACTTCAGAGGGAGGCGTTGGCTTTGCGCCCGGTCGGTCACACAGATCGGTCCATGTCATTATACAGCCTCGCGAATCTACTCCCCTCCCGCTTTGACCTCCGACACGACAGAAAAGACCTAGACGAGTCACGAGAGAACCTACTCTGTGCATTGACGTTGTTGACGCAGCATGATCCTCGTCGATCGATGGTCCATCAATCTATAGCTAACGTCTATCTATCATTTCATCGTTCAGAGCTTGACGGCACCGGCGCTGGCTCAAATACAGATAGTCTGAATGCTGCCATGCATCATTTTAAGGCAGCAACAAATATTGTCCCTGCAAGCTTGCTCTCCCGCCTGCGGGCAAGTCTAAGTTGGGTGCACCATGCTCGTCAACATTCACATGGTACTCAACTAGAGGCTTACATGACTTCTATGCAACTTCTGGATGCTTACATGTCTGTGACGGCTTCCATATCATCTCGCCATAATGCCATGAAGGGATTCCCAAGTACACTCGCCGTGGATGCTGCATCGTGCGCTCTTCGTAGTGGCGACGTGGGTCGCGCTGTTGAGTTGTTGGAGCAAGGCAGGACCATCATCTGGACCCAGATGACTCGACTCCGCATGCCTCTTGATGGGCTCCAGACTCGCGGCGATCATGCAGCGACTTTGATGAAGACATTCACAGACCTTAGCTCCCTCCTTGATAAACCTCATCCAAGCCATCCAGAAGGGACCCCAACAGTCGATGTGGAAGCAGAGGCCACCCGGTACAGACGTATAGTGAAGGACTGGAATGGAACTGTGGAAGAGATCAGGAAGATCGAGGGCTTCTCTCGCTTCCTGCTTCCCCCTTTGTTCTCCGATCTTCAAGATGCAGCTCGTGATGGGCCCATCATCATGCTCATCGCAAGCGAATCGTCTTGCGATGCCATTATCATCCCGCACAAGCAACCTCCCACCAGCATTCAGCTCCCTACCGATATTCAGAAACTCGTCAAATTGGTAAACACATTCCGAGAGTCAGTTGAGAAAGAGACCGGGCACGCGCTGATGGAAGCTTTGAACGACTTGTGGAACAATGTTGTCGGCCCAGTGGTCGAGAAATTGGGCAAATTAGTACGACTAGGTTCCCGAATATGGTGGTGCCCGACATTCCTCTTCAATTTCTTGCCGTTGCATGCTGCTCGCGAGTACAGAACTGGGGGAATGTCTCTTTCGCAGCTGTATATCTCTTCATACACCCCATCTCTCACCGCGCTGATCAAGGCTCGCGCAAGTCGTGACAGACCCACGTCGGTGCCATTCGTCGCCATTGGTCAGAATCGCCCAGCCGGCGTCTCCTTCACTTTGGATGCTGTGGAGCCTGAGTTGGAATTGGTGCGGAAACTTTTGCCTCCTCCCCCAACTGTCTCCTTCTCCAAGATAACCAGCGTTGATGCTACGAAATCGAGAGCACTGTGCGCATTGCGCGAAAATACTTGGTTCCATCTCGCATGTCATGGGACGCAGAGATTTGACGAACCTTTCAAGTCGGCCTTTCTTATGCGCGACCAGCCTCTTTCGCTCCTTGATATTGCACAAATGGATCTGTCTCAGCATAATTTTGCCTTTCTTTCTGCCTGTGAAACCGCCGTCGGCGACTTCAGTACGCCCGACGAAGTGATACACCTAGCGGCTGGCTTGCAATTTGCTGGGGTGAGGAGTGTCGTCGGGACGCTATGGAAAGTCAATGATGATACTGTGCAGCGCTTAGTCAAGGCATTCTACGAAAAGTTTTGCGAGGGTGGCCCAATGAATCCCAGACGAGCTGCCCGAGCGTTGCACCGAGCGGTCCAGTCGTTGGCTAGTGACGTAGACATACCCTTGGCCCAGCGAATAGTGTTCGTGCATATTGGCATATGATCAATTTCGTGCGTCCTCCCACCTCATTGATTAAAGTATTCTTGAGACAATCTGACAACTTAGCATCTAGTCATGGCTATGCGTAACTTATTGCCAAGGACTTCGATATTCCGTACTTTGAGACTGTATACCTACGTGATATGTACACCCAATTTTGACTTGAATCTCATTTTCCAATTTGTTGCTTCGGAGCCGGGGGTGATCGCTTAAGGTGCAAATCCTGATGGTTTGTGCGCAAGAATGAAGTTGCACAACACCGATCTGGCATAACATCTCATGTGGCAAGACACACTTTGCGATGAACGTAATAATCGAGTGTCTGAATTGCGTAAGGGCGTTGGATGCATTCCCGCTCATCAGGCAGCTCCAAAATCCAGTGCTTATTTTGAAGACTTCCATTGATTTCTGACACAGATTCCTGAACTACCGTTCAGTACGAGTAAATAAAGCTTTTATGCAATGGCTGTGGATACCATCAATCCTGTAGCAAAGATCATCTCTATACTATCTCGATCCCAAAATGCCACATCGCAGGCTACTCGCTGCTTCAGAAAATTTGTTGTAATCGCGCTCCCGTTTGGACAGCTCAAAAAGGGTCGTTAAAATGCTTTCCATGTTCTTGCTTATACCGTCATGGAAACTCTGATTGGTGATGAGTTATTCCACGTTGCCGATGACCGACGCTGCCTGTTGCACAAGACCGAAATCGACATACCTGGAAAGTATTCATATGAGCGACGACAAAGTGGTCACAGGGACGTTACTCACATGTCGTCATAATAGCTATGGGGTCGGTATTGAGCCTAGCTCATGAATAATCACAACCTCCAGTCACGTTGCAGCGTTTACTTTTACTTGGTTCTTTTTCAGAGCCTCTTTGTCGTACAACATGGGCCAATCTTCGGCCGCGCCTCGCAGGGGACGTACATCATGATAGTCTTCGAACATGTCGGGGAATATCTGTCAATGCATGGATCCAATCTCAGCATCTGAATAAGGTTCCCAAACCTGTCTAAGCCTGTGATCGCTCGGAACACAAGCTCTGCGCATATGAATGAGCCCTCGTTGGCGAAGTGGAAGCAAAATTACATACGATGAACCCGATCGATGCTGCCTAAGCATATAATATGAGAAGCCATCCTTTCGCAGTAAATCGAAACCTACCATGCGATCCAAACTGCAGGCCGAGTTGTAGCCACCGCGAGACCGTCAGATTCCCGCCGTTCGGAATGACTACATCGTTGCCCTCTAGGAAACCTAAGATCAGACGGGCCTGTAGTTGATCAACAACTTGGTGGAGGTAGACTTGTCTGAATTTCGAACATTTCGAACATCTTGGGGATACTTCGCATAGTAAACCCTGTTTCGTTCTTCCACCTTCACTAGACAGACTGTCAGTTAAAACGAGGGTAAATTGCTAGGCGCTTACTAACGAGGGCCTCGTAGACTGGGTCGGGAGAGTCGACCATGGGTGGGATGCCGCCAGCGATGAAGACCTCCTTTAGGCCATCGCTGTGAAATGAAAGGTAGGTTGCGGCACAGAAGCCTCCGAAACTTTGTCCGAGTATTGTCCATTTACGTGCTTCAGGACCTTTCTTGCCATCGAGGAGAAAGTGTCGAATGGTCTCGCAGTCTCTGACTATCTTTCACGTGAACACCAGCAATACTTAGCGCTATGGGAAAATACCCACCAATATTGTCTGCACGGAAGTGTTTGAGATACTTTGCAATGGCCTCATCGTCCATTTGTTTCGTCTGGAAGTTATTGGCGTGCTCAGACCAGTCCGTAAAAGAAATGGTGATGCGCGCAGTGTATGATACAAGTCGATCATGAGTGCAAGGTGTAATATCCATGGATTGACATTGCAAAGCCTGCGGCTGCAATTCGATTGCAACAGTTCAGCGTTTCATCTGTTCAAATTCTGTTGAGCACTCACCTTGCCCGCAACCCAACAAGCATGTTTTTCACATGACACGCCTATCTAGAAGCGTCTCGTCCAGTACTAATCACGTGACATATGCACACGGTCGCGTGTCACTAATTTGGCGACGAAGTCACGGTTGAAGTTTAAAATTCTCACAAGTTGCTTCGAATTCTTGGTTAAAATCCGTTCTGCGACCTTTGCTTGACTCTCTGTTACTCACAGCTCTCATTTCCTATATACTGCGGTCCAAAAACTCCTCGATCTGCCCGCGAGGCAAGCTCGAATTGATAACTTTGTTCGAATAGCATCTACCATCCATGGTAGGACTCACACTGTATGACGTTCTTGCGATTCCAACTACCGCCTCTACGGATGATGGTTTGCATCAATCTAATCTACTTTGCCACTCTGATCTTGACCTCCAATCACAGTGAGGAGGGCATACAAACAGAAAGCTCTTGAAACGCACCCTGACAAGCTTGAACCCAACGTGACGGAGCAAGAGCGCCGCGCTGGAGAGGGAAGGTTTAGAAATGTATGGGTGGTCTGAGCTTGGTGCGAGTGGCTGCTTGATGCTGATGCTGATGATATTATTTTGTTGCAAGGTATGCGAGGCATTTGAGGTGCTTAGTGATCCAGTAAAAAGGAAGGTGTGTCTTGAATCATGCTTATGCATGTGTTGAAATCATGGTGTCGACTTATTTTATCGTTTTAGGCCTACGACGACCGCATCCAGCTTGCTGAGAGGAACAAGAAACATTGGGATGAGCAGCATGATAGGCGCGTCAAGACGCGCGAAGAGTGGGCACGTCAAGTCAAGGAACGCAGCGAGGCTCGTATGAAAGAACGTGCAGATTTCTATGAGAATATCAAGCGTATAAAAGAAGAAAAGGAGCGATACATGGAAATGGTTGAGCTATTCTATCAGGAATTGCGCGACTGTCACCCAGAGTGGGAATTGAGGAGGCAGGCCGCACTACAGGTATGTGACATTTGTTTTTGCAAACATCTTTCAAATTGAGTGATCATTTTATATACAGTGGAAAGAGATGGCGGACAAAGGCCAAATACCACAACGACACACGACTCACATCTAGCGAGGCGAACTCAACGGATAGTTTGTTCGTTTTAGAAGCTATGTTGCTTTATTTATCTCCCAGCGCTGGAGTTTTTATTCGCGATACTGTTGTACTTCTATACTTTGCTTCCTTTTGCGATCCCTTCAAGTCGTTATTCGGTTCGTGTTCGTGTTTATTCATTTATTGATCTGCCCATGATTATATTTGCTAGTCTCCGTGGACATTTAGTTGCAGAATGTACATACGGAACTCCAGTCTGTCGAATCGATACAACCTCAATGTCATCACAACCCCAATGACTTCTGTCTACTCTTAGCAATCTTCCCTACATCATCCACCGCTCGTTTCAGCTCATGTAACCAGTTCTCGCTGTTCTTCGCGATACAGATCAGGCTTTCTGTCATGGGCTCGTTCAGCGGAAGCCCATCCGGATAGCTCTCCAAAGGATGTCCGAGCTGCAGCTTGTCCTCCATCTCCCTCGCGATTGCGGCCCTAGTTCTCCCGTTCACGAACGTGATGTACCTTAGTCCTGAGTACACGCGTTCATAACATGCGTTAAGGTGTTCTAGCCGTTTCAGCACCTCTGGGGGTGTCTCCAACCTTGTGGTAGCGGAGAGGCCACCGCTTTGCTCTTTAGCGCTTAACGCAGAGAGCTGTTTGATTTCCCCGATCCTCGGATGTGCGGCGATGAATTCGGCTTGTTCACGCGCATCCCACGCGTGGATGATGGCGATAGCGCGTTCGATGAGCGCGTTGGTGGGGTCTGAGGTTTCAAGAGGTGTATTCTGGATGGATTGGAAGAGCTCCGGGGCGAGCTTGGTTATCAAGATATCAGAATGCTCGAATAGCTGGGGGAGGATGCTCGCTATGTCATCCTGGTTTTCGTACATGTCGCGAACAGAGCGAGTCAAAAATCGGATGATAGATGATCCCTCAGTGACAATTCGTGGCGGTCAATGATGATCAGACGTGTGGATGAGTTGTCGTGCATGTGAAATGTAGCTAGGTCACCAGGTGCGAGGGATCAATTGCAGCTAATTGGGTCGTAATTTTACCATATTTGCAGGCCAAAACGTTGTGACTAAGTCGGGCCGAACCCCTAATCAGCTGAGCCATCGAGGGCATATATAATGATAGAACGCATCAACGTTCGTCGCGTACCGATTCACAGGCTTTCATCATTCTGCGCCACAGCTAGTCATGACCAAACCATTCGTTCTTCGCTGGGGCATTATCTCGACTGGCAGGATAGCCAATTGCTTCGTAACAGTGCGTTTGAACTGTCCGTCCATTTCACTTTCTAATTGAAAAGTTGATTAGGATCTTCTTGTCGATCCCGAAACGTCTGTGCCTCTCTGCTGTCCGAATCGTGAAATCAAATGACATTTGTTAAATACAGCCGTGATGTCACTGATGTGGCACACAAAGTGACTGCTGTTGGGTCGCGAAGCGTCCAGTCAGCGGAAAAGTTCATCACTGAATATGCCAAGGGTGATAAGTCGATTAAAGCATATGGAAGCTATGCTGGTGTCTTTGCAGATCCGGTGAGTAGGATACCCTCGAAGCAACAACCAAACTAATGCAACGTGGCGCAGAATGTCGATGCAGTTTACATTGGTTCGACTTAATTTCATATCTAGGTCAAATATCAACTTACCAGGCATTGTATAGCCACACCTCATACTCTTCACTATGAAAACGCGCTCGACGCGATCAAGGCAAAGAAACACGTTCTCTGCGAAAAACCCGTGACAACAAATGCAGCCGAACTTCGGTCGCTTCTTGCAGCTGCAAAAGAGCATGGAGTTTTCTTTATGGAAGCCCTTTGGACACGCTTCCAGCCTCTTACGCTCGAGGTGAAGAAAATTTCGGAAAGCGGTGTATTGGGTGCACCATTAGCTCTCCAAGCCGACTTGTCAGAAGACTTTAAACTTGACAGTCAGTCATGTTGTGTTGTGTTGTGTGAGGTCAGATCTCATGGAGCACACCAGAAATTCCCAAGACTCACCGTATCTTGGATCCTGCCCTTGGTGGTGGCGCGCTGCTAGATTTGTGAGTCTACAAGGTAAAACTTACAGCGGAGAATATTGATGTGAACTGTCGCAGGGGACCATATCCTCTTATTTGGGTACGGCACCGATTATCTTTGTTTTTATTCCTTTAATGACAGTCACAGGCCATTCTCGCCTTGTACGAGCACCCTTATAACCAAGGAGCTGCTCCCAGCAACGTCAGTGGAACAATGTTAAAAACCCCTCTGACAGGGGTCGACTGCAACACCTCCTTCACGGTCACATTCGCCAAAGGAAAACTATCTGCACAAGCCATCCTGTCATGCAACCTTAACGTGGCTTCCCATCATACCGGTGTCGTAATTCGGTATGAGAAGGGTATGATCACGATTGCATCGCCGATATACTGCCCGAAGAGTTTCACTGTGCAGTACCTCGAAGGCAACAAGGTGACAAGGGAAGAGACGAGGCGATTTGAGTATGTTGGCAATGGATGGCATTTTCAAGCAGACGAAGTTGCGCGGTGTGTGCGCGACAGAAAGAGTGAGAGTTCACTCTGGGGACATGATAAAAGCCTGGTAGAGATGGATATCTTTGACGAGGTCAGACGCCAGGGAAATTACAAGTTCCCCCCTGGTGTGGAGAAGGTGGTGTAATAGATTCAGATGTGGATTATTGAAAGCTTTGAATAATATTAAATTGCATATAGTTCGTTCGGAAGTGCACCTGCTGTGCGCCATGACAATTTACGGTTAAATTCGACTTGAATTCGATTGATCTAGCCTTGATTTTGCGTGCACGTGACGATCACGACGCGAGTCGCCGCACAACCAAACATACTAGCCAAAGCTTTATCGGAGCTTCCGAGATACATTTGCCCATCCAGCTCAGTTAAAACATCGTAACCGAATCCTCCACATTTATCTACAATGAACGCTATCTTTCTCGTTTCCACCACTGTCGCCCGAGTCATAATGACTGGCATTCTTTCGGCAGCCCTCTTCAACAAAACTGTGGTTCGTCACACCCGCCATGCCCTAAAGGAAGCAGAACAGGCTTCACCGAAACTCGCCGTCGTTACTTTATGCATTTCTACCCTAGCGCTTCTCCATGCATCCGATAGAATTGCTTGTGAAGTCATGGGGCTTACAGAGACCTGTCCACCGACTACTAGTGATGGGCGTTCCTTGGAAACCGCTCGTGATGATCCTCACTCTCCTGCTTTCTCGCAGGACGATACCGATGACTTCAAGACTCCTTTTTCATCGCCATCCATTTCATCTCCTGGGAACAGCTCAGACAGTATCGCGACACTCACCTCCTCCTCCACCATATCTAAGCTTGGCAACGTTTTCAGAGATATGACGCCCAGTCCTCCAGCGGCCAGTGCTAGTGATAGCGACGAAGACGTAGCGCTGCGCAAGGTATAGTTATTCCTCTTTTGAGCTAGAGGTTCTCGTAACATCATTTTCTTCTCAGTGGACAACGGAGACAGTGCCAGAGTTCAACACCCCAACGGCTCGTGCCCCTGAAAATATTCTCAATTCAATCATCAAGCGAATGAGACACCTCTCACTCTCAGACATCCGTTCTTTCCCCTCAACCCCGACCCGAGCTTGAGACCCTTGGCTGCCGTCAAAGCATCCCACCTCCCACCTTGTTATTCTTTGACTCGTTTGACATCCCGCACAAACTAGCTCGTGACAACGGCTTGCATTCACCCTTTCACAGAACTAGGCATCGAGGCTACCTCGCCCCTCTTCACCTTCAAACTCCTAGCACGAGGATGCGATTAGTAGTACCAATGGCAAAATAGCATAAAACCAGCTTCTCTTCGGGATATAGAGGGAAGTCTCATTTCCTTTTAACTTGTCTCATAACTTGATTGTGTACATCTTACACGCCTGTACTGTTCCACTTTGTTGTTCATCAATGATCATGGTATTAATCGTGATTCATCACAACTGCTTCGGCAACACCGGGGACTTCCCTAGATTCACGAGTAAACATATATCCAAAGCAAGCAAGAGTAGGGTAGAGCATTTGCTCATATAATTGGCAATGATCGTCTGATATTATAGCAACGGTAGACTTACCAGCTAGTGTCCATCCCTTGGACACCAGAGGGCAAGTGCACAGCGGATAAAATACAGAAGATCAGAATCAGGCGCTAGGGCGCCGACACCCACTAAAGTAATGCGTCTGGAACGTCCTAATGGTCTCCCGTAATTAGATCATCAGGAGTGGACGGTTCCTTCTTACTGATGGGAACACCCTAGACCACGACAAACGAAAAAATAGCATCCAACGTCGGCAAGATTCTGAATCTACCTTCGTTGACTGCGGCCTTGTCTGTCAATCGAGTGAGATTCTTGCCAAGACTTCTCTTCTTCGCTAGCAGACAGTGCAGCAATTCATGCGTAACTGTTTGGGGCAATAAATATATTGATCGCGTGCATGCAGATCATGGTCAAACCTCCAAGGGGCTGCGAATACCCAGCGGTAAGGAGAAATGGATATTGATACAGTGGTACTGCTGGCTGTAAATAACGAGGTGAGTTGGTGGTAAGTATAGGTAATGTGTGTGGGAGCTGCTATCGATCATCATCATCAGCATGATTCCACGCTCAGCTTGAACTTAAATACCGTGGATTTGAACTCTGTATACAAGGTTCGGAGGGGAACTATCAAGTTGCAAACTTGCACATACATGGATATATGAATTTCGATGATTAGTACTTACCATTGGGTTTGATGAGGTTCCCTGGTTGGCCGAGACCGTCGAACAATGCATAAGCTTAACTTTCGGTTAGATCGTCGCTTCCCAGACAAAATTCTTGAAAGTGATTCGATGCACCCTGGAAAATTAGCTGGATGAGTGGCGGTTCCTTTGATTAAATGACTCAATAAACGCGCACTTGTTACCTGCCAGATGGTCACATCATGGTTCATGCACATAACACAAGTCTCTCATGGACCACCCTCAAAATACTGATTAATTATGCATCAAGTTGCGAGACTCACGGACTTGCCAAGGGCAAGGCACATTATCAGTGATTTACGTAATAGAGTTGGTCGGCACCAGACGTAACTACCCGTATCTCGACTTTATTTTCTGCTAGGGATTGCGCAGAATACACAGGTCTTTCCTGAATCCGAGATCCTTAGCGAACTCGACATCTTGATCTGAGTTCCGGTGAGCCCGCCCGCTCCAGTCTTGAACACGAGTTCGAAGTTCACGCCGCAGTACTACTGGTGATATAGCAACCCTGAAGATGGGATTCAGACAAGGCGCTGTTCTTGCATCGTGCTCTTTTTTTCTTGGTGAGACTTGAACTCATGTTTCCGATGTACCTGACTCCATATTTCTGCAACAGGAGTCCTTTTCATATGCTTCTTCGTTGATTACCGCATTCTACATCAGAAATTGACAGAGGAAATTATTGAAGACGGCTTCCAATTCTATACAACTTTCTTCAATGCACCACCCGCAATTAAGGTTTGTTCCTTTGCGAGTGGTAATGTTAGGAGGTTGATGTTCATTGTCACAGGCGGTGCTACATGGCTTCATGGGGGTTGGCATTTTAGGGCTTGTTGCAAAACTGCACAAATATGATGAGAGCGCCATCTTCTTTGATGGATCGAGTCTGGGTAGGAGCCATTTCACTTGCTTCGATAAGCTGCTCAATAATGTGACTAGTGGCATACATTTTTGCAGTCGCTGTCTACCTTGCTGTGTCAGTTCCGTCTTTACGAACCATTGTCACCCCCGTAGATATCGATACGCGTGCGGACCGTATCGAAGCCCTGCGAATACTCTCAGCAGGCAACACCATCATGATGGTAGTCCTCGGTGCAATTCTTGTCCTCCAGGTAATCATCAGACAATTATTTCCTCTTCACTCATGACACTCGCTTTCCCGCGCAACGCTAGTCACCCTAATTTTTTCAGCTCTATCTGAAACATTTATATAACGTTTCCTGCCCGAAGGGCACATCGTGGAACTCTATTTCATTTGTTGTGCTACCCGCCTAATATCTATTTCTGACTTTGTTCTAACAGGGCGGACAGGAGTACGCACGCCGCGCAGAGGCTAAAGAGCTGGCGAAGATTGAGAAGGAGCTCAAGGCCAAAGGAACTCCTAGTGCTGGGAAAGACAAGAAAGAGTAGACGCCCTGCTGGCGTACGAGGCGAGGGGTCAGACGTTGCTTAGCCAAGGCGTTCCCTGAACTATGGACACTAGTGTTATTGTCAATCTAAATTCCGCACCTCGATTTTAAGCTTGGTGTCGAGCTATCTAGGAATTGGATGGTGGTACTTGAATAAATCATCGACACCAAGTGCTACTTGTAGTAGTACTTGTTGAAGTTTTGATTAGTTTGTGTATTAAAATTTTAGTGATGAACTATTATTTACTAATAATAAGTAAGCTCAGCGGATCGTGAACAGTCTTAGCATGTGATAACCATGTCGTTCAATGATTTTGGAGCCGCCATAGCCTGGGGCGAGCCTGAGCATCAACCTGGCGACATAGTAAAGGATGCGATACGGAAGGAGAGGATTCTAAAGTCAGTTTAACCTTCAACTTTCCATTCACTACTGTTTCTTATTGGCACCGTACAGAGAGATTGCAGCTGCACAGGGCGATTTGCAAGGTACTTGTTTCCTGGATTTCAGTTCATGCAGTCGCCAATCTCGCATCTTCAGCACTTGTTACACGAGTGCACAGCGTCCAATCAGACGTCGACAAACTTACGTCCGAGAACGCGACTTTGCAGATGTACATCGACAACCTAACCATGCAGATGGCAAAGAGGAAGTAATCTTTCCTATAACATTTGCTGTCCACGTATATGTGAGTCGTGATCGAGCCCTTATGCATCACCTGCGGTTAAACGTTCAATTTTTCATCAGACTATCATCACGCTTCACGATTCCTCTTGCACATTTATATCGCAGAGTACGGTACCCTTGGCCTGAATTAGAACTCCTGCGTTTTGCCGTCTAGCATGAGCTAGCCATATCTGTGGAACATGCTCGAATTCGGAACAGTGCATCTGACAAGCTGTAGACTCGCACTGCTTCGACCAAAACGTTCGCCGTGACGTAGAGGTGTTCTATCATGGCTATCCATAGCCAGGCCTGGGCTTCCTGATCGGACAATGCCATCGTGATTGATGCATTCATTCACGACAGCGATACGGATACGTACTTTCTCGGAAGCGTCATCTGTACCGTTTCCATTTAGAAGCCACTCATAATCGACCAATTTTATTGTGCGCAGCAGTGACATTTCCAAACAATGAAATTATTACCCTCAAGTGACCGACTCGGGGCCCGTTTGTCACCATGATTTGAAGATTTGGAGGTCTGGCCAAGCCCAGCGTTTGCTTTGTAACAATTGGTCCACCAGCCGGATGGTGATTCACATCACTATTGGACATGCCATTCTGTTGGCACGATTGCGCCTTGATACCAGGTTCAAGATTAAGCACCCTTGGTTCTATCAGTTTCGTCCTTGTCATCACTCCGCAGGCGAGCAATCTGATGCCTGATTCTTTAGTTTAATAACGGCGAAGTTGACTCTTGGGGCTGTGTAGGACTGTCACTTATCTATTCGAGCGGCGCTCTCGCTGGTAACCTGACGTGTCTTCTCCGACGTTTCGACTGTATCTGAGACGAAAATAAATTCCTGTTTTTGACAGACGGCGCCGGTTTTTTTCCGCAGATATGATAATTTTTCGAAGCCGTTAGTGCTGTTCTATTCCGTTAGGAACACGCTCTAGGATCCAGCTTGTAGTCCTATTCACTGCTAGTAACATCATTGAAGGTGAAATAAACGTAATAATGACCATTCCCCTGTTGTACCGTTGCCTGGCGAGTTGTTGGGAAATCCATTCTGTGATTTTGTATGTCAAGAAATCAGTAAGAGACCATCAGGCCTTCAGGGGTTCAAACTGTTGCATGAATTCTGATTTATGAATCACCTCACTGAGTCTCTCTTTTTTTTTTTTTTTTTTTTTTGGGCTCGTGCAAATTAATCAACTTTCATTTTGTTTCTCGATCGCTAGCTTCCGTATGTGCTGAACTCCTCCTCGCAGCATCGCAGAAAGCTTGAGACTTGAAATTTTATTCCTCGTTACACATCCCGCCTTCGGGTTGTCATCGTGTCAGAGTAGTGAAGGACTTGTGGCAGAGCTTCGAATGTAAACAAAGTGGCAAAGCTCATGCATATGCGTCACTGAAGAAAATATACAATGAGAGAAGTCATCTCCAGCTTCCTTCCATATAATAACAAGTGACTGTGCTGGATAGACACTAAATCCATAATGGTACGTCAAACGTTTGAAGAGCGGGCCTTCCTGGCGTCCCTCATTCACTCTCGCAATCTCCACCCCTTTGCATTCTAACACCATCCCGTCAACATCCAAAATCTGCATAGTTAGCTCCGCGTTTTACATACTTCTATTTATTTTTCCTATGCCTTGATACCAAATTACGCGCTTCCGTTTCGGATAGCCGCGCCGCCATATGTCCTTTGCTATACAGGTGGGAAGGATGTCCGGAACGCTGGAGCGCTTTGTGGGAACAACGGCGCGCGATATCCACCAAGTAGGGACTACCGACCTCGCCGTGCACACAGCAGATATCCGCGGGGCTTGGATGAGCTTGTGTGCGTTGGTCTCGGACTTAACCGTTTCCCTCGTGTTTTATGGGAAGATCAGCTAGAGTAGTGATGATAGTGATGGATCTATTTCGACGACAAATTAGCCTACAAAGCAACATTGCGACATTCGTTCTTGATGAACGAAATAATTAACCAAGGGTTGGGATCAGCTCCTAGACGTGCGATGTGGCTCCTTTGACCGAGGTCTGAAGCTCCAATCCCAGTAGCCGCACTAGCTTGGAACACGTCGAAATATACGGTTCGTGACGGCGTCGCCAGTAAGGGGGTTCGAGCCGTTGGGGATAAACAGTCCGCGTTCTCGTTCCATATATTTTTCGTCATCCGAAAGGAATTCATGCAATTTAAGCCACGAAGTAGAAGAGAATCCCAAGACGAAAGGCGCCATCAGCAATGAAATGAGAATCTTTTAGCCACAGGGAAGATTGACTGCAGCGCATCACTTGTTGGAGGTATTCATTGGAACAAGGCAGGCACGCGCACAAGTACATTCGGCTCTCGATAGAACTGCCATTCTGTCAAGACTCGAGAATTTAGTGTCACCCTGCGGCGCTTCGCGAACGGCATCCTCGGACTCGGAATTGGGAGAAGGAATGCCTCACGGCGAGTCTAAGGATAAGAGTCATATCAGGCAGATGAATTCCACGGCCGTCATTGGACATGAGAGTGGTACCAGTACACCATGTCCATGGATGAGTAATGACCTGAAACTGCCAGTGAGATCGTAAATGTGTGGCGAGCCTTGATATGTTCGGAATGTTCCTTAGGCTTAGCACAAGGTTAGCCGTCTTCTTGCAGTTCTTCAACTTCTTCTCAAAGGCCTGTGGCGAGGCGGCAGAAGGAGGTGCTGTGTTAAGTACAAAAGCAGACATAACCGACGGACTTAACAAATTCGGCGGGGGCAGGCGGCGGAGATTCCCTGGAAAATATTGCCACAAAGCTGTCGATGAAGCGACACTCCGCCATTACGGCAACTTCCCAAAATCATCCACCTCCAAAGCAGAAAAGTGGCAGCGGTAGCTCTGCAGGCCTTCACTGCTGTTTGATCCCTCACATCAAATTTCTAGCACTGCTACCCGATACTGATCAGTATTAGTCTGGGGATACACAGCACTCGTCGCTTGGATGTCGTTATCCAGAGTTGAGATTCTTCTCACTTGGTGCAATGAAAATGGTATCCAAATCGATCCCAGAATACAAGTTCGGGAAAGTAGAAACCATCAAGAGTTAGCCGATAGGACCGAAAGTTATTCCTCGCGTGGTTGCGGAATCAGCGTGTATTCACTTGAAGACTTCATTGATAGTTCCTGTTCCCGTGAGTGCTTAGTTTGCATATGCTGGATGGTTGCCATTCCCAAACCACTGCTTGGCTGCAAGTCTTGCAAGCCAAGATGCTCTTACAGTGGAGACCTTCTGTCGGTATTTGGTTTTGTGAATGCCCCGCCTTCTAGCGCGGAGGAGTCAGTCGAGAACCAAGATGTGAGACAGGCTCATACGTACGCCGAAATAATGGTGTTATTTCTTTTGAGACAATTTTATCGATCCCTTATTCTGACTTGGTTTATTGTTGGTATAGTCGTACGCATTCCGAAGGCAGCTATTCTCTCAACCAAGTCATGCTTCCTCTCTCAGGATATTACCTCTGTTCCATATGGCCACACTGCACATCTCGCACTGGCTCTCGCCGTGTATAGTGAGATGTACGTATTTTCTCTGCTTCTACAACTTTGTCTTCAACTTTTAGCTCACTCGCGTATTCTGCTCCGCTCCGTCACCCTGATTCACCTCGTTCTCACACTGCTCTCTGATGCCGCTTCTGTGCTCTCACAACCTTTCCGCAACTATACATGATGCAAAAATGACACCTGATCAAACGAACTAACCGGTTTCATGTCGCGTGGCATTTTGTAACTTTCCCTGGCGTTTTGATCTAAATTACTCCTGTCTGGATCCACCGTCTTATGCTATCTTGGGGTTCATCGTGCACCCATACTGCTTTTTTCGCCGCATTCCATGCTGTGGAGGTAGTTTGCGAGGCCAATATTCCAAATGGTTCGGATACCTCCAGAGCGTCCCGCGGGAAACTGTGGACATAGCCATATTTTGGGGTGCCAAAGACGTCATCGACTTCAAATCCTGTGTGTGCTCAAGCCGCGGAGACACAGTTCTCTCGCAAAGTGCCATTGGAGATCATGCTGGCAACGTTGGAGCGGCTTGCTCCAATACGGAATTTTCCGAATGTGGGCCATGCCTACAATACCTGGACGGTAAGCGAGCTCGAATGTGGCTTTCCTGCACAGAAGCCGAAAAGGAGCTGGATGGTCTAATGGTAAGTGCGTTGTCTCCGTTTTGGAGGATACTCTTCGTTCCGACAGATGTTTTATTCATTGGTCTTCTGCTCCACTTTCATGTTTGCTTCTTTTCTCAATTGATGCGTTATCCTTGTGAGACGAGATTGACTTGTGCGATGATCGATTCCGAGATTATCCATGATGTTATTTCCCAGTGGGGAAGTCAATTGAGAAGGGTAACACAGGATTGGATCAGCGTGGCATGACCGGGTACACCCATGATTAGTGATTGATGGATGTAGTGCATCTCGAGGCGGCCATGCTGTCCATATTTGGAAATGTACGTTGGCGGCTTGGCCGACTGATGCGCGTGCTCTACACGAGCTCGCTAGGTCATCATTTCCATTACCCTCCATCTTCGTGGATCACCCGCCGATGATCGGTGTCATTTTCCACGACCACTTATCCCTTTGGCTTCCATTCTCCCATATGGCCACGCGCGGTTTTTCCCGTCTATGCTAACTTTATGAATTCGGCTTATCTTCTGTGCAGACTGCCTTGCCAACATGCCTTTTCCTCGTGTTCTTGAAAAAGTATGTTTTGGCTCGATGTCACTTCTGGTTGCTAAATTGTTGTCGAGATTTTACTTCTCCTTAAGTCCTCAGATCTGCGACTCATAAAAGAGTCCTTCGCCTCGGACATGATCCATATTGAGGTGCCCAGACTGAGCATTGTTGCTTCTTGGCAAAATCAGTTCTTCAACGCTACTTGGTATTTGGTTCTGCTGATATTGGGGTACCATTTTAACGGCGTTACGCTTTGTCATGCCGGTTTTTATACCCTGTATGGTTACTCGAGTTTCGCTAAATGCGTCTATCAGACCCTTTACTTCTCGCAATCGATTCCCCCCCAATTCCTCTTCCTGTTCTTTGATTATCATGATGTATTCTTCCATTCTATTTCTGGCCTACCAATTTCACTCGGTCACACTCGGACTCCCTAGTAACTGATCACATTGACCCGGTAGGATGAAATACGTCAATACTACGTTTCCGTCGTGGAACCCACGCTACACGCAGCCTTTGGCAGACTTCGGAAAACGGAGGCCGAGCACAATGTCAATGTGGTATCAGGGGGTGGGATTCCACGTCTCGATGAATGCAGCAATGAGTTAAACTCAGCGGAACCCTCGCTTCCTGGGTTTTGTCACGCATACTCCCTCGTGTCTTCCCGCGCGTTTTTGGTGGATGCGTATCATGGTCTTGCAATGGTGCCCATTGCTGATGCGTGAGTGACTTTTGCTTTTTGAGTTTGGATCCGTTTTCAATGAATGAATGAATGAATGAATGAGCTCATGTATTGTGGAAGTCCTTTACGTTGGACCCACAATAGTACTAGAGCTTCATGGAGTTATCATTCGTCATATATAATTTCTGCTGTTGGCTACTTCCTTACCATTAGGTTGATCGTGTCTCCGTTCTCTCCCACTGGTAGCACAGTGTCATGCTTCTGATAGGCTTCGCGTGCCCCACACTGCATTGTCCTCCGGAAGCGCATCAACGACGATGCTTCTATCCGAGTTTCACCCTCGTTGGGGCCATCTGACTATCTATGATATGGGCATGCTTGTCACGACTCGCTAATCTAGAGGCTTCTGCCTCCCGTTGGTGCCAGTTCAGTTGTAGACGTTTTTGTCTCTCGCGGCATCCCGGCGGCAAGTCGTAATATGCTAGCACAACTCTAGTTTAGACTGGACCTTACTTACTCGCCGGCGGCTCTTTAATAGCTGACACTATGAAGCAAGTGTCATATCAAGACCTACAAGAGTCAAATTTCACGCATGACTTTTTAGTTGTTTTGGTTGGTCCCACGTGTAGCTTCTGCATGCCACGTACCATGCTGCTTTTTCTCAAACTTATCTTCTTTTGGCCTGGCTCGAATTTTTGCTTCCTCCACTAACAACGTTCTCAATAGCTTCAATCACACCAACGAGAACCATGTGCATATGGAGGTGGGTCTATCAACATTTGGGACATGGACTTGGGGAATCTGTTCCATCTTGATCCGACATGTCAACGACGCGGTCACGGGCCGCGTGACACCGTCGTCTTGCTAACACATGTTCTTCAACTTTTCTCTTTTTTTTCGCAAGGGATACAAGTTGACATCTTTGCTTTTCAGAGTGACTTTGATGTTTGTACCGAATGTGGATCTCTAGCGGAGTGTGACCATGATCGCGAAACTCTCCCTGCCGTTCCTTCCCGAGGAGGGGCCTATTCGCTTCCTGGAGTGTGCAGACCTGATTTGGCGCTAGAGATTGATGATACCCTTGACATGTGTTCTGTTAAGTCCATTCTACCTCATTCTGAGGTATTCAACACATACGGATCGCTTCCAAACGCCGAGCTCATTTCCAGGTACGGCTTCACCCTGCCGGAGAACGAATACGATATCGTTAGCTTAGGTTACGGCTCCTTCTCCGCCTTCATCAACAACCTCATAGATGTGGTACACTCTTCCGCCGACAGTGGTTACGATGCCGACATGCAGGGGCGTTTACAGATCCGAGTCAGGTACGGGAACAAGCGAATAGATCTGGTGGATAAACGGTCATGTTTTAATTCCAGAAACTTAAGTCTGCCTACGGACTTCCGTGCATTGAGTGGTGAACGCGAGATAGGTGAGTACGTTGTAGAACGGCATGCTCCGTATGTTTACCGCATCCGCGTAGTAGACGATTTCACGATCCGATTCTTACGAATATATTCGCATTTTGCCAGACATTGGACGACAGAACCCACATGGGACGAAATGGGTGACAATGGAGTAGTCTATAATTCTCCGTCGGCCTTGTCACCACGGTCCCTACGAGATGATCCAGATCCTGCTCTTCCCGAAGCCTTTAACATCAACAGCGAGGGAAAGCTGACTCATACACTGTGGCTTTTCTGCGTTCTATTTGCCACCTGCCATATGTTCGCCGGAATTCATGACAAATCTTGGTCACTCGATTTATCCGGATAACAATGAGCCTACGCATCATTCATTTGTGGAAGGCGTGAAACGCTACCTCATGGATGTACAGAATCATATTGACAATGCCAGGGAAACGGGGGATGATGACGAAGAAGTCTCGGTCTCTCCATGGTCGGACGCCCCCTCGGATACTCGGGACGATCCCTATTTCCATGTCCCTCAAAGCCTTGTGACGGCCGAAACCAAAACCGACATTGACGGAATATCCACAGACGAAAACAATGTTCTTGCCAGCGCAAAAGATAGTGCCTGTTTCATATCTAGTCTCGAGCCAATTAGTAGGTCTCTGGGCCTCGACCTGCCCATTGAAATTAGACCCGACGGAGACGCATATGTCCTTACCCATGCTTACACCGCAAGTGAGTCGATGTCTCCGTCATACGCGTTCATGCCGTATCAGTTCGAGCTCATACGTTGCTTACTAGAAGTGCCTTCGGGACCTTCAAGCGCCTCACAAGCGGTGGTCTGGAGCGGCCTTCGAAGAAGATCTTATGCGGGTGAAGAGCGGCCCAACAAACGTATACGGCATTCTAGTCCCTATGCCGTGGTTAGCCAGGAGGATCTGCCCTTCGATATATACGGCAGGCCAAGTACAGCCGCTCCGAGCGAAATGATTGTCAGCAGTGGAAATTCAGCTGCTAGTGCAGGACACGGAGAAGCGATAAACGCCCATCGGGTAGCACAAACGCTTGCTCTTATCGTGGTACACCTTTGCCAGCACAGGGTCGATTGTGCGCAGGTATCCGATGTGAACGCTGGAAGTTTGACTGCAGCGGAACTCGGAGAGCTCCTAGATGTGAGTTCCTAAGCATTTTCTTGGATTCTCAGTTCGCGGGGGGGCACGTCTCGCGAATTATTGGCATGCTGCCCTGTGTGGGTTCGCAGGTCATGGGGCTCGCCCTTATTTCTTGTCAGCGTCCGGGGGAGTTGATTGCGGAGAACAGTGCGTCAGAGAAGCGGCTTTTTATCTTCTTGTGTTGCGTCGTCATGGTCTCTGTGATTTGCGAGGATGGACGGCATGACAATTAAAACATGAGTTGGCAGGCTTCTCTTCATGTTTTTGTTTCCGTTTCATATTATCGTTGGCACGGTGAATCAATCTTCACACGGTCAATCCAGTGAAGCCTCATACTCTGCTCATTTGGGCAGGGTTGCCTATTACCTCCTTTTTACCAAGAGTTTGGCTCGAGCACTGCGCGTACTTGCCCCTTTTATCTGCAGGGAAACTACTTCCTGTGTGCCAGTTCCTCTCTGGGATGGCGCCTTGATCGGCGTTCTCTCTTCCTGTGGAGCTGTGGAGCGCGGCAGAAATTTCGGGATATCCTGCATATGCTCTCTTTTTGCTGACTTGAGCTACATGACGAGGTGGAAGCCCGACTTATTTTTGGTTCCCACCCTGCAAGCACAGCGCGTTCTACTTATATTTTTTATGATGGTGAACATGTCCTTGAATCTTGATTAAACATGGCTTCTCCATTGTTGTCCCAGAATGTACTTATCTCGAAACTTACTTCTCGTTCTTACATTGTTCGCTGAGGACGCTGGACCCATGCGGACCTACGTTATGTACCCAGCGCATAAGCTCATAGCCCACTTTTCGCCCTCTTTGCCGTTAAAAGACGAGTTGCTGAACCCCTGTCCTTTTGTCCTCAATTAGGTAACACCGATACATATGCATCGGACCCGAGTGGCAATGCTACTAGCGCTGAATGAGAAGTCTATTCTGGAGAGCTGCGCATCCACTTGGGGTGCTGTTCTGAAGATATCGACAAGGAATGACCACGCAAGCTCCAGCGGACCATATAGTTGACGATAAGGTATGTGTTGCAACAGCTATCAAGTCGAGCCTGATCCAGTTATTAGGAAGCTTCTGTGCGGGCAAGTACGTCCGCATGGGTTGTATTTAGGAAGAGAGATGCATGATAGGACGATACGCACTGCTGACTGGAGATAATACGGGGGAAGTGGGAATTCTAATTGAACATTGACATGATGAACTCCCTACGCGATGCACGAGAAGAAGCCAAGTCCATCAGATCTGCACATGGATGACAAGTTGAGCATGATCATCCGACGGAAGAAGCGTGACGCAGGAGCTATGCGCGCCTGTTCAATAAGATGTCGGGACCGGAAACATCTAGGGTGGTTCTAGTGAAGCTGAGTGAGGGCCCTGGGAGAACGTAAGGAGTTTAGCGAATGAGCTAATAGGTCACCCGACGATCAGACAATAGTCACAAACTCTCGTATCATATCACACCAATACTAAACTTCTCGTAGCATAGCAATGAGTCATATCATGAACCTCGAATCGTGACTCAGAATACGTATAGGGTTATATGGCGCTGTAGAGATCAATGGCGTCCCTGTAGCGCCACTTGGAAATGTGTTGGCTTTGAGGGTTCATGATTTGATGTGGCGGCGTAGTTTTGGGTGTGCAAGGAACATGCCGTTCATTCAGAGTGGGGGAACCGACGAGTTGAAACTACTAGTAGCTGTGCAGACAAGGTTCCGCCAGTCAAGGTTCCCACCAAGCTCCAATACGGAAAAGAGCTAACCCAAGGTTCCTATCACAGGATCGCTAGTCAGGGTGCTGAGATGATCACATCCTTTGTTCGTTTCCCTATAACCGGTGCCGGGATGTATGGCATTGGCCATGGCCTTGTTTTCTGTATTTTCTGTATGGCTGGCTTTGCTACTCTCCCTTCTAGCTCACCGGTCTCTCAATGAGCGCCGGGGAGTGCCGACTAGATGTGAAGTTTTTCCTTATCTTCACTTGAGAAGAAATCATAATCAAATTCTTTTCTACAAATTCCACAAACAAATATTAACAAAAAAACAAAAGTAAATAAAAAAGTAAAATAACTACTTTAATTAACTCGTTTAATAAACACAAAGATCTCGATCGCATTTCCAAATCGTGTCGTGAACGAAAGAAGGGACCTTATAAGAACGTTCACAAGAAATGAGGGGAAGCAGTTTGCTTTGCCTTGCCCTACTCAGAACTCCAAGTCCTTCCGCAGAGCTCAGCTCAAGCCTCCTCCTCTTCCTCCGCTTTCTTCATAACTTACAAGGGATGGACGTCGACTGGTGCCTTTCGTGTGATCGCAGAATAGTAATTATCAACTTTCTCTTATTCCCTTGATCATATCTAACCTTGAACGACAGGACGGTATAACATCGGCCTCTGGACCCTATTGCTCCCCAGAGTGTCTATCCTATGCTCAACCAGCATCTTCATCTCCCAGGCTCGCTACTCAAGTAGCTGCTGCCCCTGCCCCAAACACCCACCGCATCCACCAGTGGGCTGCCGCTATCCCGCCGCACGTTCCTGCTGGCGCACCCTCCTGCCCCTTCGCAGAGGCTAATGAGCCCACTTCATCATCTACTCAATTCCCTCGTCGATCCCCTTCACCTCGTGCCCGTTCTCAGGCAACGCCCAAATTGATCGAGCGTACCTCAGCTACAGCACCTGTCCCCACTCTCTGTGTCTCATCACCAGCACAAGTTCGACCTCTTCCCCCCGCGCGCAGCACGCACTGCGCTTACTTCAATGGCAACACAGCATCTACTGCCAGCATGAGCGAAGCGAGCACTTCCCTCACTAGTCTCTTGAGCGAGCCGCTCGTGGCTACTCCAGAGGAAGATAGTCCTTTTGGTATTGGCGCTTTCGTTCGTTCCTGGGTTCACCGCGACCGGGAACATGCCAAATCCAATAACGAAGAAGTCATAGAGGAAATTAAAACGTATTTTCCCCCTTATTTATCTGCCAAGACGTCTCCGCACCGCTCAAAAAAAGCAAAGATTCAACCTCCTTCGCCACCACCTATGAAACGTCCAAAATTCCCTGTTATGAACGCTACTCTTTTTAATGACCGCGACCGTTCAACGCCCACCGACTCCCACACACCTACGCCTGTTGTCTTCCCTTCTTGCCGTGCAACCGAGTTTGGTTGGGATGATGACGACGATGACGACGACGAAGAGAGTTTCGTCCCACAGGCACACTTTCAGCAATTTCAGCCTCAGACGCGTTCTCCGTCTGCGTCATCTGGTAGCGGTTCTTCAATTCTGTTGATGGCACCGAAGCGGTTGGACGTTCGAGGTCGTCGTGCTATCGCCCCATGAGGTGCTGCGCGTCTTTTTCATTATCACTATCTCCCCCCTACCTCACTCTGCATATTCGTAAAATCGCCTCGTGCCAATTAGGCGCTCATTCACGCAATTGATTTATGGACTTCGATATCCCCCAAAATCACCCCCTCATGGTTGTTCGCTATTCCCAAAACCCCCTCCAGGAACACTACGTGTATCTTGTACTTGTCTCTCTCGACGTTGCTTGACAGCGGGCACGCCCACAATCTTTCAGTTTTCTGATTGTTATCTTTTGCACACACTCCTTCTCACTCCTCATACACTGTATATACATGCATATACACCATAGATAGCTCGTTGCACTTGCATACACACGTCTCATTCCTGACCACTGCTGGATATCGTATTGATTTATTGTACACTAGAGTTGGAGCAAGGCGAGTGGAATTCATTGTTTGAACCAAATTTCAGGGGTCGAGAAACTTGAGAGATATTCTAAAGAGAACACGGGTACGTGGCATGGAGTGGATATGAAGAAAAGTGGGTTCGTGTGATCTGCCAGCTCAACGTCCGTATTCGTCTGTAAAGAAGAAGATTCATTGATTGAAAGAGTGCTCGTCGCTGTCACGGTGCACAGCTTGTGGTAAAAAAAATTCATATGGAGTCTAAATTGAATTGCGTCAGCCCTTGACAAGTGACAGTAGCATCGCTCTTCGCGGGAGGGGGCATTATATTACAACCGCGTGGACCCATTGCTAGAAAGAAAAACGCGGGGTTTCGCTGTCAAACGATAAGCGAGCGAGGAAATGGCCGTTAAGGTGGGGGGGGGGATAATCGTCGAACGTACTGGCTGGTTTGCCAAATCTCTTAGCGAACGAGCATTTTGATTGCGGCTTAGTCGTGTGCCTGGTCCCAGCCTACGTGAAAATCGGGCCCTTGATGGCTTACGCCTACGTACGGTGCTGGCATGTGGCTAGAGCATGGCATGATGCGAGAAATTCGCAAGTTTTTTGGGGGGCTGAGGTCGTCTTGCATCGTTTCATCGCTTCTTGAATTCTGAAATCTTAGCAAGTACGTCAGTACGGAGATGCGGAAGGGTTTCTTGTTTTTCGAAGAGATTCTGCTTCCGTTGACGGAGGGGCCATGCACGGAGTCAGGAGTCCGAGCTCGCTGTGCTGGCAGATCTCGGAGTTTTCCGACAATGCCCTCGCAGTGCGCATACTTGTACTTTGAGTATTTGGTACTGCGAACTGATTGACTCGGCATGTCGGTGGCAGTTACTTGGTAGACTCGATGCTGATCCCAGTCGAGTTTATTTTTGGGGCCATCGATGACCGGGAATATTCCGAGGGGCTTTCATTGAGTTTTTATATTAATGAAACTTAACCGAGTTAGCGTCCTGCCAGCATGCAAAAAAGTACACCCCGAGAGTCTTGCACGTGTAAAATCAATGACCAAAGGGTTCTCCCACACAGAAGAGACTGCGCATGGAAACCACATTCGCATTCATTCTTTTGATGGTGATAAGCCTTTAGATACGTTCTAATCACCCCCTCGGGCCGTTGAGGAACATCTGTCTCTTGCTGCGGCCCGTCTCATCACCCATCCTTCGAGCACCGCCCAGTACCCATTCAAAGCGCGCAGATCTGCAGATGAGCGCTCACCAGTCGTTACTTATCTTTGGGGTGCAACCGAATATACGATTTTGAGTTATCCGGAGCGTTCGCTGATGACGGCTTTCCAGACGTTTCTAAAGAATGGAAACCTATATGATGACGATCAAAGCGCTGCCGCACGGTCAAAGGCTAATTGTCAAGCTAGGGGGGTTAGCTAAGTCTGAGCGCGACTAGCACCAAACTTAGTGTCCGGGTGGCGGGATCAGATGGGCGCCCTCATCTTTGTTTTTACTATATCGGGATCCATTGAGTTTTTGGAACATGCTAGAATACGAATTGAAATTGGTAACATGAACCGTTGTGGGGGGGGGGCGACGATGCTAGGTGGCATGGCAGAACATCCCGGATGTCTGGTGTGGGATAAACTAGATAAGCAGCCGCGGGATCAAAGGTTCCAGCGACGCTTCAGCACAATTGAGTTTCTACCCAAGCTCCGGTTTTGCCGAGCAAAATACTTGATCGCAGCAAATGAACCCATGTCCGACAATCAGGGCTTTCAGGGATGAAATAATTGTAGAGGTACGTCGCATGTATGTAACTGAACTTTGGCCGTGCCTTGGCCCTCTAGTGGCGGAACATGATGACTTCATGACCCAGATAAAATTACTGCACCTCTGGGAAATAACATTCCGTCCCGGAAACAAAAGCGATGGACCGGTGAGGAGGCTGTAACCGGACCTTGACCAAAAATCCTAATTTATCGGATAGTTAGGAGAAAGCGGCGCATCAAGCATCTCCAGCCACATGACAGCACTTGCGCCTTTGATCGCTTCCCAACAAACAAACACAAACCGACGACAAGTGATTAGCGCGCAACCCGACGGAAGGGAGGGCCCCGGAGCTTGCCCACTTCAAACATCAACCTAAATTTCATCATTTGGGTACTTGGCCAAGTGGGTTACCAAGTCAGATGCACAACCTCCGCAGTCCTCGAAACTAGTCCCCTTTTGGAAACCAACAAGTCAACGTTCTTGGGGTCATTGATAACGCCAACATTGAATATGATTGCGGTAGAGCGAATAACCAGAGGATCGAGAAGTCGGATGCTCCAAACGGCCCGGCGGAATGTCGTAGCGTACGACAAAAACTCTGGTCACGATGCTCTCAGCCCGCAACTATCTAGTTGCGGATGTTTGAAATGTCAAGTTTCGACATACCCGGATCCGAGTCAAACCCATAGTCTATCATACGCATCCCGGAGCGCGGTTTGATGCAATTACAAAAAAAAACCCACGTGAGACGTAGGACAGCTCACCAAGATAATTAAAGCCCCCCCAGGCCCAAGGGTTTTGAGATATGGGACAAAGAACCCACTCCCATCCATGGCAATGAAAGGTGAGAGGCCGATAAGGATTCAATCAAACAAAAGAAGATGTCGTGTTTTTGCCATACTTCCTGATCTTGGGCCGGGACCGGAAGTGGCGCGGTAACAATGGATTATGATGATGATCTGCATCATCCTGGGCGGCCGCATTACGAAGGTGCAGGGATGACCACGAGATGTGGAGGTGGGGTAGATGAACCTTCAAGTGTCTGCACTAGGTCCTGATAAGTTCATTGAACGCCAGTTTGCTCGCGATAGTCCCAAACGGTGATAGAAGAATCTATTATTCGGCCGCAGTGGTTCTGGTTAGTAACGATACAATGCACTCGGGGGTGATCTCGGGGACGCTTCATGGACAAAGAAGTCAGACTGACAATGTCAACCCATGAGCAATATGAAGGCACTCAGGGGGAAGGAAGGTCCAATTAATTCGGGAATTCCATGACAAGTAGCAGACGATAAGGAGCCAGCCCAACCAACATTCATGCCCGCTCGAAGCCACCATCCAAACTTAGTCTCTCCTATAGAATCTTGCTTAATACAAACCCCAGGAAGAGAACTCATAGGAAGAAAAAAACAATTTCAATGATAGTGAGAGACGCTCGAGAAGCTCATCATTGTTTTGGTTAGAGAACAACAAAGAGATCTCTCAAAAATTGTACATTCTGCAACCAGCAATATGAGAAGACTCCAACAGGCAACCGATATGAGACGGTGCTGTTGGTTTGTCAGTGAAAAAGTACAACAACAAACCTTTCGGAGTTAAGAGGTCTCGGAGGTACATGTTGCGAACGTACGAACATTTTGGCAAAACTACTTGCCCTGCTTTCACTTCTACCTTTGGGATTCGTCTGCTGCGCACAACAAATATGATCAAACAACCAGGAGCGGTAATAACTTCACTGAGGAGGCGGTTGGAAGCTGGAAAGTAATTCAAATCAGCAATGTACTTGGATAAAATAAAATAAAGGGTAATACCCAGGGGGAGGGGGACCGCCAAAGCCTGGTGGAGGGGCGAATGGTGCGCCTGGAGGAAAGCCTGGAGGACGGAAGCCAGGAGGGGGACCGGGCATCCCTGGTGGGGCAAAGGGCATTGGAGGACGACCCACAGGAGGCATACCCACTAAATACATAATAAGCAACACATTTTTCGTCGCGCATCGATCAACATACTAGGAGGCATCATTCCCATTCCTCGACCGGCAGGCATTCCACGACCAGGGCCAACGGGCAGCTAAATGCAACACATATGTATAAGATCCTGACTTAGCAGAGCATGACGTACCGCATTCTTTTTGTCCTCGTCTACAACTGGCGGAGGCCCCTCGACGCTTAAACTGACGACTGTCTCCCCTCGCAAAATCACAAGACCCAAAGTGCGCTTCATCTCCTGCTCAGCAGGCGTCTCAGTTTCCCCAGGCTTTTTCTTAGGCCGAACGCGTCTAAACTCTTCGCAGTCCGCAAGGACGAGGTTCATATGCCTGTCGAATGCGAGCATTTGACCCGTCAACGCGCGTCCGTCATTGATGGTCACTTTGAGCCTCCAATTGATGAGGCCCAACATTTTTCCTCCTTTGGATTTTGGGGGAGGCTGAGGCACGATCATGAGATGTTATTGTCCATAGGTTTTGATCAGAACTTACCATAGTGGTCGATTAGGATTTTGGTTTCTGTAGATGCAGACGATGACAAGAAATGAGAGATAGAGTTGATGGCTACAAATAATGCCAAACATCTTAAACTGACAGCTTGCGCCTTGCGCCTTTCACCCTGTCATGCCAGTGAACATTCTATGCGGTTTCTGCTCATATGCATCAGATTGCCTACTAGATCGACTGATGCTGACAGCCTTCTGTTTCAGCATTTGTCAGTCACCGGACGTTTGTCAGTCACTCCGGTCCAGGCGTCGGTAATGTCGTCCGACAGCGTTTATCATTGAAACATATAACATGGCAGTACACGCATATATATACGGATACAGGCTGTCATTCCTCTCCATTGCGCTCAATATGTCAAAGATTCGGAATGCTTTCACTGTCCTGATGGGTAAGCGCGTCTACTTCCTCCTTATCTACATATCTGAGGACCCTCGCAGACATACAAACTCCTATAGTAGCTGCCCCGATGGCAGGGGCTAGTGGTGGTGCATTGGCAGCTCAGACATCCGCTGCCGGAGCATTTGGATTTATCGGTGCAGGTGGGGTCGCATCTTTTACTATTAAACCTGCTAAATAGATCATCAAAGGATACTTGACCTCTTCTCGCATTCAGGAGGAACTATCATTAGCTCGCGCGCAACTCCTCCTATCCCCCACAGATCCTCTCCCAATCGGTGTGGGTTACCTAGCTTGGCAACTGGATAAAGATCCCTGTGGCGTTGGATTGCTCGACATTTCCCTTTCGAACAAGGTCAAGGCTATCTGGCTCGCGTTCGGGAATAATATAGGTCGATGGATCGAGCACGTCCGCTCTTATGATGCGAGCTCCGGGCGGGATCAAAAAACCCTGATATTTGTACAGGTTTCCTCAGCGAAAGAGGCTCTCATCGCTATTCAGGACTGGAAAGTTGACGTTTTAGTAGCTCAAGGTTTGTTTCCCTACCTCCTTAGGCTTGGTTTGAACTTTCCTCTCATGGGCATTTTGTTCGACTTAGGATCTGAATCTGGGGGGCATGGGTATAGCGCTGCTCCGCCGCTTCTCACGGTGGTGCCGTCTATCTTGGCAGTGCTGCCTAAAGATGGCCCGCCTCTTCTTGCAGCCGGCGGATTGTCGACTGGCGGTCACGTTGCTTCTTTGCTTGCACTCGGGGTCTCTGGTGTGGTGCTCGGCACTAGGTTCTTGATGACGAAAGAGAGCTTCTATGATGAGGCGCAAAAGCATGTGCTCGTTATGGCCGGTGCGAATGACACAGTGCGGACCACGGCATTTGACCGTGCTAGGGGAACTCTGGATTGGCCGGAAGGCGTCGACGGTCGTGCCATCTATAATAAGACAGTGAAAGATGTGGATGATGGTGTAGACATCGAAATTGTTCGAGAGAATTTCAACAGGGCAACGCAGGATAGGGATCCTGATCAAATCTTGGTTTGGGCGGGTACTGGAGTTGACTTGGTCACAGAAATTCAGACTGCGCAGGTCAGTTTGACTCGCTAAATTGCAACGTGTCAAGCTGTCAGCTGATCTTTTTTCATAGGATGTTGTTCGGGAACTGCACGCAGATATGATGAAACATTTAAGTTTTGTATCGACACTTATTGCCACCTAATGTCAAACGCGTTGGTTTCCGTTAACGTTGGACCATTACCTTTCCTATTCAGACAAGTCGTTTCGTTTGCTGCATGTCCCTGCTGTACTCTTAATGCTTGGGAACATTACCGTCAGGAACACTATTGATTCCGTTGGTAATGGTGTGATATACATTCCATGAAACTATAATACAACTAATCGTGACCACAATTCGCGTATGCTCGAGGTCTTTGCTTCAGTGGACGATTTCCACTGTCAAGTCGCCCTGATTGATGGAGTCACCTATACAGATTTGTTAGACTAACTCCGTACTCCGGGGAAATGAACGAGGCTTGCCTTCATTGACAACCACACGTTTAATATGACCAGAAACAGGTGCAGTAACAGCAGACTCCATCTGTGATGAACCAAACGTCAGCAGGTCGTCACATCTTCAAATTATTTCACACATACCTTCATCGCACTCAGTACTGGACAAAAAAAAGCTCATGTCAGACAGAACATCAAAGAACGCCGATCATCCTTACCGCAGAGAGGGTCGCCCTTCTTAATCTCTTGGCCCTCCTTCACTCTGACCTCAACTACGACACCTGACATGGGTGCACCCACTGATCCAGGGTCGGAAGTCGCCTTCTCCCGCGAAACTGTTTCTACTGCGGAATTCTTATCCTCAACAGACACCGCCCGAACCTGCGGCACAGGGGAAACGTCAGCAAAAATCTTCGCATGTCATACTATTGTTATCGACCTCGCCGTTAACTTCGAACCAGACGTCACGCTGGGCACGTCCTTCCACAACAGGCCCAACGGCCATCAGGCGGATAATCAGAGTCTTTCCTTTTTCGATTGAGATGTGCATCTCCTCTCCAATAGCCGGTCGCCCCAAGAAGTACCGCGTGGGAAGAACGCTGGGGTAAGGATAAGTCCATCTTTGAACATCGCACGGCGTCATGAGGTTTACCTGAGATCTCCGTATTTCTCAAGGAAACCCTGGTATTCTTCGAAGACCTGACGGAGTTAACATGACTTCAGAATATGCATCGCGGGAGTGCAAGGCACGACGTACTTTAGGATACATGACATACGAGGTAACGTCTGCATCCGTAATGTGCTTTCCAAATTTGCTGCGGAGCTCTGCCTTGATCTTCTTGAAGTCTAAGGGTGCCATCGTTGCACCAGGACGTCCGTCGATTCTCGGCTTGTTTCTGATGATATTCGAACGAAGTGGTTCCGGGAAACCTCCCACAGGTTGTCCAAGATAACCCTGGAAGAACTCGACAACAGAAGAGGGGAAGTCAAGCTGGTCTGCACGTCGAATGACGTCCTCTTTGGAGAACGAGTTCGACGTCATCCATTGCGCGAAATCGCCAACTACTTTAGATGAGGGTGTGACCTAATAGTACTGTGAAAATTTGCACGAAGTTAAACAGGTGATTGCATGCCTTCACAATGTTGCCACACTGAAGGGAATGGTTCAGATGGAGTGGGAAATGACGCGCAGAAAAACTTACCAGTTCGTTGGCCTCGATGTATTTCTGCTTGATTTCTGGGATTCGAAGATTGGAAAACGTAAGTTACTGGTAAGGAAGATACTCACGGGTCCACTGCGTGCCGAGGCCCAATTGTGATGCTTGGAACTATAGGGTCGGTCAGCCGCCGAATCTAAATACATCCCAGACACCACGCTCACCATGAGATTCGTATATTGGCCTCCTGGCATTTCGTGGTCGAAGACACTTGAATCCGAGGCCCGGACATTGGCTTCGAAGCAACCGTAGAGCATGCGAACCTGGCTCCAGTACAAGTTTAGCGCTTGGATGTCGGCGTAGCGGATGCCCGTCCCTAATCGCGTTTGCTCAAGTGCCATGCATATGGCTCCCATTGAGGGCTGTGATGTCAGACCAGACATACCTATCGGAATGGTTGAACATCTAACTCGCCATTCGCAAATGACAACAACTTACTATCAATGGCAACATCAACGACATCAGCACCAGCCGCGGCAGCGGCGAGCATGCTAGCTGCTGCGATTCCAGCCGTGTCATGGGAGTGAACGTGGATTGGAATGTCAGGGTACTTCTCTCTAATCGCGCCGATAAGCCTACAAATGTGAATGTGTTAGTATTTGCAAATCGAACAAATGTGTTTGCTGATGTACAATTTCGCAGCTTCAGGCTTCAACAAACCAGCCATGTCCTTGACACCAAGGATGTGAATTCCCTCTTCCACTAGTTTGTCAATGAAGTCAAGGTAGTATTGCAGTGTGTATTTGGTCTCCTTCGGGCTTGCGACGTCACCGCTGTAGCAGACAACAGCCTCGACAACACCTCCCGCTTTCTTGGCGGCATCGATACCGAGTCTCATCTAAATGAACGTGAGTACAGCCTCATAAGAATTCGATTCACTTCGCCTTACGTTCTCTATGGGAATCCGTCAACAATCAAGACTATGTGGTAGTGATATCACCCTCACCAAAGTAGTTCAGCGAGTCGAACACTCGGAAAATATCAAGTCCATTCTCGACCGCCTTTTTCGAGAAGTCATAGATCGCATTGTCACTACACAAAATAAGCCGGACATCAGGCGAGAATGAGAGGGCACATACGGGTAGCTTGTGTATCCGACACCGTTGGCTCCACGAACGAGAGCCTGGAAGGGAATGTTGGGGACCAGCTTACGCAGGGTGCGCTGGTTTAACGTCAGTTCAAGCTCCTCCGACACGTCGCGAATCGCGCACCAGACGTTCCCAAGGATCTTCATACAGGAAGCGCATGGCGACGTCGAAGGTGGCGCCACCCCACATCTCCAAACTGAATGCGTTCGCGAGAGCATAGCTAGTCTCAGTGGCGATGTTGACCATGTCAATTGTCCTAAGGCGAGTAGCGAGCAACGATTGGTGCGCATCACGCCAAGTGGTGTCCATGATGAGCGTTCCAGGGTATTCGCGGACGGCCTTCGCGAAAGCCTCGGGACCCTTCTCGACGATGATGTTGCGCCATCCAACCTCACAAGGAAACGTAGTGTCAAGGGGTGTGCCGTCACGGTTCTCAAATTTGGGAATGACAACATCATCCTTAAGGCCTGGCTCGCCGGTCTGGCCTTTAATGGAGCTTCCATTGACTGCAAGGTCACCAAGGTATGCAAGAAGTTTCTGTGCACGGTTCTGGCTCTGTACCAGCTTGAAGAGCTCAGGGGTGTCATCGATGAACTGATGTAATACAGATGGTCAAAAATGCGCCTTATGATCCGTGATGACTTACAGTAGTCCATGTCTTGCCACCAATGAAGACGTCATGTGTGAGGAGACGGAACAAGAAGGGAATATTTGTCTATGGGCAGCGTCAGACGCATTTCCATACGAAGACTAAGAGGTAATTACCTTGACACCGCGAATACGGAACTCGACCAAGGCACGCAACATCTTTCTGCGAGCAACCTCGTAGGTCGTGCCACTAACAGTGCACTTCACCAACAGACTGTCGTAATGGGGCTGTCCGGGAAAAAGAGTTCAGAATGAGTTCGAACGTAAAATACAATTGGGCACATACCGTGATCTGTGCACCCGCAAAGCCAGATGACGCGTCAAGACGAACACCATTTCCACCAGCACTGCGGTACACCTCGATCTTGCCAGTATCGGGCTGGAAACCAATAGCCGCATCCTCCGTAGTGACACGGCACTGGATCGCAAAGCCACGACGAGTAATGGCCTCCTGAGTCAGACCAAGCTGAGGTAAGGTAGCACCAGCAGCAATTTGGATCTGGGCTGCAACGATGTCGATACCAGTAATCTCCTCTGCATCCCGGTAAGCGATGCTAGAACTACTCTAATTCATATGGGGAAATCGTACCAGTAATGGTGTGTTCGACTTGAATACGAGGATTGATTTCAATGAAGTAGTGTCTTCCCATCTGATCTACAAGAAACTCCGCGGTCCCAGCATTCCTGTATCCGACGCTCTTCGCGAGCTTGATCGCGTCCGACAAAATGGCCTGACGCACTTCCTCGGGGAGGTGGGTTGCCGGTGCAACCTCGACAACCTTTTGGTGGCGTCTCTGGACGGAGCAGTCACGTTCAAACAGGTGAATCGTGTTGCCAATGCCATCGGCAAGAATTTGGACTTCGATGTGACGTGGGCGTTCAAGGAAGCGCTCGATAAAGACAGTACCATCTCCGAATGCTGATTTAGCTTCGGATACGGCACGCTGGAACGCATCTTTGAAGTCCGATTGTTCGCGAACAACACGCATACCGCGGCCGCCACCACCCATAGCCGCCTTAATAATAACTACATACATCAAAATGGCATCAAAAGTAAAGCGAAAAGGAGTGTATCGACGGACCTGGGAAACCGTATTCTTTGATGAATGCATCGCCATCCGTGTATGATTCAACTGGACCAGGTGTACCGGGGACGACTGGAACACCGACCTTCATAGCTTTACGGGACAAATCTAGTTAGCATACACGGAAGCGAATCTCAAAATATCATCTCACCAAGTGTACGTGCCTTCGTCTTATCGCCAAGACCATCGATAACCTCGGGCGATGGTCCGACAAATGCGATCCCGGCCTGCTCGACTTTGCGAGCGAATGCAGCATTCTCAGATAAGAAACCGTACCTAGACAATCCGACCGTCAGCCAAATATAACGAAGGAGATCTTAAGGTAGCATACCCAGGGTGAATCATGTCAACCCCATGTTCAAGAGCGATGCGTATGATATCTTCTTGAGCAAGATATGCTCCAACAGGGGTCAACCCTCTGCCGACTTGATATGCTTCGTCGGCCTGATTGATGTATGATGAGCAACATTCGATAGATGAAGCATCATATCATTTGAATACCTTTTGGCGATGAGCTGAGAGACGATCCTCAAATGAGTAGATCGCGACGGTATGCATAGCGAGCTCATGAGCGGTACGGAAGACTCGGATAGCGATTTCCTGTAAATGAGAGATCTAAACGACGGAAGACACCCAGATCAACATATCAAAGCGCACACCACGATTAGCAACAAGAATCTTGGTGAGAGGACCACTGTGACCAGCAGATTTCCTTCTCATAGTTTGAATGGAGTGCACTGGCGTACCAGGGGCACTGGGTGTCCCCACAAACGTATGTGCCAACCTCGGGGGGTGGAGCGGTAACTGAGTCGAAGCAGCCATGATGATAGTTGCTGGTTGAAAGAGAAATCAATGCTCAAGCCAACTGGAGGGTATTAAAGAGCTTGTGATGGGCAGGGATACGGTGGGATGATACAAAGCTGTTCAAACTTCAGGGATTTTGATTATCACCAGTTTCGCCCGGGCGCTTATACTAAAACCCATCTAATCGGACCATTAATGGAGGGGGCCGTAATCATGCCATAATTCGCAGTGATCCGTCCGTATTGCCATTTCACCAGTTCCGTTCTCCCCCCCTGTCATCAAATTGGCATTTATTCGACAGCTCGCAAAAAACCGCCCTGATAGACGCAATGTCATTGACCACCGCTCTAAATGCTCGGGATATATAAAAGCACATGGATGTGCACATGCGGTCTACCTGTTCGACAGCGGTATAATAGTGCTTGCTTGAGGCCGGCTCTCCATCTTTTTCTGGTTGTTCTTCGCTATCGCATATACAATTCCTGCAAAGAACCCCAGTCCGATTGCCGACACCGATCCTATTGTTACTACATCACCAAAGAAGAGCATACCTGAAGCCGCAACAGGGAGTTTGTTGAGAGCTCCGACCATGCTATGGTAGTCATCATTAGCTGCAGCCTGCTGAGTACTAGAAGCCATACCTGTAAGTGGTACTACTCGTGGTGCGCACACACCATGCCGTAGAATATGATATTCCAACTGCAGCCGCACCTGAAAATGCAATAGCGGACAAAAGAACGTTGCGCGTCTCGGGTGGGCTGGATCAAGCAAGTCAGTAACTGTTTCGCGGTCTCGCCGGGTGATTGGGCGTCGTACAAGTTTCTAACGAGGTTCTCTGAACCCCAATCTTCCACGATAATGGAAAACACAGCCAAGATGGGGATAGATAACAAGTTATTATAGAACATCGAATCCCAATCAGAAAAGCCGGTGACTTTTATGCGCTTGCGCATCAGAAGAACCTAGGCAACGCAGCCAACATTCAGCTCAGGGACATCATTAGGGCATGGTAGGGAGTCTTACGTAGGCAGCACTCATCAGACAGTTCACAAACATCCATACGTACCCCGCATTTAGTCTAGAAACCACGTTTGACATCATGTCTAAACCAATTCCCATGGCGGCGCTCGCTGGTGGAATGGTCGCGGTCCCACCTACGGCATTGTTGGCATCCGTCAACGCAGCCAATATAGAAGATAACACCTGTCATAGAATTAACCCATCAACCCTATCCGTTCGAATGATCATGAGGCCACTTACCATAAAAATGAAGGCTACCATTGTAAGTGCTGTAATTCGTCCGCCGAACCACAGGACTTCCCCGTATGCCTAGTTCTTCGTTAGCCTCACCATGTTCACGAACGAGAACAATACTCGCACAATGAGTATGATCGTCAGATTCTTGAAAATGGTATAAACGGGTATACTGAGGTATTGCTGTGGCGAGGCTGTTAGCGCATGACGTACAGATTAAGGCTCTTGTTCGGTACTACTCACCAGACTTTTCGAGCCGGTATAGATTACACCGACCAGCAGACAGCTGATAGGATACCATGCTTTGACATCTTGCATGTCGAAATCACGGAATGATATTATACCCGACTTCTTAGCTGCAATCACGCACGCAACGCAGACTACACTCTGCATTGATAGCAGCAGAAAAGTCATGTTGAACTGACTCCCAGACACTACGAACTAAATCACGCTATTAGAGACTAAGCATGATGGAAGGACGATGCCTATGACCTTGTTCACGACTGTCATCATAATTGACGCTAGACAGTAGCATACTACGGAAGGAACTATACACCACCGCGCCATTGAGCAAGCAGTAAACACAAAACATATCAGTGACTCACTAGTGGAGCTAGCATCTCCAGCGTCCTTCTGGTTGCCAGTGGCTAAATTGCGGCGCAACTCTGCCAGGTCTTGGTCCTCTGAAGATTCTTTTGTGTTTCCCATGTGCACCTGAAGCCGAGTAGAGAACTAAAAATGAAGTTTGTACTAAGACCAAACTAAAACCCAGCAGTCAAAGCCGGGGAATGAGACGACAATGAAAGAATCGTAAGACGATCAGAAGAAAATGTTGGCCTTACAGCTGTCCAGCAGTGCGGTAGCGAATTGCTCGCTATTACATAATAATCCTTGGCGCGTCGGAGCTTCACGTTTAACGTCAACTTTATGATACCATCACGAACACAACATGTCAGTTGAACATAATAGCATCGTCACCTAGTGCTCCTTGTCTTCCGATGGGCAGTCCTCATCATGCCCAAACTTTTGAAATAGGTCTACACTCATATAACGGCGCCTCAACCCATGCGGGAAACCACCTCGTGAGGAACAGAAATTATCTCAAGAAATTGGCTGAGGCACTGCAGAGGGTAAGTCATGTGTACCAAACATCATTCTGATATGAATCAGAAGATACTGCTGAATGTTCCCCATCTCCACATATGCACAATAAGCCCTTTTCATGCGCCGATAGAGAGCCCACTCCATTGATTAATTGTGTGCTGCCTGAGCCAAATTCTTCTGGCTCTAAGTTCGGCGGTGACAGTCATAAACTTAAGGATACAGGATCAGGTGTGAAGGCAAACATCAGCTCCTACCGTCCCAACGAGAATTCTTATAGCGTCCCAGTCTGTCTAGGAAGAGGCTTGCTGTCTACTTGACCGCACACGACATGTTTTTAACTAGCAATGGTCTGGACTCTGCAGTGGACCAGTGCAGATATCACACGAACCTAGCCAGATTATCACTCTTCGTAACATGTCACAAACATGTGGTCACCTGGTGTAGGTTCGCATGTAATCTCAATGCTGGCGACATGAGGCATATTATTATTTGAGAGGGATATTTGCTACGTATCCTTCGTTATCATAAGAACGACCAAGCTAATCAAATATACATCGATGTTTACACTACCATGGTTTCACGCCACTGAGACATTATTGGAGAGGGATATTTGCTGCGTGTCCTTCGTTATCATAAGAACAAGCAAACTGATCAATCGTACATCGATCTTTACACCACCATGGTTTCACGCCACTTCCTGCAGCAAAGCGCCATCGCCATAAGCATCGCCAGCCTATTCTACAATATCGCAGAAGGCGTCATCTCCATGGTCTTTGGTGCAGAATCATCCTCGCACTCTCTCATCTTCTTTGGCATTCAATCGATAATCGAAGTGCTCTCAGCCTCACTCGTGGTTTGGAGATTTACGAACGGACTCAAAGCTGGTGAAGAAGGTGACGATGGATCTGAAGTCAGAAAGGGCAAAGACCTGAGGTTTGCATGATTGCCCTTCTACCATCTTCATTTGCTGACACACAACAGGATAGAGAGAATTGCAACATTGGCTATAGGGATTCTCCTCGCGATGCTGACTCTAGCAGCTGTGGGTACATCCATCGCCTCCCTCATCGCCCATGACCACCCCAGTCCATCCAACGCATCACTCATCATCGCTGCGAGTGCTGCCTTCATCATGTTCTTGTTCTGGGTACCGAAGCGCTACCTTGCAAAGGCGCTAGACTCCAGCACGATGAACGGCGAGGCACTCTGTACTTTGTCATGCATCCAGTTTAGCGGTGCGTTGTTGATCGGCTCCCTTGTATACCGTGTCTGGCGCGGTGGGTGGTGGGTTGACTCTGCCACTGCCATCGTGATTACTATGCTTTTTGGTTGGGAGAGCTTCAAGATGATTAGGTGGGCAAGCAACGATAAATTCAATGGCAGTTGTTGTTGTGGACAAGAGGGACGAAAGGCAGATGAACAAGCCATCCCCGGAGTTATCATGATGCAGCAGCCTAGTGCAGCTCCCCAGCGCTGCTGTGGCGAACCCGATTGTTGCAAGGCTTCACAAGAAAGTGGCGACAAAGTATAGTATATTCAGATCATAGTCAATATTGTACACCAAGTATTGTGCCTGAAGAGTATAAGACGGATATGATGTACTAGACCAAGTGACTTTTCCAGTATAGGAGTTCTACACCACTAGAGTATGACGGAACTAAGCGATGGTCGGCGTGGTTTGATACCTTGCTGTCGCTGTCCACAACCATAGAGATCACGGATGTTGAATTGCGGTCAGGAATGTAGTGTGTGCCCTGTTCGACCTCATTCGAGGGAATCCCATGGCTGTCGACAGTGTTAGCATGAATGTATGTGCAACGAGGAAAAAACTCACATCTCAGCCAGATGGTTCTGAATGGAAGTAAGTGACAGGGCATCGCGCACATGATGCTGACACAAGGCGCAATACACGATAGCATCTGCCTTCGCAGGAGATTTGGCTTCTTTCTCATAATCCTTGACATTTTGCAACTCGTCACCCTCTATCATTGCCCACTTAATCTCTTCAGGTTGCAGATCTCTGTGCAGGCGATAGCTGTGCATCACCTGTCACGAAACCAATGAGTATGGCCACAAAAAAATCGCGTAAATTTCATTTACCGCCATGTCCCATGTCATAACCACCTTTCTGCCTGGCGTGGAACACTTTCCGCATGCAAAGCGAGTATCCAGTTCATCCATGTGCTCTCGACGCGTAGTCTTCGGGTCGAGATTAGCGGCCTGAACAATAGCTGCAGTTCCCTCGAAAACACTGATCCGAGGAGAATGTCTAACGGCCGACCACATCCGACACCCAAACTGTTTCACTTGTAGAAGGTAAATCTCGTCATGCAGCGTGACAGGTGCCGGGGCGAAAAATCCAGGCCACGAGAGCACCTCGGGATACATAAGTAGACGACGATCACTGCCAGATTCCACAACGAATGCAGCAGTTGCCAGCTGCAAACAATCTGCATCCTGCTGTTTTCCGACATCACCCTGGCTTTCTGGACAACGGATCAGGTCTAAAAATTCGCGATCGATTTTGGCTCTCCAGGAGGAAACAAAGTTCGGCAGCTGCTGAAAAGCAGAGACGAATGAAGTCGCAGTAACTGTTGCTGATTCAGGTGACATGATGAGAACTCTAAAGGGCTCGAAATCTGCAACGTCGACGGCGTGTGGCATCAGGTCAAATGCTGCGTTCGGGGGAGGGAGATCCTGGAGGTACTTGTTGTATTCATCCATCAGAATCTGGCGCCGAGGACCGTAAATTTTATCTTCTATGCGACGCATCCTGACATTATCGAGCGCTGTAATCAAATCTGGGCGCATACGATCCCACGCTGGTAGCAAGAAGATGTATACCTAGTTCTAACAATTCAACGACATACTCACATTTTTGATTAAGAGGTTTTGGTTCCTTGAAAGATGTCCCCAGTTGGTCTTGCAACCAGAATCTATTCACATAGTCCAACTCAGGCTTGTAGCCTGCTTCAGTAAGGCGATTCACGATACTATGTTTGCGCATCAGTCAAGGCTGGAGCATACAAAAAAGTGGTAGCTAACATACTCGTCCTGGCGGGAGCGTCTGATGGCGTCAAGTTCGTCTTTGCGAGAACTTGCGACGGACTCTGACCACTGCTGGCATTGCTCTGCATGCTGGAACGAAGATGTAATTGCACAAACCAAGTAAAACTAGTTTAATGACCTACTTTCATAACCTCAGCGGCATGCTTTTGCTTCTTAGGCAACAAAGCTGCCATCTCGTCCACTGGCGTCTTCGAGAACTCGGCACGTAGTTCATCGAATGCCTTCTTGGAAAACAGCTGCTTTGGTCGCCCTGAACGTTGTAAGAAGACGAATGTGATAGTGATATAAATCAAGGCCTACCCGGTCCGTATATAATTGCATGAGGTAAGTCATACGAATTGAAATTTAGCGTCCATGGGAAGCGGCTCACTGCGCTCCATTGATCAATAGTGCTATATGTAGCGTAAACACAAGGGTTGACAAGCATGAACTAAGATGACCAACTTTTCACCGATGCATCTGGGGCAGTATCGTGCCCGAAGTGACCATAAAACAGATCGGACAACCCTGTCGCAATTCTATAGTACAGGTGAGTAAGGATTGTAGCACCTTGATGAAGCTCGTCGCACATGGCAATGTGGGTAAAAAGCAAGATTTGCATACTGTGGTTCACTCATGTCTTGGGGACAATCGGGAAGGCCATCAACCTGGAGACGGGCAGTTTTCCAAGCAGAAGCGGATGATCGCTGCAGCAATAAATTCCGAAAGTCCTTGCTGGTTCGGGATAGATTCAAAAGGTCCATTGGAAGAAGAAAGCTAAGTATCTGTATAAGCTCACTGTGAGTCTTGCTTAAAAATTAGTAGGCTTGAGCCTGACATGATATAGAATATCCAAGTTCATGGTAGGCATTAGGTCGAGTCGTCCACGGCGCTTCAACTTTGCTTTGACGCGATGACCTGCGCGTTTCTTGGATCTTTTTTTGACGTGGCACGGAGCAATATCAGGGTCTTCTGAATCCTCGTCACTAGTACTAGCTTGAGGGACAAGCCTTCCTGGATTTGAGACCGTTGCTCTTGTGGAGTCATTACCGACTACACGAGTGGCCGATCTTGTTGTAACCATTGAGAAATAGTCCTTGGTGCACACTAGAGTTGAAACTTGAACTGCGTGGGCTGGTCGTAAAAAAAGGAGCCTCGCTGGATCGGGATCGGCCTTAAAGCATGTTATAAAATTGGACAAACAATCTAAAATAAATATACTTACAGATAAATAAATAGACAACATTCACATGCAATTCACATGCTTATGCAGACTTGCACCAGACAGCTTTACGACAATGAAGAAAATTCATTACAGCAAATCTCAGGCATGTACTATGGTAGAGAGTAATAGTCCACATAAAAACAATCAGAATCCAAAGCCGGTCATAGCCTGAGTAGTATCAGGTCAGTCATACGGAACTCTAAGTGCGTCCGCGGGGGAAACTTACAGGCATCATACCAACCATGCCATTACCATTTGCCATTGGCATTGGTGGCGGCTGACCGACATATCTAAGACTCGTGCATTAAATCAAGCATATATTGAACTTGTCAAGATCTTGCTTACCCATTGGTTATCATCAGACGGTTGGCAGGGTTGATAATCGGGGCTTCAGCTTCTTGCTGCTCCTTGGCGGATTCTTTTTTGGTGCGCTCCTTGACCTCCTTCTCCAATGCAGCCAACTTCTCGCGCATAGTCCTTGATACTTGAATTTTGTATGGCATATAGAAGTCATTAAGACCATGTTGCCATGACAGCTCCTCCACAACATCTGGGCGAAGAAGGTCGAAGCAAACGTATAGCATAGCAGCAAAGCACTCTTTGTTGCCGATATCAACGAAGTAAGAGAGCAGATCTTCAGCGACGTCCGTTGAAGTGGAGGTGGCGGCAGTGATGATAGCATCCTTGTACAACTGATCGTGCTTCGAGAGAGATATTGATTCTTCCCATCGAGAGTTTTTCTTCAATGCAAAGTAAGTTTCAGACCATTGTACACTCAAATGATCGTGTACCTTGTACAGATGTGCCGCGAGTCTCCTGAATTCCAGCAGACCATGCTGCTCCAAACGCCGTGCAAGCCCAATATTGTCGAAATTGTCAAAACTGTCAATAGAATCCCGGAGCGTTTTATAGTCTTCTTCTTCTATGAGGAGGTCGTTGTATGCATCGTTCACGGTCTCGATATTCAGCTGCACAAGTAATCAGCTCTCACATAGAGAAGACAACAAGCTCAAAGCGGCTCACATGCTGGACGGCAATGAGATATGCTCGAATCAAGGGAACATGATCAATCTGGCGGAACATACGAACAACCCGCGCGTGTTCGATGCGGGGAATGAGGACAGTGAGAAGATCAGTCAAAAGCGTCGGTTGTTCTTGAAGATAGAATGTGAGCGCCTTGTAATATCTAGAAATTTGTTCTAGCAAGAAGCATCGTCAAATCTGCGAGAACCCACATTTCGACATTGGCAGCCCGGACAATAACATCTTTGAACTGGTTGTGTTCCCAAGCATCAGCTGAACGTTCAATCATCGCCAAAGCTGCATTATCCTGGAACAACCATAAATATTCATCGATAAAGTTGGGGACAAGAACACGCACAAACTCGTCGTATTTGATATACAGGAAAACCAACTCGGGCCAGAGATGAGCCTTTTCAGTAGCTTTGATGACCTAGATAAGGTCTGAGGACACATGCCGAGATAACGTGTATGACACCTGCCTTTGGGATGTTGATTCTCGAGACGAAAAGCTTGAGGTGTTCCATCACTGATTAAACGGAGATGAGATACTGCTACGGAGAGAACAATATGCTTACGTTTGCCTGGCCTGTACTTGCTGTATAGGATGGACAACTCGGTGAAGATACCCATCTGTCCAAATGATCAGAGTTGAAAATGCCAGATGTTTGAAAAGCACCTACGTGCGCTCGCTCCAAACTCAGAGCAGCTTCAAGCAAGGACAGAACTTCATCAAAGTAGCCACACCGTTCATAAGACCGGAGCAAGGCGGCTACTTCTTCCTAAATTAATAGTGAGTGTAGGACATGGTTACTAGAATGCTAACTCACCGCGTGGACTACGATGTTCAAACCACAAATTTGCGCCTGTGACGATAGTCAGGAGACGACCAACCGAGCTTCACATATAAAATCACTGACGAGTCTGAACTCAGCTTTCTCGATACATGCAGCATGGACTTGCTTCCAAACCCTTAGGTAGGGGTCAGCTCAAGATTGATGCTTTGAAAGAATGAGCGTACTGAGTGTTCCCGGCTTTCCGGGCACTTTCCACAGCTGCTTGATTCTCGCCAAGGTAAATGAGAGTCGTGGCAAGACGTGCCCAGTTGGAAATACTGGTGAACAGTAATTTGGCAGCCTGGTACAGTTCGTCCTCGAAGCACTTCTCCCCGACCTCCAAGATATCAGCAACATTAGTCATAGCCAGGAAATCCTCCATGTCATGGAGACGGTCAGTCTTAGCGTATGCATACGCAAGTTCGGTGTCAATCTTAGGTTCGCGAAGTGTCTTGCGAGCCATTTGAAGGAAGCGGACAAGATCATCATGTTTTCCAGCGTGACTCGAAATTTCAATGACCTCAGCGAAGTTGGAGGGGTCCTCAGCCTTGATATACGAGTCTGAAGAAGAACATAAATGACAATACACACACGAGAAATTGCAAACAACTCACCAATGGCGTCCTTGATGCGAAGACCATCGAGTTGAGCCTTGGCAAGTCTGCTCCATACTTCTGGCTTGTTGGCCTTGTTCGCATAGTCTAAACCACGGTCAATGGAGGCGATATGCTCGACGAGAACATTGATAGCCATTGCATGCTGATCGTATTTCTTGTAGATCGTTAGTGCCTCTTCATACAATCCATGGTCAGTGGCAATCTTTGCTATCTCTCCAGCGTCATAGTTCTGGAGCTTGTTGATGTAGCCAACGACCTTCCCTTTGTCTGCGCGGATTGAGGTCAGGAGAAGCAGGTTCTGGAGATTGCGATTGTCGCTGAACGGAGAGGGCTCGATGACAACTTTCTCAAGAAGCTCGATCAACTCGATTGGGAGGTCAGCCGAGAGGAATGCCTTTACGGTTACTGAAACATCATCAGGGTCTGTGCACTCTGGGAGTGCGGTCGCGACGATCTATTCAATAGCGGATGAGTGTCTAAGAATGCGTAGTCAAATTTGTTTAATTTGATCTCACCTGATCAATGAGAGCCCTGCGGTGAATATTGTCATGGACAAGCACCTGCGCCCAAAGCTCAGGCTGGCGACGCCTCACGAGATACCGAGCCTGCTGCTTGAACATCGAGTTGTCATTGGTAATACCAATAAGCTCATCATCACAAAAGCCCTTTGCGTAAGCGATATAGGCAAGGTAAGGATCCCTGGCCTCGCAGAACTTTCCGACAACCAGGGGCTCATACAACTATGGAACCAGCAAGTGAGCATGCCGGCTCATTCATTCGCGAGATAGCATGACTCACGTTGTTTTCCTTCAAGAATGTTTCTGGGTTGTTGTTGCTGTCGATGAAAATCTTGGCCATGGCATTGAAGACCGCTGGGTCCTGGCTGCCGGACTGAACGCGAGCCTCCAGCCAAGGCAAAATAAGCTTCAAACGGTTGCGTTGCTCAACTTCATTCACAAGCTCATCAATGGGGAAATTTCCAGTGACGGAGGCAAGTAAACCCTTGATGGTTGTCTCGTCGCAATCCACATCGAGCAAGCCCCCAACAACCTGGGGCGTTCGGACCGAGTTAACACGCTGCACATACACCTCAATGAACTTTGTGAGTCCGTTCTGATACAGGTAAAGAACCAGGTCGTGCACGAAGTCGAAGCGGTCACAGACAATGATAAGGGGGAGTTGATCCGGGAGCTTTGCCTCTTTCAGGAAGTTCTTGACCTTCTCAGGGTTGTAGTAGTTGCTCTCTCTGCAGATTCGCTCCACCTCACGGATTTGACCAGTGCGAGTAGCGGCCTGGATGTACTTGAAGTGCACCTCGGGATCCTCACTGAGGTTAACGATGGAGCCAAGGTAGTAGTAGAGGCCTGCATTATAATCAGCGTTTATTAGCCATTCATTCTAGTCACATGCGACGGAAATCACCTTCAAATGTCTTAAACGATTCAAACATCTCAATGAGCTTCACAGGACCCAAGATATCAGAGTACTTGGTGGCGATCTGGATTACAACCTGCAAGTTCTGCCGGATGTTAACGCGCAGCATCTCCTGCATGCATGCCATGGACTGCTCTGTTGTTAGACGACTGAAGTAGTTCACTAGCCACTTTGGAAATATTAGGCCCCACCTCCTATTGACAGCAATAAATCGAAAGCTCACCTCCGGCTGTAGACCGCTAGTATGAACAATAGCGCGTTTGATGTCCGCTAGGTCTTCATAGTGTTCCAGTGCCTTCCCACAGATAAATGAGCCATGATCAGCGCTTGGTCAAACTTTACTTACTCGTTGGAGTAAGCCTGCCTTCTCGCAAAGATTGGCAATTCGGGGTCTATCATAGTTGGTGAACATCTCATTGCCGAGGATGGCATCGGCAACTTGAGGAGCATGAACGAGATTCATCTCGAGCAAGCGAGTCTGCAGATGACCTTGCTCAGGTTTGTTATCCTTCAATGCGTCGAGAAGGAACGAGGTTGCAGGCTGAATCATATTCTGTGACATGAAAATGTCGACAACCTAGGAGAATGACAAATATAGAGCCGACGATCACACAGATAGGAAGTAGCCTTACCCTTTCCATGTCCACGAGCGGCCCGTTCTCGTCATTGACTAACTGACTTGCGAACTCGGCGCCCTTTTCTGCACTTGTCCTCATGATATGCTGTAAAAGAGAGATATAATCCGGGGTGTAACCAACTTTTTTCGAGTAGAGGACAATCTTCTCAGTCTGTCCAGTCTCTGCGAAGCAAGCGATGACCTTATTGGGAACGTTCGCTCGTAGGTAGACACTTAGTGCCAGTGTCATGTCATGTAACCGCACAATGTCCCCCAATTCCTCGCTGCATGTGAGCTTCAAAGAAAACTTGAGTAAGAGAAAAACACAAGGAAGAATGACCTCACCTTGTTCTCCTTAAGCCACTTCTCAAGCAATTGCTTCCTTCCCTGCTGCAACACCGGGCGCGCGAGTTCGAGGGACTCGAAATGGTTGAGCTCGCCCTTCTCCAGTAAAATACCGAAGTACTGCAAAATCGGCGACAAGCCACCAGCAGGCGCCGGGGCTTGTTTGAAGGACTCGATAACTTGCGCAGTCCGGAGTATACCCTACGTGGCAATATATATTAAAACGATAATGATCGACAATTTGAGACCTACCCTGGGAGAGTTTGCAGCAACTTTTGCGGCCTCGCCGTACTGTCCACTGGAGAACAATTGCTGGTACTGCTTGATATAAAGGTCGTCAGCGCCAGGGAGATTTGCACGACTGGAAAGCTTGAAAGCAAGCTCCGTGTTATTGAGGGTGGTCAAAATGTACGGAATAATGGTCTGCTCGTCAACGCTGACCGAAAGAACTTGACCCTTCTTGTTGACACCAATGATACCATTCGACGCTTCATGCTCAGCAGTGACGAAAATCGTGTCACCAGAAATGCGGTTCATGTATACACATGCACCGCTATCCAGATCATACAGGTGAATGAAACCGTATTTTGTGACCAGGAAAACGATGCCATGTTTCTTCGACACTTGCATTGCCACCGGGAAATCGTTAGTAGCCTCTGGAGGGAAGTAGACATCTACTGCCTTTTTCACAAAGGGAGGATCAGGAGCTGTGTGGTCGATTTCAACGACATGGAGCTAGTAAAATGTTGAACATTCTGCACGCTTCACGGTCACAGGAAAACAAACCTTGGCACCTGTCGCTGTCCTGACTGCAAACGCAAACAATTTGGTGACGTGTTGGTGCCCGTCAAGTTTCAGCTCCGCAAAAGTAGCTGCATGCCCCTCAATAGGTTGACTGACGCCTCGTTCACGACTATACAGCTGCATTGCACCCTTGACCTTGAAAGCCGAGGGATTTGTCGTATTGCCAGTAATGCCGATGAGAACTAGCCATTTCTCGTCCGGAGTCACACGGTAGTTGATAATTTGAGCCCCAGTCAATGTCGCATGCCGATCGAATACTTTCTGAGGCGGTGAAGTCTGGTCTGAGATGCTCCAGTGGTACACAGCCGTGTCGGTGACCATACCGATGGTGGTGTCCGAGACCCACTTCCAGAACACGACATCTTCTGCGTTGACGTGTGACTTGACTTTTTGCTTCGTTTCAATGTTGAAAATCTGAAGCGTTCGGGCAGCTAGAGTGAGAGCTTTAAGCAATTCGCTCTATTGTAATGCACACATAACCATACCCTTCAAAGCGAGAATTTTGTTGTGAGGGTGCATAATGGCAGAGTCTGCACTTATCGGTCTTCGTAAGACATTATTGGCATCCGCAAGGTCGATGATAACGACTTGATTTTGTTCATTAATCTTCTCTCGTACGCAAATGAAGTGGTCGGACTCCAGGGTCAATGTCTATGAAACGCGAGGCCACGCGGTCAGTTATCTCGTTTATAGTACAGCTGCACACACGACACTCACCTGCAAAATTATAATAAAGCCCAGCGCACATGAATAATTGAGCATCTTCTGCTAACAACGGTGCCAAATGGGCTGCGCGTACCTGAAATCCAATTGAACTTGGCTGTATGGCCAAACTTGAGAGTTGAAGATGCTCGCAAAATGTAATGGGCTTCGAAATATCGGCCATAGCGCAGAACTCAAAGCCGGACGCGGCACTGGCAGTTGAAGGAGACGTGGGTGTTGGGTTAGCGAAGCTAAGGTAACAAAAGTTTACCTTTGTTTGTCTCTCGTTTGCAAATGACCAAATTGCGGGTAAACCAACAAATATGACACATGGAAGGCATGTAAGTACATAAAATCTTATTTCACTAACATTCTATTCTATTCTTCTGACAGTGCCAAAGCTTCCTGCTCAAGATCATCCCCCTCTTCGAGTGTTGCCGGTGGAGCTGCATTGCCATAGTAAAGACGTTGCAGGATAATGGCTTTGAAAAGCGCTTAGTGACGTGTTGTAACTCGTGGGGTGCAAAGACGCTTACCACAGTCTACTGATAGTTGGAACACTGCACACACCTTGAACTGCAGGGGTGAGCCCTGAAGAAAAAAATACACAGTCCTGACCCGACATCAAGGCGCTGGAGTAGGGCAATGTATCGAAAGAACTTACTTGAACGAGTCGCCCCCCACCCATCCAAGGAGAGTTGAAGCACGGAAGCCATACAGTGATCGCTGTTTGTAATTACTGCACGAGGGAATGTCAGTCAAACGTGTGGACGTCTAGTGTCGATTACCTGATCAACTGCGGAATAGGCAGTGTGCTCTCCAGTCCCAAGGCGACAAACCCTAGTATCGTAATGTATAGGTCCGATCGACTAAAGATCAAGAACAATATCGCTGAACATAAACTGAACGGCTCAATGAATGAGAAGAAGCAGAAATTATGAGTAACGCTCACATGAACCCAGCAAGAAATTCAATATGTTGAGCATATGTATGCCACTGCCAAAACGAAAGGGGACGGGACGACGCCCCGAAGTTTTCAGGGCTCACACGTGGGCGGTATCGAACGCAAATGTAGAGCAAGGCCAGCTGATGTGATAGTAAGCTCGTCACATGCAGTGAGGCCACAACATACAACATACCTGCGCTATTATCATTAAAATGGACTGCACGAGCAGGGCAAGCTCGAAATGATCACCCAACCAGAAAAAACATCGAGTTATGTTTGCAATTAGTCTTCGGTGAAACAATGGAGGGGTTAGAGGGTGTGGAATCATGTCAGTGCTGCAGGGTGCAGCAGAGTGATGTCAGAGAGCTCACAGAATGGCGCAGACATCACGAGAGAATCCTGTAGAGTCCCTGGGTAAAGAGTTAGCAAACCGTGTATTAGAAGAAACATAAAAAACTGCACTTTTTGCGAACAATAGACACAGCTTGATCGACATAAACCAATGGGGGCCCAATGGCCATTCCGACTGCAGCAACAGTGGGTATCCATGACGCCATGAAGAAAGTTCAAGTTTCGAACCTGAATTTACTTAACCGAGTGTGGGGATGAACTCAATGCAAAATTGCACAGCCACCATGACCTAGTGCTTTTATCGGGTTAGACTTATTGAGTCATAGAAGTTGAGCTTATCCGGCCGAGTTCATTGAACTTACTGCAGGCAGGCCCGAAACATTAATTCTGCGAACATTCTCTGGAGCGAAGGAGATAACGTTCGTACCTCAATCCTCCACTAGCAGGAGTGCTTTGATAGAATGTGACAGATAGAAACTCAAGATTTCGTGCCATGCCCCTCCGATGCGAAGGAACTTTCTTCTTCATCACCGCAATGGCGCATAGTAATCGGCTCAGATCAATCTACGGCGCAACGGCTGGTCAGCGTCCAACAGAACTGCGCAAATCTCATCCAGATTTCACATAATCCTGTTTCATCACACAAGGTCTACGTGCTGCTTTACTTGTGTACATGAGTTTTCAGCATCCTGCCATTTGTCTGGCGTTACCCGCCTGTCTGCAAGCAAAGCAGACCGCTTTTGTTACTAAGTATGCTTCTTTGATCTTCTTTAATTTTCACTTCGAATATTTTTTTTATCCCCTGCGTCCAGATCTCTAACTATGGTGGCTACATCACGACGCGGACGTATTCATTGTTTAAACAAAGCCTAAGTAGGTATCTAACTTGTTTTCTGACGCTCATTAATAGGTACTAACAAGTGCCATAGCAATGATGTTGTTGTGGTGCACACAACCTGTGCGAGGAACCTCGGGTCTAGTTTGCGAAGGGGAAAGCAAGTTGATGTTGAGCCAGCCTTCGTGCCCCTTTAAGGGCTTAAAGAGATTCCGGTTCACGCGGCCATCTTTCAGCTTCCATTCTTGACGGATGGGCGAAGACGACCATTGTTAGTTTTGGGGACCTTAGCATGCAAGTTGGATTCCTCGAAATCTTGTGGAGCCGCATGCCTGCCGGCAATCACCCTAATAATGCAGTACTCGCCCTTGCGGTGAGCTGCCAATAGCCTCAGTGATAATGCTGTGTGTCCGGCTCCTTTCTGCAACACTTGATCCGCAGAGCCTTGATGGAACCCGTGAGGTCACGCATCATGGTCTTCTCAAGGTCTAGGGGTGATGCATCGCTTTTCCTCGTTGTGTGGACTGTCTTGTAGATGAAGTGCGGTCGTCCCCTCGTACAACAATACACAGCGGCCTCCAGCGAGGAGTCGCATTCCTCGAATGGAAATCCTTTGCTAGCGCGCGGAGACGCCTTTCACATCGTGTTTTGCTAACGCAGACGCTGAATGAGTTTCAGCACCCTCAGGCGTGTATTGTCATTTTCTTCCTCATAGACCGTGTCTAGATTCAAGCCCAGCAGTTGGCGCGAGGTCGTTATAATGGACGCTTTTGGTCACTCTTCATTTTTCCCCTGTGGCAGCCAATCAAGGACGCCCAGCGGAGCCTCCGCGAGAAGGACAACAACTGGCTTGGCTAGTGGAACACAGGCCCCTAAACACAATTTCACCATGCCGATATGGCCTGATGGTGGAAGTGAATTATTCATTTTCACCGTCGATTCGTTATGCATTGTTATTGATTGCATCTGCGCCAAATCTGCGCGTTCCTTACCTGATACGAGCGCGAAGCGTTGTGCTACTTGCCTTATGGATTTACTGTATAGAATGCGCTAGGGTGGCCTACAATTACATGCAGATAATGATCGTGGACCAGTGGATTGGTATATATCTTCCAAGTTGCAGTGATTCCGGTTAGACTTCCTCACCATAAAGTTTTCCCCCCTGGTTCCACTCAGGTACTGATTTAGCCTAAAGTTCTTCCGCGGCGTCAATTGTCAGAAATTTGCTTCCGTTTTGTACTTGCCTTCTCTGGTCCAAAGTGAACTCTTATGTCTCCGCACGTCCACAACACTTTCGACCGTTATTCTACAATGGAGCACTGCTACCACGATGGGGACCAGTACTATGATACAAGCCTCCCGATTTCTACGCATTATGATTATACACCCTATCAACCTTATTCGTATTACATTCCCGACAACATGATGCTTGCGATGACGGACCTGCAGGGAGAACAACAATTAATTCAGACGCCTGTTCATGAATATCATCCCCAAACTTTTGACAACTTCACCTCTTCCTCTATCCATCCTGTATCGTCAGATTCGTCATGTCCAGTAAGTACAGTAAAACCGTCGCTTGTTATCGAACGATCAACTCATCCGGATTTAACCCAGACGTCGACTGATTTCCATGATGCAGCAGCGTATCCCAGCATCCCGACATATTCTGCTGACAGAAGACCGTCGTATCCCCCAAGCTGGGCACAAGACGTCAGAAATAGCTCCACCCATGTCGCAGCTGCCCAGTCGTCAGAGTACCGAGCAACAATCGCGCGTCTCAGCGATGATTTTCTCGCAAGCGCGTCGTCGCTGTTTGGAGGATCTACTTCACGCACTAGCAACACATCCTCTACCTTGAGTGGTCCCGCGACCCCCCGTCAGAGCCCTATGCAAAACAGCAATCTTGTTCCTACCAGAAAACGCTCATCGGAAGCCATGAATGAGGAGGTCTTTGTTGATCAGGTACCAGCGCTTGTTACTCGCCAACCACAATTGAAGATCTGACGATCGAAATTTTAGCAACTTGACGCTCGTGCATCCGTCCAAGATTCAAGATACCTTCCTCAGCCTCATATGATCGTTCCTTCTCAAAATAGAGTTGTGCGTGAACGTCGCCTTCCTCAGGGTTCATCGCACAGCAGCGAGTCACAAGGACTTCTGCGGTCCCCCGCTCGCCCTTTTAGACAGTCGCTTTCACCAGATCTGCTACTATTACGTGAGGAAGGGCGGCCGGCGGCCCATCAGGCCAACAAGAGGCCCCATCGCTCCGAGGAGATCACCCGCCATTCTCAAACCATTTCAAGTGTCCCTGCAACGTGGTCAGCGCCAGTAGAGCCTGTCATGAAAGTTAGTGCCTCGAGGAAGACTGGTGAGCAGAAGAAGCAAGCCCTTGCTTGTTTATTCTGCAGAGAAAGAAAGATAGCCTGTGGCAGACCCCCTGCCCATAGCCCAGACCAGACCTGCAAGTAAGCGCTGTCATGATGTGCTAATTTCCTCTTTCTGACTACTTCTTCAGCCAATGTGCACGACGTCGAATGAAATGCGAGTATCCCACAGAATCTCGTCGCGGGCAGCACAAACGCATTCGCCGCAAACCGACCGAAGATTGTATTGCAGCTTCTAATTCCTCTTCGGCTTCGCAATCAGCACCAAATACACCACCCGTCATTGCGTTGACGGCTTGAATGAATACCACGTGTCATTGTACAACACATGTTTTGACGACCGTTCAATGAGACACATTAGATATATGTATGCGATATTGCCTTCAAGGGCTTTCTGTGACTTTCGACCACGTATACCTACTTCATATCGATTCCCTTTCTAATTGTTAACTATTATTACCTGACAGCGTCAGTTACTCTCTTTGCATTCCTACTACCTTCATTGACTTAGCATCTCCAAACATTATGTTCTTCGTCCGCATTCTCTTACTGTATGATTTTTCTCATCATTGGACTGCAGTATATTTACTTTAATAATATCAAGATCTTGTCGTTGCGACTTACATAGATCACTTCCACCCCTGGGCCGAGCAGCGTTCATGAAATATGTTATGTAGGAAGCATGAAGGTGGTAAGCGCTCATCCCAGCGACTGAATGAAATTCTTTCGCGAAGACTCGCGGAGCTGCTCCATGAAAATTCAGGGGTGAAATATATAGATTCCAGAGCATTTAATATGATTCGAGAAAGTATATTCGACGGTGTAAAAAATGGAAATGCGCCCGAGAAAAATTCTCGGTCAAAGCGTGAGCGAAACGTCCCAAAGGTGTTCCAGAGAAAAGACCAAGAACACCGGTAATAATATCGTGTGCATATATCTCATTATCACCGCCCGTTGACTGTGGCAGTCGAGTCCCTCCGTAAGCCCGACGGGCCAGGTACGGGATGTAGTTCTGGGGAAAGAGGTCTCTTATTCGGATGGTCTGGAATTTTTTCGATCTCCTTCTTTGCCGCTTGCCAAGCCTCAAGGTTCTGCAACCATTAAGATAAATTCCGGAACAGTCAAAATAGAACCTACCTTTTTGCACCAGTCCCTGTGGATTCTTGCCATGCTGATAGTCATCTCCCTTAAATCGGCAACTTTCTGACGCTGAAAGCGGTCTAAATCGGCCTGGATCGTGGAACTTGAGTACTTGAGATCCTGTGCTGAGAGGTGCAGCGCATCTTCCAGCTATGGTAAAATGCAGTTAGTTTAATGACGAGCGACAGGGGAAATAGCAAAGATATACCTGTGAGATGGTCTCCCGCGTCTTGCTGATACTACTACGGCGCGCCGTTTCAGGATCAGTGTCCATCATCCCGTGGAGCGTGTAACTTAAAGCATTCAAAAAGCCCATACCAGGTGCTCGCCGTTTATATGGACTGGGTCCCGGGTGAGGAGGCAGGTATGCTGAACCCGGCTCCTCAGCCTCATCTTGAGGCTGGTTTTGGGTTTGACTTTGACCTTCCGAGCCCTCAGCAGGGCTGCCTGGCGACCGCAGGCCATTAACGCGACCTTTGGATAACGCTTCATCCAACCTCTTTGCCTCTCGTTCGCTCTTTTCATATTCTTCTAGCAGCTCGCGCTTGTTTTCCAACGCATCCTGGGTCATCTCATATTGAACGTGTTTTTGGTGACGATAGGCTAGCAATTTCTTGATGATCACTGCGAATTGCGCGTACTCATGGAGAGGCTCAGAAAAGTTCTGTTCAAGTTCCTGGAGCTACGAAGGAGTGAGACGGGTGACTTTGAACAGAAAAGGGCAGACGCACCAGTCTAGTTGTTGACATATATGTCGTGTCAACAGCTTGTCCAGTCTTTTCCATGGCAGCGGCCAGTGCTCCACTTTCGTTCAAACTGTATCCGTTGAGAGCAGCGCCAAGTTCGGAGTAATCTTGAGCATTCTCTAACATTAAAAAAGGTCATTGATAGTTCAGTTGTACAATTTATAACGCCGGTCGCACCTGACCATCGCTTCAAGGTCCTCCGAGTAACCTTCTCCATCGGTCCACTGAGATGATTTGCAAATTTGTTGGTGAATATCTCAGAGTCCACAGACCGCTGATCAGGGTGTCTCAATGGGTGTGTTGCTGAAGGACTTGGAAGGGCAGCGTAAGCAGAAGCAGCGCTCTGATCTGTCGGGTTATGTGAGGGTGCTTTGAGAATGTTCTTCGGAAGGAGGGACAAAGGAGCAGAGTGCAGTACTTCCGTCTATTCAGCAACAGTTAATCAGGTGCTAGGAGGTTGAAATGAACTCCACAGACCCAAGATACCTCGCCATCGAGAAAACGATGGAATACATGCTCGTTGGACAAGATAGGGTGCCGAGCGATGCGATTCAAGAAAGTCTGTAACATTCGCTTCCGGCGTGCGATCATCGCGGCATCTTCCTTGGCCTTTGCTTGCTTCGTGGCATAGTCACCAATAGTTTGCTTTGATGGAATTGGTGGAATAATGATAGTCGGATACAACTTTATGAGGCTTGACCTCAAAGACTCGAACTCCGAGTACCGATGTCTTGCTTCAGCATTCTATATCGTAAGGTTAGGAGGGGTGCATCCAATTGAGAAGTGGGTTGCACTTACACCTGCACGAATAACGTAGGTAATGTAGGGCGTGTTCGAGTTCAATGACGTCTTCTGCGCATCCGTTATCTTATCTCCTTATTAGCAAGTTCGTCTAGACGACTGAAAGAGCGACGCACAAGAATCTCGAGGTCCTCCCCAGAGTGCAACCACTGATCTCGCCCACAACAAAAGTCATTCTTGTATGTTGACTGCGGGTGCCTGTTGGTTCCAGAGGAAGGAAATGGACGACTTAGTGTTGGGCTTGTCGATGAGAGCACTCGAGCGGGATGGCGGGGAGAAGAAGGCGCAGATATGTTCACCTTCGATGTGGATGATGTTTCGGAAGGTACACGATCGATATCGGTCTCGAACGGGTTCTCGTCCTCAAAATTGTCCATATCAATGTTCCAACTGTGTGTATCCTCGAGTCAGTTGAGGAGCTTTGTGAGGTACAGTTCTGCAGGTCCAATTCGAACTAGCTAGAGCACAGCCGACCCCGAGAAAGTCTCTGATGTAGACTATCTGTGCAAGAAGATGTTGCAAGCTGTAAAATGTTAAGAAAGTTTGTTCAATGAATGCTTAACAACTGCGTTTTGGGCTGTGATTGTCCACTGAGAACACCACTTGTCATCGAGCGTCTATATTTGGCATGTGCCTCATATATTGGCCTCATACGTATGCGCCACTTTTTTAGAACTTAAAATGTGGCAAATGCTCGGAAGGGCAGGACGCAGGGAACTAGTTACATGGTGGACTACCCAAAGACTCTAAAGCCGCTTTTCAGTGCGGCATCAATCTGTTCTCGCATCGAAGCATCTTCATCCATCCTATCGTCTGTACTTTGCGTAGAATTCTCGAATCCTATTCCGAGTAATGAAGCAAATAATTCATCAATTTGTTCCTCATGCCAGCTGCCTTGCGTTGTGATTGGAACCATAAAGTTTTGAATTTTTTCGTGCACCTCATATCTGTGAGAGATGAGCATCTTGTAGCAGAAACCCAATAGATTTACCCACCGTAACTTGCGACCTTTGCTGGCTTTGGTATCGACATGCTTCTTGGCCTTTTTCTGTTTTTGGACTTCCATCCAATCCTCGTTGCCTCTGCCTCCGTTACCGCGAGTATCAATGATGTCTCGTAGCAGTTGATGATAAAAATCTGTATCGTCAAACACCTCTAAATCATTTTTAACCTCCTCGTCACCTCCGTTACTTTCATCAACCCCTAATCGAGATTCTTTACCCCGGTAGACTCTTGTCCGTTGCAAAACCTTATCGTGATCCGCCAGCGTTTCATCAACAAGTTGAGAAGCGGACTTCAATGCTTGCGATGACTTTGAGAATGCATTGCGATTCGAAGGCAGCAGAACAGACGGGGCAACGGCCTGAATTTTGGTTGACCACTTATTCAGAGTCTGGACGAGATAAGGATGGAAACTTCCAGTGTTCATTAGCCAGTATGAAGTGATCGAAAAGCAAACGAAGATACATATGCTCCACAGAAGCTGCTGCCTGTGTGGCTTCCCGAAATTCTGAAGCATAATCTTTTACAGATCTCACATCGCCAACTTTACGCCGTTTCCGAGACGGAGGAGTGATCGCCTCATTGGTAGATAGTAAGCCCTGTGAAAAGCGAATAAACGTTGATAAGGGGGAACAGGGTGGTGGCGATTCATTAAACGTGCCTCTTGCAAGCGAAACAATTCATCGGACAGAAGCTGTGCCTCTGCCAGCATATTTACTAATGATGGCTGGACATCGTCGTAATCTGCAAGCTGCGTGGAGGTGAGGAGGAAGTATCAAGAAATTAATCGGCAGGCTAACCGGTGGGAGCCGATTTCCTGCAGCAACAGCTTTCTGCAGATGGATACGTGCGTCAAGTAGCGAGTCCCACAATGCCTTCAAACGCAGTCAGAAAAGCAAGATAAAAAGCACAATTAATCGCACAATTTGTTTCGAAACGGCCTTCCCTTTTTTGCAGTCCTCGTCACGCGTTTTGCGCAATCTCGAAGAAAGATTCTCAGTGTGCTTTGGATCTTCATATGGCGTCGTGCTTTTGGCCGCAAATGTTGTAGGAATCAACGTTGAGGCATCTGGTTCGCCCTCCAGTTCGCTCTGAGAAGATGGGACTTTCTTATTTGATTCTTCCTCGTCTTCGTCGCGCTCCAATTCGCTCCCAGTCTCCTCTTCCTCCTCATCGTCATCACTGCCATAGTCGCTGGCGTCAGATTTCATCAATTGCTTTCGGGATGTTGTTATGCCATCATATTTTGGGTCAGCTATGCTGTCTTGCAGTTTGCGTAGCCCAGAGGGCCTAACGAGGACTTGAAGATACGGACCGGAGCAAAATGGAAGGCGAAACTTACCCGACGTCAATGTAGTGATCGCGCGCACCGCTGGTATCATCTGCAAGATCATTATCTTCCGGATCATGGGTTGTGACCTCATCTTCTGGGTCAAAATCTACAAATGGCAGAGTCAGAGTGAATGATGAACGACCATGACGAAGCCCTTGCCCACTGGTGCAGCATCCTGAAGCTGAGCGATCTGTTCCGCGAGAGAGATGCCTGTCACGTTAAAATTTTCAGTCTCTTTTTGTTGAAATCCACACCCACGAACTCACGCTGCATGAATGAAAATGATCAGCTGGACAAGGCCCGGCACGGTTGTCATTTTCAATATGAGTTGTTGTTATGTAATCGTTACGGACGCGCCCGTGGGACTGGCGGTTTGATAGGCCAAAATTATCGAGCATAATATTTCTTCTTTCTTCACCACCGTCACCAGCGACATTGTAAAGTGGCCTTTCGCCGCTGCCAGTATTGACAACGAACAAGCTGCAGAGAACAGCCAATCTGGAGTCTATATCTTATCCATGTTATTTGCAGTCAAAAGATGCACAGAAATCGTGTCTCCAGTGAGTACTTCTTCTTTCTCATTTCGGATCCGGACTTGTTGTTTTGAGCCAAGATTTTGTCACGCGACAAAGCTATCGCTTGTCGATACTCGATACTGATCTCTTTACATGTAATACGATAGCCCGACCCATGGCTAGTCTGATTGCTACTTGCTTTATGCGCGTGTCTTCTCGGGAATATTCCGTATTTGCATTATTTTATTTTTCCATTTGCTTCTGTGAATATGTCAAGGGTAGTCCAAGTGGATCATCATTTTATCTCCTATTGTCCTCTCCCTGTCTCTCATTTATACGTACATTTACTCATATATCATCTTAGATTATCAAAAACAATCGCCCCCAGCAATGTCTCCTTCCCTCATCCATTCCGCAGGCGCCGCCGTAAATGCCCTCTCTCCAGACGACGAGGACGACAGCGACATATGTCCAGTGTGCGATGGAGATTGCACCTGCGACAACAAACCGCGCCCCCCACCTGCACCGATCGCAAGCAATGGATTTGCGCGTTCTGTTGTTGCTCCATCCTCCACCGCTCACGTTCCCGTAATGCCATCGCTAAAAATCAAATTCACCGTCCCAGCAGGTATGCAGAACAGAGCACGCTTACTGACACCCCAAAACAAAAAATCTCGCGCAGATGGAGTATCCACTGCAGCATCCAACACCACTGGATCAGGAGCCATATCTACCCTTGGACAGGCACAGCGTCTTGCTTCGTCAAGCACCACTGGCCATGGTCATCACACGACCCAAGATTCCACAAGTTACAAGCGCAAAGGCCGTCCATCAATGAGCATCGTCGATGCGCGAAACCCGTCCAGGACTGCGGCAGTAGACCGGCAAATTCGCGGCAACGAGGCCAACACGTTGCCACAGTCACAATCACATCTCCCATCGCAATCTCTTCGTGCACACAAACCAGGTGCATTAAAAGGACCGCGCTCCAATATCACGAGTGCTAAACAGCCGAGGACAAATTTTAAGTCCTCGAGGCCTCCCCAAAACACTAAGGCCCAAGGCACAATCCCAAACAAGGTCTCGGGTTCGAAGAAGAAGAAGAAGAAGAAGCAGGCCTTAATCAGTGACGGGTCTGCTTCTGATCATGGCGATCACAGTACTGATGATCTAGACGACGATGATATTGAGTCTGGTCATTTCCCGACTTTTGTTGCTGCTTCAGATTTGTCGCCGTCGTCAGCATCCGATTCCTCTGACTCGGGCAGCGAATCATCAAGTTTCGACTCTGATTCCTCCCTGGAGGCAGAGGAAGAGAGCTACATTCTTGCAGAACAGAGACGTCATGACAAAGCACGCGTTCGTCGCGAGCTTTTAGGCGACGAGCCTCATCGGCGCAAGGATGCGCATAATAATAATAATAATAATTGGGTCATTCGCCCGCGCAAAAAAAGTGTCGGTCTCAGTGATGTCGACATGGATGGTGACAGTGATGATCATACAGAGGATGAGGACGAGGACGAGGACGAAGGACTGTGTGATGAGGAGGAAGATGACGAGACAGATGGTCAGGCCCCTAGCGTCATCTACACCGGACTCGCGACTGGTTGGTCGGACGATGAAGAGTCGAGCTTCGACGCTGATATCTTTTTCGACAATCTTTCTGATACCAACTCCGATGACAGCTCGTCAGGAGATGAGCCTGTTGAACCTCAAGACACCCAGGCCGATGCTATGATAAGTAGCATTAGCAGCCTGCAGCGTAGTACGGACCTTGAGATGACGGAAGGATGGGATGGCCAGATTGTCTTTACCAATGGCTGTGGCGATGGCCAAGGCGTTTTGGATCTTGCCTTTGAAGCCACCGCTGCCCAACTGTTAGCTTCGGATACTGCATCCATCAGCCAAGACAGCGATGTGGAGATGGGTTCAGAAATGGGAATCGGTGGTGGCGATGGTGACGATGAGGAGGTTGAGTCCGTGATTGGTACCAGTGATGGTGAGACTACAGAAGAGGAACTTGTTGATGCCAGCGGCTTACCAACGTCGCGCGCCATGAGGCTCTTCCGTTGGCCTACAAGTGTGTCTTCCATCAATCCATCATTTACCGTCAGTCCTACAGTCTCGCCAGCTCCTCACAATCGCCGATCAACCACGTCGCACCACCGTGAGTCCCCTCGACCTGCCGACATTCTCGCCAGGAAGGTCTTCTGCGATGACTCGGACCACTCTCAGACGGACAGCGGCGAAGGAAACGCATCTCGTTCCATTCGGAGAATATCTCAATGCGGTGTTCCTATTATGGGACACTTTAAGCAAGCCAGTGATGCCACACAGAAGATGGCCATTCTCACTGGGTCGAATAAAGATGTTCCGTCTCCTTTTCCTCGCCTCACTCAGAGACGCAGACGCATTGATTCTAGCAGCGGTGGAAGTTTCAGTAGCGTATGTATTTTACATGATACGATTTGTTGTCCTATTAACTTTGCATTTCAGATCATGGACGTTCGCGGTCGTACATCCCGACTCACCATTTTCACCCCGTCTTCCGCCTTGCCCCCTCCTTCTTCGTCCGATGAACCCTCGTCACATACCACCCCTGAGCCCTCACTCGCAGAGCCAATTGAACTCGACGATGTGCTAGACTCGTCCTATCTTGACTCTGAACCAGAGATGTCACTAGGGAATGGTACAGCGAGTGAAGGTGAACTCCACCGTCATTTACAGAGCCTAAGTCGTTGGGACCGAGTTCCTGTCGGTACTTTCCGTCTAACTCGCGAGTCAGCAGCATCATCCAATGACATCCCCTCGTCTCCTGGCTGGGCATCCGAACCTCCAAAGACCGCCACATCTGATGTGCTGTCCTACAGTAATGTCATGAAAAGTAGTCCTCTCAGTACCATGCTCTGGCACGATAAGGGACCGCCTCCAAAGGCAACTCCCCGCAAAAACCGATCGGTTGTCATATCTCCTGTACTTCTTCCCGTCCGCGACGGCGACCGCACCCCTACCCATGTGCCACATAATCAACCTTCCCACAATCAACAGCCTCCTCACAAAACTCGCAAAGAGTCTCGCCGCGAGATGAAGATGTTGAAACGCAAAACTCACGGGCCCGTCCACCACCACCACCATCAGTATCATCATCACAACCACCATCCTAACATGAAGTCGCGAAGCATTGGGTCCGTGCAACGCACCAACTTTTTCAATTCCCCTAGTTCCGTCCCACCCCTCAATATATGAACAGTACTGACTTTACAACGCCGTAAATTGCCGATGACGCAATATTTCGAGCACCAATTCACGATTTCTTTGTTGTAAAACCTTTGTGCCACCACCTTGTTACGATCACGCCATTTGTTGTTGTGGTATTTTTCATTCATGCATCATCTATATCGCCCATGTTGCTTCGCTGTTGCATTACACATCGGGTATTGATTCATATATCCCATGCATTGTTCGGTAAATAATGAGTGTCGTGTTATTAGTGGAGTAGTAATGTAAAAAATACAGCATGAATGTGAGCACAGCTCTGAAAGTCCGAGATAAACTATGAACATATGTATCTGATGTGATATCGTTATCACATTATCACGCACCCAGGCCCGGACCCCTTTGCCCGCGTGCTCAATGACACGCGTGCAGCCTCATAGAAGACCTCCGAAACACCTCTATTGTGCTTCGAACTACATTCTGTGATGATCAAGTCAGCTCACGCAAACAACGAGATACAAAGGAATGATAGGCACCAAGATACCGTGATGCTCGTATTCGACGGGCAACTGCAAGACCCTCCTCATACTGCACGGTATGAGCCCCATATCGAGCGAGTCGATCACGAACAGTTCGATCGTCCCGAAGGTCACATTTAAGGGCTATCGCATGTCAGATCATGTTGTAAACTGAGGTTGTCAAGGTACGACTGACCGACTAGGACAAGCTATTTCGAGCACGAGTTAACGACAGAAGATGCAAAGAAATTCATCACGTACCTTCACACCTGGACAGTATTCTACTATTTCATCGATCCACTGTCGAAAGAAATTCAGTTGGACGAACCATGTGAAGGAGGAGCACATGTACCTTCGACTCAACGTTCTCCAGTGACGTTGGGTTGTCAACCTGCGAAGGAAGCATAAACCTAGAGTATCCCAAGAAATGATAAACTTTTTTTTGCAACTGACAGAGAAACAAATCATGACAACATGCGTTTCTGCATAGCTTAGTGATCGTAGTCGGTCAAACTCCTCCTGTCCTAATGAGCCCTTCGAATGTTAGATGTTACAAAGAACAACTAGAGGCATGATATATGCATTTGCCTCACCGGCAGTATCCCATAAGCTGAGCTCCACTAACTGGTCCTCCACATATATATCATGCACGTAGTTCTCGAAGACGGTCGGCTCACTACCGAACCGATGCTAGTCAGTCGCCAAGCAAAACTTTGGGTTAAGTGTGCTCACTAGACTTGAGTGAAGAAGCCTCTCGTGAAGACATTCAATAATGAAGTTTTGCCTATCAGAATAATTATAGTGCTTAGTCTTGAGGAGGGAAGTAGGAAAAGGTCATACCAGAAGCACCATCCCCACATACTACAACCTTTCTTTGTATCTGCCACCCACGTTAGTTGGAACCACAATTACTGAGAACTGTCTCACAGGTCGACGACCAAAGCCTGTTTTCGAGGAAGACCCACAGATTACCATGAGACTCAAAAAGAGAAGTGAGATCGAAGTATGAAGAGTTATTTCCCCAGTTGTGGCGGTGTGTGCGACTTGGTGGGAGTTGTCCCTCGCGTGTCAAACAAGGCTAAACAATGTTCCGGCTCCCATCTTCATGTTCTGATTCAGAATTTCATAGATATAGGAAGAAGATATCAAGAAATGATGAGATATCATACAAGAAAAGAATACCAGAGTAAAAATATATCTGGACAAGAAGGACAACTATATCGTGACAAACAGTATATGAGACGAGGCACCTAGTGAATGTACATCTTACCAATGCAATGTAATACCATATGTATATCAGAGAAAGCAGGAAACGGGCGGCATCAACCCACCGACTCGCCCGAGCATCACTAATAGGCAGGACGAGGAATTTCCTCCTTCGTCTGACGCCCATGAACACTATGACCCCATCCCGAGACCACTTTGTGCCACAAACTCTTGCCAAGTGTGGTGCATTGTGTTTTCTGGAGACTCTCGGCGTGGACCTGACGGTATCTGCCCGTTCATTTGCGAGTAATTTGCCTCGCTACTGAGACCATAATCAAACACAGAGAAATAGCTGGGGAATTGCCCTGCAACAAGTTCCATAGACTGCATCGGCGCCTGTGAGTCGTTGTATCCCGAATTGTCCGAATAATGAGGCGGGTTTTCTTTAACGGGGGACATGGTATACGTGGATGAATCCATATATGTCGGCCCTGCGTCATGCGCTTGTCCTGGGGTCGGGAAAGTCTGTAGGTAAGCCAGAACGTTCGGGTGCACTGCTTGATGCGCGTTTCCTGACATGAGGGGGAGAGGAACTACGGGATTCATAGATGTGGGAGAGCGATCAAAGACTGCCGCGGGCGAGGATGAGGCTGATAGTGAATCCTTCTTCGCGACCAATCGTGTCTTCCCTCCGAGAGTAGCCAGTTCATCTTCGTCGTCATACGGCGAGTACGGCTCAGATGGTTGACGAGTAAGCGGCGAACCTTTACCCTTCCGATGTTCAGTGAGGCAGATATGAGCCTTTTCCCGCAAACCGAGCATCACCTCCTGTTGGAAACTGTTAGTGAAAATGCTTCACCCAAGCCTTCGAAGAGCACATGACTACAGTGAGTGTAAGTGCGAAGGACTTACCAATACGGACTGTGCGCGGAAACCCCTAGCTGCCTTCGAGAATAACTCACAAGCAGAATCCAATTGTACGAACGCCGAAGGGGCTAAACTCATCGATGGACATCTGGTTACCACAGACCCTAATACGATCTATAAATAAAAAGATGAGAGGCTTAATGCCATTTGCGGAGGTCCAAGATACATACAGCGCAAGAGAACAGGTGACCCCAAAGGAACCAGATACGCTCGCTCGGCTCCTTCAGTTGGGTATGAAGGTTGCGCATGAGGGCAACGAGCGAGCCTGCACTGCGATAAGCAGCAATGACCGAGGTGCCATAGGGACTTCCCAGGGGGTCTTTTGGATGGTCGGTTACGGCACGTGCGAAGAAACTTCGGTGGAGGTATAGGAGATCTGATGGAGGAGGCACTGTTAGCGCTCATGTGCTGCGGGTTCTTTCTCGATATATCGCCAAGGAACAAGTCCCACGATATAGTCAAAGTTAGGTTTAAATTTAACTTACTCATTTCCCGAATAGCCAATACAATATGACGTTGCAACATAAGCATCACACTTTCTGGATAATGGGTGTCGGCCGGCCCTGTGGAGACGCCAAAACCGGCAACCTGCAGCGCTGGGGGGACAGGGAAGGCACGGAGTTTGCGGTCAAGCTGGAGGACTGTGGCATACGTCGGTGTTTTGGCACCAAATGCCTGGTCGTGAACAACACTCATGCACTCCGAAGCAAAACGGTGTTTCCAAGCATGGACTGGATAGTGATGTAATGGTCATCGAGGAGAAAATATCCCCGTGGAGTAAGAGCTTACAAATGTTTTCCTCTGACGCATCTGTTGAGTATGGCATTTTGCAATCCATGTGAGCCGTGTAAAATGATACAGGTCGACCAAATGTAAGACACTGCGAATATTGTGCTTCCATAAGGAATCAACAGTACCCACAATGCCAAATGGGGGCGTACCTGCCACGAATCGTATGTATATAGTTCCCAGAATAGCTCTCTGCGACGCAAAGTCTCCTTTTGATCCACTCCCCACCGACTAGGATCTCGGTCTAACGGATGAGGATGTGATGTTAGTATCTCAAACCTCAGGGTGCGATAACGTTACATACGTAGGCCAATCTGCCAAGTGACCCGATGAGCATGATAAAGCAAGGCCCTTGGATATGTACAACTTACACTTTGCGCCACTTTGATAGCTATTCCCATAATAGCCCACCGTGCGCCAGAGTTGGAACCATGTCGGTCCGACATAAAAAGGTAAAAAGTCATGAGAAACTGAAATTGTATGTGTAAGTAAGATATGATCCGAATTTCGTCGTGGTATGCTTACAAGAGCTTGAACGGCATTAATAGTCGGATCTTCGAATAGTGAGCTCTGGAATAACGCAGCTCGAGCTAATTGGTGATATTTCTCGGCTTCGACACTGTAGGCTGGTTGGTGTACATCCATGAGGGTACCAATCGCGAGAACCATGAACACGAGAGACAGTTTGTGTGAAAGAAGGGGATCATCGGAGGGCGGGCCGGCACTGAGGGTGTAAAATTGGGGATATATGTCTTCGTAGAAGCACAGTTGGCTAATGGGATTGTACCTTGCGGAAAATCAGAATTTTCACTATGATTGAAAGAGAAGCGGACAGACATCCATGCACCTAGGCGATAGTAGGTCTGACATATCTCTTGAGCTTTGGCAGGCTCTGGAAGGTACCAACAGAGAGTTCTTAGTCGCACGTTCTCAACATGGATGTTTGTGTGTGATGAGGGGAGAATTGGGAACGCGCCACTTCGCGCGAGAATGTCGGGAGGAAGGACGGTTTGAAGTGCAGCAAGACGATCACCATCAGTCTCATGATCTTCGTTTGCTTCATTCTAGAGATATTTAGAAAATCATTAGGGGCAAATTGAATCACTTGGACGAACCTGTAAGAAATACTGGAGACTTGTAATCAGACGTAGGAACAACATGGCCGAATGAGTATTTACGTACCCAGGAGTTTGCAATGGAGCCAAAGTATTTTGCACCACCAGAAGCATTGATTGATAAGGACCCAAAAGCGTCAACAACCTCGCCGTTCTGCTCTTCTTCCTTGGCTTCGCATCGAGGCATGTTTCTGTTACTTGGGGGCTCGCGCTGCAAAGGAGATTTGATTTTCAACAAGTCATCAGCTAATAGAGGGTGCCTGTCCGAAGAAACAAGAGAGTGGGAATGCCGAAGACCATCTTCTAATTCTCGGACACGTTGACAGAGTTCTGATATTTTCTCGTGAAGCTCTTGAGTTGATGCCAGAACGAACCTTTTGGAAGATATGATCAGATAGTACTCAAACTCGTAGACAATATCACAGTCACCTGTTCCCCTGGCCAGTTGTTAAAGAACCTATGATATTGATGATCAGCCTGTTAGCTTGAATTGAGGTGAGCTGGAGTCGTACCATCTGGACAGATGGCACCACAGCCACGTTTCACGCATGAGCCACAAGGAATTGCTCTGTCACAACGCAACTTTAGACTGTAAAACGAGAAAAGTTGAGTAATGATTATGCATACGTTATTGTGGCTTACCGTCTGCACTCCGCACAGGAAAGACGAGTAGCGCCCTTTCTGCGTTTCTTGGCTGCATCAGCGAAGAGATTTTGTTCCATGCGATTTGGAGAAACTGGGGGAGATAGCATGTGGAGGCCCGAAGGGCTATGTAAACTGATGGCAGGGGGAAAGAAGATAGATGGCCATAATTATCACGGTGTGATGGTTTTCAATTCAGAACTACGTCCAACTAAATCCCGCGCTGATTATTACATAGGATATGTACTTTAACTTCCAAATGTGGATTAAACGGACAATAAACCCCCTTGGCAACCCCTCGGCACGGATGTATTTCTAACGTCGCTGAACCTGACAAGGTGCACGCGGAGTGTGTACGAAATTGGTGACCCCTCTCATAGTAACTTTACTTCCAGAATACATTCTTCTATCAAGATTTTTAAAAAAACACGAGGCTCTACGCCATTTACAAGTCTTCAGTTCATTCATTGCGGGTAAACCTTTTTTTCCGCCGTTCCGTGACTTCCATAATGATTATAGTCGGTTCAGTGAGTGGGCATGCAATCATAGCCTGGACCCTTGGATAGCCTTTTCCAGGTACACGATATGATTTGTCAAAAAGACGGGTCAGGCGCCTTGCACCCCGAGATGTCCGTCCAAAGGAGTAGTACTAGGACATCTGACAGTGGACACCGCTCATAGACTCCGAAAAGAAGCACGGAAGACGCCAGACAAGCGATGACGAGATCAGAAGGACACCCCCCCTCCTTCCTTGCTGGCTGTCGCTGTGGCACCAGCCAGCAATGCTCGACCAGAGATCATATGTGTCGAGTTCAAATACCCGATCATTCGTACTGCCATATGCTTTCGAATAAAATCAACTCACTGCATGATTATTTTGCCTCGAGGCATTCCCGTGACAAGATCTACGTCGTGGGCACAAATTAATAACGCCCTATATAATGGGTTATCGACGTATCAATGTGATAACGACTTCGTAGAGGTCCGTGATAATCGAATGCGCGTGGCAACTTGCATGCGCCATGAGCCTCGGATGAGACATATCTCACTCGAATCCTCCAAGTCCATCATTATCCGCGATTGTCGAACCGAACGCTCCCATCGGGTGAGTATTCATCCATGTTCTTCTACATATAAGCCAGCGTTTGATGATCCTCACATACTAAGGGTGTGATGGTAGTACCTAGTAAGACTAGTCCATGGGAAGTACTGTTTCACTTTTTTTCGCTGCTTTTGGATCTCCAACCGCAGAAATCTCTGCCTTCGCATCGCGAGAAATTATTACCCTTGGTCTTGTACAAAGTAAGTACGTTAATCGTTGCAAATTACCGTCACAGCCTCTCGAAGACTGACCTCATACACTTGGCCTCCGTTCTCCATGGATCACAGTAGATCTGCACACGAAAACAATGGAATGCTCACCATGCGCTTTTAAAAGCCGACTCAAAATCTATGTCCGCCTTGGCCCCTCCGGTGTCTATGATCTTGCACTTGTTCAGCCTGACAGGCAGTTGGTATACTACCACACACTACTGACAAGTCACGCTGAGCAGAGACACTTGTCGATGGCGCTGAACTGTACCGAGTCACAGTCAGCTGATCACTCTCGCGATCATGCCTTTAGCCTGAGATCGGCACGCATTACGATTTGCGGACCATGAGTCGCTGAAACTCTGCGATGCATCGATGAGTATCCACACGGACGAGCCATGATCGCATCTGGGAGCTACTACCTCGGACAGCCTACAATTCCGTGGATGTTTGAACCAGTTATCTTTCCCCACATGTGTCTAGTACGTCTAGACTTTCTGATATGCGTTATTGACTGTTCATCACAGCGACCCTGAATATCAAGCTTCCATTGCTCCCACTAGTAGTGGCGTGGGGGCATGCAACCCAGTAGAACCTAGCTTGACATCAGTGAACCCTATTCGCTGATCAAAGCGGGGTAGAGCGAAGTCGGACCCCACATAATGCCAAACATATTTTGCGGCATTTATTGGGACTATATATTGACGTCGGAACGTTAACATTCCTGCCGGCATGTTTCCTTCTCTTTTGCGCTACCAGTGTCGGTGGCTGGATACACGTGTGGTGCATGACATTCCGTTCCTTCGTCATCATCCTTCCCAGGTTGCACGCCACCAACATTTTGTTGACAACTTTATCTTCTGCATATCGAACACGCCCATCTGGGACCATTTGCCCACTTGATATTGCATAAAACAATAATCATCCGGCTTCCCTTCACTAGCGTCACTAGGGGCCTAGCATAACCCCCGAAGGCTGCGTATGCACCTTGCCGTCAGGTGAACGTTATGCGCGCTTCTGGTGGGTGACTTGGAAGAGTACCAAGGTGCCAAGTCACTCACAACTGAAGGAGTCCGAGTGCTCGTGTGAAGAAGGTCAGAAATAGAAAATTTCGAAGATTTATCCTATTTATATGTCTTCTGCTTATCTCTGAGCTGAATATCGAACGATTTCGAAGTGATTCATAATAGACAGTGATCCATCCGAGCAGTTTATGTAAGCGATACTATCCCTTACGCTCTATTCGTGACGGTCCACAATTTCGTGATTTTTGTCTGCAGCACTCAACTTCAATGTAATTACTTAGCTACTTCACTCAGTATATTCTATATACTATATACTAGCATATTCCAAGTGGAACGAAACAAATCTGTTGAGAAATGGTGGAGATCGTGTTTTCAGCGTGACAGCAGCCAAAATCACGATTTCAGTGTCACCTGCCGAGGCTGCCGACGTCGGACATTGAATTTAACAGCGTGTTTCATTGCAGCTGCAATCCGTGAGCGCGTGAGCAAGTAGCGAGCGCTGAGCTGGGCTACCACATCCACCATATTTTTTTGCTCAACCCGCGCATCCGAGTCCGAGTCACGGACTTCATAATCCATCTACTAGTATGCATCAATACCCACATCCACATACATTCCCTCAGCAATATTTTACACATCATTAATGATTGCATTTAGTTCTATATAATTTTTCGGTACATACTGTAGCTCACAGACTTATAAGTAGCGTCCTAATCAATCACTGTTGAAGTTCACGAATCCCGAATCACGAATCACGAAGATTCTAACGTCTGCCGAGCGGACTGTAGATTCGGCCAGTGTGACTGTCCGTTACTATTCGTGACCTGAGTGTGACTCACGAAATTGTGGACCGTCACGAATAGAGCGTAAGGGATAGTAGTCTGTTCTTCTATATCTTATCCCGCCCTCCTGCTCATGTACATTACAGAGGTATATACTATATTTGCGAAAAAGGGTATGCGTCAATTCCCGTCTAAACTAAGTTCGAGGTGAGAAAACGAATTCGAATGTCTAGTAGGGAAGGCCCTTATAAAAAGCCCGATCAGAAATGCCTATCATAGTACACTAATCAGATAACAACAGAGGTCAGGGTACCGTCAGCATCTGGGGGAAGCAGCTTTCCCTCGAGATTGACACCAAGATCCCGCGACGACTCAGATGTTACACTGGTGGTATCTCGTACATATACAGCTGGTCGAGGACGTTCGCTTGCGGGGCTGATGGGTTCGGTTACAGAATCCTCGACGGACGACGTATCCGACATGCCATTGTACATTGGCTCTTGTTCAACGCGTTGCGGCGTTTTAGAAGCAGCAGCTGCTGGGGCACGAGTACCGAAGAAGTCGCCCAGTTTTTTGGAGAGAGGAACAGGGGGTGTCAGCGATGATAGGGATGGGGATGCAGTGTGGGCGGCGGGTGCGGCAGGGGATGAAGAGGGCAGTACAGGACTCTGGGTTATAGAATCTGCTCGCCAGAGTTTGAATCCCCACCCAGTAACAGCTGGTGCTGGTGCCGGTGTTGGTGTTGGTAGTTTCTTCACCTCTGCAGGCGAAGGGGGAAGGCTCTTTGGCACAGCTCCAACCTGGTTTTCTTCGATGAATTCCCGTAGAGCTTTGACGCAAGTGTCTGATGCTTCGCGAGCCTCGTTTGTTTCACTCAGTTCATGTTTCACATCGTCAAGTTCAGCCTTCACAGCATTGAGCTCCCGGCGTAGCATTTCCAACTCAGCAGACTCTTCCGAAGGGAAAAGAGACTGCGGTGGTGACCCACGACCGATCATGCCAGACATCCTCCTCGTGTGGGAAGGCTGTTGGGACCTGGATTTCTGCACATCAGGTAGGGTGAAAGTCGTGGGAGTCAGAGTGGGAATAGGGGATGTCAGATGAGAACTGTCGAGAACGTTGTCGGAGACTGATGATATTCGTTTATGGCCATTGTTACGCCCAGTCGTTGATCCAATCAATGATGCGCGCTTGGAGGACGGTGGGCCGTTGAAGGAAGGAATGCCTGCTCTAGACAGGTCAAGAGCTGAAGGCAATTGACTCGCCCGTCGATTTTCAGACTGTAGACGCATGAGGCCACGCCTGAGAGGCACTGTGAGTGGCACGTTGTGCAGATAGTATGAGTGTGAAACAAACCTGCTTTCCTCAACTTTCGTCCTGAGTATAGATATGGTGTCTTCATCATCCTTAATCTTTGTACGAGCGTTATCCAGTTCCTCCTGCAGCTTTGAGCATTTTTCCGTCATATGCCCAAGTGTGTCCGTAGTTCCTGCCTCGCGGGCCCGCATCTCAACCACTGTTTGTGAGAGTTCATCTCGCTCCCTTGTGACACCTGCGAGCGACAGTCTCAGTTGAGTGACGATTGAAGCGAGGACATGAGGATCCAGGGAATTCGGACGTCCTGTGGCATCCACAGGTGAGTTCGGGTTTGATTCATTGTCGAGCTGTCGCTCGAGTTCTAAGGAGAGATCGATGGAAAAAGGGCGAGGTGGGTCGCTATGTGCTTGTTCGTGAGCGGTCATGGTTGATGGAACGTACTCGTGGTGAATCGTAAAAAAGTATGAGCCAGGGCTTATGTTGGCATGTGGACCAGTAGCAAGTTAGGGCTCGGAATGGTGGCAGCCACGTCGCGTAGTGTCAGGGAATGGGTTGCACTACCCTGCCTTTTATGGTTAGTGGCTGTGAAAATGACCATATGAGTGTCATGTCTTTGCACTGGGAATGAGTATAGGCTGTTGTTAGTTTGCTAGTAGGGGCGCCCGTACGTTTGCACAGTATCGGAGAGTCTTGGATGTACAGCTATTTAAATATTCACATTTTATCACATCCCTCGACCATAGCCTTCCCCGCCGTATCCCCGCACTGCTTCGACTCCTAACGTAAATATATCCACCGAATCATGGTGACAGTGACGACGGTGACAAAAATGAAAGAATTTTATTATGCTGAGCGGGAAACCAGCAAATGAATCACCTGCTTCCCGGTTTCTTGGTCTGGGGGCGGCGAAGAATGTGGCAATATCAATGTTCCAAGATGCGTTCAATGACCGCAGTACTAATCGACTTGAAATGGTGCGCATTCGAAGGCAAACACCGGTCAGCTAGGATCGAATTCGAAGAGGTTCAGATTATTTGTTAATTCGAGGCTGGACGAGGACCTTAAGTGATCATTAAGAAGATACAGGCTTTGCGATGACAGGCTATTTGTGTCGAACTGCATCTATAGCAACGCTGCAATCCGGATGTGTCCAGGGAACTCTATCATAGCACGAATACCCCTGTCGCACCTAACCTCGTTCTTCGGCAGGGTATGCAGGTGTCCTAGTAACCATCTCGGCCTAACCGAATCGAATATTTTCTCAAACACCAGTAACTCGGCATTTAGCACAAGATGCCAGTGCGGTGATTGCTTGGGCATATAGACAACGAAAATGAACACTCCAAAGCGAGTCGCTCATCTGGTGCTGCGCCGGGGGGGTGTAACAATAAGTATCATGTGCCCATCGCAACGATCTTATTCAAATATGATGCCCGGAATATTCTAATTGCACACCCTAGAAAGTCAGAAGTGAGCATATATAACTTGGTTGGAAACGTGCGGGTGGAACTAGCTGTGATTGATGTCAGAGTGACATGCAAAGCTCCAATAGGCTCCACCAGAATGTTCGGTTGCTCCATAGGAGGATAAGACTTGAAGAAGGATCTTAAAGGATTCGAGCTTAGTCTCTATGCATTTCCCACGTAAAGACAAATTATGAGTAAGCATGAGAGAGATGCGCAGCTGTAAAAACAATTCACGAGAAATGCATAAGATCTAGTTCCTACGAGAGTGAGCCATGCTTATAAACCAAAAGAAAATGCACTCACTTCAGTGTATTCCACGGGTCGTCATATGCTGTCAGTCAAATGCAAAGGTCTACCAGATAAGAGTTCGTGCGGTCTGACCACGGATCCCAAAAATACCGGGACTCTACGTCGCAGATGATCATTTCTGATGCACGACTCTATTTGCAACGACCCATGTAACAAGATTCCAACATGTGTACCAGGTGAGAAGGAGCGTGCTGTGATATCACTTAGCAGACGTAGCGATTCCTACACACAAGAACGCTCAGTGCACATATCCAGCGTCTTGATGACCGTCTTCGAGTTCAGTTCTGGTCGTCCAATTAATGGTGGAAAAAACTCACCATCCATGTAGAAAGGCTCTTGCAGGCTTGGTCACTCCGGACTTGATCAATTAAAAATGAAGAATAAGTATAAACTATCCGCACATGCACCACAATTTTGGGTATTCGTCTGTAATAGACATGAGATGGGAAAAGATATAATCACATTTTCTGCCCCTGTTTGTACAACCATACAACCTAATAGATCTGCTTAATAACACATTATTCTTCACAGTATTTCATTTCAAAGCAAATACCAGTCTTAGCAAAATGATCATTCTCCTGGCTCCGGTAGTGTGGATATTGCACTAATGGCATCTTCATCCGTGAGTAAGAGCATCTACACATATGATGCCATCGCGCTCGCTCCAAGGATAACCCCACCGATGGAGCCATTCTCGCACGCCCGAGGCGAGGCGAGCCCGCGAAGCACCACGTGCTGCGTCTTGTGTTCCAGTGTGTTTTTCTTCTCCAACAATAAGGAAAGCTGAAGCATAAAAATGAGTAAAATCACTGGCTCCACAAGAGAACACCTACCGAGACCAAGGAAATGTTCCCGCTCAAGCTGAGATTAAGATTAATTAAAAGATCATCTGACGGTTGCATAGAACACTCACAGCAAGCAAGAACTCTTCGAGAACATCTGTTGCCTCATTCGAATGTAAACCGTGAAGATCGAGCATAGATTCAGTTCTCTCTTCTGACGTCGATTTCGAATCACCGCCTGTGTTGGTGCTGGCTATGCCTAAACATACACCCAAACCTCCTCCGCAGGGTCGGCCACGGGCAGTTCGGTCTCCGGCATCATCAGACCATCCAAGATCTCGACCCTTCACAGCTTGTTCGGCAACTTTTGCACGTTCTCTGACGAGTTTACTAGCCGCTGTCGTCATCTCATTGCCCATTTTAGCATTGAGATCGTGACCCTCCCTGCTAAATCGTTTGGCTGCGGCACCATCGCCGCGTCTCCATGCATCGGCAGCCCGAGATAAGCACGCATTCCGAGCGGCACCCAGTTGCAGTGCTCGAGATCGATAAGACATATATAACGCATTGATCGATTCCCCAGTGGGTAACGTTGGTAATAGTGCCGGGGGACGTAACTTGATGCGAGGCGATGGTTTTGGCGCTACGATCGAGGTGCGGATGTGTAAGTTATCCACAGACGCATTCGATGAGATTGACGAGCGAGTGGCCGTTGTGCGGTCTACCGGCACTTGAGTAGGAGCTGGTCTCTTCACGGCTGCTGCAAATCTCGTGCGACCGGGATCATGTTGCCAATGGCCATCACGGGCGGCGTAACCTCTCCGATTACGAGAGGCATCAAATCCTAGAGCCGGAAACTCATCAGGTGGAGGACTTGTAGTGCGGGAACTAGAGTTGCCGAGACTAGTCCGTGACAGTGCACCAGTCACACTGGCCACATCAACGTCTTTAGGAAGGTGATGCAAAAATTCACATTGATCCTGTTTGGCACAGGTCCCACGCAACCAGAACCGGCAGAGTGCTCTCTCTAAATCGTGACTGCGAATGAAGATGAGGTGGACATAACTGACAAGAACCAGAACCAACACACCTGAAGCGGCAATCGGCCCGCAAGCATTCGCCAGCAAGGTAATAGCGGCAAACCCTATTTCCGCCGGGGACGGGTCGTCCATTGCCTCTGGTAGAACCTCGGGCGGGCTGGAAGCCTCCGCGTCCTCCATGTACCACCCCGGCGCTGCTATCCCTAGCCACTAACGTCACTCGCCCTCCCATGGACTGCATACGAGGTTGGCTGTGTTGAGGTGGGGAAGGCAGAGCACGATCAACAAGCCATGCCATAGCACGGTCGAAATCATAGCCGTTCTGAGAAAGTGCATCTTCAAGCTCGGATGGCGCAAGGGTGGATCCAAACACCGAGCTAAGCACATCAAGAGGTGTCATCCCATCTGTCAAGTACCCTGTCCCTTCCGCGTCGTCGACTGTTCCATCGAACTGCGGGTCATAGTCATAGCTATGCTGGTAGTAACTTTGGGCAAGTGGATCATCGGGCGAGACTGATGAACTATCCATCCACTGGTCAAAGTCGGTAATTGTAATTGGATGGAAAGAGTTGGATGCTGTCTTGGGCGCGAAGGGATCGAATGGGTCATCTTCTTCGTCTTCCTCACCTGGCCTAAGAGATGAGCGGAGGGAGCTTGGAGTTACAGCTCGGGGCTGCAAAGAATCTCCCGGCACCAACGGCGCGGCGATGGCAAGATTTGAAGTTACTCTGAGCTGACTATGGGACCACAGGTCAGGAGACGGTGTCTCGATTCTATATCCAGAAAGGGTTCCGGAAGCAGACGAAGCTGCAGCTGCAGATAGGGGCCGAGGAATAGGCTTGAATTCAGTTGCTTTTGCGCTCAAAAGTCGAGGAGAGGATATTGGTGATGATGGAAGGCTCGAAGTAAACTGAGGATATGCTTGCGCTTGTGCATGCGCAAGTGTTGGTGAGTTCATTGGTGAAACACTACGCGCAGTCATGTATGAGTTTGTGTTTCCAGTCACAAGAGGAGAACCAGCAGGTGTATGTGGCCTACGAAACCCGACAGCGAGAGGTGAGCTAGGCACTGAGGTGGGGGTATCTGGCCTGTTTGGAATGAACCGAGCAGTAGAGTGGGTGGAAGCGCGAGACGAGGGTCGAGATGGTCGTCGTGTTGGAGTTAAGAAAAGGAAAGGCACGCCTGCTACATCGTCGTGGTGTCTATGCATCAAATCCAAGACATGTTGTTCGAGCTAAAAGACGGATGATCAGAAAAAGGGGCAAAACTAGTCATCTCGCGAGCTAACCATGTCGTCTTCTACCCCACAAGTGGTCTTCAATGATTCTTTAAGTTCATCCTCTTGCTCATTAGCAAGAAATCCTGCTACTTTCGTCACAAAAGAGGTGGTGATGCGGATTGATTCATCTACGTCTCCATCTCCATCGAAGCTGTCTGCACTGCCCTTCTGCTGACGGATTATAGCTAATAATTGGGCACGGGTATGAGGGAATCGTTGACTGGTCAAGACTGAACCAGATTCAGATACATCGTCAGACTCAAAGATAACAGCGGGAGGCAGAGTCAGCGTCTGGGGCATTGCTAGAGGGCGTCAAAGTGAATGATTAGGAATACAACACAAAGAAAAATCCGAAAGCGAAGAGTAAGATGAAGCTAATCTCTGCGTCCGGGGACGTGCTGCTAGCTAAGCGAGTCAACAACGATAGGGTCCATATAAGAGCAATATGAAACAACGAACAAGAAAACAAACAACGTTATTCCCATCACGGGCTCAAACCCAGGTTGGCCTGATCATTGATCCAATTATTGTGCTCAACGACCCGACAAGCAGCATCAATTAATGCATATGTTGCAAAGTAATCAGGACCGGGGATATACAATACTTGTTAAATTTAGTCGTCCCACTGAACGAGAACAAACTCTTCTCTCCAACACTCCTTGTCACCACCGTCGTCATCAAGGCAACAGTCCTTTTCACACGAAAAAATCATGCAAGTGCCCCACTCCATACCTCGCTTATCAGATGCAACTTTTTTCTGCAGTACTTCCTGTACCACCTTCATCCTTTGTTCGTCTGTCAACTGCGTCTCTTCATCCTTGATTGAGGCCCTGAGGACGTTGATCAGGTTGGGCATAAGTTGGCATTCGAAGACGCGCGCCGCCTTGCACGCTGGGCACGGAGATATTGATGCAGTGCTGTATGAACGTTTAGCAGCAGAGACGACCTTGAAAGCAGCTTTTGTCACTGGAAGAGGGTCCTGAGGAGGGAAAGGGAATAATCTGTCGAACACTTTATCCGAAGAAAAAGGCAGGGGGATCCCTTTCAGTTCATATCTACACTCAAAACATTAGATGATCAGATATAACAAGGATAGAAAGACTGAGTTTAGGCTAACCTGAGACATTGCACTCCTGTGCTGCTCACTCGCTTCGAGAACCGATCAAATACAACGTCCACCTCCAAGGAGTTCTCGTATGGTTCGAATGCCCAGCTTACATCCTTTCCGTCCTTAGGATTCTCATCTGCAGGGTCCTCTATATGGTCACTCTGAGGACTTTTGGTCTTGGGCGGGGGAGGCAAATATTCAGAAGTCGTTGAAAGGTACAGAGGGGGAAATGATGGAGCAGCTCGCCATGGCGAATCATCAATCGTTGTTAACGCCATCGCGGTTATTAATGAATGTGCAGAAGACTCAGACGTGGCGCTTTCTGTATCAGATGTGTCCTCTGGCTCATCTTCAATTGCGGGGGCAGCGGCTGTGGGAGCTGGCTGTCCGAATACGCGGTCACCCAGTCCAAAAGGACCAGGAGTGAACCCCGCCGCATGCATCTGGCTGTTAAATGAGTGACTGTGCACATATCGCACAAATTTGACTCAACTGAAAACGGATTAGTTGTGGGAGCACTTTTTACAGGCGAGGAAGCCTTCTGCTGTGCTTGTCTCTTCGCCAACATTTTTTCAAGCTTTGCTGCATACTCTGCGTTGTATCTCAGAGCACGCCAAGCACGAACACTATTTCAGAGTTCACAGAGAATGACGACCCATTTCTTCGTGGAATAGTACAAACCTACCTCCCATCTTTTCGTTGACAAGCACTCCGGGAACATCCCCAGATGTACAATGCTCTATCCATAGGACTGTCCTCGACTGGACACCAGACTTGTACAAGCAATTCCATGGGGTACGAACAGATCTTGCATTGAGATGAGGAGAACGGTGGTTCTCTCGAAGGCAGTATTGCCTTAAAAAAAAATCAAGTAAACTGCATTGACAGGTTGATCGTACATGATCAAAGAGACATGCTCGTACAGGATGCCCGCCAATACGAGAAACCGCAGCATCTTTGATATCAGTCTCTGTCTCGATTACACCATCGGGGATGCCTAGCAAAACCGCTGTTTCTACTTCTGAACCGATCTCATCATCGGAATCAGACCAATCGTCATCAACAACAGAGGGCATTGCGATGGTGGGATCTAGAATAAGTGCTCGTTAGTAAGATGCATCTGCAAGAACTCGACAAGAAAAGTGAAAAAAGTCAGATATGCATGAATGGTAAAATTTGAGACTCGTCATATATGCTGTCGTGAGGAAACCGCACGCCAGCAGATTCAGACTCGTCATCTAAAGGGCTCATCCAAGAGAAATATAACTCTGAACTTGGACTCACCGTGATCGACGTTGAGCTTCAAAGTGAAAAATAGACAAAATCTTTCGAGATATATGGGAAGGCCAAACTGGTTCAAACATAAGCAAATTGAGTGAAAGTCGTGGGAAAGCTCTTACTAATAATAATACAACAATGACTGACTGTAAGCCGGTTGCTTATTACCTGAGTTCCTATAATCATGATAAATAACATAATCATAAGCATTGATTATCGTTGCCTTTTGGTGTAACTGTTAAGGGATGACAGTCTTAGCTACTTATATTTTTTTAATAGGACGACGTTATGATTCTGTAGAACGTTGTACAGGCGAGCAAGTGGTGGTGTACACAAGCGAGCACCGCCACCGCAGCACGTCAGGTCGAAAAAGACGCGACCCAGCAACGTTTGAACCGCAGATAGGCTCGGGAAACGCGCGGGAACTGGACGGGTTGTGGACGCCGTAGGCAGCGAAAATTGATGTTTTTGAGCTACGGAAGCCGTCAATTTTTCACACGAAGTTCAATGGACATCGTGGAACGTTGCGCGTGACCCATGATATCGTAAGCAGTTGGTGGCGCTTACACTGACCAACTAAAGAGTTCCAACGCATTGAACCGGTACCGTTTCATATATAACCGTTTCATACTTATTAAAATATTCACGCTCTTTTACGCTAACTCTGGGATGTCTCCCCCAGATGCCCGAACACGTCGAAAAATCAGCTTGAAACCAGCCAGAGTGCTGACTGGATCGTAAGTTGGTCAGTATGCGTGTCGATATTTCAGTCCTGAAAGTCATCCCAGAATCGGCAACAGACTTATACCAACCATACTACCCTCCAATGTCGTCTTCGTGCTTGCGCTCTATGCAGCAAAAGAGCTACTTCTCTCGTATGATGTGGGAGTGTTTTGGGTGCTTATGAGGGTGTTGGCTTGCGGCGGTTTGGGTATGCTGACATGGGAAGCTTTTACGGGGAAGCTTATGAAGAATTGCAATATAGAGGTATGTGTACGAGAATCTAGCACTTTCTGTCTTGACCCTTGATCATGCTCAGTGGACAGCAATTGGCGTGTCGTCATTATTGCTCTTCGTGCAGCAAGCAGCCCTATTTACAGCATTGTATCGTCTTCCCTCTCCGAGGTATGCTGTTCCTAGACAATGAACCATGGGACTATCGCGACTCATTTATATGCAGGGTAATGTTGTTCAGTCATTTCTCCGCGATGTGGGTGGAGTCATTTATAGCCCCCGCTTCGGTCAGTCTACTCTACACGATTGAAACATTCCATTCATGAGGCCTCTCAGATGTGGAAGCCTATCTTGACTTTCTCGTCATTTTTACTTTCATTTGCTTCTGATACGTTTTTATCTAAACGCAGCGTCTCTATCATTGTTCCTGGTTATGGAGCCTTAGTTATGCATGGCATATCCACCTATGCTCTTGAACATCTTCGTGGTGTCTTGGCTCCAACTGTACACCCCACGTTGACAACTGCTGCCAGTACACTCGGCGCGGCGCTTGTCGGACTCCCGCTGTACGCCTTCAGACAAGCCATCGTATGTAGTTCATTCAGGCCTCCTGTTATGACCTCACCCTATCATTTTAGCTTGACCCTCCCCCAATACCCGTTGTTCCTGTAACCTCCTTGGCAGTTCTTCCAATTCTGGCATATACCATGATATTTCTGACGCCGGACACAATTGGCATGCAATTCAACGTTGCCCAGACCTCTCAAGTGTTCTTGGTCTCCTACCCAATCGCCTTTCTTGTTGCGACTGCCATGGGTTTTCTAGGTTTTTCACAGCACCCACGTTCGACCGATTTACTAGTGGGGGTGATGCTCTATTATTGTCAGCATTCACTCCGCGTGCTTGTGGTATCTAGTTCTTACCTCTCTTTATATAGCGATATATCCGGACAATGATCCCACACTATCTGGTCCATCGCGTACTCCAGTGTCGAAAGTTGTTCGGTTCTATTTGAACTCGATCCTTTCGGACCCTGAGTCGAGAAAGATTTTCTATTTCCTCGTGTTGAATCTGGCCTTCATGCTAGTTCAGATGCTATACGGCATCTGGACTAACAGCTTGGGTCTTATCTCTGATGGTGAGTTTGAAAATGACGGGTTTTTTTACGTTCTGATGATTCCCCTTCAAGCTATTCATATGGCCTTTGATTGCTTGGCTATTGGTGTCGGCTTACTAGCCTCGATCATGGCAAAGTGGCCTCCAGATGAACGATTCACGTACGGGTAAGTCCATGCCTTGTATCAAGCTGACGCATGCAGTGATTCTGTCTTCCTTCAGATACGGCCGAATTGAAACTCTGTCAGGATTCGCTAATGGGATATTCCTCATCCTAATATCTGTTTTTATAGTCTTTGAGGCTGTACAACGAATGTACGTTTCCGTTTGGTCACGAGTTATCATATAGTAAATGTTAACCCTCTGTAGATTGGACCCTCCGGAAATGACGACGAACCAGCTGTTACTAATTAGTTCCCTCGGACTTGGTGTTAACTTGTTTGGCATGTATGCTATGGGCGGCCATCATCACCACCACGTTCGTTAACATGCTTCCACTCGTTCATATCATACTAACCTCAACGTCACAGGGTCACTCCCATAATCACGGGCATACACATCAGCATCAATCACATAATGGGCATACTCATCACGATCACTCGCACACTCATGGTGACCATGCCCACGAACATGACAGTCACTCGGTCGGTGCCCATTTGCATGGCCCCGCAGCTTCCAAGCTCAGTGAACATCTGCAGTCTTCGCTATCCCATGAAGACTCACACGCACACAATCACTCCTCACATTGCCACTCATCAAATGACACATCCTGCCCGGATCATGGCTCTCATTCTCATTCAGACTCGCATTCGCATTCAGATCATGCACATACCCATCCTGCCTCTCCTGAGGGCTCTTTAATACGTGGCCGCAAGCCCCACTCTCGAGGTTCTTCCCTCCACATACCCATTGATGGCGCCCAAGTCGCATCTGCTATCCCATTTCCCCTGTCTTCCCCCAGTGGTGCAGACTCGCCAATTTCACCCAGCTACCCTAGCACTTTAAAGCATGACCATCACCACCACTACCACCATGGGATGGAGTCTTTGAAACACAGCCCGCGCAATCATGATCATGATCATGATCGCTGTCATGAACATGAACACGGACATCATCATGAAGGACACAGTGACAACATGCGCGGCGTTTTTTTGCATGTTATGGCGGTGAGATTTCGTCAGACATTTTTGCAACAGCATTGATAGATCTTTACAGGACACGCTCGGTTCTGTCGGTGTCATTATCTCGACCCTTCTCATCCAGTTTTATGGATGGACAATATTCGATCCCATAGCATCGTTGTTCATTGCAGTCATGATTGCTGCAAGTGTCATACCGTTGGTAATTGACACAGGTAGGGTCCTAAGCCTTGATATGGGGAGCCGCAAGAAAGAAGTTCAACAAGCTCTCTCTGAGGTATTACATATTTCTCCTAGTCTAATTACTCTGACCACCCGCTTCTCGTGATAGCTTGCCTTCGTGGATGGCGTCACCTCATACTCATCCCCCCAGTTCTGGCCCAAAGACTCAGCAAAAGTCATTGGCTCGATTCACATCCAGGTCGCGCTTTCATCACACAAACATCCTGACACTGATGGCGTGCGCGAACGCGTGTATGCCCTTTTGAGGAGCAGAATTTCGGGGCTTGAAGAGTTGACCATACAGTTAGAAGAGGGGGGAGAGTCGTTGGAAAGTAGATAACGTGCACTGAACCCACGCCATCGCATATATTTGTATTAATCGTACGCCATGCATCCATTCGCATCACCTTGTGTGACCAGATGTTTTCTACTAATGAAATGGCTACTGCCAGTGCAAGCCAACGCGTCTTCTTCCAATGACGATCGATTGACAGGCTCGGAATTGCTCCAAATGAAGTGGGCGTTATTTACTTACTCTACCAGCGTGAATCATAATGTGAAAAACCAAACAAATCAATTTACCACTTGTTCGAGACTCTTGCTTTACATACACTGAACCTGTCACTGCATTGTGATTTCATCTACTCAATAGTCTAATTGCATCTTCTAGAGTACTCAGTCTGGCTATCTGGCCATGTCGTCGTAGCCTGTATATACTATCCCGCACCACTCGTTCTTTTCACTACTCTTCAGCACGATTCTTTTCACGATCTTCGTCACTGTCAACGTCCATGTCCTGGAATGCGTCTGTCCTCAGCTCCGTATCCTCAGATACGGAGCCTACTGTTGTCATCGCCTTTGACTCTGCTAAGTACATCTTCAATGTCGGTGAGAATACTACCCGCGCGTTTCTCCAGAGCAGGAGGAACTGGAAGAAGACTAGAGGCGTGTTCGTGACTTCTGTAGGCACCCAGCGAGCGAGCGGCCTGCCAGGTGAGTATAATCTTGTTCATGTGCAAGCATGTCAACTATAGATCGTCTCTTCGACAGGTTTATTGATGACCCTTGCGGACTCGGGTCTTACCAGCCTCAATATCGCCGGGCCAGCCGGGCTGTTGCACTTCATGGCAGTTATGCGCAAATATACATTCAGGTACTTATTTTTCTGATCTCCAATACTTCATCTTAACACTATCAGCATAGGGAAAATTTGTCCGTGAACCCGATCGAAATACCTACTTCCCGCCTCCCGGATGAATCAACTGATGATATACCCATCTACAAGGACGATAATATTTCTGTGTTTGTATTACCAGTTTCTGCTGAGATACATTCACTGGAATCCTCGGGATCGGTCACACTGCCACACTCCGAAACCGAAACCAGTGTCGTCAACAGGAGATCGGGAAAAAGGAAACGTTCGCCTTCCCCTGCTGCACCATCGCTACAGGAAGTCATATCTCACCCTGACTTCGACCCTGCCACGCTCGTCGGCGATATGGCACAAGAATGGCTTCGTCACATCGTGCGCACAATGTTTCCCGGGTCTGCCGCTAAACCCGTTAGTTCATCCGTGAAGGTCGAACATGTCTCTCAGCCATCAAGCTTCAATCATCCCTTACCTTCATTACCCGAATCCAATCTACGTGCAACGCTCGCATATGCGGTGGTTGGTCCGCGGGTTCGGGGAAAGTTTGATGTCAAGCGCGCGGAGGCACTTGGCCTGAATGCTGGACCGTTACGCGCACGGGTTGCAAGGGGGGAGACAGTAACTGTAGTTGGCAAAGATGGAGTGGAGAGAAACGTTGGACCGAGTGATGTTGTAGGTGCTAGTGAGGATCCTGGGGTGCGTTCATCTTTCGCGCTTTCTAACCATTCGCTCTCGATTTGGGACGCAGTTAGCTGATTGAATTATAGGTCGTCTTAATACTGGACACGCCCAGCACTGCACATATACCTTCTCTTGTGAAGGGTTTTGAAAGTGGTGTGTTCTCAAAATACTGGGGCAAGGGGCCGGAGAAGAAAGATCACGCACTGAGAGTTATCTTTCATCTTTGTGGCAATGACGTATTTGATCATGAGCAATATAAGGCGTTCATGAAAAGGTTCGAGGACGATGTACATGTGAGTGCCTCTTGTTCTAGGCGTCTACTGGGCTGTTTCTGACGCGATTGAGAGCAGCATATCGTTGCGTCTAGAGATCACGTATCAGATCCTATCACATTCACTAGCGCGGCGTTCAACCAGCTGAGGCTCAATCACCTGGATAGCGACATTTTCCCTGTGCCCAAATATTCTCTAGAGGCTAAGAAAGCTCTCGATAGTGCGTTAGATCACTTCCCATTCATATCATGTAACTTTACGATCTAGTAGCAACGAATCTCCCATCCAATACCGACTGCATGCGTGCGCATACTATCATCGACATCCGTCCGCCACGGCCACCACTACGAGACCCTGAGGCACAAGCGAATGACCTCTTCCACCCTGCTGTATTGTCTGGCGAGTCTCCATCACTCTCTGACGCTGCCAGAACACAATTTTCTGAGGTACGAGCGCGCATCGACGAGGCCACAGTACCCGACGTCATGGGCAAGGATGTCACGGTGGTCACACTCGGAACGGGCAGTGCTATACCTAGCAAGTACCGAAATGGTTCGTACTTTCCTATTTCCACCTCGGATACTCAATTAAATCGTTTGTGCAGTTTCTGGTACACTCCTGTGTATCCCGGGAACAGGGTATATTCTCCTGGATGCAGGAGAGGGGACATGGGGACAACTCTCCAGGAACTATGGAGCCGCTGTGTGGGACGTTTTGAGGGATCTGAAGTGCATCTTCATTAGCCACATTCACGGTGACCACCACATTGGTCTCGCAAAAATTTTGGCGATGAGACAACAGGTGTGTATCCCCATTCATACCTTAATGATCTCCTGGTGTTAATATGTGAAAAAGCTTGACCCGCCCCCGGAAGAACCACTCTACCTCATCAGTAATCGCATGATATTCCTTTATCTTCGGGATTACAATGCGCTTGAGGAGCTTGGGTTCTCGGAGGATGCTCGGGCTCGTGTAATACCTATTCTGAGTGATGAGATTCATTGGCGCAACAAGGGACGGGGTGGGTGGAATTACGGTGACCAAGATCAGAAGGGGTGCGTGTCAGTTTGAGCTCTTGGCCTACTCATATTGACGCGTTTTGCTCTTTTCTTACTGTAAAGATCGAGGCTTGCAGCTGGAGCGTTGTGCAGAACGCTTGGATTACAGAGAATAAACACCGTCGATGTGGAGCATCGCGCAAGGTGCCATGGGTTAATTGTCAGGCATCTGGATGGGTGGTCTGTCGTGTACGGTGTCGCTTTTTTCTCATGTGTTATATTATTTATAGCGCAATTTCAGGTTCTCGGGTGACACAGTCCCAACCCAAAAGCTCGTGCAGGCGGGCGCTGGGGCCACTCTGCTGATCCACGAAGCCACCATGGCCGACGATCAGGTTGAAATGGCGCGCGCCAAGATGCACAGCACCTTTGGGCAGGCAATCGATATAGGCAAGAAGTGCGTTTCTCTACAATATAATCACAGACCTTTGCTCAATTCGTGAACAGCATGAATGCACAAAACATCCTCCTTACGCACTTCTCGGCCCGCTACCCCAAGATGCCACCTTCTGTATCTGAGCGTCAAGCTGGCGACCCTGTTGTCGCATTTGCATTCGACCATGCTAACATCAAGATAGGGGACATGTGGAAGATGAGCGCGTATGCATGCGCGATCGAGCAGAGTTTTATTGATATCGCTGATATTGAGGGGGAGGAACTGGAGGCTATTGACGCGATACACATAGATATCAGTTGAGATCATACAGTCGAAAGTTTGATGAATCACCTTCACAGGGACTTGAACGTTCCATGCAGACAACAAAAAACCCTCAGATACTGGGTCAACCAATTGCATTAAATGCTGTGCTCATGCAATTAACAGCGATATGGAAATCAATAGTCGTGAGAAAGTGGGTCAATTATTGCAAGTCACAACTAGTTCCACCTTTTGGTGTAACGATTATGCGCGGGCGGAGGTCTCACCAAGTTACAAAGATCTCATATTCAACTTTAGTTTCTGAAGCGTTCTGCATTGGATTGTGCATGATGGTGCTGGTTACAAACACCAGCTACTGCCAGAACCACCAGAACTTTGTCACACTGAGGTACCATCATACCTGCCTTCATTCGGGTTAATTTGAAAACGCCTTTTATAAGGCGAATCGACATCATCTTGGGCTCAACTATAATTCCTCCTTATGCTCTTCACTCATATTCTCGCCTCAGGGATATCGTGCATTGTTGCCCTGGTTGTCACTTTGGGTCTGACTCGCAGACGCGTCTATCCTTTACCTCTGCCGCCTGGCCCTCGTCCCTTACCATTTTTGGGTAACGCGCTACAGTTGGATACCAAACGACCTTGGCTTACTTATACTGCGTGGGGAAAGACATATGGTTGGTAGTAGCAGACCTATGGCCTCTTTGCCAAGCTCTAAGATTCAATTTCATAGGAAGAATCATTCACTCCCGCATATTTGGGATCGACTTGATCATCATAAACTCTGAAACTATCGCGCGAGAGTTGCTGGACAGGCGTTCTGCAAATTACTCTACTCGCCCCGTCATTCGCACCAACGAATTGTATGCATTGTCGGTTTCCATTCATTTTGTTCTTCATTCGCTGATAATGCAGAGCTGGACTGGCTTTCAATACTGCATTACTTCCATATGGCGAGATGTTACGACGACATCGCAAGATCTTCCATCAAATCCTCAGGGCCGAAGCGTCAGTCTCATATCACAAGATGTACTCTCGCCACGCAAACGAATTAGTCGTCAATCTCTTGGATGTCACTAGTAACCTGTCCCAGCAGACTGAAAGGTTCGTGCCTAACTCAGCGGTGTCTTCATGACGTATGGTCCAGTCAATCTTTGTAATAGATACACGGCATCCCTTATCATGGCTGTGACATACGGATATATTGCTCACGGAAGTGAAGACCCATTTCTTTCCCGCACGCGCGAACTCTTTGATATTGGCAAATATATTGTTTCTCCCGAGAGGGCTGCCATATTTACAGCCTTTCCTTTCCGTAAGTGCCTTTATCTATGACATGATTTTCCTCATTAGCATGAGGTTGCAGTCGAAAAATTGCCGTATTGGTGCTTTGGTGGCGCATTTGCTCTGATAGGACGCTGTAGAGAATTAGCTCAACAGCTTTTGAATGAACCCTTTGACGAAGTAAAGGCACAAATGGTACGTATGCGCAGAGTTCTGGACGGAAATCTCGCCTGATGCGTTTGCGTGAAGGAAAATGGTACTGTTTCGCACTCATTGGTCACTGACTTTCTCAGTCAACCTCACGACGACGTTGACGAGGACACGATGAAGGCTGTTGCAGTTACGGGATATATAGGTAAGAGTTTTTACCAGGACAGAATCCACCCATTGACGGGAATATGGCACCTTAGTTGGCATGGACACGGTGAGTCAATATTTGAGCAGTCCTGATTCTTTCTTCGATATCCTGCAGACTGCATCCGCATTGCAGACATTTCTGCTGGCCATGGTGCTCTATCCTGATGTCCAAGCCAGGGCTCGTGCAGAAATGGACCAAGTTGTGGGGCATGATAAAATGCCGTGCCTTGATGACAGGGCGTCACTACCCTACATCGATGCCACTCTCCACGAGGTCCTGAGATGGTATCCTGTGGCCCCCCTAGGTCAATCCGCAGTAATACAACACTATTTGAATAGTTAACCCTCTACACAGGAGTTCCACATGCGACGTCAAATGACGATGTTTATGACGGTTACTTTATACCCAAAGGTTCGAAGTCGTATGTGTCGACCTTGTCGTTGACTCATCTTCAGTTCGATCAGGTGCGATGGTAATGGTCAATCAGTGGTATGTCACGACTCATGATGGAGTGCATGTAATGGCTTGAGCTGAGCATGCCTCAGGGCACTGTCTCGGGATGAAGATGTGTTTTCTAATGCATCACGCTTCGATCCTAGTCGCCATCTAACAGTTGACGGGAAGCTGAAGGATCATTTGGTCAACCATTTTGCCTTCGGTCATGGCAGGTGAATATTAATATTCCACACTTGCTATCATTTTTAATCATTCACCGACCCTTGCAGGCGTATTTGTCCTGGTAGGATAATTTTTGGTTGATCTGGCAGTGTTGAAGATGACAAATGCCCTTGGCAGGTCGTTGGTTTGCAGATAACAGTCTGTGGACTGCAGCTACCGCCATACTCGCCGTCTTACGCGTCGATCATGCCAAAGATTCAAACGGAAATAGGATTGAGGTGAAGCCGGAGTTCACCACCGGCTTGGCGGTGTAAGTGACCTAGTATGTATTCAAGAACCTGCGGCTAACTCTGCGGAAGTCACCCTGAACCGTTCCACTGCTCGTTTGAATGCGTGAACACAGCGAGGGAAAGACACATTCGAGCGATGATGAATTCGAAGTAGGCTTCGTTTATAACTGTAATAGCCTGTAATATGATAGTACACGATTGTACAACAGCTCAGAGTGAACTGGATGGCAAGGTTTTACAGCCTCTGTGTCTGTCTCTCATTAACAAAAGAACTTTTGAGACCGTTGACTCTTCAGAAATCACATACGCCCGTTGCAACATTGATCTACCTCAATATCGGTCAGCCCGTGCACTTGTGCTACGACTTATGTGGGTTGAGATTGAGTTATGCAACTGTAGATGCTGTAGAAAGCCGTGATCCCCGACAATCCAAAGAGAGACCGTTTCAGACGTATGCCGGTGACCTGAGACATCGTCCAATTGTTCAGGATGCTGATGTGGGCTGCCAGCGTGGTCATATCTATTGGGGCCCAAACTGAATATGCGATGAAGTTGAAAGTGTAGAAAATCACAATAGAGTTAATGCTGCAACAACGAATATAATTTTGTTAAACCACCCTACTGGTCATCGATATCACTGACCTGTCTAGCAAAGACTAGTGTGGCCACCAACGAGCCTATGTCGACAGGTATGTCACTTATATTGTTGTGCAAGAAGTTTAAGAGCAATTCAACGATGTCGAAATCTAAGGATGGACTCGAACCTGTAGAGACCTGTCACGTAGCCTGCCTCGTTGTGAGCCTCCTGCGCTACCGATAGAGATTAATATTGGCGAGGGCAGGTTGTACGATAAACACATTGAAAAGATGACAGGAATACCTGCGATATGGACTGCAACTGAGCGCTCTGCCAGTTAGTCCATCCTAAACACATCAGATTAGTGAATGGGTGCCCTACTACCTAGTACTTCTAGCCTCAATCCCTTGAGTACGCAAACTATTAACAGTGACTCATGTCGGATACCTTGAGAGTGATAAATTTTTTCCTTCTAGAGGTGGTAGGTTGTTGTTAAAAGGCTGTGACTGACGAAAGCTCGGCGATGATACCGAATGCACGTTGTCGGGCTGGTGTTCACAAAGTGCATCCGATGCCTACGATGTCAGTGGAGTTGGTAGGGCTGTCACTGAGGGGCCGACATAGCGAGAGAAAGCGAACATAGGCGAACGTGTGATTAATCTCGCGTAGAGTGGGATGGAATCATGGAATCAAAGAAAAATATGCAGCCAAACACGAAAATTACGGCATCAGCATCTGAAAACTCGCTTCGATAGCAATACAGTGCAATCATCAACATAGTACATGCACATCTGATGTAAATATTGATGGTATCATCTCCGCACAGATAAGGTTAGGGTATAAATTTATAAAATTCTAATCATCCAAGGGAGGCATCTGATCCCCACTCACATCTAACTCCGCGTTTGCAATTCTCTTTAACAATTGATATGCTGTATCAAGATCATCATTGACGATCACGTAGTCAACTGAGCCATGTTGACGAGCATAGTCGATCTCTCTACGTGCGATTGCGAGACGACGCTGGATGGCATCTTCAGAATCTGTGGCGCGACCACGCAAGCGTTTATTCAACACGGTCATGGAGGGTGGGGAGACGAAGACGACTGTGGCATGCAGGGGTGTTTTCTTGATCTGTTGGACGCCCTAGGATAATGGTATTGTGATGATCGGGCTAGAAGGAGAAGCGAACGAAACATACCTGGACTTCAATATCAAGGATGCACCGCTTACCCGTTGCTGCGACATCTTGTACAGCCTGTATGGAGGTGCCGTAGAAGTTGCCCGAAAATTGGGCGTGCTCGATGAAAGCGGCCTCAGAGATGAGTTTCTTGAAGTTATCGGTTGTGGTAAAGTGGTATGCTTTGCCGTCTATCTCACCAGGACGTGGAGCGCGAGTAGTATCTTTAGGATGGGAACTAATTAAATGATGGTGTGAAAAGGTTGAAAAAAAAAGCCCCCGTACGAGAGACACTAAATCCAAAAGAGTTTGGAAACTCTTTTATGAGACGATTGATGAGAGTGCCTTTGCCTACACCCGAGGGCCCAAATACGACTAGAGGAGGAATTGTCATGGATCAAGTAGCAAATGCCTAAAATAACCTCGTGACAGGAGTAAAATGCATCAAACAATGTCACAAAAAGCGTGACAGGAATATCTGCCTGAGACGACGACGACGGACACAACGCACAAACCAAGCTTACTTCTCTCTTCCCTTACCCTCTTGATATAATACCCTATGGGCGCCCTTTGCTGTCGACCTCAGGTATTCTTGTCCCAATTTTACTCTGAACTAACCCATTCATAGTTATAGCCGGTCGATTTCGAAGGCGACGTTAATCTCTTTCACTTTGTTCTCTTGAGATGTGTTGGAAAGGGCGCCTTTGGAAAGGTCAGCATCTGTCATACCTCAATTTTCGCTGTCAAAATAAACAAGGTCCTAGGTCCGAATGGTCCAACACAAACAGACCAGGGAGTTGTATGCCTTGAAATATATCAACAAGACAAAGTGCGTAAAGATGAAAGCAGTTGCAAATATCATCCAGGAACGAAAGTTACTCGAGGAGGTCAGTATATGAACACATCATCCTCGGTTCCCAATCATCCCACCCACAGATCGACCATCCATTTGTCGTTAATCTTCGTTATGCATTCCAAGACGATGAAAACTGTTTCTTCGTCTTGGATCTTATGCTCGGTGGTGACCTTAGATGTACGTCGCCTTGCTTTCTTTTGCCTCTTCGCTTAGCCCGTTTCAACCCATCTAGTCCACCTCGAACGGTTAGGCTCGTTGCCAGAGGACACAGTACGCTTCTACGTCGCAGAAATAGCTTCAGCTCTAGCCTTCCTTCATGAGCACAGAATAATGCACCGGTATGTATAATCCGAAACCGGATCTATAGACCCCTTCATAATTACCTCATAAAGTGATCTCAAACCGGATAACATTCTCCTTGATGAACGGGGTCATGCACATCTCACAGATTTCAATATAGCAGTACACTTTAGCGAGCGCCGCATGCTTACTGGCATTGCGGGTAGCATGGCTTACATGGCTCCTGAGATTCTCGCTAAACGCGGTTATACTTACCCGATCGACTGGTGGAGTCTGGGTGTTTGCGCATACGAGCTCCTCTTTGGTCGGAGACCCTTCCGCGGCAAGACAAACGCCGACTTAACCCACAGCATCAGTAAAGACAGCTTACGTTTTCCCGACGATGCTGATAAGAAGTGTTCGCGAGCGGGCTTAATGGCTTTGAAAGGGGTGAGTGGGTCACACCACCTACCCTCTTGTGCTGATTTTCTTGCAGTTCTTGGACCGTGACCCTTCCAAGAGACTGACGTGCAAGCAAAACGATGGTTATGAAGTAATGCAACGGCACCCCTGGTTTCAACCAATAGACTGGGCGGCACTTGAAGTCAAAGAATTGCCACCACCGTTTATTCCCGATGTGAGTCCTTTTTAGTTAGAACAACATTTTCTCTAAGACCCCCGCAGTCAAAGAAGGCAAACTTTGATGCATCACACGAATTGGAGGAACTGTTGCTTGAAGACAATCCATTAAAGGCTAAAGCACGGAAGACGCGAGATGTTAACACGCTGAGCACCGAAATGAGACAGATGGAAGAGCAGTGCGTAATTTCAATACATTCTTTCTCATATCCTTTTAATTTGCCACAGGTTCGCATCATATGATTTCAAGAAGATGCTCCGGCGATCATACTATCCCCAGAATCAACAGATTGTATCAACCATCACCGCAACTTCTTCTACAGGCGGACTCGTATCAAGTCGACCTGTAACACCCGTAACAGACTCGCCAGTCGAAGGCATCGTACATGACCACGACGAAAGCGAGTTTGACGGCGATGATGTCCGAATGGAGAAGATGCCCCGGGTCCTAGAGAAGAATTTCTCGTGATCCATTCCCCACCCCCACCCGCCAGACGAAATGACGACCGCTGATGATGTATCTGCAAATATCCTCCCATGTACCTTGTCGATATGTACAGCACCCGATTCCTACACACGCCCCATTTACTCATTTCGGGGACCTAATCTTGGTTGCTGTTGCTCACTTTCCTTATCATCTCACTTCAATTGCGCTGCTCATCGGATACCTTCGATTTGTTCAACACAGCATACAACAAGAACAAGTTCATTCTGACACCAGATACTGTCACCGTCAATTGTTGAGCTTTCCGTTATAGTTTATTGGATTTTGTTTGGCTCTTCTTCGTTTTTGAGGGGGTCGGGTCTTTCTTTCGAATCGTTTTTCTCTTCTACAATTTTTTTCGTTATTTAGTGCTACTTTGCTGGCTAGTCATGTGGGTGTGGATTTACATGCTATACGACGCTTGGACTTTGCGTATATTATCAACCCATTAATAATTGCAATCTGTTGTCGTTGTAAAGTCGGCTTACTAAGCAAACGCACTCAGGGCTCATCAGGGCAAGCTCACCCACGTTACTACTCGCAGTTCGCATCCACTGACCACGCTTCCCAAAAACCATGGCCATGGCGGGGCTCATCTCCCCCAAACCGCTCTCATACCTCCAGCATGCTGGGCAGTTCAATCCATACCAGCAACAGCAGCAACAGCAGCAGCAGCAGCGCCTAGCAGGGTCCGCGCTATCCGGATACTCCGACACCCACACCCACACTCAGAGTCATACACCTTCCCTGCACCCACACCATCATATCATGGGTCTTCAAGAGGAGAGCAAGATATATAGTCTTGTTATTGACCTTACGGATCCTAATGCGCGTGAGGCTGCATTGCTGGAGTTGAGTAAGAAGAGAGAGCAATATGAAGAGCTTGCGTTGGTGCTTTGGCATTCCTTTGGTGAGTTTTTTTTATTACATTTTGCTGGATTGCTGGCATTGATTGTATGATTAATGTGGTATCGTACCCTGATGGTCGGAATGGCACAGGTATCATGCCAGCGCTATTACAAGAAATAGTATCCGTCTACCCCCTCCTCTCCCCTCCGAACCTCACAGCGCACGTATCAAACCGAGTGTGCAATGCCCTTGCGTTACTCCAGTGCGTGGCTTCTCATCCGGATACGAGACAGTTGTTTTTGAATGGTGGGTTCTGTGCTTGGGTCGGGTCGGTAGGGTGTGGGCTGACTTTTTGTCTATGACGACAGCGCATATCCCGTTATTTTTATACCCGTTCCTGAACACGACCTCGAAAACGCGGCCGTTTGAATACCTCAGACTTACTTCCCTAGGCGTCATTGGCGCCCTCGTCAAGGTTCGTCCTTTCCCCTTTTCCCCTCACCTCGCTATATTCCCCTCCAATCCTGTTTCGAGTTCCAAATGCAAATGCTAAACAAAATCTCATATACCCCTAGCAAAACGACAACAACACAGTCATCCACTTCCTCCTCTCAACTGAAATCATCCCCCTCTGTCTCCGCATAATGGAAACAGGTTCCGAGCTCTCCAAAACAGTCGCTATCTTCATCGTCCAAAAGATCCTTCTCGACGAGACGGGTCTCACTTACATTTGCCACACTTATGAGCGGTTCTATGCCGTGGGGACGGTTTTGAGTAATATGGTGAATCAATTGGTGGAAACGCAGGCTGTTAGGTTGTTGAAGCATGTGGTGAGATGTTATTTGAGGCTTAGTGATAATATGAGGTGGGTTTTGTTTTGTTTTGGGGGTGGGCGGAGCTGATGTAGTCAACAGGGCGAGGGAAGCACTGAGAGCTTGTCTTCCCGAACCGCTGCGCGATCAGACGTTTAGTGTGCTTCTCAAGGTTCGTCCGCATTCTTCACCAGAGAGTATTGCTAATACCGATCAATAGGGTGACATGGTCACCAAACGATGTCTGACGACTCTTTTGAACAACCTCAACGAGCAGTGATGCCCGCTTGGACTAGATATATCAAAACGACCCACTCACGAATGCTAAAAATTCGGACTACTCCCATGAGATCTGATGCTTCTTTTTTTCCGAACCGTTACGGACGTCACCACCTCAGCCGACTGGTGATTGTATTCGCACTTTTATCTTTTGTACCAACGCAGGCCCCCTTGCTATCTAAATTTCGTACTAATTGTTGATTATCTGAGTAGAGCATTGCATTTGTATCTACCTTATAAATACCTGAAATTCACGAAGATGTGGTTCTCGAGAATTGCGAGGCTGGAACTTTGCTACTCTTCCAGACCATATATAACAGAACTGCGCACCTTCACGTCGGCGTTTTCCGTTTAATATAGAAAGGCCGAGCATCGCTGGCAGTTCAAGCTACGCACTTATTTAGCCTAGGGAACAAACTGAATATTCATGGGTCGTGTCTGGACAGCGAATAACAAAAATTCAAATTCAACTGAATTGCAGCTGGGAGAATCTTTATCTCGCTTGTGATCAGGGTTTTGCGCTGGCGTTGACCGTCGGACGCAGCCTTGTACTATCTATCCCCTACTAGATCGTGCTCACTATTTCGCGATTGTCTGCAGCACTCTATTTCGCACCAATTGCTTAGCTACTTCACTGAACACATTTTACATATTCTACTCCAAGTGAAACGAAGCAAATCCGTTGAGAAATGGTGAAGATAATGTTTTCTCCGTGACAGCAGCAAAAGTCACGACCTGCCGCTATTGCCGATGTCGGACATTGAATGAGATTGAGATGCATCCTTCTCATGCGCTGGCCTTGATATTCCCGCACCAAATCTTGCACAACCCACCTCCACATCCATTCCCTCAGCATCGTCTCGCTACATAATACCATCCTAATCCCTTGATAAGTTAATTAATGTTTCACCAATCTGACGTCTGCCGAGCGGACTGTAAATTCGGCAAGTGTGACTGTTGTGACTATTCGTGACACTTGTGTGATTCACGATTCACGAATCGAGTGAGATTGCTTCTCTTTGCGGAACACTCCGGCAAGCGACGAACCTAGGCGACAAGGATAGCCAAGCCAAGCATATATAAATTTTCCCTTAGAACGCAGTCTTTGTCCACATCCGTCCACTCCTGATGGGTGAACACTTCTCCTACAGTTTCCTCGGGGGACCATCAGCATTAAATTCAACATGCCCATCTTTCGTGACTGGAGAAACCATATGCCTACCCCCAGTTAAAATCCCATTCTACTTCTCCCTCCGCCAAAACATATTTGACGGCATTCTAGACACGCACATCGCACTCGCTGCCCCGGTGCTCGCTTATTGGCTCCTGTCTTTTGTATTCTACTGCCTTGACATCTCCGGCTGGCAATGGCTTGATAAATATCGTATTCACGAGTCAGAGGAGGTCAAATCTCGGAATTTGGCTACCCCTTGGGAGGTCGCACGAGCTGTTCTACTCCAGCATGCGACGCAAACTGTGTTGGGTTTAGCGTGGTTGGCAGAGTCGCCGGAGATCTCGGTTGCGCGGTGTCAGAGCGAGATGGAGGCCTTGGGAAGAACATTGGTATGGGTTGTTCGACGTCTCTTGGGAGAGGAGACAGGAATGAGGCTTTTGGAGCTGAGAGGGCCTGGGATGACCCATTGGCTGTACTGGTGGGGAATCCCAGCTGCACAGATGTTACTCGCGCTGTGGGTGTTATTCAAAATACGGTTTGACTTTCCTCTAATGAGTATTCCCAGGTTCATCGTCGATACGTGGCAATACTTCCTCCATCGCTTGATGCACACAAACAAATATCTATACAAGAAGATCCACTCTGTACATCACAGACTCTACGTGCCCTATGCCTTTGGGGCATTATATAACCACCCCTTCGAGGGCTTCTTGTTGGACAGTGTAGGCGCAGCACTCGCGGAGCGCCTCTCGCATCTTTCCATTCGACAAACTATTTTCCTTTTTGCATTCAGCACGTGCAAGACTGTCGACGATCACTGTGGATATAATCTTCCATTTGATCCGTTTCAGATGATGAGCGGAAACAACGCAGACTACCATGACATACATCATCAGGTACGCTCCTTCACTACCGTCCGCTCCTGTACAGTGCTGACGACGAGTACAGGCCATTGGAATCAAATCAAACTTCTCACAGCCTTTCTTCGTCCATTGGGATGTCCTACTCGGGACGCGTATGACCAGAAAAGATATTCAAGAACGTAGAAGTAAGGTTAAGAAATCATGATGCACCGATTTTGATGCCGTGTCACATTTGGATTTTTTTTATTCGAATGATTCAGGACTAGAGGATTCGCTCACCCAACCTAATGTTTTTCTTTTCTTTCGCCACCCTTCTTGCTGTATAATTCTAGGTTATGAGAGCTACGATAATGTTTGTGACCTAACTTCCTTCGCAGTGACGATAGCCCCTGTTTATGCATCACGAAACATTGTCGTATCAATTACTGACCAAAGAACACCCGACGTTGACGTCGGTATACTGGTTATGCTTTGCAAACTCGTCATATGTGATGGCTGTGTTGATCGATTGGTCTGGGCCTTCAAGCTTCAAGAGGCCCCTCAGCTTAAGGTAAAGAGTTTGCCCGATCGATCAGCGCGGTCGGGCCCAGCTTTTTAGGCTCTTTCAAGCCCCTCAGACCTCAGACCTTGAGGCTGTTCCATAAACGTAGCGCCGTCTTCTGCTGCCATGACTTCGTTCATCGGCCGGACATCCATAAAATATACGAGTACTTGGTGGTATGTTAATACACATCCGAAAACACTTTTCGAACTTAGTCCCTCGTCTAGCTCTCCGGCTGGGATCTCACTCTTCACACCAGAAACATTGCTATGCACTCCTTTGGGCAGGTAAAGTTCAACATGCCGTCTTTGCAAATCGCAGCAAGGCAAAAGGCTGCGGATGGAAACACTTTGCGGTGTGCAGGATATGCGATGGTGCTCATCATAACCCTGCAGACGATGCACACAGCGTGGACAATTGGTCCGCTTACAAATCCCTGTCGAAGGATTCACTTCCTGCACAAACTGGACTGAATTATTCGGATTCTCACTCACGAGCATTGCGAGTGATTGCTCGCTTTGAACAACCTTTCAGTGCGCTTTTGCTAGCGCGGCAGCGCGATGGAGAATTCAAGAGGATCACGTTAAATTATGATATTATTACCCGGCTTAAAGACATTGCTTCTATTAGGGATATCAGGACATTAGAAGGACTTCAGTACTGTTGAGCGGATTTTGTTTGTGCCCTGACGATAACTTGCATGGAGTATCATATATACCTGCACAAGCTCTAATTTGAAAGCAGACGTGGGAGACCCACCGTGTCATTTGTCTACTTGAGATTAAAATCAAAAGGTAAAAGATCAGCTGATCTCAACAAAGTTATTAACTATGAAGCTTTGAAGGCGCATCGGGAATGGAAATATGAACGAACATCGCTTGCGAGAGATTTCAGTAATTCAATGTCGTGTGCTTTTGGCGGCGACAAAACTACTGTTGACGATAAAGCACAATATTAGCAACGTTACACTTACATGCATCAAAAATCTTACCTTTCATGAAAAGTTTGATGGTTCACAACAACATTCGCCTGTTCCGGAAGGATGCTTACTTTCACTCTACCTTCTATAAGATAGATGGATTGAGTAGGCTCGTGAAAGCGCCACTTTTAAAGAGTCTTAGCGGCGCTCCAGCGTTGTAGCGCTCTACACGCAACATGATTTCATTAGAACTGCACCTGGTGGAGGTCGTCAGTGTTTGCATCGAGGCACCTACAAAAGAATCACAGCTGCTGCTGTGTACTGGCAGTAGTATCAACACCTTTTCTTCCTCTTCCTGCTCTTTCTTGACTTGCCACGGAGCGCTGCCCCTAGTAATCATATTGGCGCTTGATATGCTATGAGGTTGGTGAATTAGATGTCTATCATGCAAGATTTGCCAGTGGTCGACAGACAGGACTACGAGATAATCTGCGACGTTACAATATATTAATTAAACCTATATTGTAGATGTCATTTTACTTACAATTTACTCTAGCAGTTTTTGGACATGTGCGATCCTCCCTCGTGTTCGCAAATCTGTACATAATCTATCTTTTGTCTCAGCAGATCATGTTGCTTGTTGCATGATTCCTGTAGTCCCTGTTTTAAATTGCAAATGATGTGTCAGTATCACTGCAAAGACTGAGACCTACAGCGCTATTGAAAGTATCACATAAGCGCCGTTTGGATTCTTTGCAGCATGACAAGATTGTGCATAACTGTGAGTATGACATGATAATTCGATGAGAGTGCCGGAGTCGTAAAAACAAAGTCATGAAGTCAGCCTGATATTACGTAAGTAATTATACGGAATCACAATCACGTGGTAAATCACGTCGCGTTGCTGTCACACCGACTTCGACCTTGTTTCTTAAAGTTGTCACTGGATCCAATTCAAAGTCTCTGCATGGACCTTGATGAAGTCGTGGACACATCTGACGTTGAAGAACGCGAATTTGATGTCTCAGAGGCAGACTGTTACACCTATTTCTCCCCCAAGAAGACGCAACAGAATCCAGGACCTCTGGCTGCCGCTAAGTTGCATCCAAGGTTTAATGACAGGCGAGAAGATCAACCCTCTTCACGGAAACGTGTGAAGGTAGAGCCGAATTTCCTATGTTGTCTTACAGTACTCATTGTTTCTCAAGACAACTCACGACGAATCTGAATCGCAGCCGATTGTCGATATTAGTTTGTTGTCCCATGCATCGCCTGTGAAATCTACCGCATCTTCTGCACTGCATACAAGTGCACCAATGCAGGTTGCGCTTGACCATATGTCCAACTTATCCCATCCAGCTACCGGTGCCCACGAAACGTCATCGCACAATGAGACTCAATCTGCATATACTCAGGAGCTGAGTTCCAACGACATAGGTATCCCCCCCTCACTCATTCCAACTGATTCTGGAAACATGTTCCATAATTCCATTACCTTAGCCGATGCGCAGCCGCAGGGTGACCCCCAGTCGCCGCTTCCTGATTCCTCTCAACCTCAGCTAGATGACGCCCTCTTCCCGTCATCGCCCAGCTATGCGCCAGTTCCTTCTAAAGCTCTTGATTTTTCTCAGAGTCCATCACAAAATGCTATATCTCAACACGAGGGACTGGTTTTGAGTCCATCCCCTTCCGTATCGCGCCCAGCAGACTTGCGTTCGTTGTTTTCTTCTCCTCCGGGTCCCTCGACGCAATCGTCCCTGGGGCTTATTCCCAAAAGTATAAGAACGCCTATTCACATGGCGCGAGATACGCCACCGCGCACTCCACATCCCTATGGTCGTCAATCACTATCCCCCGACGAGCTGCTTCTTATCTCTCCTGAAACCCGCTCGAGATGCCTATTGACCCCAATCACCCCAATAACTCAAGATCACTCGTCCCCTGCTGTACAATTACAGGATCTACTACCACTCCCGTCTCTTTCTCCGCCTGTTCCGCCGTCACCAACCCTCGTTATCCCCGAGGACCCGGAACCACTCAGGCGTTATTCCCTTCGCCGCAGGCAGGCACGTCAGCTTCAACCGTATGCGTTTGACAAGGCGCAGTACAAGGCACAGATGAAGGCAAACCCTGATGCGATCGTGAAGTTTGTGAGTCCGCAGCGTGACGAGATGCATGGAGAAGATGGGTCACAGTGGGCAGATGGGCAGACGCAAGGTCGAACTCAACCAGAGTATAGCTTTCCTGTCGACAATCTGGAGGAGGACAGAGATTACGTGGACGTGGAAGGAAGGAGGCGAAAAAAGCGGGCCACCGTTGCTGAAGCTGATCGTCATAATCGCGAGCGAGAGGAAGGATGGCTCCCTGAGGTTCTAAGAGATCTGTCTGAAAGCGATGAAATTGATGGAACAGACGAAGTTCGTAAGTTGGTGAGGGAGGCGAGGATAGCTCGAAAGAAGGCTGAGGCTGAGGCAAAGAAGAGGGAGAGGGAACAAGCTCGCTTGAGGGCGCAAGAAGAGGCAGACGCGCAAGAAATTGCCAAGAAGAGACGTTTGAAGAACTTCCCACTGGCAGTATCATCGTCAAAGCAGCCCGCTGCAGGACCATCTTCAGCATCCTCGAGACTGTCTCCATCTCGCTTAGACGAGGTGAGATTCATTTAGAAAAACTTGTTATATGCTGACGTGCTGGATATATTCCATTTCAGTGGTCCCCACCAGTCCTTTCCAGGATCTTGAAGGGAAAACAACGTGCTACACCATCTCTTTCCCGCTCGCCCTCGCCCTCACCCTCACGTTCTTTTGATGTCCATCCTTTGCAACCTCAGTCCCGTTCGCCGGCAAGAGATCCCTCTGTGATCGACGAATACGAGTATCAACAATATGATGACGACATCTACTATAATTTCTCCGACCACGATGCCCACAACTTGATCAATGCGGAGAAGGCCAACCCTGATACCGACAACGACGTAATTGAAATTCCCTCAGCACCGTCAACACCACCACGCTCCTCGTCTGCATTGCCTGATGGGAGCAATCAATTGGACTTGTCCGATGTCGATCCGCCCGCTCGTGAGCCCTGCGACCAGTCCAGCAGTCCTTCTCCCGGAATTTCCTCCAAAGATCGCAAACGTCTCCGCCTCCTGCAGCGTATGATGCCTGCTGTCATGATCAAGAAGCAGCTCGAGTTCCAAGGTTCACAGGCAAAAATTCTTGCTAGTACGAAAAGAGCGCGTTCTCCAACGCCGTCTGATAGTGGTGACGAGCCCCTGAGACCTGGACACGCACGCGTCCGAATGGGTGCTGGTGGACGTGACGTTGTGATTCAGGGAGACCCTGAGAGCTCGGATGTCGAAATTTCTCGAGATGAGGACATGGATGCTGAGGTACCCATCGTACCACAAGTTCGTCGGCGGGCGTCTCCAAAAGTCGAACCAAGATCCCCGGCCATTAGCATCTCTTCCAGTTCCGAGAGTGGATTGGAGAGTGACGGCGAGGAAAGTGATGGTATGATCGACGATGCACGGATCGCTGCGTGGAGCCGAAGTCGCCAGCCTATGCGCGAGAAGAGTCTGATTGATTGGATGCTTACGCGGACTAGGACGGTGGGTGGCGGGAGAAAGCAGAGGGCCAAGTCAAGTCGGAGGCCTCGAGGCTCTGGTGTAAAATCCCGAGACATTGGTGAAAGCAGGGGTGGACGCTCAAGGCCGAAGCTCAGCGTTGTAACAAGTGGCGCGCGAATGGGCAACCAGACCCTTCTCTCGTTTCCCGCCATTTCTTCTGACCATGACCACCGCTCTCAGCATTCACATCATAACAAGGTCCACAAGAGGACAGAATCAATACTTCCGGCGGAGCAGGAGTCTAAGGCACTACGGAGGAAACGGAGGAAAACAAAGCGCAAGCAAGCTGAGGGAGAGCTCTACAGCCTCCACCAATCTGGCAGGCGTATTGCACGAAAAGGTTTGCGAATTGATCTGGGTGATGAAGGATTTCATCAGGCGCTGGACCCGACTTGGAGGAAGGAGATAGATAGGTGGCAAAAGCAACCTGGATCAATGCGACAACCTGCATCTGCGATTTCATCCCGAGTTCGTCGAGAAGATACCCCCCAAACTAAGCGCCAGCGAATTCCATTTTCGCGTGTTGACTCCAAACCTCAGTCTTGTGTCGAGTCCAGTCAGGATGAACGTCAAAGAAAATTACATGCTCGGTCACCCCCACCCTCCCATGTTGACTCGCATCATGGCCACGTTGACTTTGATATGCCACCAAATCTGCTATGCGAACGATCACCACCTGTACGGAGGAGAGGTTATCACGACGTCCACGAGTTCATGCATGTTGTAGACCAACGAACGTTGCTGACCACAGTCGACTTGGGTATCGACTCTCTGCCCTCAGGGATTGCGTTCTCGTCCGGAACGTATATTGGCCGCGGGTTTCTTCACCAACTGGTATGCCTCGTTACAGGGCATGCTCAACCTATTGCTCCTATGTCATATGTTATTCGGGGGTTCGACCTTGGACCTGATACATCGGTCCATGTTCTTACGACTGTAATTGCACCTTTGTGCGATCAGCTCGCAGACGACGTGCTCAAAGGACACGAATGGACGGCTGCGGCTGGGAAGGATTGGGAACTCGCGATGCGAATGGTGTGCCAGTTGGTATCGTGGCAATGTCTCAGCATCGACGATCAGGAATTCAGTTCACTGGAGCTCACAGTACACGAGACTATGGGTTCTTTGGTGGCGCGGGTGTTGGACGCGGACATTCATCACTTCTCATTGCCTGTTTGCTGGTTTGCAGTAGAGCTCGCTGCCAGAATCATGCACGCTGCAAGGACTCGGCGGGGGTCATCAGAGACCCGAGAGTTATTCAAATTTGCGCTCTTACTCATGCGGCCTCTTTCAGATGTAGACCTCCGGGAGATTCTAGCATCGTTTAAGGAACCCGATGGCCCTCTAGAGACCGACTCAACTCCCGTTCAAGCTGTAGAGTCATGGATATGCCTCTTTCATCTCTTGATTAACTGCACCTCTGAGTCTCCTGGAAAACTATCATCGGAGCCATTTTGGCTTTTGTTCAAACAGCTGATCCAAGACGAAGCATCATCGTTCACCACTGCAGTTGAGGCGAGCGAGTACGTTTGGCGGAATATGTTCTCTTTTTGTGCGCTCTCGCAGTTCTCTGTGCACGGGATGTCGACATCCCTCAGTAGAATCGCACCTTCATGGGAAACGGTTTTGACTGCTTTAAAGCTCATCTCCCTTGTTGCTGATCCACAGAAGGATGCACTCACACATACTGCGTCCCTGAACAAACGCGACGAGTACGTCTCCCTCGTCGCTTCTCGATGCTTCCTCCTGTGGAAGCGTTGGAATTGGAGTTTGGACGATGCAATGATAGTGTTCAACCACCTTGTGGAAATATTCAGGAGTCGTAGATTTGCCAGTCTCCGCCACGAGCAGCCTAAATTTATGCAGTTTATGGTTCAAAGGGACATATCTTTACTTTCGGTACAAGACAGGAGCGACAACGTATTCGAGGTGCTCCTCAAGATGATCGTACAAGTTGCGCGGGCGGACAGCACAAGTGACGCGGAGAAAAAACAACGCGACATACAGGTGAAGAAAATGCTGAACATGGTGGTCCCAGTTGGCTCGGTGTCATCCATAAGGGCCGTTCAGCCGACTGGGCAGGATAGTTCTATGCTTTTCAACCGCCTCAATGCTATGGCGGTCGCTATTCATCTTGATCCTTCCATCTCAAACGTCCGACACCGTGTTGGGCAAGCTCGACGATGCGTCAACTTCAAAGATGCGCATGATTTTACGAGGGCTGTGTGTATTCGAGGCATTGAGCATATTAGCGCTGTTATGCGACATCACCGCGTACAGCTTGGAGAAATTCTCAGTTGGCTTGCCGAAGTCACCGGAATCCTGCTGGACGAGTACCAGGAAGCGCGCACGCTAACAAGTAAAGATAACAAGAATATCGTGAAGAACAAGACTGTGGAGATGATCAAGAGTCTTCTCACGTCGGTTGCTCGCATGATTGAAACATGCTCACTGGACACTACGGATGAGCGACATGAGTATCCAGATCCAGCCTTTTTGGAGGGACGTAAGTGGTTGATTAATGTCAACGAGATATGCCCTGACTTTTCCTTCCTCGTCAGCATGGGTAAAGGACGTCTTCAGTCCCAAAAATCCTATCGCCATAGAGCATAGCTCCAGTGCTGTGTGTCAAGAGGTGTTGTCAGCTTTCTTAGATGCTCGAATGAGGGCATTACCCCGGCCCACCACACCACCAATACCGTCGAGTGTTGATAATCAAGAGAGCCAGGATGAGTACGACAAGTTTTTCATTGACTTAAACGATCCAGAAATCCTAGCTGCTCTTGGTGACGAGCCTGCACAAACTTCTGGAATGGAGTGGAAGCGGAAGGAAGAAGCAGTTTGCAAGGTCGCTCTCGTTGTTCCTCCCATATATTTTCCTGACTGACGATTTCCAGATCTGTGGACCGTTGGCTTCAGCGATATTCCGGGTCGTTTGCAGATATGTAGTTGATTCCCCCGCCCCAAGTACAGTCGATAGTCGCTGTGAGACAGCTGATAGATGGATTGATTGTTGGGTAGGAGTCGGAAATGTGTTAGTTCAGAATGGATCGGTTTGTTTCGATACTTGTTTCGACTGCTGCTACTCAGCTCTTCCTTTTTAGAGTTGGAAAAACCACATGCACCTTGGACCTGAATCATGGGAGCGCATACCTGATCCCTTATGGCGTTGCCGGGTTGGTCTTCGATTCTGCCTCACACTTCTCAGACTTGACTCGAAGGCTTACAGTGTAAGTCGAATTTTTATTTCTCACAGAAAAATGCTCATCGCATAAAGGCATACGAGGACTACTTTATCGAAGTCCTCCTCACATGTACTGTTTCCTCTAAGACAACAATTGAACACGAGTATGCATCCGTCATATTCACTCTGGACGGTCTTCGACACCCACTTCTACGTGGCGTGCTGGCCGAGCCGTCTACCGGGTCATCTGCATTCGAAATATCGCTGGAAGAGTATTCGATAGTCCGGCAGACGCTGATTGAATGTGAGAATTCATTCATCAGAGTCAGATACTCTACTCATCGTCAACTAGCGGTATTTGCCAATCTTGCTGAGCGTCTGCAAGATAAGACAGATCCTGTCAACCACAAGTATCTTGGCTTCTTAATCTCCATGCTCTCAGCTATGAGAAACGACTATGAAGTTTGTGCAATTGCCCTTATGAGCCTGATCATGAAGCTAATGGCTTGCATACCAGAGCCTATTATCTGAGGAGGAACGAGTAACCTATGCGGAGTTTTGTCGAAAAGTTTTTCAGGCGTTGTTGAGCAGAAAGCCACTGGCATCTCAGCCACGGTTGTCAGAGTTCATTCAATGGGGAAAAACAACAATGGCAAGAGCAGGTGATGACCACGGTGGTCAGGGTATCGAGAACTGATTCATGTGTCTTGTCGATGATCATGATCGCTCACGAATCTTGAATGTGGCTGCTTGTACCGCAGTGGAATATATATGTGTGTAAGATAGTTGAGGACCCCCGTGGTTACCAATTGGCCAATGCGGACCTTGTGAGCAGTACGCTCTCCATTTCTTGCTCGATTTCCACTTCCACCCTCGGACCTCCTGTGAAGAGTAATGATAAGTCACTGGATATTGAATTCAGAAACCACGAACTTCTCCCGGGCTTGTCCAATTTCTTTCTTGGGGGCGCTCTTGCTGTTGGCTTGGTTTTCCGCTTTCCAAGGACAGTTTTGGACGGTGGTTGATCTTCTGGTGAACTGTCATCGTCTGATTGGTCATCCCCACTCTCCTCTGCGCCTAGTCCTCCATCTACCACATCTTCCAGATCGCTTAGTCCATCATCCAAATCGCCATCTTCATCTCCACTAAAATCACTGACAAACTCGCCTCCTTCGGCATCCCAGTCTTCCTCCATTTCCTCCTCTTCCTCCTCCCCGTCCGTCTCATCATCTTCCATATCGAATTGAGCATCAGCATTCAATTCCTTCTCCTTTCCACTCTTTTCTCGGTCAAGAATTGTTTGCCAGACACTTTCGTTGACGTTGAGTGGCGCATCGCCGTACGCTTTTGATTTGAGCCGCTCGATCAACTCCTTTTCGATGGATTTTTCAAGGTGGGCAGCAGAGAGAGCCTTGCGTTCCCGTGTAGCTTCGCGTCTATCTAGCTTCTTTTTCACGCCCACGAGCTTTGGCCTAGATAAGTGTAAATGTAGTAGAAAAAGGTCATACAAGTTGGAGGCGCACTCCTGCCGTAGTTTTATTCGACGCATTTTGATGAGATACTGAGTTATCTTCGTAACACGCTGTTTGCATTTGTGAATAGTGAAGTTTGGCCAATACTTGAGCTCTTTATCGATCTGGATGACGAATTCATTGCACGTCAATCGAAAGTAGATCGAGCCTAGAGTCGATTCACCTGCTCTAGTGCCTTGGAATAGTCTTTTGATAACTCAATCTTCTCCCACATATTAGCAGGTGTATGTGCTCGCTCAATCGTTTTCATATACAGATACAGCACACCTGGGTGGACATCAACCATGTCATATAGCATTGGATCAAGTACACTTGCCTTCATTCTCCCTCACCGTCGCATACCGCGAGTTCGCAAGTGGACATGACTGCCGTGTACACAAACCGGTGACATTGTACTCATTCCGGCAGAAATTCTGAGTGACAGTCCTGTAGAATGTATGATATGTGAGGTTATGCAAAGTTCATCACGACGGTGAACGTACTTGACTTTATACGAGCAGAATTCATGGCCGATTACAGACCATATCACGTCGTCGCTCTGCATTTTTGGATACGTTCAGCGTCTGAAACGTGTTCAAATGCAAAGGACGTTTTACGAGGCAGAACTTTCGGATTGCCGCACTGACGAGCGATCGAAAATTATCAATGATCACGTGATCACTGTCGAACGCGGTAGATTCAAATTGTGTTTGTCAGTCGTCGTTTTCATAATGGCTCATCGTCGATGCGTATCTTCAACCTCATTAGAATCAGACTTTTCTTCAGCGTCGTCGCTTAGAACTTCCCAAAGTCCTCCAGTAGAGATATCCGCTTCCAGTACCGAGCCCTTGAAAGGGATAAAACGTAAGCGCAGGTCGTCAGGCAGCGATGATGACAAGAGTTCAAAACGCCTACGATCGTAAGTCGCTGCGTTGTATACCACATGTATGGACTTAATTTCGCATATTCAGGCAAAAACAATATAAGTAAGTATATGAAGTACTGTTCATCTAAATGCTTGACAATGTGCTTATTATTTAGTGAGGAGCCGAACCACCCAGGCAACACCCAGGACCCGGCAGAGATGCACATCAGTGGAGTGCAACCAATCATTACTGGTATCTGATATCCATCTCCGCTCAGCTCATATTGACCATTTCCCAAAAGCTATTCACGCGACTGATCTCACTCTTGGCCTCCGACGGATCCCCTCTGGCTTCCATGCAGTGATCAAGGCCGACGACCTTGAATACCAGACAAGCAATATATCTCTAAACGTAGACCAGGCTGTCGTCGAATGGCACGAGCGCATTCCTCTGTACGTCATCTTCAACCCGTCTGCTCTGCAGGTATTGAGAAAGACTCTAGGCCGCGCGAGCCATGTTCCAAAGTCCGGGTCAGCCTGTATGCCTCATTCGAATTGGGTCCAATGCTCTGTCACGGTGAACTCCTCCGCACGTTCGAGATCTTGGTCGGAGAATTACTGGATCCTAGCGAAAAATCGCATCGTCAGTACTATCCATTGCACACAATGCCTGACAGATGCTAAAGAGCATCGCAGCCATAATATTTCAGCCAAAGCAGCAGGAAGTCGTATCCGCTTGTACTTCGCTTTTCTTCACAGTTGAGCAGCAACTTGCTGATCAAAATGATGCTGCGATTCTTTGCCCCCCTACTGCTGTGAGCGGTCAATCTAGTTTGGCATTCTGATATTGAAAGCCGTAACGTGTAGCCTACATCCCGCGATATGAATGCATTAGCGCTGAGGACGGATGCCGGTCATAATCTTCTCGCACGATACCGTAGAACACAGAACGGCAGGGATCTCGAGCAATCCATAAACCACTTTGAACACGCCTCAGATATCTGCCCCGTAGATCATCCCTACCGCCCTGCAGCACTGTTCAATCTTGCCAACGCAAAGCTTGTTAGTTGCCAAGCTGAGGAAAGATACCTCGACCTCGATGTCCCTGTCTCCCTGTTTGAAGGCGCCCTCGAATTGCGTCCCACCGGTCATCCGGACCGAACGGTCACGCAACTGCATCTTGCGGTTGCTCTGCTCTCGCGCTTTGCGAAACGGGGATTTCAAATGGACGCTGATGCAGCCAAAGAGTTACTGAGCGAAGTCGTCAATGCCTGCCACGCCAACAGCCACATCCACAGAGCGGCTGCGATTGCAATGGAAACATGCGCTCTACATTCTGCTAGAGGCATTAATGCAAATGATCTTAGGCAGGAATGGCCCGCTCCATCCATGCTTCCGTTATCGCCGAATCAACTTGCTCATCAAGCACAGCAGTGTTTGGAGAGAGATGAACCTGGTGCCTTAAATGAAGTGATATCCCTTCATTATGATGCACTAGGATACTACAACGCCGGGCACACCCGCCGAGGGCAATTGCTAGGTAATCTAGCTCTAATGCTACACACTCGCTTCAAGCGTCGAGGCAGCGACAAAGACTTGGATCAAGCTATCGCACTCCAGACGGAGATGCTGGCTTTGTGCCCGGTCGGCCACACAGATCGGTCTGTGTCATTAAACAACCTCGCGAATCAACTCTCCTCCCGCTTTCACCACCGAAGCAACGGCGAAGACTTGGATGAGGCTATCGCACTTTACAGGGAAGCGCTGGCTTTGTGCCCTGTCGGTCACACAGATCGGTCCATGTCATTAAACAACCTCGCGATTCAACTATTCTTCCGCTTTTACCACCGAGGCAATGGCGAAGACTTGGATCAGGCTATCGCACTTCAGAGGGAAGCGCTGGCTTTGCGCCCGGTCGGTCACACAGATCGGTCCATGGCATTAAGCAACCTCGCAAATCACCTCTCCTCCCGCTTTGACCACCGAGGCAACGGCGAAGACTTGGATCAGGCTATCGCACTTTACAGGGAAGCGCTGGCTTTGTGTCCGGTCGGTCATACAGGTCGGTCCATGTCATTAAACAACCTCGCGATTCAACTATTCTTCCGCTTTTACCACCGAGGCAATGGCGGAGACTTGGATCAGGCTATCGCACTTCAGAGGGAAGCACTGGTCTTGCGCCCGGTCGGTCACACAGATCGGTCCATGGCATTAAACAACCTCGCGATTCAACTATCCTCCCGCTTTGACCACCGAGGCAACGGCGAAGACTTGGATGAGGCTATCGCGCTTCACAGGGAAGCGCTGGCTTTGTGCCCGGTCGGTCACACAGATCGGTCTGTGTCATTAAACAACCTCGCGGGTCAACTCTCCTCCCGCTTTGACCACCGAGGCAACGGCGAAGACTTGGATCAGGCTATCGCACTTCAGAGGGAAGCACTGGTTTTGTGTCCGGTGGGTCACACAGGTCGGTCCATGTCATTAGACAACCTCGCGGCTCAAATCTCCTCCCGCTTTTGCCACCAAGGCAACTGCGAAGACTTGGATGAGGCTATCGCGCTTCACAGGGAAGCGCTGGCTTTGCGCCCGGTCGGTCACACAGATCGGTCCATGTCATTAAACAACCTCGCGATTCAACTCTCCTCCCGCTTTGACCACCGAGGCAACAGCGAAGACTTGGATGAGGCTATCACGCTTCACAAGGAAGCGCTGGCTTTGCGCCCGGTCGGTCACACAGATCGGTCCATGTCATTAAACAACCTCGCGAATCAATACTCTTCCCGCTTTCGCCACCGAGGCCACGGTGAAGACTTGGATGAGGCTATCGCACTTCAGAGGGAAGCGCTGGCTTTGCACCCGGTCGGTCACACAGGTCGGTCCATGTCATTAGACAACCTCGCAATTCAACTATCCTCCCGCTTTCGCCACCGAGGCAATGGTGAAGACTTGGATGAGGCTATCGTACTTCAGAGGGAAGCGCTGGCTTTGCGCCCGGTCGGTCACACAGATCGGTCCATGGCATTAAACAACCTCGCAAATCACCTCTCCTCCCGCTTTGACCACCGAGGCAACGGCGAAGACTTGGACGAGTCACGAGAGAGCCTACTCTGTGCATTGACGTTGTTGACGCAGCATGATCCTCGTCAATTGACGGTCCATCGATCTATAGCCAAGGTCTATCTATTATTCCATCGTTCAGAGCTTGACGGCACCGGTGCTGGCTTAAGTACAGATAGTCTGGATGCTTTCATGCATCATTTGAAGGCAGCGACAAATATTGTCTCTGCAGGCTTGCTATCCCGCCTGCGGGCAAGTCTACTTTGGGTGCGCCATGCTCGTCAACATTCACATGGTACTCAACTGGAGGCTTATGCGACTTCTATGCAACTTCTGGACGCTTACATGTCTGCGACAGCCTCCGTATCATCTCGTCATAATGCCATGAAGGAATTCCCAAGTACACTCGCTGTGGATGCTGCATCGTGTGCTCTTCGTAGTGGTGACATGGGTCGCGCTGTCGAGTTGTTGGAGCAAGGCAGGACCATCATCTGGACCCAGATGGCTCGACTCCGCAAGCCTTTTGACGGGCTCCAGACTTGCGGCGATCATGCAGCGACTATGAAGAAATTCACAGACCTCAGCTCCCTCCTTGGTAAACCTCCTCCAAGCCATCCAGAAGGGACCCCAAGAGTAGATGTGGAAGCAGAAGCCACCCGGCACAGACGTCTAGTGGAGGACTGGAATGGAACTGTGGAAGAGATCAGGAAGATCGAGGGCTTCTCTCGTTTCCTGCTTCCCCCTTTGTTCTCCGATCTTCAAGATGCAGCTCGTGATGGGCCCATCATCATGCTCATCGCAAGCAAATCGTCTTGCGATGCCATTATTATCCCGCACAAGCAACCTCCCACTAGCATTCAGCTCCCTACCGATATTCAGAAACTCGTCAAATTAGTAAACACATTCCAAGAGGCAGTTGACAAAGAGACTGGGGACCAACGAGCGCTGAAAGAAGCTTTGAAAAAGTTGTGGGACAAGGTCGTCGGCCCAGTGGTAGAAAATTTGGGCGGATTGGTACGACTAGGTTCCCGAATATGGTGGTGCCCGACGTCTGTCTTCAGTTTCTTGCCGTTGCATGCTGCTGGCGAGTACAGAGAGAGGGGAAATTTTCTTTCGCAGCTGTATATCTCCTCATACACCCCATCTCTCACTGCGCTGATAAAGGCTCGCGCAAGTTGTGACAGACCCACGTCGATGCCCTTCGTCGCCATTGGTCAGAATTGCCCACCCGGTGCCTCTTTCACTTTGGATGCTGTGGAGCCTGAGCTGGAATTGGTGCGGGAACTTTTGCCTCCTGCCCCAACTGTCTCCTTCTCCAAGATAACCAGTGTTGATGCCACGAAATCGAGAGCATTGTGCGCATTGCGCGAAAATACTTGGTTCCATCTTGCATGTCATGGGACACAGGAATTTGACGAACCCTTCAAGTCGGCCTTTCTTATGCGCGACCAGCCTCTTTCGCTCCTCGATATTGCACAAATGGATCTGTCTCAACATCATTTTGCCTTTCTTTCTGCCTGTGAAACCGCCGTCGGTGACTTCAGTACGCCCGACGAAGTGATACACCTAGCGGCTGGCCTGCAATTTGCTGGGGTTAGGAGTGTCGTCGGGACGTTGTGGAAGGTCAACGATGATACTGTGCAGCGCTTAGTCAAGGCATTCTATGAAAGGTTTTGCAAGGGTGGCACAATGAATCCCAAACGAGCTGCCCAAGCGCTGCACGGAGCGGTCCAGTCGTTGGCTAGTGACGTAAACATACCCTTGGCCCAGCGCATAGTGTTCGTGCATATTGGCATATGATCAATTTCGTGCGTCCTCCCACCTTGTTGATGAAAGCATTCTTGAGACAATCTGACGACTTGGCATCTAGTCATGGCTACGCGCAACCTATTGCCAAGGACTTCGATATTGCGGACTTTGAGACTGTATACCTACACGATATGTACACCCAATTGACTTGAATCTCGTATTTTCCAGTTTGTTGCTTCGGAGCCGGGGATAATCGCTTATAAGGTGCAAATTCTGATGGTTTGTGGGTAAGAATGAAGTTGCACAACACCGATCTGGCTGAACATCTCATGTGGCAAGACACTGCGATGAACCGTGAACGTGATAATCGGGTGTCTGAATTGCGTGAGGGCATTGAATGCATTCCCACTCATCATGCAGCACCAAAATCCAGTGCTTATGAAGAGCTTCACCCTGGTAGGATATGGACACCAAATGAAGACAAGTAGCCGTTCGGTATGTTTTCGGAATTGATACTAAAAGTGTTGGAGCTCGCGAGGGAGTCGACATTTCCGTTCATGACCTGATTTTGAAGACTTCCATTGAGTTCTGATACAGATTCCTGAACTGCTGTTCAGTACAAGTAAAGAAAGCTTTTACGCAATGGCTGTAGATATCATCAACCCTGTAGCAAAGATCATCTCTGTACTATCTCGATCCTAAAATGCCACATCACAGGCTACTCGCTGCTTCAGGGAAATTTGTTCTAATCGCACTCCCGTTTAGACAGCTCGAAAAGGGTCATTAAAATGCTTTCCGTGTACTTGCGTATACCGTCATGGAAACTCTGATTGGTGATAGGTTGCCGATGACAAACGCTACCTGTTGCACAAGACCGAAATCAACATACCTGGAAAGAGCTCATTAACAATCACAAGTTCCACTCACGTTACAGCGTTTACTTTTACTTGGTTCTTTTTCGAAGCCTCTTTGTCGCATAGGCCAATCTTCATCATAAGCCAACAGTTCGACCACGCCCTGCAGTGGACGTAGATAATGATAGTCCTCGAACGTGTCAGGGAATATCTGTCCATGCATGGATCCAATCTCAGCATCTTAAGGACGCTTGAATGACCATCGACGCACCATCTGCCCCGTGAAGTAAATGGGAACATCATCGGACATGAGCCTCACTTTTTCCCAGACAAACCTGTCGTTTTTCTGGATGACGCGCTGTGCAGACCAGCCTGCCTTGTGCCTGCGCCTGAGACAGAAATGATCGGTTTATATATGCCTCGCGAATGGTTGGGACTCACCCTTGGCAGTAGATAGGCTCGTGAAGCACTGCGTAAATCGGGTTGGTGTCAAAGTGCTGTGTTCTGTGTATACTGTCGATAAGCCCATATGAGAGCTTCCCAACATGTCTAAGTCTGTGATCGCTCGGAACACGAGCTCTGCGCATATGAATGAGCTCTCGTTGACGAAGTTGAAGCGAGATTACACACGATGAACGAACCTACTATGCAATCCAAACTGCAGGTCGAGTTGTTGCCAATTTGAGACCGTCATATTCCCGCTGTTCGGAATGACTACATTGTTGCCCTCTAGGAAACCTAAGATCTGACGGACCGGTAGTTGATCAACAACTTGGTGGAGGTAGACTTGTCTGGATTTCAAACATTTCGAACATCTTGGGAATACTTTGCATAGTAAACCTTGTTTGGTTCTTCCACCTTCACTAAACAAACTGTCAGTTGAAATGAGGGCAGACGGCTAGGCGCTTACCAACGAGGGCTTCGTAAACTGCGTCGGGAGAGTTGACCATGGGTGGGATACCGCGAGCAATGAAGACTTCCTTTAGGTTAGCACTGTGAAATTCGGAAGGTAAGTGGCGGCACAGAAGCCTCCAAACTTTGCCCAAGTATTGTCCATTTCCGAGTTTCAGGATTTTTCTTGCCATCGAGGAGAAAGTGCCGAATGATCTCGCAGTCTATGTGTGACTGTCAATTTTCGTGACGGTAAGAAGGAAATCAGATATATTAACCAGCTAATGATATCTGATTATACAAATAGTGGTAGTAAGGATATCTGTGAAGCTATTTAGGCTTAAAGCCCGCAGGGTTTTACAACCCGAAACACCGTTTCGAACATGTGAAGGTCCAAGATGAGCCGTGAGGGCGGGTGAGACGCCGCAGCTCAAGACGCAGGATTGTTACAGAATCCTGCTTTGGTCGAAGTCGGTGCGTCGAGTGGACTTTCTTAGTGAGGATTTTAATGACCGTTCTATGAGCGAGACGCAAACTGCTAAAAAGGGAGAGGCGGGTGGGTGCGACGAAACGAGAGAGTGGACGAGAAGTGGAGGCCTGTCACGTCGTGCATCTCAATGGTACAACATTTGTGTCTCTCAACACCACTTACTTATCATGTTGGAAAAAATTAGAGTGATATTAGAAGGCAATGGGAAACCACTAGTGAAATTCTTGATTTTTTTAGTGCATGTGGTGGCTTCCCTCCGATGGATTAGTGTGGAAAGTGCACATTCTCAGCAGTGTTTCGCTGCCGCAAGCACTTCTAGTTCATTTTTCGTAGAATAAAAAATATGTACAGTAAGCTATGGATCAAACATCCCCTAGAATGATTGTGCTAAGGAAATGTGTGAAATATGAGTGTGCTACGTCGCGGTATGCAACACCGGGCCAGAGATAGTAGCTACGACATAATTTCTATCGTCCTGATGTCCATCAGGTCTAAAACAGAAGTCACATCTTTAACCTGTGCAGTGATATCATGATCTGATGCGATCCTCTTGTATTCTGCGCCGCACCGCCGCTCCAGCAAAAATGCGCGGAAAGGTTGCCCGAGGCGAACAAGCAACCGTAATGCTCGTGATTCTAGATCAACAACAATCACCTCCTGTTGAACAAGAGAACAGCTAGTTGACTCGTCTAACGGAGAGGAAGGCGGCGTCCAATAATCCCTCTCGTTCTCCTTATCGCCTCGCACATCTGCAAAGTCAGGTAGTTCAAGGAGAGACCGATTCCAAGGACGGACAAGCACGAATGTTTGCTGATTGGGTATTGTCCGCGAGAACTGAACAATCGGCTCTTTGGTAATGATCTGTAGGTCATGAAGACCGTCTGCTTTGATCCCATATCTAGTTTCTTGGGTTGGATCGTGGCTTAGACTGACGTCTGTGACACGGAAGGTGATACAGGGAAGATGAAGACTGCAACTGTAGTTCACGAAACGAGCAACACTCGCGTTATCAAGCCGGTAGTAAAGTTTTGACGCCAAATCCACAACCGCAGGATTTTTTCGCAGTGAACATATGGTTGTCTGGATTTCATTTTCGGACAAAGATGGAAGGGTGCGCGGAGGAGTGGTGTAAGAGGTAATATCGGCCGGAAGGCAACTATTGAACTCGACATCTTCTGCCTCAGAAATAGAAAGATATTGCCGACTCAGATCTGCAGAATGAGATAGATGTTTTGAGGTTATGCAAGATTGTTCCATGGCTTACCTCGTATCTGCGCTTCGGGAGAATTGTCCAACTTTGACAACATTGTTTTGAAGGTGGCTTCGTCGTAGCGTTGCGCGCCACGCAGTGCTGTATGCATCAACTGGTATCCAACGTGAGACGCGGGATCAAGTTCAGTGACCTATGTATCGCCGAAGTCAACATGGGCTGCGAAAAAAGGCAAACGTCATCGCACCGTTTGCGCGTCCAGAAGTGCATCCTCCCATAGCGTTTTCCCTAACTTTGCCTTGCTGCGATTCACAAAGAAGATGACGGATGTAGAAGCCAGGCTGATAGCGGTCGAATATAGGTCAATGGCCCTATCGTAATCGCTTGCAGCTAGGGCAGCATCTCCGTTGGTAAGACAGAGTGAGCTGCATTCTACCGTGAAAGCTGAGTGAAATTCTGGTGAGGATCGTAGCATGCATGACATTACGAACTCCAGACTTGCCATTGAACCAGTCAAGGCAATCGGATCTGGTATTTCCGTCACTCGAAACCATCATGTACCGATATAATTTCACGGCATCTTGGAATTTACCTGCTCGAAGGAATGCATGACAACATTTTTGGTGTGTAGTGAGCCACACTGATTTGAGATTCCAGCCGAAGAGCTGGACAAAACACTCAGTTATGAAAAGCATTATAAGTGCATCATCTTGACGTACTATCACCAAATCCTCGTACACTTGATAGATGTCTGATTTCGATGAGAAAGCGCCGGAGTTGATAGCGGCAGTGAAGTGGTCGGTGGATTCACTGTAACGCCCGCTATCCAGGGCTTGTGTTCCAAGTTGAACACATAAATACGCCTAATGTGTGAGTTGCAAAGATCAGTAGTGATGACATAGCATGGCTGCATGAAACTTACTTGTACAATATGGCATGCGCGAGTATCAGCATATGGACAACTGACAGTGAGTTCTTTGAGAAGCAGGCTTGCCTCGTCACGTTGATCTGCATTGAAGAGGGCGATGGCCTAACACGTATGAAGCAGAGAATGTGCGAAGTAACTGTAATATACCTTGATCAAGAGCAGGAAATGAATGGTTCTTGAGTCTTGATCGGTGTACATGGATGCAACATCGAATGCTACCCTCGCACCCTGGATGTGGCCCGTTCCGCAGAGGGCGATGCCCTTGGAGATATAGCCTATCAGCGAGGGCTGAATGCTGATGGACTATGTCACCATCGAGTTAACCGTTCACTATAATCAGTACATATAGCTCACCTTCATTGCATCCTGAAGGGCTTGATCCCAGTTGTACTTTCGGGCCAATACAAATGAGCGATGGACGTAGGAAGTGTAGTTGTTCGCATTGGTGTTGATATCTCGAGTGAGTAGGTCTTCGGCGGTAGATAGGTCACCATCTATGCATGCATCGTGGGCTGTCGTGATGGCAAGAATCTGCATGAAGCATGCTCGAATTACAGGATGTGAGTCAAAAACGGAGATGTACCTTCGAGCGATGGGAGTAGTCACGGTAAGTATGGTTGTTCGCATCGGTGTTTGAACTGATGTCCAAATCGTTGGGTACTGCCCACTCCGAGATGATCTCATTGCCACCTCCGCTGAGGATATGCTTGCCGTCCACAGAGAATGTGCCGCATAATGCTAAGGATGCGTGATCGAAGATAGCAACGGTTTGTCGATTTGACAACCGCCAGACATGGACACAGTTGTCAGAAGATACGGATGCGACGAATGTGCCAGTAGGATTAACGGTGATGGCATTGATGCGGAAAATGTGACCAGCCCAAGGACCACCAACCTCCTTCCAGGTCAATGCATCCCATTCGCGTATGGTAGGATCGGAATTGCCACCGCCTGTGAGAAGACGAGTACCGTCAGGGGTCCACGCGAGTGAGCAGTTGAAGGATGTGGAGTGAGCCTTGAAGGACCTGAGATATCTTGTGCTCGTATTATAAATTTTGATATTGTCAAATGTTGCGATGGCAAGACGGTCTCCACCTGGGGAATACCGAACGCAGTAGACATAACTACCACACTCGATTGAACCTTGCTGCTCCCAGGTTTTGGTGTTCCACAGTTTCGTCATTCTGTCATGCGAACCAGTGGCCAGCACTGCTCCATCAGGGGAAAAGTCCAGCGAGGCGATACAATTGGAGTGGAATTTGATGGGTTGGGTGAGCGATTCCCCAGTCTTTCCGCGCCAGATGGCGACCTCTCCGTTCAGATCACCGCTTGCTATCAATTGCCCATCCTGCGATACTGCCAATCCCACCACCCCAACGCTATGCCCCTCCATCTTCTTCAACATAACACGTGTCTTCAAGTCCCACAGACGAAGCGTCTTGTCGTACGAGCTCGTAATCATCTCTCGTTTATTGGGAAGCACTGCGACTGCCATTACATTTCCTTCGTGGCCTTTGAACTCTCTCAGGGGTGTAGTGATTTGAATAAGCTTCGACATTGTAGAAAACGAGCTGTCCAGCGAGGACGACGACGGCGAGAAGCAAACTTTTGATAACTCCTAACTTGAACACGCGCACTATGCGCTGGTACGATTTAAATTATGTAATGTACTGTATTATGTAGCCGACTCGTATGGAGAACATGGTTTGAGTACTAACGTGGTAGAAGAAGGTGGGAAATACGAAAAGCTGTGTAGACCTAACGTTTCAATTTCGAATTACAGTCAACATCTACCTACGACTGTCACATATCAGCACCAACAAAATCTGTCGAACACTGTCAGTTCACCTTTTTTTTGAACAGCAGGAGGACTCACTTCTCATTATACGCCCACTCTACATTCCCTGTTATTTCAGGTCCATACCACACTATCTGTGGCAAGTGTTCATTTCGCATGAACGTCCGCCCACCCGTCTTCTCTGCAACCTCTTTCAATCCTACCCGCAAATTCCATACCTCTACTTTCTCAATTCCGCTTCGTCTAGCCGCCTGTTTGATCTTCACAATCAGTCCAGGGAACATCTCTTCACTGGCACAGAGTCGCGTGACAATCAGCGTTGTTGGAGGTGGTCTCAAGTCAACGCTCCAGCTTGCGTATGTACCTGGGTCCCTCGTTGACTCTACGCCCCAGAATCCGCCTGCCTATGGAAAAATTGGAGGCGAATGTTGACTTTGTGATGTGGAATCCGCAGACACCATCCGTTGGCAGGTATGTCGCGAATGCCGCCTGGGCGCTCCACATTATAAGAGCTGTCGCTCGTTAGGCATATCTGCCAGCTCCTTCCTGATCCGAACAGCATCACGCTCCCAAAGTTCGTTCAATTGCTCTTCTGTCAACCACTTCCATCCCTCATCATCACCTTCCTCTGTACCCACCTCCCAAATAGTTGAGATTTCGCTCCGCTTCTCCCATCCGCCCCCTTTACCTCCAGGGCCAGCTGATCTGTAAAACTCCTCCCCGATATCACTATACAGCACCGAGAACAGTCCTTTGCCAGCATCCGCTACCTCTTCTGGCGGTGCACCCCATGCCTCGGGGAATTTAGGAAGATTGGCACGCGAGGCAGTAACCCAATGCAGGAGGCTCATCATATGGCTTGCGTAGCCGCGCCCGCGCTTCGATGGTGGAGTGAACACACAGGCGACACCATAACAATTTGCTTCGTGCACCTGAATTGGGCTCAGACGGGGAGGAAGAGGGGTAAGCGACGAGACCTGTGCGCTTGTATCTGTCCCCATAGTCGTGCCTCAGAAACTGCTCGTTCGTGGAGGAAATCAATTCGCTTACGTCTCGCAGGTGCTAATAAAATCAAGCGTTGTGGGGTCGTCCCGTGGCGCCAGTACCCTTCTCTCCTGTTAGGTTCCCTTCACCAGAAAATTGAGGTACTCACCAAGTGATCAACTTTCCATCCTTGGCGTGCTCGCCCGATTCCATCGTCACATCTCGCGCAAGGTAGTCGGTCAGACTCAGAGTACCACCCCACTGTGGAAAAGTCCGGCGCCGTGACTCTTCAACCTGCGCGGGCGTCCCGCGGAAGAGCGAGAGCGATGCAAGATCTACCTTGGATTCTGCCATTGGAGATATACAAGGGACTTGATTGTGTGCTCAAGACAATGGAGTTTCAGGGGCTCTTTATATATCTATCGCAAGGTCAATTCCCACCCATGTCAGCTGTGCAAGTCAATAAGGCTTATCCTGACTTATCGTCTTTCGCCAGAGTATCACACATGGTCGCGTAACTCGTGACAGCACGCGCGCCGGCCTCCCACCCAATCTAGTTCACGCTACCACCGGCGCTGTCACTGCTATTCGATAACGGGATGCTCCTATACATGTATGGTACTGACTACCATATGTCCCTCTCTCCAAGTTACTTTGCTGATTCATTCGCACATTATCTTCCAGAAAAGATAGAAGGACGGACCACGATTGCTATTCAAGTTTGGAGCGATGGATTTGATGTCTGATTTTGACATCACATTCCTCGCTCCCTAAACATGATTTCAATATCTTAATGGATCCTGTTTGAGTGTGGAGGCATAACGGTTCTAGTTCAATATGACCTCCTTCGTCCATCTTATTCAGAGCAGGGAAATGGATCTAATTACCATATCGGGCGAATGTGGCAGCCTGCGATATCGCTGACTCGAAGGCTGGTGCAACGATACCAGATATGTTCAACACATAAAACCTTGCAGCAGCGCTAAACCAAACTACTAGGTTATCGACGCGCCTAACACAACAGATGTGAATGCTTATCTACCCCCCTCGGGACTCGCCTATGGTGTGTCTAGGGGAGACTACCCTGGTGCTCTTCGGTCGACGAAACCCTGCATGCTTGCGAACAATCGGTCAGCCTCAAAATGCTGCGAAATATGGGACTCACCGGTCTCGCTTCACTCTAAACTACTTGATTCACATAGTGCTAGGTAACAAGGTACCCACGCAAATCGCCATGCACACCATACCCGCCATTACACAATACACCAGATTCCCTCCAAGATACTGTCTCTTAATACTAATTGAGAACGCAGAGTTGGCTGCAGCTGGTCCAATAGCGCGCATGACAGAAACGACCACTTGTGCAAAACCATTTGTCGCGCCCACGGACGCTCGGTTAGGGGAAGCCGCAGCGATATACATGAACGAAATACCTTCCATAACACATCAAAAATATCAGGAAAAGAATAACGACGACAAACCATATGCGAAATTCGCGCAGCTCATCAAAGCAACCTGTAGGGCCACCAAATACCATACACTCTGAACCACGCCACTAGATCTCGCCAGCGTGTTCAAGGCTGGGAGGAGAGCGATCATAGGCAGGGCGCACGCTACGGCGAACAGCCAAAGTTTTTTCGCGCCCATGATATCATGAAGCCTGGCAAAGGCCAATGGCTGCATTACGCCATTTAACATTCCCTGGACTGCCAGGATGGTTCCAATGGTTGGAGTATCGAGCCCTAGACCACCAAGCGATATGGGAATAGCATAGAACACGGGTTGTACAGTGCGAAATGCGATATCAACAAGGGAAATACCGGCGTAGCTCCCGGTTGCAACGAGTACACGACGAACGAAAAGAGCTCGAATGGGGACGGGCTTGTCGGCGATCGAAGATGATACTGGCGGGGGTGTTAGAGTCGGTGAGGGGACAATCTTGCTTCTTTTCCAAGGCAGCAGTTGGCTAATGTTTATTCGTGGAGTTGTGGTCTGCGACTGATATGAAGATTCATCTTGTCATACGATAAGACAACATGCCTCCTTCAAGTACAGAAAAGCGACAACCCATGTCAAGGCTGATACGGTGGCAGGGACTGCGCACGGCAAGAAATATGGATATTTCTTTAGAAATTCAGAATCTCCGAAGACATAAGGGAACCTATCCGCAGGTCGCGCGAGCTCTCCGCCAATGAGCGGCCTATGGTTGTTTCAGTGTATATATAAAACGAAAACTTCGCGGAACATACCCAAGTGTGCTACCGCTGGACCAGGCAAGAGGGAGGATTGCCCATGCGCGGGCCATATTGGTCGAATCTGTCATTTCAGCGATCATGCTCTTCATAACACCGATATTGCCATTGAGTGCGCCATTCAGGCAACGACTTTTACGATAAGATGTGAACTCTGACTCGGAAGCAAAGCAGAAACAGGACAGACCTTATCACTAAGCTCCAAAATGTCTTGGACAAACCGAAGCAAAACATTGAAGCAAAGGCGTTTCCTCGTCCAGCTGCTGAGAGGTAGGATCAGGAGACATGAAATGATAATTGCAGAAGTATGTGAGACGATGAGATGCGATGGAGCGTTTTTATTGGCGCATCCGATGCATGATGACCTGGGGACGAAATCTATGATTGCCGGACACGTACTATCGAAGATGAACTTTTTCGGTTCTCGAATGTCAAATTGTCAATTCAAAATTCAGCTGACCCTTCATGTGACACTACACGTGATACAGTAATATAGCGGCATTTGCGTTTGCAAATTTCATGCAACACAACAACGCCACATTTCGAAAATCGCCTTACGACCCCATCACACTGTATCTCGTGTTCTTTAGGTACCATCGATACCAGGGGGACGCTGAGACTTGTTCTTATCCGCTTATAATACATGCCACTGAAGCGCAATGAACAAAGATGCATCCGAGTTCACTGACCCACTTAAAAAGTGTGGACGGTGGTCAGTGGTCAAAGCCCTCCACAGTGCTCTAGATATAAATATGCACCTCAGCGCCCGTCGAGGCCACCACAAATCATTCGTTGTTCCTTGACCTCAATCATACTCTACATTATCATGGAAAAGATGCCCACAACGACAGCCATGACACGCTGCGGTAGCCCTACTTTGATGAGCACATATGCTCATGCACTGTCTCCTACTGACAGACTCACCCTCGCCGAACGAAAGGCTTTCGGTAAATCAGATCGTAAAGCTAGCAAGGTCCTCGGTGTCACACTTACGCGTAATCACCTGGGACAGATAAACCAGGATAGAAGACTTTCTCTAAGCCTAACACAAGATCAAGAGAATGCCCAAAGTGATCATATCCCCGAGGAATGTATGGTTCCAGGTGCAATGCGCAATGCAAGCGTCGCCACCATCATTAGGCCACTCAAGCACCTTGGCCGTGTGCTCGCTTCGGGTATGAGGATCGTAGAGAAGCAGAACAAAGGACGCATGGATGCTGACGAATATACGCCACGCGTTGTATTGGGCCTCTTGTGGTCTGTTGGATCGCTTGAAAAGGAGGGTAAGGGAGAACTACCGACTGGCATTAGCGTATGCTCGATCCCGGAGCTAGATGAGAGTGAAAGGTGCGATACCGCAGCGCCTCTTGGAGCCGAATTTCTAAGGCGAAATGATGAAGAGGGGGAAGACAATCTATTCGGCGGTTTTCCGATGGGCCTTATTCGGGACATCGAAACCCCGTTGGCGAGTCCCGGCCTTGATCGACGTGTCGAGGAGATACAGTCTGGTGGAACGATTGGACCATCAGATGTACATGTGTCGCCGGTTGCATCTCTCTGCTATACGACTAATTTCGAGGTATCATCCGAAGGAAGTCCGGTACTTTCCTCTAACGACTCATTTGATGACAGGCTTTGTCCGGCGGAACGGGCTTACCTCGACTTCTTGATTGCACAGGACGAAGCCGAAGAGCAACCAATAAGGAGAAGAGAAGCGTTGCGATCCAGGAACAAGGTGCTGGATGTGTTGGGAGCAGAGGCGCGACAAGCAGTTGATGAACAATGGTAGACACTGCTAGTTAAATGGGGCGTGTTTTAATCAGAGTCGCAAGCTTTCGAGATCGAGTGAGCTCCCGTGTGAATCTATATATGACGTAGTATCTACTTACAACCATACAATTATGTGAGTGCGACGATAAATTAGATCATAATGCAAGGAATGAAGCTTTATACTCTAAATCTCAGGTATGCCATTAGAAGCGCAGAACAACCAGTCACTAAACACAAAACGTCAGCATCCTAGTCCCAATCCAAGCATTTAACTTCCACCTACCGAATCCAACAAGATACTGCAACGTCGTTGCCTGAACACACCCAAGAGTTTAGCATCATGCAAGCAAAAGAAAATTCAAAACACACCTTCGATTGCTGAATCGTGGTCCTCAAATTCGCAATCTCCTGTTCGATTCTCGCATCCACCTCCTTAATCTTGAGCTCTTGCCCACTACTCTCATCCCGCATCCGTCCCTTCTCCAAATTAAGATCAAGTCGAACCCCAGCCTGCGTACGCGTGATCTCCTCGCGTAGTCGTTGCTTCAGCTTCTCCATATCCGCAACCAAGCGGTCATTATCAGACTTCAAAGAAGCGAGATCGTTCTTCTCAATAAGCTGCAGCTCGGATTTCAGCTGTGCGAAATCAACTTGCTGGGTGTATTGATGCTAGTTTATAATAAAAAGAATGAGAAATGGGCGGTCGAGTTGCCCTATCTGTTGAGTCTCGCAGCACTGCGAAAGGCGGGCGTAGCGCTCACCTTCTCTTGTTCAGCTTTCGTGACCATGTTGCTTGTCATATTCCGTATGCTCTCGTCGATGACTTCTGCCATGGCACCCATTATGCCTTCTGCCTGCGCACGGTTGAGACCCTCGCGCTCGAGCCGCTGCACGAAGTGGTGAGTGTCGAAATGAAAGTCGTGCACCGTGTGCGATGTATGGAATAGCCCAGCAAAGGCGGATGACTCGCCGCGAGAGAACCTTGAGTTCAACCGACCAGATGCATTGGTGCGAAGAAAGAACGTAGAGCTGTATGGTGGAACCGAGCGATTGGCAGGTCTGAATGTTCCTGCGCGAAGTGAGTGGGCGAGGCGGGTGGTGGTAGTGCTCATAGATGTGTGAACCCGCGTGGGAAAATCAGCTTTACAAGAGCCGCACCCGAACATCGCTCAAATTGTTGGTCTGCTGCAAGTCTGCTGGGCATCTGCTTAATTCGTGTTGTTAAGAGAACTTGGAAAAGTGACCATGTCCACGAGCACAAGTCCCCATGCTCATCCACATCCGCATACTCAAAGCACGAGCCATAATCCCTGGGGAAGCACAAGTGGCACAGGCCCCCTCGGTACGTCTCTCACTGACACCTTCGGGCAGTCCAGGACGCATTACCAGCCAGGCTACATGATGGTACGCTTATCCTACCTCTCACCACCGTAATTTCTCAATATGATTCATGTAGTCCGTGGCGCAACATAATGTAAGTGGTCGTTCACCGCAATTCCACCGTGTTCAGAACAGCCCTGACGTATCAGGCGGCGCATAGGTCATGTCACCCAGCGCACAAAATACAGACGAAATCCCCGTCGTGCAGACGAAGGCAAAAATAAACAAGGGTCTTTCCCGTGGAGCCTCGCATTTTGGTGCCGAGTCGATGTTTGAGAGCTCGAGCACGTACGTTTACGTTTTTATTCGTATCCTAGTATGCTAATGTCGGTTTGTCGCAAGGCAAAGGCAAACATTCACAGATATGGACGCGCCACCGACCAGTTCAGTCAATGATATATTTCGTGAGGGGACCTCTTTTGGCGAGTCCCAACGGGCAGTTCTTCCCCCTTCGCGCGTACGTCCCGTCCTTAGTCTGATTCCTTTTGATTGATTTCTATCTCATTCACAGCCCTTCTCCCTCTCAATTTCTTCCTCTACGTTGAACGCCTCCCAGTCTAAAACACACACTCAATCCAGCACCCCAAACCAACCGACTTACATCATTGTCTTCGGCTATCCACCAGACAAATATTCCCTCACCGTAGAGTATTTCCGTTCGCTCGGGGCGAGTACTGAACCGGAGCCTAATGCGGAGATTGTGAACGCGTTCAGAATCGGATTCCGTGACCCTGGAGAAGCCATGCGTGCAGTAAGGAGAAATGGGGAGGTCCTGGGAGGAACGTGGATGGTGGGCGTTAAATGGGCTGTAAGATCCATTTTCTTTGATGTCGAGCGGTGTACTGACTCTTAGGGTGCATGGAAGGACTCTGCTCAGGACCCCCGCGGACCTGATTTTACAGCGTCCACTTCCCCACCACGGGCGCAAATCCAGAATTCACAAGTACAAGCGCATGCGGATGGAAATGCGATGGTGGTGGATGGTGCTGCTACTGTTGGGACGCCGATCAAACTTGCGCCGTCTGTGGCTGCGTTTCGTAAAGCTCCTGCGCCGGCACCCCAAAAATCTGCGCATGCTTTGCATGTACCGGTTGTCAATGCACAACAGAGTCCTGCGAGGGGTGTGCTTGGGCAGGTTGGGGATCTGCTATTTGGGTGGTAGTGATATTCGTACTCTGGTATAAGTACGCTTTTGTTTTTGGGATGTCTGTAGATGCATATATGGATGCGTCTTTGCGTCTTTGGATATCGTGGATGTGTGATGGACTCGCGGTGTTTCACTGAGACAAGCTAACATTTGATGCGACTACTAAGCACAACCGAAAGTGTCCTCCACTGTGCATGACCACCATGGATCACTTGCACCTGAAGGCACAATCGATGTTAAGTTATGCAAGCCTCGTAAACCCATCATCCAACTGGGGGAAGATATGAGCAAAGGTCCGGCACGAATGCGACACATCCGCATATTCAACAAGCTCAGCGACTCCGCCTGCCTTCTGGATACTGCGCACGACTATCCGCCCGCACTCAACGACACTATCAGCTGTGCCGGTCAAGACCAATGTCTTCGGCGAGCTTGCAATGGAATTAGGATGCCTGATGCTACAGGGTGGTTGGCAGGGAAATTGCGCACAGGCTTGGAAGCTTGATAGAGGTAGGACGTCCTGAGGTACGGAGTTGTAGGAGGAGTAAGTGAGGTCTGCGTCTGGGGAGAAGATTGCGATGCGTCCTGGCACAGGGAGAGTGGAATATACGTGAGGATAAGAGCTGGATGAAAGCGAGACACCAATACGGATAAATGATCACATAACCAAGTTTCCGCCTGCGCCGTCACCTGTGACCGTGATATTATTGGGGGCAAAGCCTTTCAAGATTAGGTGATGGCACGCAGAGAATAGATCTTGTAATGCTGGAAAGAGGTTCTCACTGGCTGTGGCGAGTCCGCGGGAAGAAACTGCAATGATAAGTGCACTGGAACCTTGTGCGCCAGGTTTCTTGCCAAATGCACGAAGTATGTCAGAGAAGAAAGATATAAACCTCTGTTCCGTTGGATGTCCGAAGTATGACTTTATGCCTTTCTTCGCCTGAGTAAAGGACTGGGCAGGCGCATCAGAATAAAAGAAGACGGGAACCTGACCCGGTTGGATCAAGGTTGAGTAAATGGATGGAGGAATCTGAGAGGAAGGGGGAGCTAATTCACAGGAGATATAGATTCCCTCGGGAATTTCCCTGCTGGTTACCTGTGCACGCTCAGCAAGGTATTGTGCCTGGCCGAACGGAGGCTTGGAAGCACTGATTTTTGCTCGGAGCTCGTGAACAGCTGCTGCTTGGGCAGTCTGAAGTCAGCTTACTCTATTGACGCGATCGTAAGAGACTGATTACAAGTTGCGCTCTAGGAGAATGAGTGATGATGTTCACCGGGTCGCGTGTAGTCACGTGCTGAACCTCTCACCTTTGGGTTTTTGAGGCTGATTCAGAATACCGAGCTATCATTTGTGTCGCTATGCGGCAGGCCCTCTTGTCCCATGAGATGATATGATGAGAGATGAGAAATCAACAAAAGGTCAAAGAGTACGTACACCATTCCATAGTCCAGAGCGTTTCGCGGTAATGTTCCACTATTTGAGGATGACTCCAAACGAGCCTGACCTTGAAGGTAGCTGTTGATGGAGCCACAAAATCGCTTGTAGCTGTCGTGACTTTTCTAGGCTGGTCACCTGACATCCTTCTAAGTGGGTTCAGTAAGCACCTTCAAGTTAACGGACGATTGCATCTGACTGCAGTCAAGTGGTCAGGGTGACCCACTCTATAGATATAAAGGCGTAAGAGCAGAAAAATCGTGCATAGTAGGAGACTAGTTACAAACAAGTCCGATCTATGACAGTGAGGTATGCGTTGGGGGAATCCTACGTACTATGTATTGAATGCGGCGAGCCCAGTGGGCTAGGAAATCAAAAACAGACCTCTCGTCATCATGAGCCACCCGGGAACGTAATTTCCAGCTGCTGAAACCCTGGCGTATATCCTGGAATCGAGAAAAAACTTCGTCCATGTTCGGACGTTGTACTGGATCTGAGTGCATCATGTCCGATACTAGACTTCTCAGGAATTCCACACCCGAGTAATGCTATTTTGTTAAAATCAGAGTATGAAAAGTGAGAAACCATGGTCCACTTTACGTCGAGAAATGTTTCTTGCATAGCATGTCCAAGATACCAAACATCAGTTGGGAAGGGGTTGCAAGGTTTGCTGTAGTCTTCCTTGAATTCTGGCACTTCTTTATCTCCACCATATATAGGCAATTCCAATGGGTTGGTGTTGGATGCATCATATTTTCGGGAGATACCAAAGTCTATGTAGTAGTATCGTGGCGGAGACTGCGTGCGTGTACGATGCCTGGCTGGGCGTTTGAGGTCCTCAGACATATATTGGTCGTTTGGATGCCAAGCATCTATGAACATACTGCCGTCCATTAGTATGTTCAGCTGCATGCAATCACTACGTCGACGTCACGAGATGAGTTACTTGAGCAAATAGGTTACGCACCGGTGAGCAACATGATGCATGTGCATGAAGCGTAGCCCCTTCAAAGGAAATAGAAAATAAATCACGATGAGCGGGAGTCATTGGATTAAGCTGTTACCTCAAAAAGCTGGTGAACACAATCCACAACTTCCCCAACCGTATCAAAGAAGGGATCTGTGGCATCTCGAAGTAGTGGCATGACCAGGATTGCAAGATTATCATCGGTGGGCACCTTCAGAACATCGTAAATTGGCACGCAATGATTGGCAGGATCTTCGCTAAGAGGTGAGCTACAGAAATGACGACCGATCTCTACCTCATAAGGATGGCGTGACACGTCTATAGACTTAAGTGATACGCGAGCACCATCATGAATACGCCGTGCATCTAATAAACGAGAATGCTGAAAGAGGCATGATTGTTAATCAAATTGTACTCAGTAAAGGCACATGGGACCTACTGGCGACCTGACTCCATCCTCGCACTTTATGGGAGCCTTGTTGGTGTTCGTCCAAGAGGGCACCCAGTCCGGACTGTAGCGACTTCGTAGTTTGTAGCCCTTGTCTTTGAGGAAATTGTGGAGGTCTCTCCAGCGAGTCTCGTACTCAGCAAGATGTGGATGAGCAGCGGATGTCGAGGCCATCAGAACACTGACCAAGTTGTTGTGTTCAAGTATCACTCAAGAATAAATATGGGTCGAAGGGTAGGTAATTCGGACCCCGGCACTTCGCGGACTTCAGAACCAACGTTGCTTTGACAGTAGGTAAGTACGTGGTGGACCCCAAGTTACTTATCTCACAAAGAACAATATTTTCATATATTCATATTCAGTACTCAGTACGTATCTTGCAAATTGTTGTACCCCCCACGATAGGAAACTGATGTTTGACCCAAATATTTTTCAAGTCGCTATCAATAATTACATGATTTTTGGTCAACAAGGCTTTGACAAGCTGTCAAGGGCCAACAGTCATTTGCGTCCACCACTGGCACTGCCAGTTGCCATGCTACTTGTTTTCCTGGCTTACTGGATTCAATATCTATTACTTTGCATACGATCAAGGCAGTCAGCGCGACCCATAGACTTATATCAACATTATACCGCCAGCTCCCTTCATTACCGATGGATCCCCCAAAGTCTAAAACGACGATTCGGATATCCACGAACCTGGGTCTTGCGGGTCAATTTATGAACACTTCCATGACCACCATCGAACTGAAGGGTCGGACAGCTCAAGAAAAGGGCGAGCACTATCTACAGTTATCGCTCAAAGCCTTGGAAGAGCTTGCGGGCCTGTTAGAAGATAAACGTCTCTCTGAAGATCAAAGAACTTCTTACTGTGACGTCTACGAAACTAGTATGAATCAACATCTCGAGTAATTTTTTGTTCTCAGCAGCCAGAAAACATTGCTAAGATGACATCCATCCCTCTAGCATGATCGAACTCAGAAACCAACTTTTATCAAAAAAGAAATCTTTTCGCGATTTCGTTGTTAACCTTTTCGTTCGCGAGTCTGATGCCAAACGCTTCCACAAAATCACGTATCGGAATTTCGCTAACATCAGGGTCAGTCCACTATTCACACAACAGCCATCTTAGAATTGCAGCTGAATAGCAACACAGAGAACTTCCGATGATCTGCACAGAATGTTGCTGCCCGATAGAAAATCTATCCTTGGTATGTCAGAAGGAGCGCGAGTTCCACTTACTGATTCCAATCTATTGGCCAGCATCAGCAAGTCTTACTGCGTCTGCACAAGGCGACGTCTCTGTCCATGAGGAGAGTCCGCGTGATGTGGTGGAAGGTCTGTACCATCTCTAGGTTTTATACCAAAATACTGATCATTGTTTTCATAAAGGCAATTGTCCAGGTTGGTGTCATGATTACCTCCCTTCACCTATATCTCACATAAAATGGATCAGTTAAAGATCTTCCTCCTGACGCACACCTAAAAGGCTTCAATCTGGATGTACGCACGGAGGAAGAAGCGGATGAGGCCATTGTAACGCTGATTCGAATGACGGCTCCCAAACAAGAAGAAGAAGAAGAAGAAAATGATGATGATGATGATGATGATGATAAAACCAGTGTGTTTCTAAAATTATCACCCATGATATAATTTAACAAGTTCCTTGATATGTTAGTCAGACCCTCGCGCTCCAGCTGCACAATTATCTATAATTATAATATCAACCAAAGTGTGGTGTCCTTTGATTCAGAATCGAATGGAACTACATTGAACGTGGGAATGGATGGAGGTTTGTCCCATTTGCTGCCAATGCCATCGCGTGATGTTTAACGATGATAACAAGGGGTCGGCTCTTCATCCGGTGGACGTCCTGATAGCAATCAGCCATCGTCTTGTTGAGTATGATTTGCATGTTGTAGTGTGTCTAGTCGGCAGTGCTGTGTCAATAATACTTATATCACTAATCATTCATGGGTCTCTACATAGATACGCTCGCAGGACTAGAAAGCTAGAAAGCCGTGACGATGGCATGATGAGCGCGGACAAACCTTATTTATCCCGCGTTGATCAATTTAAACTCCGACAACGATGCAGCTCACAGTTGTCAAAAATCATAATCCCAGGTTCTACTCCGCGAGGCTGGAAAACAAAGCATCAATATTGGATTGAGGTTGTATTCTTGAGGAGGGACCGATTATTGCAATGAATCAGATTTGAGGTGGCACATTGTCACTAGCAGCCCACGTAAACGGGTGACGTATGTATGGCTATTGTGCTGCCAAGAGGACAAAGTGCACTGATCTGCCGTATGATGGCATCACGATATGATCCTCGTTCCATGGCTACTGTATTATTGTTCTCCATCGCCGCGAGAGAAAGTCGTTTGTGCAGTAACCAATAGTCGAGCGGCACCGTTTATATTACGACCATTGAGTTCGATGTGGCCTATGTGCATGGGATAATGATCTGCCCGATAGGCTTAGCGTCTTTTCTGAGCAAAAAAATCGATGTTATCATGTTCCTGCCCATCCCCAAAATTGAATGCAGCAGATAAGAAGTAAAGATGTTCAAGGCCTTGCCGATGCAGAGACAGATAAAACAAAAATTGACTCAGTACAAAGATACATCATATCATTGCTCGCGCTCGAAGAGGCGCAATGGGTTTAATGAATATTCGGAGCAAAATGCGGAGCAGTCTGTGATATTTGCGAAGGGACAAGAGGAATATGGAATATCATAATGACATGTCATTGGTCACAGAACACTCGCATATCAGATCCGTTCTTTGCGCCAATTCTAGTGACGAAAGCCGATAGGCAGATCTGGTATAATAGTCGAGGAACGCTGTCACTCGGGTTGGAAATCAGTTCAATGACTCGGAGTTGGTCGACAGATAAATGCAATGTGACTTCGGACATCTGAGTGATAAAATAAAAAAAGACAAGGATAAAAAATAGTATCTAGATCAGCCTTCATGCTGCCTCGTTTCCAACTTGAGGTGGAATGAATCGAAGCAGTTTGGTTGGCTGTGGTCGATTGTTCGAGCCAATAATCATGGGGCGCATTAATTGAGGTATTGGGAAGTTTTGATGTAACTGTGAAGATGTAATTAGTACTTGTTCATCGAGCACCCACTGGTAGCACTTGGGGCCCGGGGGCAAAAACTTGAAGACGCGTAAGAAGTACTAAGAACGAAATGGACGAATGAAAGAGTATCCTCGTTTCGATATTCGGTGTTAGTACTTGAATCATAATAATAATAATGGAGGCCCTTTGTGATCGACCGAGTACTAGCTTCATCGAAGAACTTCCTGCGAATGTTGCGGCAAAGGGAAATCACATGCACGACAACTTTCCTGTTTTCGGCTGGTCACCTGACGTCATTGTCAGCATATTAATGCCAGCACGACGCACGTCCATATGATCGCAAACCTTGTCAGTGGTAGTGGTCTACTGCGATATCACAGGTCTGTTGCTTCTTTCACCGGCATCAGAAGAACCTATCTCCTGACCTTCCAATCTCGTATCCATCGATCCGCTTTCGTCATGGGAGCCAACTCCAAATCTGAAGATGAATGGCGCGCCATCTTGTCTCCACAGCAGGTGCGTTCTCCGATTTACACCTTAGACAGATACTCACTCTGTACGTGGGGAATAGTTTAGAATTCTTCGTCGGAAGGAAACAGAAGCTCCCAACACAGGGGACTACAATCATCATGACGCGTCAGGCGTGTACAGCTGTGCTGGCTGTGGGACACCACTATACAAGAGTAGCACGAAGTTTAACAGTGGCTGCGGATGGCCTGCTTTCTTTGATGGTAACTTATCATCCTTGGGAATCCACCTTGTCTCTCATGGTTCACTGTAGCGATCCCTGGTGCCGTTAGTAGGCATGAAGATCATACGTTGTTTATGACGAGGACAGAGATTACCTGTACCGCATGCGGTGGTCACCTTGGGCATGTGTTCAAAGGAGAAGGATTTGACACGCCTAGTGCGCCTTTTCATCTTCTGTATTGTGCATCTGGGCCTTACAACCTCTACAGCTGACGAACGACACTGCGTGAATTCCGTCTCGCTGAACTTTAAGGGGGAATAAAGTTTTGGTTGTATGGACATCATTAGAACGCAGATACAACGTGTACAATAGCAGGTGATGCACTGCCGATTATGAAATTGTGCTTATTTGCTATCTCACCTGAGGAAGAGGACATTAACAATAGTCGGGACGGTCAAACCTGGACGACTAGGTTATTATGTACTTTGATCATATCAATTCATGAACTGCACACCGCAGTCTCAAATGCAACATAGAGGTGATAGGCCAATCTCGGAGCACGGCCGCAAATGGACCAATATTGGGACCCAAGAGGAAGATCTAAGTATAGAGTCAGGTCGGGTGATAAATGATGAGACACGAGACACATAAAATCGAGCGATAACTGGTCAAGCTCCATCTGCATTGAGGAAAAAGTATTTGTCGCGTGACATCTTGGCCTATGTTCAGCGGACAACCAACTATCCGTTCGCGCGGTTGTCATGCGGCGGTTGATAAAAACAGCTCATGACACCGATATACATCTGTTCCTGCGTTGTGGTCCCGGAGGTCGAGCTGAAGAAATTGAGAATATCAACTGCGTGATAGTCCCATGCGCTAGTGCCAGTTGGCAACTTGGTGATGGTGAGAAAATCCAGGAACGCGCGTCTACAGACACAGCCACCAACGATTTACAACTTATGTAATCATGACTTGCAAACCCCCTAACGCTTCAGCATGCAGGAACTTACGGGGAACGAAGAGTGCTGGATCGCGAGATCAGAAAATAGACTTGAGACAAGAGTTTATTCAGTTAAATAATCAGTCACTATTCCTGGTAGAAGAATTATGAGAATGTCGTGTAGAAAGTCGTGACCACATTGTGCAAGCTGTGGTATGAGATAGTCAAGATCGAAGCTCTACATGGAGAGCACAGGAGACACAAAGAAACAGATTACAGCGACTCCATGTTAGCAACCATGTTGTCCAGTTCTGCTTGGGACTGCTTATACTTCTGTTGCATTTCCTGTGCAAGAGCGTCAGCTAACATTTTCAACAGCATAGAGCACGTCGGATTACCTCGAACTTCTTCTCCCATTGATCACGCTCTTGTTCAATCCGTTGAACTTGGCGTTCAAAGTGTTCTGCCTTCACGTCCACTTGCCGCAGCCTGAACAGGTAATCAGTCGTAGATAACAGAGAAAGATGGTGGCCACAACGTACTTCTCCATCGTTTCTTTCACGTTCTTCTCAGCGGCATCAAGTTCCTCCTCCAGTAGGGCAATCTTTCTCGTAAGGTTCTCGTTCGTACTTTTCAATGATTCTCCCTCTTCCTGTGCAGCTTTGGCTTCCGCAAGTTTCGCGTCTACCTTGTCAAGCTCCGCCTCAAGAACAGAGATCTTGTGAGTCATCGAAGTAATATCCTGATCCTTCTCGAGGATAATTTGATCATATTTCTTGTTCTTAGCCTCTGCGTCTTCGGCGCGAGTGACCGCATTGTCTGCCTCAAAGCGCAGTTGGTTCATTTTCTACAAGTGCGTGTTCAGTAAGATCGGATGTATGCAAACGATCGCTGCCAGTGCCAACCTCTTTAATCTTCTCCATTGTGTTTGATGGATGTGCAAATGGTATAGACGATGGTGGTGGTGAACGAGGAGGAAAGCTGACTCGGACGGGCACTTTGCTGGGCACTGCCAGTAGCCACAGTCAGCTTAAATGGGATGATACCGTGGGAAACATTAAGTTGACCATAAAGCACTTGCCTTTTCCAATCATGATAAGTGAATTCTTGGCAAGTTGAGACCAAGCTGGTTTGCTGGCGTCTCTGTTCCTTGAAGAAATACAGTCAGTGTCCAACGTACTCGACAACGAGCAAGAACTGTGAATCTTACAGATGAGCGCACCGGTCGCGCAAGAGGGCAAGTGGCAGATGCTGCTTTTGATCCCGAACCTTCACTGATCTCTTATATTCCAGAATTGCCGATCCTCGAGGCCGTGATCAAGTAAGTCTAGTCCGCGCTCTTATTGCCATGCGTGTCACAAACCCTTGCCCACCGCAGCATACGAAACCGGCTTACTGCCCTGAAGAGGGACCGTGCCGAGTTTATCAAGCCGTCAGATGTGAATGCCCTTTACCAAGCTGTCGTTAAACAAGGTTGCTATATTTCTTTCTTTCTTTCGTCTCATTTTGGATATTCTCTTCCATAGTCACAAAACTCAACGATGTCCGCGATGACAACACCACTTACAACAATCGAGTGGACACAACACTCGCCGATGTGTTCAGCCTCCTTTCCTTGTGTTATCTTACACTGGGGAGAACGAAAGAATGCCCAGCTGTATACTCACAGCTGGCCTCCATCAGGGTCAGTACTCCCATCTCTCTACAATTTCATCACGGACGATATGCGCCTTGTGTTGTGGAATCCAGCCAGCTATTATCCACCTCATTTCACTCTGTCTTCATATCCTCAGACATGCGTCTGCTGTATGAAGATTCGTACTGATTGCTATTTGTCATGTACAGCAATTACTCAGGCATATGGAAGAATCAGGAGTCTACAACGAATCGGACCTGGCCCCTTTCCAACGGAGACTAAGCGAGCTACGCCACATAGTACAACAAGATGCTGAGAGTAGTAAGCACCCCGAAGCTATGACAAAGCTTCTAGAGCGCCAGTTTAATGAATGTGGTACGCCTTCATATCCGAATATCCTTTTTGAAGTCGCTTAATTCACGCTGCGGTTCCAAAGATGTTATCATGCGATCACTCCAAGATTCCTTGTCGGTACTCTCAGTGGAGCTGGTTCCCATTCATGAACGCCTCGTCACGATTCGCAGGCAACTGGTCGCACTGGCTGCCAAAGAGGGTTCACACAAAGCCGAAATAAAGTCTCTGGCCGAGGAACTGCGTAAGATTGATTCGTGAGTGTGCCATCAACTAAACTCCATCTTTCATTTTTATCACCTCCATAGCAAACGTGTCGACGGTAAATTCCTTGGCCCAGGAGGAATCATGCCATCTTCTCAAGCACTTTGCACCTCCCTCATCGAGGAATGCTTTGACATTCTCCAGCAAATTAAAGCGCAGGATGAGTCAAAGAACGTAGCATCTTCTCTCAAGCCCATTCATGACCGCTTGAACGAACTGCGTGCGGAGCTAGAGAACCTCGTCCTTACGCACAGATGGAGTCTTCGCGAGACAGATCTCTACAATTATTCGATGAGCCTACACGAAATCGACAAGATGCGTATTGATGGCAAGTTTGTCGATACAGAGGGTAATAGGCCACCAGGACAGTATGTGAGTGGTGTCTGTACTTGGCGCTTGTGCAACTATTCATACATGTGCAGGTCCTACTGTACTTGTTGAGACGGTGTTATGGTCTTATCTACCGTCTATTATCGTCGAGCGAGCCAGTATCCGAGGAACTCATCCCTATCGTGCGTCTTTCTCCCATTTGTCCTCGATTATGATTCTCATACATCGCATGCAGGCCAATAAACTCTCCACAGTGAAGAAGTGCCTTAATGAAGTATACAAATTTGGTGGTCCGTTTACGCCTCGGGACCTGTACCCCGTGAGCTTCCAGTCCTTTGGTTCTTTTAGTGTCAGGGTGCTCATTTTTCATAGTATCAACTGGCATTGCACCAGATCGACTCCATGCGGAAAGATGGAAGATTTGTGGGCGTAGGTGGAAATATTCCTGAAGGACAGGGTATCGTCATGGCACATCTGAACGAGTGTCATGAACTACTAGAGATGGTGTGTATTTGTTTTGCTATACTTCCTAGAAAAGTAATACTGACGGAGTACGTAATCTAGCTCAAGGAGTCCATGGGCGAAAACGAGGATCAGGATTATGACGACGAAGATGAGACCGAGACGGAAGTCTCAGAACAAATTTAATTATGCATGTTGCGGACTGCCTCAAATTCGATGTACCACACTTATAGGCCATGTATCTCATCGGTGATGTTATATATACAATATCACAATCGCGCTGCGAAAATAATCATGGTATTCGCGATAGGACTTTATAATGCGTGTCCCTTACAACGGAAACCAGGAAAAATATCTAAGTCTACGAAGACGTAAACGACGAGACATGGTCCTCAACGACCTTCTTGATTTTAGCCTCCATCTCGGGGGTAACATTACCAGTAGCAATCTCTTCCAGGAGCGCATTTTGGGTAGCAGTCAGATGTGAACGGAATTCGGCTTCCCATGATGTGATTTTGTCAACGGGGATGGAGTCAAGCTGGGTGATAGAGATTAGCGAGCCGTGATGAGGCTTAGGAGAAAGGTTACGCACGAGACCGTTGACACCAGCGTAGATGATAGGCACCTGGATCTCAGTAGGCAAGGGCTGGTACTGGCCTTGCTCTTTTAAGAGGCATGAGCTATATTTTTTAGATCATCAGACACAATTGCTTACTGAGGAGCTCCGTCAAACGAGCACCACGGGAGAGGAGGAAACGTGTTGAAGCATCGAGATCTGAACCGAATTGGGCGAAGGCAGCGACTTCACGGTACTGAGCAAGGTACAGCTTAAGAGAACCAGCGAACTTCTTCATGATTTTCCTACAGGAGAGAATTGGGTTAAGGATCATATATGAAAACCAGAATATATACGAACGTCTGGGCAGCAGAACCGACACGAGACACGGAGAGACCGACGTTAATAGCGGGACGCACACCACGGAAGAAGAGCTCAGCCTCCAAGAAGATTTGGCCGTCAGTGATTGAAATGACCTATATGCGAGATAAGAATCAATACATGTGCGAGACGGACCAATATTACATACGTTAGTAGGAATGTAAGCAGAGACATCACCACCTTGAGTCTCAATAATGGGGAGCGCAGTAAGGGATCCACCACCGAACTTGTCGCTCATCTTGGCAGCGCGCTCAAGGAGACGGGAGTGGAGGTAGAAGACGTCACCAGGGTAAGCCTCGCGACCGGGGGGACGACGGAGAAGGAGAGACATTTGACGGTAAGCAACGGCCTGCTTCGACAAGTCATCATAGATAATGAGGGCTAATGTAGTAATCAGTACCGAGTTTTCCCGAAGAAGCGAATAACAGCATACCGTGCTTGCCATTGTCACGGAACCACTCGCCCATTGCACAGCCAGAGAATGGCGCAAGGTACTGCAGGGGAGCAGCCTCTGAGGCAGTAGCAGCAACAATGATGGAGTACTTCATCGCGTCATTTTCCTCCAGAGTCTTGACGAGCTGAGCGACAGTGGAACGCTTCTGGCCGACAGCGACGTAAACACAGTAAAGCTTTTTGTCCTCATCCTTGCCATCATTCCATCGCTTCTGGTTGAGGATGGTGTCAATTGCGACAGCGGTTTTTCCGGTCTGACGGTCACCGATGATAAGCTCACGCTGACCACGACCAATGGGAACCATAGCGTCAATGGGCTTAAGACCTGTCATCATAGGCTGGTTGACGGAACGACGGGGCAAGATACCGGGAGCCTTGAGGGAGGCACGTCTCCGCTCGGCAGCCTCAATAGGACCCTTTCCATCAATTGGGTTGCCGAGAGCGTCAACGACACGACCAAGAAGACCTGGGCCAACGGGAACATCGACAATTTGACCAGTACGCTTGACGGTGTCGCCCTCCTTGATGAGACGATCGTTACCGAAGATAGAGACACCGACGTTGTCAGCTTCCAAGTTGAGACACATGCCGCGGACACCAGATGAGAATTCCACCATCTCCTCGGCTGCGAACACGGTCATTTGCATGGAATAAATGGTCGAGAATCGCGACTTACCCTGGACATTTTTGAGACCCCAGACACGTCCAATACCGTCACCGACGCCTGCATATACAATGAGACCAACAGACTGGAAATGAGCACCGCGACTACGCACTCAAGACACGGCCAGTCTCCTCGACGTTTCCACTAATAGCAGTACCAGCAATACGGGACTCCAGTATTGAAGAAACCTCGGACGCAGCTGTTTATGACACACAATGCAATGACACCGGGAAGTTCGACTACACGTCAAACATAGCAGAACATGCAGCACAGGAGCACGCACCAGGCTTTGCGGTAGCATATGACCGGGAGGCAAGTGCAGCAACATTCTGGACATAAAAAGTTGTATGAGCATAAAATTGAGCAGAAAAAAGCGGCAAAAGCAGGACCTTGGGGGCAGCAGCAAAGGCAGCTCTGCGCGCCGAGTTCTGGAGAGCGATTCTGTGCATTGTCGCGACAGGAAAGAGTTGGATGGGAAGGAACGAGCAGAGTCGGTGTTAAAGGAATTTCTCGGAACAGACTTAATTTGAATCTCCGACTAAACCTATTCTCCGTGTCACGGTGTCACGCGGTCACGTAGTCTTTTACTTCAAGAGAGCTGTTGTGTCTTCATTTCGCTATGGCTAGTTGGCAAATTCGTGGTTGGCTATCAAATAATCTAAGACGCGGTTAGTCATTTTTTACATATTATCAGTGCCTCCTGATACAATTTTTAGTGGCGTCATGTTCGGTGTCGACGCAGGCAGCACTCCCGAAAAATACTAGTGCCGCGTTTTCTCTTATTCGTTCCCAACCTTCGCAATATGTTGTCGCATCCCTCGCCGGACGTAAATATCTCCTCGCACCCAGGGACTTGCTCACAGTCCCACATCTTAAAGACGTACGCGTTGGGGACGTGTTGGCGTTGCAGGATATACATGAAGTTGGTTCACGGGATTACACCCTTCGCGGTGATCCCGTAATATCCCCAAGTCGCGTCAAGGTTGAGGCTACCGTTGTCGAGCATACCAAGGGTAAAATGGAGGTGGTGTTCAAGAAGAAGCGTAGAAAAGGTTACCAGAAGACGATCAAGAACAAGCATCCATACACTCGTCTGCGTATAGGCTCCATTGAGTTCCCGGTTCTTTCGAATCCATAGCATTTGGTCTGAGCACTATGATATTTTTGTTTCACAATCTGAATCATTACGCACGAGAAAACTAAATTCAGTGAATTTTAAAAACCAGTGGGTAAGTATCATATCTCCCCTTCCTCAGGCGTTTCCGCCCTCCGGGATCGTTCTCCGCGCTCTTCCCTAGAGTCGATATCAGGATCGTAACGAGCACGCTTTTCAGCGCGTTCACTATGTGCCCTATCAGAGCCCCGCTTCCGTTCTCTACTCCGTTCAGGTTTATCGGCCACATGGTCAACCTCTTCCTCATCTCCGTATGGCGGCGCATCAGTTCGTCCATAACCACGTTCCCTTGAACCTTTCCTACGTTTGCGATCATCCCTACCATCCCGCTCGTCTCGGGCATGCCGTTTGTGCTCACGATCCCTGTCTCTGTCCCTGTCTCTTTCCTTGTCCTTCTCTCTCTCACGTTCACGGTCCCTTTCCCGCTCACGTTCACGTTCGCCATGCCCGTCCTTGTCACGGCCATGGTACCCATCGTGGTCTTCACGGTGGTGGTGTCTGGAGCTCCTGTCCCGCTCACGATCTCGTTCGCGGTCTCGCTCTCTGTCACGGTCATCGCGGCGGTCACGGTCACGATCTCGCTCACGTTCGCGTTCAGGCTCCTTGCGACGTCTACTCGTGGTTGAAGCACCATCCTCCGACGGAGCCTCGCGTAGTCGTTCCTTTTGCCTCTTCACAAACTTGGCAAAGGCTGAACGTCGACTCTCGTCATCGTCTAGGGCTTTATACTCAGGGAGGTTCTCAATGAACGGAACAGCCTGCATAAGGATTAGATCAATAATCGATGAGGGCCATGAAAGACGCACAGCTTCATAGGACAATGTAATGTCAAGCGGCTCGGGAAGCTTCTTCATCGCGTAGCGAAGATCATCCTGTAGGTGCCTCTGCCTTCTCTCTGTGCGGCGCTTCTCTTCATTCTGCTTCTTCACGACTTGATCGTGGATCTACCAGACTCGTAAGCGCTTTCGTCATTTACACGCAAAAAAGCAACATACCGTGTCGTACACCTCGTGTAGATCACCCTCCCCGAGCTTACCTACGCTGTCGGGGTCCCTCCTTACGCGAGCCTTGAACTCTTCGAATGTCATCTGCACAGTCACTACGCTCACGGATTCTTTATCCTTGTCACCTTTTACTACATCCATGACATTGGGATCATCGCCACGCCTGGCACACTCCTCGGCAATAGCGATCTTAGCATCGAGCCTCTGGTCGAGTGTGTCGACAACATCCCAGAACAGTTCCAACGGATTCGATCCAGGCTTGCCGAGCATATTGAGGTATCGCTGATCAGAAGCAAAAGTTGGGTATACATGACGCCATTTGCTGCGCGCCTTGATTTTTCCAGTAGCCACAAGATCCTGCAGCAATCCCTTGAATGCCTCTCTGGCTTTGCGCTCCTCACGTGTCTTCTCAACTTGTGCGCGGCGCATCTGCTCTTCAAACTCACGCTCTTTGACACGTGAGTAATCTTCAAATGCAAGGAGGATATCTAGCGTAGGAAGCTTGCGCAGCTCAGAATCAGCTTGCCAGTCGGGGGACTCGGTGACCATTTCGTGAGCCTTGCGCCAACGTGTGAGGACATTTACATCGAGTTCTTTGAAAAGAGACACGACTTTGGAGATTGCACGCGTACGCGCAGCACGAGTTTCTTGCTGTGGGTGTGTGTGTGTGAGGTTGCATTCATGATCAGGAGAATAAACAAGAACGTACCACTTCCCGCTGCTTGAGCTCTGCGACGTACTCCTCAAATATGAGTTTTCGCTCGGCCTCGATACGAGCTAGTTGCCAAATGGGATGCTGCGAGAACAATTTATCCGCGGTAGCAAACGTAGTGTAATGAAACACATTCGGATTGCCCTTGAGCATGTTGCGTATTGCTGGGCGGAGCTTCGAAAGTCGTGCTTCACGCTCTTCTTCGTCCTTCTGACGTAGACCATCTGTGTACTGTGCATGCCAGGAAAGTTAAGTAGCATGTTATACCGTGAACGAAGGAAACGCACCTTCTGCCAAGTTGCTTTCTTCTCAGCTAGGGAGTTCAATGCCTTGTACAATGGATCCGTAATGATGGTGCGCATAGTCTGGTCCCACGTCCAGTCCGCATCAACACCCGCCTTGCGCAAAAGATGCATAAAAGCTTTCTCACCCTCCTCAAAGGTGGCGAAACCATTGTGAGGAATGGTAGGGTCATCCGGAAGGTTCGGCCGTGCGGGAAGAACGCCTGTGTTACTAAAAGGGAGCGAGGCAGAGCCTGCAGGGACTATGGTGCCGTCAGGCTGCGCTGGGGCTGTCGAAGCATGAATTGGAGCGGACGAAGTGCTGTGATCAAACTATCAGGAGAAAGGGCAGGAGAATAGGCTAAGGACATACGGAATGGAACCTGCAACTACAAGTTGGCTGTTTTGCTTCTCCTTCTCGACTTTTTCAAGGAGCAGAAGCAGCTCGTCTGGCATGTCCCATTTTGATTCTTTGGATTCGGTCTGTTCAAGTAGGTTAAACGCTAATGAGAAATATCTTGATCACTGGACATACATTGTAATAATACTTCCTGCCTCCGGAGAAGTACTCTTTCCATTTTGTCTCTCCGAGAGCTTTCTGAAGGGATAGGTTAGTGTGAGCATACGGCTAGGGAAAAATATTAAATCACCTCAAATGGAGTCTTCAAGTCTAAACAATTCACATTTAGCGCAGGACAGGACAGACAAAACTTGGATGCGCACCATCTGGCTTCTCCCAGACACTTTCACGAGTGCCAGTATTAAACCAGTATGTTCTTCCCTCAGGATTTCTATGTTCAGTCTATCCCACCTAGTCAGTTGTTTCTACGAGAAGCGATGGCGACGAGACTTACCCACATACTTTGCGAAATGGCAAGCCATCGACCAAAGTAATATTTGATCGCACCAAGTTCTTCAAACTCCGACTCGCGTGATTAGTCATCACACAGACGCTTTGTCTATTCCGCCACCATGGTACGCCCATTTTACTCAATCCGAACATAACCCTCCCACCAATTCACATCCAGTCATCTCGTGTCGAGCTACTGAATGCTGGTCTTCTTCGCAGCGATGGTCGTAGACCTTATGAACTACGAACACTAGCCATCAACTTTGCACCACAAGGAACAGCAGACGGCAGCATCACCTACTCACATGGCCTCACTCAAGTACGCGTCTCAGTCCTCGGCCCACACGAATCAAAACCAGGAACAAGACGCGAAACATTCCACGATCGCGCAACACTAAATGTCGAGGTCCAACTCGCCCCTTTTGGCGTCGGTGAACGAAGAAGAAGAGGCAGAGGTGACAAGTAAATATCATCTATACCAACTTTATCATATCATTAATACCACTTAGGCGCCTCCTAGAACTCGCAGCATCAATTAAAAGCACATTTGAACCAGTCGTCCAAACCCATCTCTACCCACGCAGTACCATCGACATATATATACACGTCCTCCAGCTCGATGGCGGCCTCCTCCCTGCATGCATAAACGCCTCTACCCTCGCTCTAGCAACTGCGGGCATACCCCTATTTGACTTTGTCTGCGCCATCAGCGGTGGCGTGTATGGCACCCAACCCTTGCTTGATCTAACCACAGTCGAAGAAAATGACGTCCCGAGCGTCGTGGTAGGCGTGATGCCTCGTACAGGACGCGTGACGCTCGTCCAGATGGAGACCAGGTTGCATATGGATCGATTTGAAGAGGTGTTTAGAGTTGCGTGTGATGCAGGCAAGGTGTTATGGAGCGAGATGAGGGATGCCCTCAGGGAACGGACTGGTGATTTGGTGGATAAACTTGAGGCTGGACCCGGGACAGCTGTGAAAGAGGCTGAGGAGACGTAGGATTGATGCTCGCTGTAGCTAGCAGCTTCACCTATGTCAGTGTTGCTGTCGAGGCGAGTTAAATTTGATGTGAGCTCGACTCGGTTCGAAATTGACCAAATTCGATAGGTGCAATGGATTGTGTACTTCATATCCGCTCATCGTAATCCCCTGTAAATGGTCCTATGATATGAATATCTTATTACAATGACCTTGTAGTGAACTCGAGGCAGCTACCACTAATATCAAAGGAATTTTATAGACGGCTGTTGTTTCAACAGAGACCCTGGCTACTTGAGCCCAAAAAAAACTGAATTGTTTCGCGAATCTGACATCTGCCAAACGTCCTAAAAATCAGATCTATACTAGTACGAATCTACAGCACTCGTGGAAGATAATTTGAAGTGGTTGACGACAAGTCTCACTGTGACGAGCTACAGAAGATTTGCTGAAAAGGCCGTCCGTAGTCACTTGCAATTGCGAATAAGTAATTGTCAATCATGATTCATTTTGTTTCCAGTGTCCACGTCAAGGTGCACTTTGTTTCAACTCGTCATTCCAAATCGTAAATATTAATTCACCAGAAACTCGATTTGATTGGCCTCGCTGGCAGGGCCACAGTAGTACTACTACTTATGTACTACGAAGACTCCCGGCGATCAGTACCGGTGATTTGAAGCAACACCACACTTTTCAACTCCATCAACATCATCATGGCCAGTGCTAGCGTCCAGGCTGAATTCAAGGTCGTGTCGATCCTCGACACCGACTTGTACAAGGTATGCGTCGTAGTAACACCATCATCGTCACCTTCGCCTGACGTAGTTGCGCAGTTCACAATGCAACAGGCTATCTTCGAATACTATCCCACTGTGCAAGTCGTGTATCGATTCACGCACCGCGACAAGCACCGCCAGTTCTCCAGAGCATGTATAGAGAAATTTCGCGAAGCTCTAAACAGTCCGTGTTCTCCGACTATCTTATCTTGTGTCCTGATGTAATACATGCAGGTTTCGCCGATATACAACTAACACAAGACGAGCGCGCCTGGCTCCAAGATAAATGCAAGTATTTTAAGCCTGAATACCTTGATTATCTCCAGTCTTACAGGTTTAAACCCGAACAAGTGATTATATACCCTTCGAGCTCTTTCCTTGTACCCCATTGACGCGCACCCCGTAGATCTCTGTCACATTCTTGCCGTCTTCTGATGACCCTGATATGGGCAGCGTTAAGCTCGAAGCGAGAGGCCCGTGGCTGGAGACCGTTTTATGGGAGGTCCCGCTCATGGCGTGTCTCTGTGAGATGTATTTTCAATATGCGGATCGGGATTGGGATTATACCGGGCAAGAAGGTGACTAAATTCAGTTCTCGATTCTTTCGTGCTACTGAGTACGGGAACGGGCCAGAACAAGCTACGCATAAAGCTGCATCTCTCTTAGACGCGCGGTGTATATTTAGCGAATTCGGGACGCGGCGCAGGCGGTCGTTTGTCACGCAGGATTTGGTGGTGAGAGGGATTATCAAGGCGAGGGATGCGCATGAGTGGAAGGAGGGTTTTTTTGGAACTAGTAATGTATGCTGTTCTTCACATCGGTGGTCTCCTTTTTTGACGCAGATGCACAGGTCTACCTCGCTATGCGATACAACCTCAACGTGATAGGCACGATCGCTCAGTGCGTAGCTGTTCTTGTTATTTTATTTTCCGACTTATAACTCGTGACTTTTAGCGAGTGGTTCATGGGTGTAAGTCCCACTCTCTTCATGACAAATTCTCCTCTGCTCAACGGTACGCTTAGGTCGCAGCGCTGGGAGATTATAAAGACGCTGCTCGGACAGCTCTAGACCTCTGGTCAAAGCTCTATAGAGACAGTCTTTCAGTCACGCTCACGGATACATTCTCTACTGAAGTATTTTACCGGGTGCGTATGTCCATCTTGTCACTGCGCAGCGTTTCTTATTTTCTTTCGATTTCTATATCCATCTTCGTGTTTGGTGTTTATTTTTATTTTATTTGTAGGAATTCGACGATAGACGTGCTAACCAATGGAAAGCCTTGCGTCAAGACTCAGGAGACCCAAAAGTATTCGCGCCCAGGGCTAAACGGATGTATGAAGAGCGTGGGATCGATTATACACAGAAAGCTATCATCTTCAGTGACGGGTTGGATTATGAGAAGGCCAAGGAGTTGAATGAACAGTGTCAACTGCTCGGGTTCAAGTGTACGTTGTCGTGTTATTTTTGGTTGTTGGTCGCGTTTCGTCTAACCATCGGTTATTTTCTTACACGTGCAGGTTCTTTTGGTATTGGGACTTGGCTGACGAACGATTTTAAGAAGAAGAGCAGTGGGTATAAGGAACAAAGCAAGGCGTTGAACATTGTGATTAAGCTTGGGTCGATTGATGGAAAGGAGTGTGTCAAGATTAGTGATGAACTTACAAAGGTAGGATGTGTCGTGATTCTCAGTTTTGTTTTCTCATTAATGGCCATTTGCGTTACAGAATACTGGGGTTCCGGAAGTTGTGGCAAAGGTTAAAGAGATGTACCAGATATGAGTTCTGTAGAAACCAGCAATTGGGTAAGTGACGGTACTTTTGTGAATGAGAATTTGGACTGACGATGAGATGTCGTTGCCTTGTCAGTCCAGGGCGTTCAAAGTCCAATGATGAAGTGTCCTAGTGGCTATGTATTAGAGTGACTGTAGCAATAAATCGACCTCAAAGAATCACGATAAGGATCGCCCCGTTGTCTCTTGCAAATCTACCGTGTTCCTCGTTCGCAAACGCTAGACTGCAATTATCTTACATCGTATTTCTTCTTACGAAAGTCGGGCGGAGGCCTGGTCAAGACAGATACCGATACTTCACGTGAAAACGAGCTATAAGACCTGCTGGTCACAACAGAAGACAAACTTGTTCAATTTTCGCCTGCGAGGTGTACTCAACCTCGGTCTATCTAAAGCTTATTTAGACGGTTCCATGATATGCCCCACCCGAGGTATTGTCGAAACTACCCGCTATATTTGTACCTGCCCAAAGACAATTAGTTCTGCCGCTGGATAAACTAGCCCACATAGAAACTGACCAGTTCGTCCTGTTTAATGCATGGTAAATAGACGAACGTTCGATAATGCTATCATGCCACACCTTGCGATAACTGCCTCCTTCCTCACCACACGTTTAGGATCATCCAAAACCTTTGCTAACTCCTTCAATACACGCGTCTTGTAAGGATGCAGTAAATCATATCGCACAGTGCCTGGCAGCAATGCCAGGTATTTGAGCGCCGCTGCGCGTACTCCCTTTGGCTAATGAGTATTTCAAGCAGAATCAACGAACGCGTGAAAGACACACAGGATCGGGCATTTCCATATACATGCAATTTTTGAGCATGGCAAGCACGAGAGTCGACGCGTACATTGAGACAGCGTCCTTATCAGCGGATGTAATATCGATACTGTTAGACAATGTGTTAATAATGTGTGAACGAATGGATGGGTCGACGAGGTCGAGTCCGCGTAGTAGAATAGGCATCAGCTATGGGAGCACTGTCAGCAAACCAACTAATATGTTGTAGTCAAATAAAATGACGACTCACTGAGGGCATCTGAGTAACGTAGACCGCTTTCGGTACAGCATTGATGAGGTACGCCAAAGCAACCAAATATGCAGTTTCTCTTTGCGATCCTTGCGAATGGGCAATCAGTTAGATTATATGGAATACGAACACCTGACATACCCTTGGCTCCTTCTAACAACCGCGGCATCACTACGTTGAAGTACTTCTGCACGTGTAGAACCTAGAAATATATGGTTTTTGGAGGATTCTGCTAGGTTTGCCTTTGCATACCTTAAGAACTGCATTGTTGCGCTTCGTCAATACGGCATCCTCGCTTGCAAGCAAACCAATCGCTCGCGCTGCATCCCAGCCGACCATGTTGTCATCCAAAAGCTCGAACAAGTGATCAAAGAATATATTTCCAGAGGGGTGAGAGCGCACAAGGAGCGCCCTTGTGACCTGGAGAGAAAAATCAGCATTGATAACATAAAAAGCTAGAAGGTGAGTACGGATATCCAGGTATTGATCGCGTGCTTGCGTGCTTGTGCTGGAATACTTGGGTTCTTGAGGACTGATGACGAGTAGCTCTCCAACTGGTGTGACAGGAAGCCAGATATATCTGAAGAAAGGTGATCAGTCCGATTATAATAAAAGGATGTCATAAATCACCTTCAACATGTTTATTGACAGTGGAAGCAAGAACGTGGGATGCGGCTTCTCGTTGAAATACTGTACTAGATGGGTCATCACTCCACGCGATCAGTTCAGAGAGGAAATTGGATAGATCGTCGACAGGCATGCGAACCTTGAAGCAGCATTAACAGAAGTACTGAAATTCAGGTTGAAAAGCGGCATACCTCCTTGCGTAATGAGACAATGGTAGAAGAGAAAAGAGTGAAACTGTTCCGTTGTCGGGAACTGGCATTGAGCTAGGATCAGAGTCAACATTACATATATAAGGGGAATGTGAACGTTGCACCCACATGGAGAGGTGCAAATGGCGTGGAAGAGTTCAAGAGACCGCCAGTTATCTGCTTCACGTCACCTTGCGTGTAGGCAGCAAACACAGAGGCAACAAGTTTTTCTTGTCGCCTGCCACCTTGATCAATAGCGTCCACCCAGAGATAAGATAAAGACTCACGCAACATTCAAGGTCTGACTCACGAGCCTGATAATCCTCGCCCCGACTTGCAGCAGCCTTGGATCTGCAGCGACAGCCACCACCTCCGAGCTCGCTAGCGCAGCATCCAAGTACAATCTGAAGATGTGCGGCAGTAGCTGCTCGGCGTACTTGGGGACATCTACGTCTTTCGAAGATACTTTGACATCAAGTGTATTTGCGAGGGCTGTGAGGATAGCATGGGCATACGCAGCTGTACTTTCCTGATCGATTGTCGAAGTTGGCAAGATTGCACAAAGAAGATCGAGTTTGGCGATGAGCCTAATAACTAATGTCTCAAAAAGCTGTGGTTGCACACAAAGGGCACTGAGAGACGAAAGGGCGCGCCAGTAAGATGCACGCTGCTCGGTGGCATCCCTCGATGGAGTAACATCCGGAAGGAATGAAAAAAGAATTGGGAGCGTTTGCGATGACAGATGGTGCGGCGCGATACCAGCGATGGCAGAAAGAAGTGCAAGGGTGTCCGTGCTGAAACCACGAGCCTCAGTAACTCATTGTATATGAGGAGAAAAATCGTTCATACGTCACGTCTTCTACTTCATCAGGCTCCTTGCGTAGCAGCTCGCTGACCTCAAGCACTATGTACCCAAGCTCATCATCAGCTACTAAATTAGGAGTGCGCACAAGTGTGATTAGACCATGCAGCGCTGGCAGACATGTTGCAGGTGATTTTAAGCTGACAATGAGGAGCCCAAGAAGGGCATCCTTCGAGGCAGTGAGTGGGGATGATGTTGGGTGAGAAGACTGAGTAGCATCATCCCGGCAGGCTTCAATTAACTCCGTGAGCAACACAACCACTGACGCCCGGTTTGAAACCTCATCTGGGTCATGGAAATTTCTAATGAGAAGCTCAGCAGCTTGCGAGACTGCAAAACTAGACAGCGATCCTGATGATGAAAAGCATTGAGATCCAGCTTGTACTGTCGTAAAATGCTTACCATTAGCTCGGGCAAAGGCACATATGACCTTCATTGCAGGTCTCGCTTGAGATTTCTCAGGCTCCTTCAACGCTTGTATGCACTCGCTGCACATGTCTCGTGCGAGGCCCGTAATGGAGTCCTCACTTACTGCGTCTGAAGATTTATCAGCATGCATGGTTCTAACAAGGACCTGCAGTGTATTAAGGGCTGAATGTTCAGTATCCGGATCAGTCGGTTGGAAAATCTGATTCCACGTAAGTCATGCTCAATTTCAGGAAATAGAACCTTACTTCGAGTTTCAAAGAGCTCCAAATTTTCTTCCCGAACTCACGCGACACAGCAGGTCCGTAAACCGGAAGACAGATGTCCATTGCTTGTAGAGTGTCTCGCTGCCGATGGGTCATTAGATTAACATTTAAATGTCATAAGTGCAGCACTGACCTTGGTTGTGGGTGATCCGGCAGTGAGCTTTTCAAGAAAGATTGGAATTCCAAGGGGTCCGAAGGCTGGAGTTGCGCAAAGACAGAGTCTGCAGTAAAATTAGTAGATGAAATACACAGTATGTAAAACCTCGTCGCACCGAAGAGATTGCTTCAGATCATCTGCACTGATGCCATAAGGATCATCGGGTGGTGGTCGAAATGTGATGGGAAAGTAGCAGAATGTTATGTCAAAGAAGTCCTATGTTTGACATTTGAACATGTAACAGAATGCATGAAAGCAAGGCCTACCTCAATATGAGCAAGAATATCGAATTCCACCAGCATGACGCGAGCGATGGCAAATGCCAACATGAGATTTCGAGGGTCTTTCTCTCCAACTGCCAGGTTCACATATCCCGCAAGGAAAGTACTTCCCATCTCCTTTAGGGTATCTCGATGGATAGCTATCAGAGAATCGACGATTGAGAAGACGAAGAAGCGAGTGGACTGCACGAGAGCTTTCATTTTGATATTGGCGAATATACTAGACGATGTTAGAAGTAATGAAAATGTGCGACGATTCAAGTACCTACGCGTTGAGAATATCCTTCACCTCAGCCGACTGTATGTTAGGAAACTTGACAAGGTAAGAGATACCATTGAGTGCAGGGATGATGGTCTCGAAGTCTTCAAGCTTGCTGCAATAAAACGTGGTGAGCACACGGACTAGTAAAAACAATGAGTATAATTAACTAATCCTTGAGGTCGCTTGTACTCACTAGCCTGGCGATTGAGCTTTTCGTGTGGACATCGTCCAAGAACAGATGACAGAAACTTGACGCCTGCAACGATTGAGAACATAGATACTAACAAGTGATTGACAAGTTCACCTTTCGTCCGCAAGCGGTCCTCCTCAGATGTTAAGAATTCACCAAGAGCCTTTATAATATCTAACAAAGTTAATTGTCCACTTGATATACCTGAATAATGCGTTTAAATTTTGATAGCGTCTTGCAACGAAAGGTGTACCAGCAACGCTCTCGTCGACCTCGGAGTCTTTCTCCGATGCCATCCAGGAGCAAACCAAGCGCTCCGCTGTAGTCATTTTCGGCGAACTGTTGTACCAGCTGATACCGGAAGGCAACGACAGTCGAAGGAGATTAGTATTATCATTAGATTCGAAAGGAAAGTGGAAACTCAACAACTCAACATCGGCGCATAATTATCACACGGAAATTTGGGTCGTGTTTCCGTAGAACTATAGGCATACAGCGTCAGCTGTACTTTCGCCATTTTTTGACCAGCAAATGCTTCGCAGCATACTTTCATGTAACCACCGATGTTGTTCACGACAAAGTCACCTCAAGGTCTACTTCTCTTCGACAGCGCCGACAGCGAACGATAGGCCGCCTCCGAAACACAATGACAAAATCAACTATAATCCAGATATCTCTTTCTCTACCACCGTCGACTCGAAACATCTCAAGTACCCGATGCTTACGTCGCGTGACCTCGAATCTCATCGCAAACCACCGACCAGAGTGCGGATGCTAGTCCGAGATTTCATAGAGGATTCACTGTACAATCCGCACTACGGCTATTTCAGCAAGCGCGCCACGATTTTTACTGCACCTCCACACTGCGGTGGTGTTGAGGGAGGCTTTGATTTTAATAAATATAGAGATAGTGCCGAGTTTGAAGTCGACGTCGCAAAGAGGTACAGGGAGTTTGGCAATGGAGAAGAGGACGGTCCTGGGAGGCAACTATGGCATACTCCGACAGAATTGTTCAAGGTGGGCAAATCTATTTTCGTCTTATTGGCAGAGATAGCTAACATGTTTCTACAGCCATGGTATGGGCAGGCGATAGCTCAATGCTTGGTGTCCGAGTACTTGCTCAAATACTTCCCTTACGAAGACTTCAAGGTCTACGAGCTGGGAGCCGGAAATGGCACGCTGGCGCTGAATATCCTGGATTTTCTAAAGACCCACTACCCAGAAGTATATGACCGCACGCAGTATACAATCATTGAGATTAGCGAGAAGTTGGCACGGGCGCAGCGACACCGTCTACATCAACAGGGTCATGGCCAGGTCGTGGATGTGGTGAACCGGAGTGTTTTCCAGTGGCAACGCAAGGAACACGCACCATGTTATGTGGTAGCAGCGGAGGTGGTCGACAATTTCGCACACGATGTGGTCCGGTATGATCTGAAGACCCTGGAGGCATATCAAGGGGTCGTAGCTGTGGACGAAATGGGCGAGTTCGTACCGTTTTACACGAAGATCAGTGATCCGCTCATCGCTTCCTATCTCGCGCTGCGTCGGCGGCTGTCGCTTCCTGTCCCGCTACCGCTATTCCTCCGCTCGCCATCTTTGCGGAGATTGTACGCATCTTTGCCATTCGCACCGAACCTTTCACCTCCAGATTACATCCCGACGAGGCTGTTGAGTCTACTGAAGATACTACGTGCGCACTTTCCTCGCCACCGGCTTTTATTGTCAGACTTTTCGTCACTACCGGATGCGGTGCCTGGCATAAACGCTCCTGTAGTACAAACGCGCGTTGGCACAACGATGATTCCTTGTGGGAGTGTCTTCGTGCAGCAAGGCTGGTTCGACATCATGTTCCCAACGGACTTTGCCGCCCTTCGCGAGATGTACGAGTTCTTGTTGTCACAGGCAGGGCCTGACCCGGATGAACGGGACGAACTCTCGTATGCAAGAGTGTCGCCGTTGGCATCGAGCACGTCTCCACTTTCACTTGGAGCCGGTTTCTTTTCATCCCAAGCTCGCCGCTCACCTCTGGACGGCGTGACGTCTGCGAGTGGGCTTCCCGTTGGTGAGCGGAAGAGCAGTGTATTCAGTCATGCAGAATATTTGGAGACATATGCAGACCTTGGGAAGACGAGGCTGGCGAATGGGGAGAATCCGATGATTGGATTTTATGAAAATGTAAAGGTGTTATTTTGATGTACGTTTTTGATGAATTGTGCTGCAGTGTCTCGCGCTGTACGTGATTCAGGAAATCATCTAATTGGGTGATTTTTGTTGCGCACGGCTAATATGCACCTATTTGATAGGGGACCCGTACTTTGTTAGGGTCTACATAAGCGTCAGCGTCAACTATAACATCGTCGACGGCCATCTGTTACTGATCTCCCCCTTCATGAAATCCACACTGGGTTGACAGTGTTACGAGTATATCGCAAGCGCTTTGGGATGCTATGAACAAGCGATAGGTCGATGCGCGAATGCGATAACACGCTGATCGAACTATCCATGCGACTTCGGGTACGACGTAATCGGAAATGATACTAGTGCAAGAGCAATCCAGTTTGCGATGGCGAGCCCCTACATCAATATCGCAAAACATCTACTCGAGCAAAGTTACCACAGGAGATAAGTCAAATGTTGCGAATGTAACTGCTGTTAACCTTGACTTCTGTATCCGAGTGTCCTTCAGGTTTGCCGGCTTGACAATCTTTCGCGAAAGATGTCCGGCTGTAGACAGAGTGAGCTGCTACGTGGAGGCCCAATACACCAGAAGGGTGAAGTAAAATTGCTCAGGATAAGTTGGCCTGTAGATATTACAGAGTCGGAATAAAGAATGACCTACCCAGGGCCTATCGCCTTGGTTGGCTTTCACCATCATCAGCTCGCACTCCCTAAATAAATGTTATACAAAAGTATAAACAGTATTATAGTATTAGGAATTGCGTCGATCCGACTTGTAATGTAAAATCTGGAGTTTGAAATGACTCCTGCAAATTGAACACTTGACGTATTCGATTGGTGAAATCACATGAAGTAGATCCTCGAGGACCAGTCGCAGTGATGGCGGGCACGTCAGTTGAACGGTCTGGTATGGGATGTATAAAATAACTTGGACGTCCAGCCCAAGTTGGCACAGCACTAGACTGTGCGCTCTCCCGAATATCGGCAAGCTTCAACGCAGTATCCAGTCCAAGTTTCCGTACATCTTCGAGCCCGATGGGCTCTTCTCTCCTTGCAAGTTGCAGCAGACCCGGGACCAGCCATTCTGTGACCCCATAATCTTGAGCAAGTGCAACTTGGTCTAGAGGACGGATAGCAAGCATAGGCTCCATCTGTTGAATGGCGAATTCCTGAATGTGGGTGAAGCCCCACATTTTGGATAGCTTCAATATGCTTGTCCACTCCTCGAGGGTCGCTGGAAGTGCATCCGGAGAAGGTGGTAGGCGGGTGAATGGCCTGTCAAAGGCGAACCGCCATCAGGTTCCAAGGCATAAATTTAAGCTGTCATCATCAATACTCACATGGGATATAAAACCTTCATAAGAGATTGAAAATCTTCCTTGAGAATACCCTCGAGAACGATAGGATTTGTGTCCGAGTATCCTTCAGCTTGGTCGGCCTCAACAGGTAGTAGAAACAGATCGCGAAAGACCTCCGACTGCGACTCTAGTGTGTCACGAGGCACCCGGAATAAACAGTCCTCGACCTTGCACAGACGAGTGAGCTGCTGCATGGCTGCTCAATAAAAAAACTCACCATAAATGTGATGAAAGTGAAGTAAAACTGTTCATGATGTTTGGGATTAGGCATTATCAGTCTGATAAATCGTGATGATAAGAGGGTGACGTTGTGTGCTTTGCTTTGTAGTACCTTAAGTAGTATCGGCGCTTGTCAGGGGCTGTATTTCCTAATTCGACACACTTAGGTGCTCGGTACAGTACATATAAGCACATTTCGCGTATCTAAGCGTCACGGTCTGGGAAGCGCACAGATTTGTAATCCTTCCACCTTCCATCATCATAGCACCCGTAGGGTATACATGTAATAATGGAAAGATTCTCCCAGTTGGTTGATCTCAAGTGAAGTGTTTCGTGCTACATGTGAACCAGTGAGATATCGTTTTCGAAAGTGCGGTTGTCCGAAGGTGATGTATATGAAGATGCCATTGCGCTTAAGTATACTGCCAGTCCCTGTAAGACCAGAAGGTATGGAGATATGAAGGGACTAACCGTATAACTTGAGATACTTCTGCTGTGCAATCTTTGATTACTTGCTCTGGTGGATCCTGTGGAAACAACAGGATCTTATCAGTATGTCGTATGTTGCCATGATAATCAAACATAGTACCCAGACATCGGTGGAAGACGTCATCATTGCATCCATTGTCCCTGGGACCGGAAAGCGTGAGACTTCGAAAAACATCAAGTTAAATCCATCATGTACCTTTATCGATTGCAACATCAAAAGATGAAGTGTCTAGACCGTCCAGAGTTCGCACATCCTTCACTTCCCCTATCGAAGAATTAATATGTGTTTCCAGTGTTTTCAGAAAAAACAACTACATGTCATCTCTGGGCGCAGATCTTTGTGCCGGTTGCGCATCTTCTCGATAACAACAGGCGAATACTTTGGGAGAAATAAGAGGTAGATCAAAGACCGCCACAACAAGAGCCGTACATCAACGTTGACAATGTTTTTGTACCCATCTTCCCACATCTGTTTGCACGACAGTGTTAGTCGCAAGATTATGCAAGAGGAAAGACTTACATCCTCCGAAAATTTTGAATTTCCACAACCGAGCATTAAGATGCGTGCAGCTCTATCGGGGATGAGTTTTCGGATGTCATTCGCAACATCCGCATAGGTCTTGAACCAATCGAAAGAGGCATCCTCAGCTTCTCTAATTATCTACGGTATCTCATGACTCATTAAGAGAACAGATGAAGACATACTGCTCGTATCTCTTGTCCCTTTGATGGATAAATAAATAGTCTCCGAAACAGATATCTAGCTACTCACCAGTACACTTCAGTACCGTATTCTTCATTCTTCTGGGGAAGCGACATGTTGGTGAAGCAGCACTGAGGTCCGTGCTACTAGCCAAGGTGGCTTGGAATCCGATATCAACGCCGCGGAGTTTTATGCAAGGGTCGGACGGGCCTGCACTTTCACAAAAATATATTATACTGTGCTTGTTCACTTACACCGAATACTAAACTGAACTTGCGCTCTTGCTTGACTGCGAGCTCACTTGGAAATCGGCTATGTAACATGCTGTACACGATTTAAGTGACGAGAAGTAAAATCAAGTTGGCTTGAGAGTAACGAATTATCTGTGTTGCGGACAGAAAATCCCAACTGTCTGCTACAATTCAAGATTCGAGCTACAGTTTCATGTTCGATTATTTCCTTGTATGCTGATGATGAGAAAATCAGGATACCAAGAAGGCATTACGTTCGTGTGATGTTGCATGTGCACCAAAAAGACAGAATAAAACGGTCAGGATCCGCGCCATGACACAAAAAAGGCTGTCACGATGCATCAGCGATGCTGGGCATCCTCTCAATCGCGGAATTGCGGAACGAGGATTTGTCTTGCATGGAGTCTGTGGTTGCGTTATTAAGATGGACTGCAAAGAAAATGGAGAGACCACACCGTTATTAGATTTATACTCCATGATGGTCGATGGAGGAAGGTTGAGCACAGTCCGCAAGGTGTCCCTACCATACCAATCAGACCGTTGAAATTACAGGAAAAAATACGAAAGACACACCGAATCTTCTCTCGCACCTTGGCATCCCCATCGACACGATTCCACAAACTCACAATATCTTCGCTCTGACGCACGCTGATGGTGCAACCACAAATTTCTGGCCACCCACCTTCCTCCCCTTCCCCTTGTGTGCCACATTCATCAAACATGTCACCCACGACGCCCATAACGAGGTCCTCCCACACCCTGTCTGCTACTCCCTTGCGCAATCGCACGATCCACTTCCCACCAGCACGATTCAGGGGGTCTTCCCACACAGGCCTCCGAACACCTGCGTGGAACAGGAGGTAGTCCGTAGTGGGCAGGAGTGCAGAAGGGGGTGAAAGGTGGGTTTGAAGTCCCCAAAAAGATTCGACGCTGGAGAAAGAAGCAATTTTTTTGATGCCTTCTTCATAATTGGTGATTTTATTTCCCGGAGCGCGCTGTTGACGGAACCAGAAGACCCATCTGGTGCAATAGACGTGAGTCACGGATGAGGATGAGAAGGAAGCCACGAACATACGTATTCCGGAGAGGGTGAACGGGCAGTGGTGCGGGAACATCGACACCCCGGTCGCGCTCCTCGTGTGGCGGGTGTGCGACGGAAGTGGAGAAATGCCTGCTTGTAGGGAGTCGCGGACGCGTCTCTGCTGGGATGGCAGGTGTAGTAGTAGCTGTACTTGTGGTAGTGTTAGATGCTGTATTTGCAAAACGACTCTGGAATTGCGAGTGGTTGGAGAAGTAGCCAGCCATTGTGAATAGGATAAATAAATGAATAAAATTGCGAGAGCAAAAAAGAACTCTTAGATGTCTATGGAATATAGAGCACCAGTATCGGCCACTAGATGCAGAAAGAGAGGACGTTCGACGAGTATATCAGTGAGTATGGACAGACAAAGTATGGACAAGATGGTATCGTAGGTGATCGAGAAAAGCAAAGGATAATAGGATTAGTAAGCCGTAGTCTTGTCTGTCCTTTCACCTCAACCACCTCTACAGAATCTAGAACTTTTGGGTCATAACGGCTAGGCAACTACAAAGTACTTATAGACGAGTACTTGCGTAGAAATCACTTCGCTCATTCAAGACATCATCGCATTATTAATACGTGTCCGCGTCCTACATTGACCCACTATACCATTCATTCAAGATTTCAGCGGCACCATGTCGCACGCCAGACACCAGTCCTCATCGCCGCGCAAGTCAATGCGGGGGTCTGAACCGCTCTTGTCCCTAGATCAGACTATGCCGAATGGGGCACATTCTCTGGCACATGAACTCGCTGTTGCACTAATGCCTGAGCCCGGAGGCGGGTCGCGGATGCTTGTAGAGGAGTTTGGGATTGAGTACGACGAAGGCGCGGAAGGCATCGATGAAAATGACTGCATACGTGGAAATGAGGAACGTGAACTGCATATACCAGGAGACAGTCTTGCGAACGAGATTGGAAGTAGCCTAGCTGATGAGATGGGGGCTTCCAATCTGGCGGAGGAACTAGGCGGAAGTGGGAGCGCTGATAAGGATGTCAATGAAGATGTTGAAAACAGTCCAGACGAGGATGGTGGGGACGACTCGCTTATACCAAGAAGACCAGAGCAAGATGCCATGGAGATCCTTGCACAAAATCTCGCTTCCACAGATCAATTCCTCGCACATTTACGCGCCGTCGATGCTCTACCTACTTTTCCCTCCGCACACACCTCGGATACCGCTCCAAGCGCACATGTCCTGGAAAGGCTGGCATCGGACATGATCCGTGCCATTAACGAGGCCACAAAAGAGAGGGAAAGTCAGGTGCGCGAGCTCATTACCTATGAGCGTGAATTCCGCCGGCTTTCGACCGAGGTCGGTGGGAATGACGTCCTTTGTGAGTTGGATGACATTGACGAAGGCGAGAGCGAGGGTGGACACGCGCCAACGAAGCTAGATACCGTCACCGAGGAAGACGAGCTTGAATTATCTTATGCACCGTCCTTACCTTCGTCGCCCGAAAAGCCCTCCTTCACTGCACCCCAGCCCTCCAGTGCTGCTGCACCGCTGCCGCACCTGGTGCAACTGCGAACACATACAGCGGCACTACTCTCATCGCTCACAACGATATCAGAGCAGGCGCAGGTGAATGGAGCCGCTACAGCAGATTCGGGTCGGCGGATTCGTGCGCTGAAGAACCGTTTTGGTGGGTTGCGTGGGGAGTGGGAAGGCGCGGAGCGCAGCCGTGGACGTGTTGAACGGTGGGAGCGGGAAGGCGCAGATTGCAGAAGAGTTGCGGAGGAGCACATGATCGCATTTCAACAGGCCATAGATGAGGCAGGGGTTAAGACACAGGCGATTATGGCGCGATAGATGGTATGATGTAGAATGGACTTGACCACGCTGGAGGATCGCCACATACTAGTATCTATTCACATTCACTCACTACAATATTATACCGGCACACCATCTTATATTTTGCTTGTACGTAGAACTGGCTAGTCCATCTATATATGGAGCACTCCCTTTCCTGAAGACTACTAGTAAAAGTATATTTAAGTGTTCATGCACAACATTCAAAACTGGGACCCATATAAGCTGACATTCCCTTATTGGACATTATAGATGGATGTCGAAATGTGTTGTCCCCTCGTCCTAAATATCTCACTCGATTCTCACTTCCACACACAACTTACAACTTGAATCAATGTTTCTATCATGCACCTTCCAATGCGAGGTCAGACGACCAATTTTTGTCAAGAAATGATGAAGTTCATTAAAAGCCGCCAAAATCACGCTGCCAGCCAGGCGTTGCTGTAACGGAGTTCTAAACCAATACTAGCTTACCGACTTGTCAGTGAGCCGAAGACTTGATCCGAACCAACGAAATAGGCTACCGCCTGAAAGGCAGCCACCAGAGTTGCGTTCCACATATTATGTATATGAGCAGTGGTATTCTCAGCAATTTCCGGACATTTTACATCACACCACCATCAAGTTCGCTCAGCGCTACAGCCGTGAAGGATAATATTTTGCCCTCAGTCGCAATTTGTCGTTATCCCAGTAGTGAAATAAGTACGAATGGCTAATTTATTATTCTCATCTATTAAAATCTTGCCTGAGGCAAAACTCTAAAACCGCCGCTGTGTAAGCTGGCTTATAGGCAAGGACTGAGGAAACGTGATGATAATTGAGTCAAAACCGCGCGATAGATACTAGTACAAGAAGACAGCCTAGTTTCACTAGTTACGCAAGTTGTACACCTTCGTGCCATAGTACACGCCCGCAGCACTACTCGTTGCAGCGAGCACAAGGGGTACCGGGCCCTTGGTAATGCGGGGAAGAGATGAGAGCAAAAGCAGGGCCGAAGCACCTACAAGAACAAAAGGCATTATATATATATATGAATATGAGAATTTTAAAGGCAACGTACCTAAGGCGCCCTCCAACCCATTAGGAGCGCCTTTCCTGATGACCTCTGCACTCCATAGGAACAAAAGACCAACGCTAGAGTACAGGAGTTCGCAAAAACACGCTTTATGATACCGAAGACCGACTCACCCGATACCAGCAACGAGTGAAGGAACCGAACGAGTTCTTGCATACCCAGTGATGCCGCCGACGATACAGAGACCGCCCATGGTGTATGCAGGATAGGCTGACTAAATAGACTTGGTATGAGGGATAATCCTATACCAAAAAAATAAAGTCTTACCATTGTTTAAGCGAAGAAGACGGACGAGACGAGGTTGGAAGTGAGGTGGGTTCACAGCAACTGCAACATTTTACCCCGCATACGCAACGATTTCAGACTCCGCGGTAAGCGATGTAAAATAAATAATATATATATACTCACCCTTTCGTCATCTGGATTATGGATGCTCAGCTCCTTGCCCCGCTCACACAACTTACTGCTCTTTCTCAGTCACTTTTCCTCTCGTTATCTCAGCAGCCTTCGCAAAAACAAGTTGCCCCACCTCCTTTAAGCTCGTTTGCAGCCGTCGATGATCAGCTGCGAGCAGCACTGACAACAGCGGCAGCACATCAGCGCCAACAGGCACGCATTGTTGCATTACAGCAGGAGCTACTGGAGGTGGATGCGCGATGGCGCGCTGTGTGTGATGCATTGGAAGAGGGGAGGAAGCTATTGGATGAGATTGTGAAGGAGGGCGATGAACGTGTAGAATGTATAAGAAAGGCGAAGGAGGGTTCGTAGTCTATTTCTGATCTGGCTAATATTAAACTGGTATACACATGAAGCTGCGATTCCTTATCCTGAATTGCTTGCATATGCACAAAGCCTCAGCGCATTTACGAGCGCGCCGCCAGGCTTAACTATGCCCGAGCCAGGTGCCGTAGGTCCTGTGCCTCTATTCTTCCCGCCATTCCCGAACGAGGAGAAGATGCGCCGTGGCAGACTGAATGTGGAGCGTCCGCTGGGTGGGCTTGGGGAAAATCATAGCGTGAGGGGTGAGTGGTCCCTCGATAACGAGCGTATTCTACTAGTGGAGTTTTGTCTGCTCGTGGTTTCATGTTTGGTTAAATTATGTGTATTTCGTTTCCTTTGCTGTACAATTTTACCCTTCTGTGTCAAATTCGACTCGAACTAACGTATGAGCAGCGCCAGAGCCATCGCCTCCACCTGTCCAGACACGCGAGCGCCCAGGTGTGAACCCTTACCGACACGATACGCGCCCTCAGCTGGCTGTGTTCGACCTCGATCTCGACCTCAATCCAGATCTATGATCTCAATTGTGTTGCAGGGAGATATAGTTAGGCACGCCGGCGAGTCCTGTTACGTTCAGTTTATTGCTTTATCTCACCTATATATAACAGTAGTGCATCGCGACATCAGAGAGAAGATTGATTGAGCAAATTCAAGGCGGTAGTCCCTTCAATGGCAAGGGAGGTCGTGAGGCTCATCTATGCCCTCATGCTAGCTATGAATACTTGAAGCCATTTTAAGACTGCTAAACCTATTGTGCCCAATGTCAGACGTTAAGGTACCAAGCGCACTATCACCATTAATTTGGTACACACTCGCAATCGATCGGTTTCCAGGTCCATGCGCAAGATGTTATGATATATGGGGAAAATGCGGGGTATGAGAAATGGTTAGTTTGTATGATAGTTCCTTTTCTGCCCCTTGAGGAATCCAAATGATTAAAATGTCAAGATATACTGTCGACGAGTTCCTCGGTCCTGCAAGTGAATGGTTGATAAAGTAGCCACATGCACTTGGAGGTTTGTCAGGAAGAATGGCGTGCCACGATGTAGCTCCCAGGCTTACTGCAGGGTATGGCATGACAAAATATGCCATAGGGAAAGGGCATCAGTTGACTGCATCTTTTGTCTTGCGAAAGGCTTCTAGTGCTACAGTCTTTGCCTCCATCAAGGAGGCTACCTGTGAACCTTCAATAGACATTTCCTGTAGATCCCCATGCGCAACTAGTGGCGCTGCAGGCATAGGTGCAGACTTGGACCGTTTCATCATTTTGGCTAGCAACTCCGATACACCACCTATACTCCTCTTTCTGCGGTGCTCCTCATCGGCACGGATCTTGGCCTCTTCAAACTGACGACCCCATACGACAAGTTGTCTGCGAAACCCAATGTTCGGCGCAACTATTCCACGCTTTGCTTGAACATGCTTAATGGTCTCCAAAGCGTCCATTGATGTTGTTGCGACGAGATAAGCGCAAATTAAAATCGGTGATCTTGAAATTCCCTGGAAACAGTGGACCTGCGAGGGGTGCCTCTGTTGGTTCCTACATAAGAGCTTAGCAATCCAAGGCGCACCAAGACTTTCGCGTCTTCCTTATCCAGCGCCTTCTTGATAAACTCTACGACGGGATCAAACCATCTGCAAATCTGCTCTTCGACTGCATCGCGCACAGGAACGTGGAGGACCTGGATGTGCGGTGGGAATACGTCCGTGATATCAAATTCGATAGCAGATACGACGTGGGTGATGCCAAGGCGTGCGAGGTTGTCTGGTGTGCGAGCGGTGTGGTAATCAGTAAGATAGAGGCGGGAAGTTATGGGTGTTGCTGCGCGTCCGTGAGACGGGTCTGTGTCACTCCTTTGGCGTCGAGAAGTTGTCTTTTGGATGAGTGAGGATTGCCATGAGGTAGAAGGGAAGGATATCATGATCTAGGATGGTGCGAAAGGAGGGTTGGCTTCAATCGTGCAATGACGAAGCTCCTCCGTCGGAGCTGAGGATTTTATAGATCCAGGTCGACTTCCGGATCAAGTGGATGCCCCGATAAACGAGACCTACAGAGGTTTCTCAGTTGTGGTAACTGACATCAGGCAGGTCATCGCATTACATATGGCAAAAACAGCCATAAATACAACTCTAAGCGCTCAAATTTGGCAGGCAGAGGCATAACAACTTAAGGACTTCCTGAACATGCATCGACGTGTGTACTCCTTCATCTCACAGGCTGCGATGTTGTGAGCAACTCTTGATCGGAATGGCGAAGCCTCCAGAGTCCAGGCGAATTGACGATATACGGTAGCCGAAGTTCACAGACAGTACATAACTCACAATGCGATCATTGCGATGTATGCGATATGATTTCGATAACCTAAGCCATATGTAATAGTCATGGCAGGTAATACACGACGTGCCATGTGTGTGGCATGTCTCTGGATATCAGAGATGAAAGCGTACTGGAAACTCGCTCGCAACTGAATCATGATGCAGCTTTTTGCTCAGCCCGTGCTTTCCGCTGATGCGTAATATAAGTACAGTCAATTTACGGAATTTTGAGAAAGCAGCTTACCGATCCATTAAGAGCGTGAAGCGAGTTCTTGCGGAACTATGTGTGCTTGAGCACTCAGTATAAAATCAGACACCTAGAAATGTACCTTGGGGTCAACCTATAGAGACAAGTGAACCCAAGATCAAAGATTGAATATTTTGACAACGTACCCCTCTCAGCGACCGAGACCGGTTAGTTTGTGGCCTCCTGATACCATTGCGGTGCGCCTTGCGGTTCTGGTTGTGGTTGGTGTGGCTTTGCAGATTTCAGTTGGATAGATATTATCTACGAACTACCAAACGCACTTTTTGGACTTTGCCATGGCGTCGACGTTGGTTTGAGGCTTGGACTCAAAATATTAACGACTGTGTTAGAATCAGGTATATCGACTGATGAGGCTGAAGAACTGTCTAGTTTCTTGTCTCACGATTCGGCAAACCCCGAAGGCTTGTTGCTTTGGTAAGCCCGATTAGTAATACGCGACTTCTTACATCATTTCAAGTGGTAGGAGTCCCCGTTACATCGTTCAAACCACACCATGTCGAAACATCACCCCGGTGAGCCCCTTCTCCTGTGACACTAGAAACAGAGAATTGACAAAAAAAACTAATATAGATTTGATCATGTGCCGGCGCCAGCCTGGCATTGGTGAGTACATCATAAACCGATCCGGCGGTGATGTTGCTAATCTTATGAATAATGTAGCTATTGGCAGATTATGTGAGAAGTGTGATGGTAAATGGTGCGCCAAGCAACACTATCTTTCGCGCTAACAACTAATATGCGGAGGTTTAGTCCCGTCTGTGATTCATACGTCCGACCTGAAACACTCGTCCGGATATGTGACGAGTGTAATTTTGGTACATACGGAGGAAGGTGTATTATATGTGGATCACCAGGTGCGTTACAACTACTCGTGAGTTTGGAGCATAGATCAATCGGATCCTGTAGGTATATCAGATGCGTACTACTGTGCAGAGTGCACGCGGTTAGAAAAAGACAGAGACGGATGTCCGAAGATTGTGAACTTGGGTGCCAGCAGGACAGATTTATTCTACGAGAGACGCAGATTAGGTCAGTATTTCGTGGCTGAAAAATGTCTCGGCAGCTGCTGATATAGTCCTTGTCCCATATAGGCTTTAAGAAGAGCTAGCCTTATACGTACTACACTTTTTGTGACTTCATCCATGAGTTGCACCAGATTTGGCACTCCAAGATGTCTGTATTTCATTGTGCGAAGACGGGGTAGGAGTAGGTATGCGTTCGATTGGCTACCTCAATGCGTAGAACATGAAATACATATATATATATATCAGCATACATCTAGCAGTACACTGGGAAATTGATAATAGGCGGGCCGTCGTTGGGGTTTTCCAGGTTTGCGAACCGCCTGTATTATTATGAGGTGGCATTGCGTGAAAGCTGAAAGAACAACATACCGGAATTGAACCATGTCGACCTTCTTCATGTGTTAGTAGATAAATAAAGTAGGATACGGAAAACGTACAGGTGCCTTGAATACAACAAATATGTGCGTCTCGTCGTGAGTATCGAGAGATTCACATTCTCCACAGAGGTCTTTCGCGCAATACGCGCAATGGTACCACGCTCCTTGAATACGCTCCATACAGCGATCACAGAGCGCCGTGGAGTGAACTAAATGATATAGATACTCTATGAATCTTCAATATGAGTGTGAAAGCGTATCGGTATGATTGACAAACCTTGCGGATCTGCGTTGGGCGCGAGGCCGCCAACAGGACCTGCTGGAACCTTGTACCTACCAACGTGTCACTGAAATCACCTCGATGAATTGTTATAATTCAAAGCTCACAGTTTTGGAAGAAAACCAGATGGCGACTCGAGTTGTACATGAACAGGTCTAGGTATCTTGAAAAATGAGTGCATTGGGTCATGGATGGCATATGACATCTGCTCGCATGATTGGCACTTAAAATTGTAATTAAAAAGGTGTAACTGTGTAATTATGATGTACATACCAAGTTATATGCAGTGGGCGAAGAGGGGCATGTAGCACATTGGTATCGTGTACCAATTATTGCCTGAAGAGTCGTCAGCCCTTCATGGGAAGTATGATCGCAGGGACAAACCTGGTTGCAGCCCTTGCAGGACAAATGGTGATTCAGCAACTCGCCATCAAGCGCACTTCGAGCGTGTCTCGAGCCAACGACCGTCTGAGCATATGAAGAATATACAGAGCCCGATTTGGAGCGGGATGCAGTCAAAACATGTGCTGCGTCCCTGCCTGTCCATAAATGGATGGCACGGCGGCTGGCTGTTTGTACTTCTGTTGTTTCAAGTGGATAGGGAATCTTGAAAAAAACAACAACATGAGCAACGTGTTCAAATCCTGAGAAAGATAACAAATACTTTTATCATAATATGCGAGGAGATGTGCCCCCCGTCTGAGGAGTCCAAGTTGCCTGGAAGTCCTGCAGACTCGCAATTGGAGCAAATGTCGATGGAGTCGCAGATTGCACAGTGGAATCGGGCACCAAGAATATCTTGTAAACAACTAAAATTCATTAAGTACTGTGATCATGCTGCCATAGGCCACCTACTGTGCACATTTGACGCCGGGATGTTTCATGGCTGCAAGTATATGAGAGAGGGAAGGAAACTGCTGCTTAGAACACTCACATCGTTCCTCATTATTGTCGTTTGACATTATCATTGGCAAAGCGTGTGAGTATTCTGGTTCACTTCTAGACCTAACAGACTTTTCCGTGACTACCAGGAATGCATGTGAAGGGTGTATATCGTGGACTTGGCTGCTCAGACAAGTATTAGTTCAGTCCACATTGCACAAAAGCCACTTGCCTGTAACACGCTCGACATAGATTGAATTTCTGACACGATGTACATTTATACCGCTGATTCACGATAGTGGAATTGCATGTCGAACATTTACAGATATGCATATCATCTTGCTCTGTGAAGAATCAGGGTAAAGATGTCGATCCAATGTCACATATTCCATTGGATGCTTACCTACGTCTTCCCATCCATGATGGCTCCAGACCTTTTCAAAATACGCATGTCTGAGCTGGCCTTTCTGTCTAGGAGCGGAACGACTCCATGAAGATAAATCATCTTCCGGAGATGTAGATTCTGCACCTGATCCATTCCGCCGCTCCGTGTTTGCACGAAGCGCATGTATCACGCCAGCAGATTCGACACATCCAGAGCACAGTTCAAAGCCCATAGTAGATGACTCGGACCCATGGCAAGATCTGAAACCTGATCGTGCACTATACAATGTCGGGCTTGACGAAGAGGAACCGGGTAAGGAAGGGAGTGGCTTATTGTGTTTGTGTTCGCTGCGCGTCTGCGGCGACCCGCTTAATGTGACAGAGTCGAAGAACGTAGATGGGGAGGGTGAAGACGAAAGAGGTGTGTGATATGGAGGAGAATAAGAATGGAATGGGTCTATATCTCTGGTCTTTCCTTTGCCTAGATCAGAGCCTGAGCCGTCGCGAAGGACGATGCTTGCCAGGGGCTCCTTCTCGCCACACACCGCACAGACGTATCGAATGACATCTAGTATAACTCCACAGTCTGAACAAGTAGTGAGCGAGCCTGGAGGAGGTCCTGCAGGTGCAACAAACTGGAGCACTTCTGGAGGAATGTCGGGAGCGATAGAGTATGGATCTTGGTCAGAATTGAAGGAGGGTGGGGAAGAACGCTTGTATGAATCAGGGGTGTCACTGGAATGATCGTCGTCTGCTAGCTTTTGTTGCGAAGCAATCCATGTAAGCTGCATACTGTTTGGCCGCGGCGGCGAACCACTAAATGGATCGGCGTCATACTTGATACTCAAATTGTCCTCGTAACCCGAATCATGTGTCGTAGAACTCGCACCAGTATATGAGTAATAGTATTTCCCGCGAGGATCTCGTTCTAGCGCAAGATCCCCGTCCATGTTAGATGGAATGCGCTCGTCGGAATATGTTAATGATATTGACCTCGAATCAGATTCCGAGGGCTCAGGTGTTGCCCCGAGCATGGCTTTGATTGTGCGCGCATTTTGATCGCGCAACCACGCAGCCCCCCTGTCTTGAGCAGAACGCGTCAATGCTATTTCAATTGGCGTGGGAGAGCATGACCGATGTGAAGGGGCCATGTCAGATGCTGACGCATCAGGGTACTCCTGGAGCTTGAGTCGCTCAAGTACAACTACAGGGTCTTCTGGGACGCATCCTTCAGTGAACTGGTGACGATCTGAAAATGGGCCCTCTTCATGTATTGTCTGATCTTCCACCGCTGTTGAACCTCTTTGGGACATCAAACGACCGGTAACACTGTCCTCGGATATAGAACACTTGTCCCAGTCATCCGAACGCGGTGTGACAGGGTGCACCGTTGATCCTTTTGCGAAGTGCCAATTGGTATCTCTCGAGCTCACTGTCACTGAATCATCGTCAACTTCCCCTCCTCCAATCGACCAGCTTAATTCGCCTTCGCTCCTGTTACGGCCTTTGTATTCTTCCATGCTGGCGAGACTTGATGTGTCGCTTAAACTCGGGCCATCGTAATCAACGGTGATGTGAACTCGTAGTGTTATTCGTCTACTTCCAAAGCTGCGGCCAGATAGAATTGATGCTGCAGAAGAAAGTGGAGGATCGTCAGACCCAGCCTGAAAGTATTGAATGGCTTCCGTGAGATCGGATTCTGTAGTAATATCGGTGATTTCGCCGTCATCGTCTTTATACGCAATCACATATGAAGTCGCGTAAAGTGAGAAGCACTGCTCAACCTGATCAACGGTATGGAAGAAGACGGTATGAATGATAAGCTCCAAGTGTGAGTACATGACCAAAGAGACGCACTCTGTTCCTCAGCAGCTCGTATGAACAATTCCTAGCGGAAGCAAAGCTTATCCGCTTGTTCCATCTGTCGAAGGCGCACTTGACGACTAGAGGCCTGTCTGGCCTAACATGCATCTTTCTTGCAGGTTATGCGACCGTAGCCTAAGGGAACATATGTGACCTTCCACTGACCAAAGTAGGCGCACGTTCCGCAGTCAAGTCAGTGCTCATTCCGCGCTGACCTAATTCAGTAATTTCAAGGTGCAAGTCATCGATCAAAATGGGAAATCCAACGGTGAGCAGCGGAATCACTCATTGTTACTGTATGCACTAAGGATTTCTGTGAGCCTCTCTCTCTACATATATATACGAAATTACAAGAACAAGAGACATTGTGCACATATACAATGATATAATGCCGAAAAGTACTAGGACAAATGGAAACTACCAACTCCTTCTTTCATCGCAATGCGTAATTTCTCTCGCATCACCGCTTTTGAACTATACTCCGGTAGCTTCAAGTAATTGACACAGGTCATGACACTTGGAAGGTAATCGTCT